CCATTATCAATCATATTTTCCCTTTTTAATTATTGATGAAAAAATATAGAGTTAATTTGTTCGTTAGTTAATAGGAAAAAATGAAGAAATCATATGAAATAGTAAGTAAATAATAGATTCAAAAAATAAAAATAAAAAATGTGTTAAATTAACTAATAAATAAATAAGAATATAAATAAATAAAAGCAAAATAAAATAAAGAAAAATAAATCAAATAAAAAGCTCATAAATAAGTAAATTAAAAGAATTAATTATTTATTCAAAAATATCACAATCCAAATAAAAACTGTTTTTACCATAATTAAAGTGTCAAATTTGAGAGTTTAGTGCACTTTCCTAAACTAGAACCAAGATTTGATGCACCAAATTTACCAATATAATTTGACCTTTATAAATATTGAATAACAAATATAAAGTTAATTTATTATTTAATTAATAGAAAAAATTGAAGAAAAATATGAAAAAAGTAACAAATTAATTAATAATAAAAGTAAAAGTTGAGAATGAAAAAATCAGTTAAATTTACTATCATACAAAATACAAAGAAGTAAATATATATAAAAAAAGAAAATTAAATCAAATGAAAAGCTCTTAAATAAATAAATTAAAAGAATTAGTTATGTTGTTTTAAATTAATTTTTATATTAAAAAAATCACAATTTAAAGCAAATAAATTATTTTTACCTTAAATAAAGTATCAAATTTGAGAGATTAGTACAATTTACTAAATCTGAACCTATGCTTGATACACCTCTATCACTAATTTAATTCGATCTTTTTAAATATAGAAAAAAAATAAAAAGTTAAAGTATTAGTTAGTTAATAGGAAAAAATGAAGAAAAAATATGAAATAATAAGAAATTAATTAATAATAGAAGCAAAAATTTAAAATGAAAAAATTATTTAAATTAAAATAAAAACAAACAAATAGATAAAAAAACTATCAATCCTTATTAATTAACACCCGAACATATTAACACCCAAGAAAAAATTTTTTAGAATGATATTGAATAGAATCCAAAATTTTTAAAATACCGTATTTCCTCAATAAGACCCACCGACCTGTCAACCTAGGTAGGGCTAAAATGGGAGATTTCCATCCAGAGGGTAAAAATTTTGGGGGGGGGGGGAGGTTGGTGTTAATAAATGAGGATTAATAGCATATAAAAATATAAAAAACACAAGAGATTAAAGAAAATAGATCAAATCAAAAGCTCAATAATAAATGAATTAAAAGAGTTTTTTGTTTAAAATTCATTTTTATATTCAAAATTATCACAATATTAAACAAATAAAGTGTTTTTACCTTAGATCAAGTATCAAATATGAGAGATTAGTGCACTTTCCTAAACCAGAAGCTAAGTCTGATGCGCCTTAATCACCAATTTAGTTTGACCTTTTTAATATTAAATAAAAAATAAATATTATAGTTAATTTGTTTGTTAGTTAAAAGGAAAAAAACAATGAAAATATATGAATGAAATAATAAGATATTAATTAATTAACTTATTAGTAAAATTACAAAAGTTGAAAATGAAAAAATGAGTTTATTAATAAACTAATAAACGAGGAAATATATAAATATAAGTAGAATAAAAAAAGATTAAATAAATTAAATAAAAATTTCATAAATAAATAAATTAAAAGAGTTTTATTATTTTAAATTCATTTTTATATTCAAAAATATCACAATCCTAAACAAATAAACTGTTTTTACCTTAGATCAAGTGTCAAATTAATAAGATTAGTGCACTTTCCTAAACAAGAAACTATGCTAGATATACCAATTTCACCAATTTAATTCAACCTTTTTAAATATTGAAGAAAAATGTGTAGTTAATTTGTTAGTTAGAAGGAAAAAAAGAAGAAAAATATAAAAAATAAATTATCATAATAAATATTAAATTAAAATAATTAAAAAATATTGTATAAATTAACAATGAAAATAGATGATAATTTAAATTTGAAAAATAATATTTTAAATCTTTTCAAAATTAAATAAATAAAATATGGAAAAAAAAATATTAATAAATCAAATATACTTGTTATTCAGATCAATATGTAGAACCTAAATCAATTAAAGTGAAGAGTTTGTAAACTTTTGTTATTAATAAAAGTAAATTGAAACAATTAATTTATAAAAATTAAATATTAACTTTTTGTAGATTGTTAAAATATTTTTTCTATTGTATCATTTTTTATTTATTTTGTTTTAAAAAATATTGGATAGAAATTTATGGAAATTTAGTTAATAAGAAGTATTGCTAATCCAGGTATTAAAATATGATGAACTGGATAGCATTATACCGTAGATTCTTCTTAATTAAGACACTTTTTAATTAAGACACTAAAATTCAAAAATTTTATTAAGTCATAATTTATTTATTTGTTTACAGTAAATAAAGTAAGAATTAATGAGAAATTACAGTATGTATGTATCGATGTATTTATTTACTTTTTGTTGCTAAATATATTTTAATTTTTAAATTGTTTTATTTATCATTTCTACGAATTTCTATTGTAAAGTTTATAAAATATATATTTAATTAGCTCACATTATTTTGAAAAATTTTATAAAATAGTGCCATTAAATCTGAATTATTAAAATTTCTTTTGTATAAGAAAGTACAAGAAATTTGATTAAATCTCTAATCAAAAAACAAAATTAAATAAAAAGCATTTTGAAACTAATTTTTCTGTTTACAGGCTAAACAATTTAGTAAAAACAATATTTTATCTATTAAAAACAGATGAAATAGTAATTATTTAAATACTATGATATAAAATACAGATTATTTTTATTACATGAATCAAGATAATAATGAATTGAAAGTTTTTTTAAATTTATATTTATATTTACTATTATATAGTCAATTATATAGGTAAATATATAATACATTTATTTATTTTTTATAAGGCTATTAAAAGGTAGGCAGCTAGTTAGATTTGTTTTCAGAATCAATCAAATCATGATGATCTATTTTAGCAGCCGACACCATCGACCCATTAACATTCTCTATAAGATTTACAGATATAGAATTTATCAACTTAATCACAAGCGTTAGTATTACAAGTTGAATTTAAGTCATTCCAAGTACAAGTTGAATATTGTCCACATTCTTCAGAATTAATGAAATTATGACATGGGATGATTTCATTCACTTAGGATTCAACACAAATTCCATTTGTATTCCATATACACAAGTTTGAAAATAAGCATTGGATACGGTTTTTTGGCTAACACAATGATTGTTGAGCAGCTATTGCAGTTACCATTACTGCAATTAAAAATATCTTTCCAATCTTTATCATAAGTGAATAGTTAATTTTATTTTAATTGGTTTCTTAAATAATTATTTATGATAAATTTCTTTTCTATCTTTTTTTCTTTTATTGAAATCTTTTTGCTTTGATTCATATATATGATTGTTGTATTAGGAACATACATATTTACGAAAAAGGAATTTCTTTTATAATTTTTTTAAATTGATTAATTGATTTAAATACTATTGCATATAGAAATAACAAATAAATAATTTTTAAATTGAGATAGATGTTTGCTTAAAGTAATTTAGATTTATTAATATTATTTTAATTGTTTTTGCTTTTTAGGTTAATACTTAATTTATTCATTAATTCATTCTAGTGTTTTGCATTTTATATTTTTATTTACATCAAAAAATAAATTAAATAATTTTTAATTTTATCATCTTGGCCCTAATATTTTTAATTAAATAACTAATATGTATAAATGATTTATCTAAAAATGTTAAATTATGCTAATGAAATTTAATAATGCAATTAAAATGTATATGAAAAAAAAACATTTGGTATTAGGTGTGAGTAAAATGTAATAGTAGGTATATGTTAATAAATAAAAATAGATACTTGGTGTTAATAATTCTTAAATTACCCTAATAAATATACACTAAAGAGTAGAGAGAGATTCAGGGTTCAATAGAGGTTATTAAAAAGCTATGGATAATTACAGTAGCTCATTCTATTTTTTAAATGTATTACAAATAGTGGAATTTAGGAAATCTAAATTATTAAAATTTCTTTTGCATAAGAAAGTACAAGAAATTTGATTAAATTTCTAATCAGAAAACAAAATTAATTAAATAAAAAGGATTTTGAACTAATTTATATTTTTGCAGGTTAAGTATTTAGTAGAATACACAGAATATTTTATCTATTATAAATAGCTTTATAAATAAATACTAAAATATAAAATGTCAATTATTTTTATTACATGAATCAAAATAATATTGAATTGATAATTTTTAAAAATTAATTATTGCTAATATGTAGTGTATTGTAAAGGTAAATAAATTCATAATAGATTTAGTTTTTACAAAGCTATGAATAAAAAGGTAGGCAGCTAGCTAGCTTTGTTTTAAGAGTAAAATCATGATGATTTATCTATTTTAGCAACCTAGACCACTGACCATCTGTAAGCATGATACAAATAGAATTTATTAATTTAATCGCAAGCGTTAGTATGTATTACAGGTTGAATTAAAGCCATTCCAGTTCAAGTTGTTTGTATATTATCTACATTATTTTAAAATTAATAAAATTGTGGCATGGGATGATTTCATTCATTGAAGGTTCAACATAAATTCATTTATTTTATCGTATTTACACAAATTTGAAAATTAGCAATAAATAAATACTATTTAAGTAAGTTTTGATTCTAGTGTTTTGCATTTTGTATTTTTATTTACATCTAAAAATAAATTAGATAATTTTTATTTTGTAATCTTACAATTACTATTCTTTAATTACACAATTAATAGATATCAATGATATATTTAAAAATGTTAAATTATACAAATGAAATTTGATAATAGGTCGCAAAAATTAATTAAGGTATTAAATAAAAATTTAAAAAAATAAAAAAATTATTATTTTTGAAGAATATTAAAAATATGTATGTATGTATGTGTTTTCGACTACTATCTATATTTGGATTTACATATTAATGTATCAATAGTTTAAATATTTACATTAAATTAAGGATTATCTTTCTAAAAACATTAAAAAATTTGATCTCATGATAATTTATTTGCTTCATTTAAATTAACATTTGATATAAAATTAAAGTATCTAGATAAATTCATAATTAATATAGTTTTAAGAAAATTTGCTTGTTATTCACTCAGTCTTCTAAAAAAAATGATATAATAGAAAAAATGCTATAAAGAGCTTTATAACGTAAATTTTTTTTTGTTATATATTATTTTAAAATATGTTTTTTATCATAAAAGTTTTTAAGCTCATCTTTTGAAAGTCATACTGATCTGGAAATAGATCTTTGGTAAATACTATTAATAACAATTAAATTAATTTAAATTTGATATTTACAATATTAAATAATATAGAAAAATTTATTTTTTAACTTCTTAATTTTAATTTTTTATACATTTTACCACTAATTAATTTTTAGTTTGGATTCATTTTATATTTAATACTTTTTCTTGTTTTTATTTACATCTAAAATATTAAACTTAATTTCAATAAATTTAAAAGGAACTAAGTAGACGGTGAAGAAATCCCAGAATTAAGCTCAGGTTTAGCAAAATGCACTAATCTTTCAAGTTTAAATCTAAACATCTCGTAATACCAAATTATTAACTTTTGAAAATGTTGCTTATTATAAAATTTTAAAAGAAAAATATTTTTTTAATTTATATTTTTAGATTTTTTCTCTTTTTCTTAAATTTATAATTAATTACATTCTTAATTTATTTTTTTAGCTTTTTTTCTTAACTCTTTCGCATATTCCGCAATTTAATGTTTAATACTTCAAAAGAAATTGCCTTATCGGTGATGAATTTGCATCAAACTTAGCTATTGCTCTAAAAAAGTGCCCTATGCTTTCGAAAGTGAAGCTATATCTCTCGTAAATCAGATAGATTATTAGTTTTTAATTTTTATATTCAAAATAAAATAAATTATAGTTTATTTAACATATTCTATAACTATTATTTATTACTTTTTTATCTTAGTTTTGATTTTTATTATCTTATTTTTTATAATTTTTTTTAATTTAATCATTATGTTAAATCAAATTTATTAATAGGGAAAATGACATTAGTGAAGAGGGTATACTTGCCTTTACTTCTACAATTGAAACCTACGCAAATCTTACAGATTTGACACTTTCTTTTGAGTAAAAATATTCACTATTTTTGTATATAAATGATTAGAGAATTTTAAAAAAATAGTTTTTTTTTCTGTTTTTGATAATATTTTATTTTTTTTATCATGATTGTCAAAATAAAATCTAATTTTATTTTAGTTTTTTCTAGTTTTGGTGTTAACTTTTAAGCATTTACTTACTTTTATAAAAACAAACAATAAAATTGAATAAGATTTAAAAAAATTAAATTTTAATTGCAAAAATTAGTTTCTATGTTGAATTATGCATTTTTTAGTTTCTTTTAGGGAAAGCTCTAAGATTTATTTAGTTTGAAAAGATAATTTGAAAATAAATAAATAAATTATTTTATGCTTTTTTGATTATGTTAGAGCTTAATAATTGACATTCTAAATAGCTAAAATATTTTTAATTTATAAAAAGATCAAATAAAATTGGAGATAAGGGTGCACAATTTTTAAGTTCTGCCTTAGCAAAGATTACATGTCTTACAAGCTTAACACTTGATCTCTCGTAAAATATTTAATATTTGATACTTTTATTTCATTTTGATACTTTAATTTGTAAAAATAAGATTCCAATTGAATAAATTTAATTAAATTTATCATTATCAAATAATGATGAAGTTTTTGTATAAATTTTTACAATGAAATGTTACTTCCTTTTTTTTGTTTAATAATAAATTAGCTTATTTATTTTAAAAGTTAAGGCTAAATTGATGTGCAGGGTGTAACTGATTTAGGTTCAGCTTTATCAAAATGCATTAATCTATCAAATTTGTCTCTCAATCTTAAGTAAAAAAATAATTTTTTATTTTTGATAATTTTATTTTTATTGTCTTGTTCTATTAATTTGTTTTAAACTTATACTTTCATTTCTTTTTAGTGTCTTAATTAATTTTAATGTTTTGACTATTTTCTTTCATACTAACTAATAAATTGATATTGATTACATAAAAAGGAGAAACTGGTTTAGTGATGAGGGAATATTAGGCTTAACCTCTTCTTTTGCAAGCATTCAAAATCTCTCAAACTTGACTCTTGATATCTCGTAAAAATTATTTTACTAATTTTGATTTTGTTGTTGAATTTTTTTTATTTTGCACGTTTTATTAATTTGCTGATTTTATTTAAGACAATTATTTGTCGGATAATTTATTTTAAACTTTTGCTTCAATTTTCATCTTAATTTTTAAAGATTTTAGTTTTTAATTGTTTTTTATTAATAAAATATTTAATTAATTAACACTTAATACTTAAAAAGAAACAATTGTATAAGTGATCAGGGTGCTTTAAACTTAGGTTCATCTTTAGCAACTTACATGAATCTCTAAAGTCTGGTGCTTGACGCTTCGTAAAAATAGTTTATTTGTTTTTGATTGTTTTATTTTTTTTTTGATTAATTTTTAATTTCATTAATACATGATTCATTAATTTATTGTTATTCCAAACTTATTGTTTATTTTTTATATTTAACTTTTTATTTGATACTTATTTCTTACTTTTTAATTCTTCATCTATATTTTGATCACCAATAAATTTCTCTTAAATATTTAAAGTGTCAATGAGATATAAGACGAAGGAGTATCAGCTCTAGGTATCTCACTAGCAAACTGCAAAAAAATCTCAAATTTATCACTTGGTCTCCAGTAAAATAAGAATTTATTATCAATTATTTTATTTCTTTTAAAAAATTCACTAAAATCTAAAAAATTTTTTTTTTTTCATATTTATTTCCTTTATCAACTCTATCCTAACTATTAATTTATGCATGATATATAAAAAGTAGTAACAAGTTTGGTTCATAGGGTATATCCGGTTTAGGTTCTGCTTTTAAAAACAGTACTACCCTCTCAAAATTGACAATTGATCTCTAGTAGAAATTTTACTTTTAATTGCTTTATTTGTTTAAATTAAATTAAGTTTTAATTTTTAATTATATTTATCTTTTATTTCTTATTTTCTAATTGTTTTTTTTACTGCAAATGTTAAAAGGAACAATTAAATTAATGGATAAGGTCTATCATGCTTAAGTTCTGATTTGTCAACCTGTTCTAACCTTACGACTTTGATATTAGATCTCTAGTATTAGATTTTAATTCTTTGTTTTTATTTCTAAATATTAAAATTAATTGAAATATTATTTTCTTATTAAATTTTTTACTTATTTTTTATAAATTTTGAATATATTTGATAACTAAAAATTTTATTCAATTTTAAACCAAAATAAAATCATTAATTTTTTTAATCTTAATACTTAATTTATCTTAAAAATATTAAAAAGTGATACATAAACTAGTGACTAGGAAATATCATCGTTTAGTGTTGTATTGGAAAAATATATTAAACTTTCCAATTTGTAGCTAAACCTTACGTAAAATTCTTTTTTCAGCTAGCTCTTTATTTAATTTTTATTTTGTTTGTCTTACACTTTATTTTAATTTGTGATTAAAGTCATTTTATATATTAAATAAATCCTAATAATTATTTTTCTTAAAATATCTTTTAAATAAAAATGAGAATTATTGTGAAAATCTAAAGTTAAATTGATTTTATTAGATTTATATTTTTTTTTTTGAAAAGATTTCAAATGTTGATTGGATAAAACATCCATCCATCCATCCAATTTATTTAAATTTACATTTTTAAACTTTAAAAATTAATGTATCAAATAATTTCTATATACTTTTTTGATAGTCTGTCTCATTTATATGCATGCAAAGATCTTATAAAATATTTTAATTTAATTTTTTAAGAAAAAACTCAACTCAATTTGAATTTGGTCATTCGATCATCAATCATAAAATGTGGATTTCAAATAAGATTGACATTTTACTCTAATATATTTCTTTTTAAAGACACAAACTACACTTAGCATGAATTTAAAATATACTTGTTTCAAATTTAACTTTTTATTTTTTAAAATTCATTTTTTAAATAAAATAAAAAATTTATCTTAAAACTTTAAAAAGAGCGAATTAAATTGGCGATGAAGGTGCTTCAACCTTAGGTTAAGCATTAGAAAAATGCTTTAACCTCTCTGATTTGACATTAACACTATGGTAAAAATAATTTAATTTAATGCTGATATTTTTTATAAATAAAAATCTGTTTTTTTTCCTTTCTATTGATTTATTTTATTTACACTTCTAAATATATTTTATTTTATTATTTATTTTTAAAAAATAAAATCAATTTTAAATTATTTTTTATTTTTTTATTTCACATTTTTTTTATGATATCTAACTAATAACTTATTTATTTATTTATTTATTATTTATTTAATTATCTATTTATTTTAAACACAAAAAAGTGGCAATTTAATTGGGGATGAAGGTTTATCAAGATTGAGTTCCTCTTTAGGAAACTGCATAAATCTTTCACACTTGACTCTTAATCTAAGGTAAGATAGATCCCTTTATATTTATTTTTTTATTTTTGGATTCTCTATTTTTAAATAAAGTTTAATTTAAAAAGTAAATTTTTCTTCATAACTCTTTAATTCAAATAATTTTTTTTGAGCTGATTATTAGTTTATTTTTTAAATTTAAAAACGATTTTACCTTTTTCTTATTTTTTCATAGTTTAAAATAAACATATTAAAATTGAAAATACAAAAAAGTAATAATTAGTTTGGTGACTAGGGTATATCAAGCATAGCCTCTAATTTCAAAAATTGTACTAAACTGTCTAGTTTAACACTTGATATTAGGTAAAATAGTTTATTTAAATATAGTTAAGATATTGCTTTATATAAAAATTAATTTACCAAAATATATTTTTTTTAAATATATTAAAACTCCTCATTAAGTAAGAGTTAATTACTTATATATATATTAAGGACCAAAAATAAAATTTTAATGCAGAGTTTAAAAATATCTTTTTTATTTTGATTTATCTGTTTTTTGATTGTATTTGAATTTATTATATATATCATAGTTTAAAACTTTCAATAATTTAAAATTTTTACTTTCAGTTTATTTCTTATTAACTTTAAATTTATTTATTTTAAAAAGTTAAATTGAAATTACTACTTAATCTTTTTAAGACTTAATTTTTGCATTACCAAGCTGGGCTAATATCTCAAATTTATCACTTAATCTCTCGTAAATAAGTTCTATTTGTTTTTATTGTGTTATTATTTATTATTTTAAGAAATAATTTTAATCAATCAAACACTATTTATTATATTTTTTATTTATTTCTTTTTTTTGGAATCTACATCATTTTTAATTTTTGTTTTTAATTGAATCATTTATTTTGGTTCATAAAAAGATGTAACTTTATTGATGAATAATCAGCATTAGACTTAGGTATTTCTTTATCTAATTGCCTTAATCTCTAAAATTTGGAACTAGATCTTAAGTAAAATTTATAATGATTTTTATGCTTTTGATATATTTATCGCTAAATTAGTTTAGAAAAATAAAACATGTTTTATAAATTTATTTTGATTATTTTGTTTAATTTTAATGATTTATTGTTAGTTTGATTATTTTATTCTAATATTTTTTGATGAAAACTAATAAATTTAATGTGTAAATATTAAAAGCTACAATAGTATTAATTTAAATGGTGCTTTAGATTTAGCCTCTGGTTTAGCAAAGTGTGCTAAACTTTCAACTTTGAAACTTAGAATAGGGTATAAATATGAATTAATTTTAATTGTTTTATTTTTTCTTTATATTAATTTTAAGCAATAAAATTTTTTTACTATTGTTTTTTTCATATTTTTATGAATTAAAGCTTAGTTTCGATTTTTAGTATAATTAATTTATTTTTAAATTTTTTATATAATAATTAAAGAGAAACTAGTATTCCTTATGAAGAATTATTTAACATATCGACAAAGATTTTGAAATAAAAAAATCTAGTTGTCATGATGTTAGTTTTATGAACAATTAAAGATATTTTTATTAAATTATTCTTTTATTGAATTAAATGTATTTATTTAATGTTGAGGATAACAATTTTATTAGTTATTTAAATATTTTTTATCTAATTGAATTTTTATCAATAAAAAAATGTTTTAATATTTATTTTTTGATCAATATTTATTTCTTTGTTTTAATTATTATGTAATGTTTTATAAATATGCCACATATTATTAATAGATTTTTTAGTTATTTATTAAATATTTACTTGGATTTTATATATTATTGAATCAATAATTTCAAGTATTTTCAAAAAATTAAAGTATCTAGATATATATGTATTTAATTAATTAATTACTTTAGTTTTAAAAAAAATTTATTGTTTGTTTAGTATTCTAAAAAGAAGAATGATATAAATGAAAAAATGTTTTACAGAGCTTTATGATGTAAATTTTTTTTTTGTTATTGATTATTTTAAAATATTTTTATTATCATAAAAGTTTTTAAGCTCTTCATTTGAATGTCATACTGATCTGAAGCTCAATCTTTGGTAAATATTATTAATAAAAATTAAATTAATTTAAATTAAATAATAAAAATATAGAAAAATTTATTTTAACTTCTTACTTTTTATTTTTACTGTTATATATCACTTGTTTCGGTTAGAATTTTTATATATATATATTTTTTTTGATTTTATACTCATTTAAAATAATAAACTTAAAAGGAACTAAATTTACGGAGAATAAATCCCTTAATTAAGCTCAGGTTTAGAAAAATGCACAAACCTTTCAAGTTTAAATCTTAACATCTCGTAATGCTAAATTATTTAATTTATTATATAATTTAAAACTAATTATACTCTTTTAATTTATATTCTTAAGATTTTGCTATTTTCTTAAATTTAAAATTATATTCTTAATTTCATTTTTTTAATTTTTCTTCTTAACTCCTGCATTTTCAGCAATTCAATTTTTATTTAATACTTCAAAAGAAACTGTTATATCGGAGATGAGTTTGCAACAGGCTTAGCTATTTCTTTAAAAAATTGCCCTAACCTTTCAATAATGAAACTCTATCTCTCGTAAATCATAGAGATTATTAGTTTATAATTTTTTTATTTAAAATAAAATAAATTAAAGTTAATTTAACATTCATTCTACCATTTTATTGTTTTTTTTGTTTTAGTTTTTATCTTTTTCATCTTATTTTTTATTCTTGTTCTTAATTTTATCGTCAAAAAATTTGCATTAAATTTATCAATAGGGGAAATGACATTAGTGGGGAAGGTATACTGAGCTTTGCTTCTACGTTTGAAACCTACACAAATCTCACAGACTTGACACTTTCTCTTGAGTAAAAGCAGCTTATTTTTTAACATTCTGTATTTTTTGCATATGAATTAATGGAGAATTAAAAAAAACTGTTTACTTCCAGTTTAGATATTTTATTTTTTATCATGATTGTCAATCAAAATCTGATTATATTTTAAATTTTTCGAGTTTAAATTTTAACTCTTAAGCATTTACTGTTTATTAGAAAGATAATATATAGAATTTTAATTGAAATAATAAATTTTGCATTTATTAATTTTTTGTAAGGAGACCTCTAATATTTATTTATTTACCTTGAAACAATAATTTGAAAATAAATATTTTACTTTAATATTTAAATTGTTTTTATGATCAAGTTGGAGATTAATTTTCTTATATAATGTTGATTATATCCTAACTAACTAATTAAAATAAATTAATATATAAAAAGATCAAACAATATTGGAGATAAGGGTGTATTAGGTTTAACTTCTGTCTTAGCAAAGATTACATGTCTGACAAGCTTAACACTTAATCTTTCGTAATTCCTATTTCATAAATAAACTTTAATTTGAAAAAAATAAGATCCTAATTAAATTTGATTTAATTAGATTTATTATAATAAAATTTTTGTATAATTTTTTGCCATTTTTATATTTTTTTATTTAACAATTTGTTAGCTTCTATTAAATAATAATTTATTTTGCATTTTAAATTATTTTTTCGATCAAATTTAATTCAATTTTTTGTAAATTAATTTATTTTAAACCATTTAATTTTTAAAGATGTTTGTTTTTAATTGTTTATTATTAATTAATACTGAATACTTAAAAAAGAAGCAACGGTATAAGTGATCACGGTGCTTTAAACTTAGGTTCTTCTTTAGCAACTTACACTAATCTCTCAAATTTGAAGCTTGATGTCTCGTAAATAAAATTTATTTTTTTTAGGTTGTTTTATTTCTTATTTTAATGAACTTACTTATTAACTAACTAACTTCACTTATTTCTAATTTATTTTAAATTATTTACTGCAAATATATTCTTTTTTTTTATATCTAACTTATTATTTGAAACTTAATTTCCTATTCTTCTTCTATATTTATTACTAATAAATATCTCATAAATAATTATAGTGTCAATCAAATAAGTGACGAAGGAGTATCAGCTATAGGTATCGCACTAGCAAACTGCAAAAAAATTTCAAATTTGTCACTTGATCTCATGTAAAATCAGAATTTATTATCATTTTTTAAGAAAATTTCATTTAAATCTAAAAAATCTTTACTTTAGGTTTTTATTTAACTTACTTAATTACTTACTTACTTACTTACTTACTTACTTACTTAATTTTAATTATTTTTGATTTCATTATTTTATAAATTATTTTTTTTCGTTTAGTTTTTTATTTTTTCTTGCTCTTAATTTTTTCACATAATACTTTTTCATATTCCCTTTAGCAATTCTATCCTAACTATTAATTTATGCTTAATTTATAAAAAGAAGCAATTAATTTGGCTCATAGGGTATATCTGGCTTAGGTTCTGCTTTTACAAGCAATATTAATCTCTCAAAATTGACACTTTATCTTGAGTATAAACATTTTTTTACTTTTAATTGTTTATTTTTCTTAATGAAATTTAATATAATTCAGCTTTAGTTTTTAAATATAAATTTATTTATTTTTGATTTCTTATTTATTCATTCTTCTTTTGTATTATTAAAAGGAACAATTAGATTAATGGATAAGGTCTGTCATGCTTATTTTCTGATTTGTCAAACTGCATTAACCTCACAAACTTGATATTTAATTTCAAGCATAAGATTCTTTCTTCATTATTTTATATTTTTAAATATTAAAATTAATTTAGAAAGAAATATGATTTTCTAATTAAATATTTTTTTGACTCAATTTTTTAAAAAGTTTTAATTTTATTCAATCTTACTTTATTCAATTTTAAACTTAAAATTATATTGTTAATTTTTTTATCACTTTTTAATCTTAATAATAAATTTATCTAATAAATATTAAAAAGAAAAACATAAATTGGTGACGAGGAAATATCATCTTTTAGTTCTGTATTGGAAAAATGCATTTATCTCTCTAATTTGTAGCTAAACCTTGTGTAAAATTATTTTTTTAAAATACTAAATGTTGCTTCTTTAAAAAAATTAATTAATAATTCTTTAATAACTTAGCTCATTATTTTATTTTTATTTTGTTTGCTTTACGCTTTATTTTAGAACTTTGTGATTAAAATCCGCTTGCTTATTAAATTAAAACCAGCAATTATTTATCTTAATTTAAAAAATGAGAATAATTGTGAAAATCTAAAGTAAAATTGACTTGATCAGTTCGATATTTATTTATTTTGAAAATATTTCAAATTTTGATTAGATAAAACATCTTACAAAAAAAGTCACTTTCTTTTATAATTTAAATTCACTTTTTTAATCTTGAAAATTTATATATCGATTTCGCTCTAATTTTTTGATACTCTCACTGAAGGAGAATTTGTAATGATCTTATAAATTAATAAATTAAAATATAATTATCTATGAAAAAACTATATTCAATTCGAAATAGTTGTTTAATCATCATACATACGATGTGAATTTCAAATGATATTGACATTTATTTTTATTTAATTTTAATATTTCTAATTTTTTTAAAGCTTTAAACAAACAAAAAAACACACAAGCAATATACATACATACATACATACATACATACATACATACATTTAAAATATGTTTGTTTGTTTGTTTAAAATTTAACTTTTTGTTTTTTGAACATTTTATTTATATTTTTCAAATAAAATAATAAAAAAAGTTAGAATTAAATTGGTAACAAAGGTGTTTCAACCTTAGGTGAAGCATTAAGAAAATGCTTTAGACTCTCCGATTTGACATTATCACTAGAGTAAAAATGATTTAAATTTAAAGTTTATTTATATTTCTTTATCTAAAAACTAATTTAAAATAAAAATCTAATTATTTATTTTCCTTCGTTACTACTTGCTGATTTAAATTATTTAGATAGTAATTTTACTTTATAATATTTTCTGATTTCTTCAATTTTAAACTATTTTGTATTATTTTAATGCTAACTAACTAACTAATAAATTTATTTTAAACAAAAAAAGTGATAATTTAATTGGAGATGAAGGTGTATCAAGATTAAGTTCCTCTTTAGGAAATTGCTTAAATCTTTCACGCTTGACTCTTAATTTAAAGTAGGATCGATCCTTTTTTATTACTAATATAATTAATTATTTTTGATTTTGTTATTTTTAAATGATAAACTTTTTTATCAAAGATCTTCAATTCAAATAATTTTTTTGAGCTGATTGATAGATAGATAGATAGTTTATTTTTTAAATTTAAAAATGATTTTGACTTTTTCTTATTTTTTCATTGTTAAAAATAAACATATTAAAATTGAAAATACAAAAAAGTTATAATTAGTTTGGTGACTAGGGTGTTTCAAGCATAACCTCTAATTTAAAAAATTGTACTAAACTTTCTAAATTAGCACTTGCTATCAAGTAACTTAATTTATTTAAAAACGGTTAAGCTATTGCTTTTTAAAAAAATTATTTTACCACATTATATTTTTCTTTAATAAACTACAACTCCTTATTATTTAAGAGTCAATTACCTCTTTACATTAAGGTCCAAAAAAAAATTTTAGATTTGAAAAATTTTTGAGATTTCAAATTAAGGGCTACAAAATCGTCTTAAAAAATACGGTGAATGTTCTCTTAATTTATGAAGAGTTTAAATATATCTTTTTTTATTTGATTTATTTGTTTTTTGATTGTATTTGAATATTTATTTTATTATAGCTTAATTAATACTTTTAAAGATTATAAATTTTTACAATTGTTTTATTTCTTATTAATTTTAAATTTATTTATTTTGAATGCATAAAAAGTAAAAGTTAAATTACTCATTAATCTATATCGGACTTAATTTTTGTTTTACCAAACTGGGGTAATATCTCAAATTTATCACTTCATCTAGCGTAAATAAATAAGTTCGATTTGTCTTATTATTTATTTATTTATTATTTTAAGAATTAATTTTAATAAATCAAACACTATTTATCATGTTTTTTATTTATTTATTTCGTTTATTTGGAATCTAATTCTTATTTAATTTTTGTTTTTAACTGAACGATTTGTTTTGAATTGATAAAAAGATTTAACTCTATTGGTGAATAAGCTGCATTAGACTTAGGTATTGCTTTATCTAATTGCCATAATCTCTAAAATTTGGAACTACAACTTAGGTAAAGCTTTTAGTAAATTTGATACCTTTGATAAATTTATCTCTAAATTAATTTAGAAAATAAAACACATCTATTGATTTTGTTTAATTTTAATGGTCAGTAGTTAGTTACTTTGATTATTTTAATATTTTTAATGAAAACTAATAAATTTAATATATATATTAAAAGTTACAATGATATCCATTCTAAGGGCGCTTTAGATTTAGCCTCTGGTATAGCAAAGTGTGCTAATCTTTCAACTTTGGAACTTAGACTCTAGTAAAAAGCTATATTGATTTTAATTGTTTTATTTTTCTGTAATATTGATTAAAAACAATAAAATTTTCTAAATTAGTTTTTTATTTCTTTTTTAAATTTGAAACACTTGATTGATTTTCCACACAATTAAGTATTTATTTTTTAATTTTTTATTTAATAATTAAAGAGATAGTGGTATTCCTTATGAAGAATAATTGGAGATATGGATAAAGTGTCTGCAATCAAAAAAGCTAGTTGTCTTTATTTTAGTTTTATGAATAATTAATGGCATTTGATTCAATTATTTTTTATTGAATTAATTGATTAATTGTATTGTTTGTTTTATTTAATGTTGAGAATATCAATTTTTATCTACTATTTAAATATGTTTTCTCTAATTAATTTTTTTTACACTGATGAATTGTTATTTATTTGTTTTTTTTTGTTAATATTTATTTATTTGCTTTAATTATTATGAAATGTTATATACATATTAGGAGATAAAATATATATATATATAAATACTTAATTTATCTACCATAAATTATGAATTAAAATATAGCTAACTTTCAATAAATAGGAGCTTGGGATGCAAATTGGAGGTTAACATTTTTTTAAAAATTTTTCTTAATTTGGGGTGAATTAATGAGAACTTACAGTATAAATATTGTTAAAGAAAATAAATAATTTGCGTTATTTAAAATATAATTTTTTTAATTTAACATAAAAAAAGAAAATTAAATTAAAATATGGGATTAATTTTTTGCAAATAAAAGAGTACTAAAATAAAAAAATAATTAAATATTTCAAATAAAGTAATAAATAAAATCAAAATAAAACTAATAAATTTACATTTTATAATATCAAAAGGTTATCTGTATAAAATCTGATGAAGTGTTAACTATTAATTTAAACTAAAAGTGAACAATTTAATTTATTTATTTGTTAAAAAATAAATAAATTTTATTTACTCTTTTTTAAAAAGAAATTAGATCAGCGATATTGAAATATCTCAGATAGGCCAAGAAATGTCCAATCATTAAAACCTTATCATTTTTAAACTTATTTTGGAGTAAATTTCTTTATTTATTTATTTATTTATTTATTTATTTATTAGTTATTTTATAGAATGAATAAAAAATAAATAAATTATTTAATTTTGAAATATTTCAAAGAGAATCTAAGCTTAATGACCAAGGCCTAATTAACCTAACTAAAAGATTATTTAAATGTAAAAAACTAATTAGCTTAGAATTAAATTTTGGGTAATTTGCTTGATCTAATTAAGATAAAAATATTGACTCAAATATGTATTTAGAATGATTTTTTATTTGAAATAGGTATAACTAAATTAGTGATCACAGTGTTTCTTTTTTAGGCGAAGCAATTGGATAACTCGAAAACTTAATTAGCCTCAATTTAAGTTTAAAGTAAATTTTTTTTAATTTAAAAAATATTCAGAACCTCAAAATTTTGAAAAGGAATAATAAAATTTCAGACACAGGCTTCAAGAAATTATTTAATGGATTAAGCAACAGCAAACAATTAAACCTCCTAATCCTAAATTTAGAGTAGCTAATTAAGAAATTAAAATATATTTTTGAACAAAATTTAATGAATTAATATAGGAATAACTAAATAAAAAACTAGGGAGTATCTGATACAGCTTCAATTTTTAACAAATTTTCAAATTTGTCAATTTTTACATTTAATATCGGGTAAAACAATTAATTAAATATGAAAAATATTTATTTATTTATTTATTAATTTTTATGAATAATTTTAAAAAATAAAGCTAATTTATAAATATAAATTTATTTAAAATATTTTGATTTAAATAAAAAGATTCAACTTAATTAATCAAGAAGGCATTTAAAATTTAGCTTTTAATATTGGATAGCATAAATAAATTCAAACTTTAACACTCTGTTTATAGTATTATATGATTAAATTTAAAATAAAATATTTCTTATCTTTTTTTTTGATAAATATCTAATTTAATTAATTAATTATGAAATATTTCGATTTTATTTTTTAATTTAATAGAAAACTTGATATAGGAGATAGGGGTGCTATATTTCTGGGCGATAACTTAAATTAAAGCAAAAACTTAAAATATCTCACTCTTGACCTTTCGTAAAATTAATATAAAATAAATAAATTCTTTTTTTCTAAATTGCCCAAAAATAAAAAAATTTAATTTAAAAAAGATTTTGCCAGATTCAAGATTTAGGAATATTTAATCTAAGTAAATCCTTAACATTGTGTAAAAATCTGACTTATATATCTCTTATATTAAGGTAAATTAACTCCTTTTTGATAGATAAAACGTTTGTTTAAATTTAAAAAAAATAACTTACTTTTTCAAAATATATTTCATAAAAAGTAGAAGAAAATTAAATTATTTTTTGCAAAAACAATTTATTTTTGCTTACCAACTTAATAAAGTTATTTAGAAGCTATAAATATGGAATCTATAAAAAAAATAAATTGAATGATGAATTTCATATTATTTAAATAGAAAGGTATTTGGTAATAAACAAATTAAATAACTTCAACAAACTATTTCAATTAATACTAAATATATTATCAAGAATTTTCTAAGAATCTACTTTTTAAATTATTAGATTTGGCTTTTTCTTATTTTTACCAAAAAATAAATTTTCAACACAAACAAATTTATTGATTAATTCATAAATTACTTGAGTGGATTTCTTTACATGTAAATAAATTGCTATGGGATTTTAAAAGAATTACTTTTTTTGTAATACATATAAACAAAATGAATGGAAATTATGAATGTGAAATCTAAATTTTTTTTTTAAAATTAGCTAGATTGAATAACTGTTTTGTTTGAGTTGCTTAGCTTACTAATTACATTCCTTTTTAATAAATAAATAAAATTTATTTCAAAAGCTTTTTAAAATTCCAGAATTAAATATTTAATTAATTTATGTATTCAAAAACAGATTCAATAAATTAGGCGATCAAGGAATATCTGGTATTGCTTAAGCTTTATCATAATCTAAAATTCTGAAGTTTTTGGAGCTCTATTTGTGGTATATATAAATATTAATTAATGTACATTAATCATCATATGTAATCTAAATAAAAAGCTTTAACTATAATGTCTCTGATTAGGGTATTTTAGATTTAGGCAAACAATTAAAATAGAATAAAAGCCTTGTGATGCTTGTTCTTGAATTTAAGTAAGATCAAATATTTTTTAATATAAGGTCATACATACATACATACAAACAAAAAAAAAAATTTGATTGGTTTAATTTATAAAATATTTAAATTTTATTTTGCTTATCTAATTTTGTTTAAATAATTAATAAAAGTAACAAAAATCATGGAGAATAAATTCAACTTAAAAAACTGTATAAGATGTAAAGGTTATCTTTCTTAAAGATTTTAGTATATTGATTGACTATTTATTTATTATGGCTTTTAATGTTAAATAGCAGCACTTAATCTTTTTTACTATAAAATTTCTTATAAGCGTTTTTTAAGTCTTTAATATTGTGTGAGATATAAATGGTATTTTCAAAGTTTTAAAAAGAATCATAACGCTTAAATAAATTCATCTAAAAATTATTCTTTGAAAATATCTAAACAAATAAAATTTAATGTAATTTAACTCTAAGCAAAGGTTTATTTAGAAAATTTCTAGTTCCTCTTAAAAAAATCATTAGTTTTAATATCTATTTATCAATCTATCTATATATCTAACTAACTAATTATATTTTTATTTATTTATCTGTCAGCTATTTTTGAAAGAAATACAATTCATGTCCTTCCTTGAATAAAAATTAATATTAAGAAAATTAGTAACTCAAAATATATATCAGAATTAGTATTTAACTAAAGATAGTTTAAATTGTTTGATGTGTATTTTTATGATAAATTATAAAATATGATATAAAGGGAAAAGTGTGGTCTGGCACATAATTTTTTAGACTAACTTTTTTTAATACATTTATAATAATATTGTTTTTTTAAAAACTTAAATGTACGAAAAGACTGTTTTCACTACTTCTTATATATATATATAGTATATGTGGGGTTGGAAAGAAACTCTACTTATTAACCCCTTTTTATCTTGAAATATAATAATTGTTAAAGAAAATAATTAATTTGTGTTATTTAAAATATAATTTAACTTAGCATAAAAAAAGTAAATTAAATTAAAATATGGGATTAATTTTTTGCAAAAAAAGGAGTACTAAAATAAAAAAATAATTAAATATTTCAAATAAAGTAATAAATAAAATCAAAATAAAACTAAGAAATTTACATTTTATAATATCAAAAGGTTGTTTGTATAAAGTCAGATGAAGCGTTAACTGTTAATTTAAACTAGAAGTAAACAATTTAATTTATTTATTTGTTAAGATAAAATTAATTTTACTTACTCTTCTTTAAATAGAAATTAGATCACTGATATTGAAATATCTTAGATTGGCCAAGAAATGTTAAATCATTAAAACCTTATCATTTTTAAACTTATTTTAGAGTAAATTTCTCTTTTATTTATTTATTAATTATTCATTTTATAGATTTAATTAAATTAATAAATTAATTAATTTTTAAATATTTAAAAGAAAATCTTAGCTTAATGACCAAGGCTTAATTAACCTAACTAAAATTTTATTTAAATGTAAAAAATTAATTGGCTTAGAATTAAATTTAGGGTAATTTGCTGGATCTAATTTTTATTAACACAAATTTGTGTTTAGAATGATTTTTTATTTGAAATAGGTATAACTAAATTAGTGATAGCAGTGTTTCTTTTTTAGGAGAAGCAATTCGATAATTCGAAAACTTAATTAACCTCAATTTAAGTTTAAAGTATATTTTTTTAATTTGAAAATATTCAGAAACTCAAAATTTTGAAAAGGCATAATAAAATTTCAGACACAGGCTTGAAGAAATTATCTAATGGATTAAGCAACAGTAAACAAATAAACCATCTAATCCTAAATTTAGAGTAGTTAATTAAGAAATTAAAATATATTTTTGAACAAAATTTAATGAATTAATACAGGAATAACTAAATAAAAAGCTAAGGAGTATCTGATACAGCTTTAATTTTTAACAAATTTTTAAATTTGTCAATTCTTACGTTTAATATTGGGTAAAATAATTAATAATTAATTAAATGTGAAAAATTTTTATCTATTTTGATGAATAATTTTTAAAAATAAAGCTAATTTATAAATATAAATTTATTTAAAATATTTTGATTTAAATAAAAAGATTCAACTAAATTAATCAAGAAGGCATTAAAGATTTAGCTTTTTATATTGGATAGCATAAAAAAATTCAAACTTTAACACTCTATTTATAGTAATTTATGTTTAAATTAATTACAAAAAATTTCAAATCTTTTTGATAAAAATCTAATTTTATTTAATTAATTAATTAATTATGAATCGAATTATTAAATGTATCTATTTTCTTTTAATTTAATAGCGAACTTGAGATAGGTGATAGGGGTGCTACATTTCTAGGTGAGAACTTAAACTAAAGCAAAAACTTAAAATCTCTCACACTTGATCTTTCGTAAAATTTAAAAAACATAAATAAATTCTTTTATTTCTAAATTGTCCTAAAATGAAAAAATGAAATATAAAAAAGATTTTGTCAGATTCAAGATTTAGGAATATTTAATCTAAGTAAATCCCTAACATTGTGTAAAAATCTTACATAATTATCTCTTATATTAAGGTAAATTAAGTTCTTTTTGATAGATAAAACGTTTATTTAAATATAAAAAATATCCTACTTAAAAAAATATATTTCATAAAAAGTAGAAGTAAATTAAATTATTTTTTGCAAAAGCAATTTATTTTTGCTAACTAACTCAATAAAATTATTTAGAAGTTATTTATGGAAATCTAAAGAAATAAATTGAATCATGATAAATGTCATATTATTTAAATAGAAAGGAATTTGGTAATAAACAAATTAAATAACTTCAACATACTTTTTCAATTTCTACTATCAAGTATTTTATAAGAATCTACTTTTTAAATTGTTTTAAATGATTTGTTTTGATTTTTTACAATTTCTACCAAAAAAATTTTTCAATACAAGCAAATTGGTTGATTGATTGATAAATTATTTGAGTGGATTTCTTTAAATGAAAATAATTTGATATAGATTTTAAAAGAACTTCTTTTTTTTATTATAAATATAAACAAAAATGAATGGAAATTATGAATGCAAAGTTCAAAGTTTTATTTAAAAATTAGCCATATTGAATAACTGTTTTATTTGAGTTGTTTAACTTATTAATTGTATTGTTTTTCTTTTCATAAATAAAATTAACTACAAAAGTTTTTTAAAAATTACAGAATTAAATATTTAATTAATTTATGTATTCGAAAACAGATTCAATAAATTCGGCGATGAAGGAATATCTGGTATTGCTTAAGCTTTAGCATAATCTAAAAATCTGAAGTTTTTGGAGCTCTATTTATGGTATATATAAATATTAATTAATGTGCATTAATCATCATTTTTAATCTAAATAAAAAGCTTTAACTATAATATCTCTGATTAGGGTATATTAGATTTAGGCAAGCAATTAAAATAGAATAAAAGTCTCTTGATGCTTGTTCTTGAATTTAAGTAAGATCAATTATTATTTTTAATAAAAACTCAAGCAAGCAAGCAAACAAACAATAAAACAAATTTGATTGATTTAATTTAAATAATATTTAAATTTTATTTTATTTATCTAATTTTGATTAAATAATTAATACTTGTAGCAAGAATAATGGAGAATAATTTCTGCTTAAAAAACTGTATAAGATAGAAAGGTTATCTTTCTTAAAGATGTTAGTATATTGAATATTTATTTATTATGGCTTTTAATGCTAAATAGCAGCGCTTAATCTTTTTTACTATAAAATATCTGATAAAAGTTTTTTAAGCCTTTTATTTTGTGAGAAATATAAATGGTTGTTTCAAAGTACTAAAAAGAATCAGCTTTCTAATAACACTTAAATAAATTCATCTAAAAATTATTTTTTTAAAATATCTAAGCAAATAAAATTTAATGTAATTTAACTCTAAGCAAAAGTTTATTTAGATAATTTCTAGTTCCTCTTAAATGATTCATTAGTTTATATATCTATCTATCTATTTATCTATCTATATATATTTATTTATCTGTCAGCTATTTTTGAAATCATATCTTTTCTTGAGTAAAAAATTATTATTCAGCAAAGAAGTAACTCAAAATTCATTGTAACTAGCTAAAAATAGTTTAAATTGTTTTGATGTGTATTTTTTTTGATAAATTTTAAAATATGCATAATTTGTTTTAAATGCGGTTTCATGTTGTTATTATTAAGTTTAATAAGAAAACAAGCACAAAAGTAATACCAAGAGCGTAAATTAAATAGTTTTAGAATTATTTATGTTTAAGTAATTATAAATTAAATTTGCTGACTTAGATTTTTAAATAGTTCTACTCCAAAAAAAAATCAGTAAAGCTTTATAAAAAATTTATATATTATTACTAGCAAAAAATAAAATAAAGAAAACATATAATCTATCTATCTATTTATCTATCTTACACTATTTTAGATTTATGCTAGCAAAAGCTTGCAAATTAAATGATAAAAAAAAGTGAAATCAATTACAAATTTTGATTTATTAATAAATTAATTATTTAAATGTTTATTTTTTGTTTGATCACAAATTTATTATCAAAAAAAAATAAAAAATTTTTATATCTCTCACCTCCTCTGATTTTGATTGCCACTTACTTATACTATTCAAATCAATTTTAAAATGAGAAGATATCAAACAATTTCTTCACCAAAATAATTTATTTTTTTGCAAATAAAATTGTTCCAAATAAAACGTTATTAAAAGAAGTAATAATATTTTTAAAATACCTATTTTCTTATAAATAAAATCTAGTATTTTAGAAGATAAAACCAGTATAACTAATTATGATGAATAATTAAAAAATCTGAAACAAAAAAGATAATCAGAAAAACTCAATAAATGAATACATAGATAGATAGATACATAATCAATTACATATAGAAGGTTTAACCAGCTAATAAATAGGATACAAGTAAACAAAAATAATTGAAATCTGACTCATTTGGAAAAGTCAATCAATAGAAAACTGGTACATTTGCAAAAAATTTATCATATTTGCACGCATAAATAAATAAATGTATATTGACTGGTAAATATAATTACAATTAAAATTTTGTTTGCAAAAAAATTTGAGCACTAAAAATTATAAGGATTAGTGATCGTATGAATAAATGATTTAATATAAACTATAAAATAATACAAATAATTAGAAAAATGTTCAAAATATTATATTCGCAAATATTTATTTATTTATTATTAGAAATATTGTAATTAAATGATCAATATTTATTTATTTATTTATTTGTAGATTGAGAGAGATGAATTATAGATTGATTGATTGATTTATTTATTTATAATGAATATATTTATTTCTTTCGAAATTATAATTAAGGTGAATTTATTTATTTATTTATTTGTTTGTTTATAAGTTATTATAAATTAAATTTTTGTTATTATTTTGGTTGTTTGTTTATTAGTTAGTTAGTTATTAAGTTATTTAGTATGTAAGAAAATTAGATATTTTTCAAATAAATAAAAAGGAGATTCCAAAAAATTTCAAGCGTGCTAAGCATTTTTCTGCGTTTATTTATTTGATTAAGTATTATTTTTGCTTGTTATATCTGTATCGAAATTCTCTTTGCTTGCTTAGAGTTTAGATTTCTTTTTTTCTTTATGGTGATGATTATGGTGATTATTATGATTATTACTACCGTTTTGGTTATGGTGATTTTAATTATTAGCATTGTTTTCTTTTTTATCATTTTCTTCTTCTGATTCATAGTCACTGCTATTATCACATGAAGATACGTTTTCTTGCTTTTCTTCAACTACTATATCTTAAATATCCTTTTATTACTAATTGCAACCCATTCTCATGACATCGCAGAATCCCTCGAAATTTAAATTACCTTTTTTGTCCAAGTAAGGACTTATTTCTACCATAATGGCATCTATATCTTCAGGTGGAAGTTTTCTTCCTTCTCTAGCAAAGACCTTTTTGTTTAAAAAAATATTTTTTGTCATTTTTACTTAATTTAATATCAAAATATTGAAAAATCCATAATAACATAATAACGCATTTTCTTAGCATAGTTTTAATTAAAATAACATTGCAAGTAAAAATTAATTTTAAATGAGCCTTGTTTGTTTTGGATTCTTAACATACTCTCTTTTGAATAAGCTAAGAATAATTAAAAAATAAATTAATTGATTGGTTACATCCATGATATCATCCTTGCTAATTGAATTAGTTTCAGATGCATCCATGTATTTAAAAGCTTTTTAGAGCTTTTAAGTGTTGAGATAGTACTGCTCGTCAAGTGTAGCAGCGAGAAATTCAGAATAGTTGATTTTTTTAATGGCTTCTTTAATAGTTTGGTAGTTTTTGTAGGTTTTATTGGTAGGAGATATCGGTTCTAGGTTGCTTTAGTTAGATTTAGATATTGTTTGTACAAGGTCTTCGATTGCTTTTTCATCTTTGAATTGCTCTCCTTCTAAATTCAATCTTTTTACTACTTCTTTTATGTCTTAAACAGTGATGAAACCGTTGCCGTTTTTGTCTATTAAGGCAAAAATATCTTTAGGTGTCATATTTTCATTACTCTCCATTTGCTTAACTATGATTTGCAACACTTCTCTTTTGAACATGCAAGACTGCTTAAAATTCAATAGTCTATCAAGAACCAATTGCTTCGATCCCCTCTAACGAGGCAGAGCAATCGTGCCTAAGGTATTTTTACGCAATCTTTTGAACCAAGAGTGATTCATGGCTTCTGGTAATGTAATGCGCTTTTCTGTATTGACAACAAGCATTTTTTCTATGAGCTCACGAGCATCTTTGGAAACAATCTTCCAGCTGGCAGCATCAAATGCGAATTTACCTTCCTGAATACTCTTCATATCATAGAAAGGCAATTCACCACTTATTAAAGCAAACATCATGCATCCCTAATAAGTAATTAAGAAAGTATTTACGATAAATTTGAATATTTAAGCAAAAAGAGTATTAAATTAATTTAAAGTCAGTAATAAATAGCTTATTAAAATAGGATGAACATAATAAAGAAATTAATAGATCCATTAATTTATTTATTAATTAATTCATTCATTCATTCATATATTCGTAGATAAATTACCAAAGACCAAACGTCGCATTCTTTATCGTATTTGCAGTGGAGGAGCACTTCTGGGGCTTTTAATTATCAAAAAATAGATTAAATGAAAGGATTTCAAATGTTATTTATGCTTGCTTGCTAACTAGCTAGCTTGCACTTGTTTGCTTCCAACAAGAATGCATGCTAGCTAGCTTGCTTGCTTGTTTGGTTGTTTGCTTACCCATGTAATTGAAGGAACCTACTTTGGTGTGTCTTCTCTTCTATTTGTCATGAACCTTTTTGGAAAGACCAAAATCAATAATCTTTATGTCTGAAGTAGCAGGATTGGTTGTTGAAAAGATGACATTTTCTAATTTCAAATCGCGATGAACAATGTTATTATTGTGCATGTAATTAACAGCCCAAAAAAGCTTTTGCATGATTTTTGCCACAGCAAATTCATTGTTATTCTGCGAATAAATTAGCTCTTTCAGCGTACCTCCTGCACAGTACTCCATAACTAAATAAATGTTTTCTTTGTCCATGTAAGTTTCTAAAAATTTGCAAATGTTTGGATGATCCAATGATTTTATAATATCTACTTCTCTTTTCAAATAATGCTAAGGAATCCCCTGAACACTCTCCTTTTGAATCGTCTTTATAGCTACCCTTTTGTCAGGATCATTCAATGGTATTCCCAAAGTTACGCTTCCAAACGATCCTGACCCTAATTTTCTCTCAAATTTGTAGAAGTAATGAATATTTTCGATGGAGGCTATAGTTTACTCTCGCTATTTATTGTCCTTTATTGAAGGGTCATCCCAAAATTTATCTTCTGCCAAGTACGCGTTCGGTTTTCTAACCTTATTAGGGTCTTTCTATTCCTTTTTTTACTTCGCGTTTGTGCAACCCATTTATAATTTATCAATTAATTGGTTGATTCTACTTAAACAAATTATCTTTATTTTATTTTAATTAATTTCTTCTCTTAATATTATAGGCCGATTATTTATTTCTTTTAATTATTAATTTTTGCAATTTATCAATTCTATCAAAAAATAATCATACATACGCTCACCCAATTGCTCAATCAATCAATCACTCACTCACTTATTTAATTAGTTATTATTTATACATTCAAAGAAAGCAATCAAAATAATTTAATATAATATAATCCAATCTAATACAACAATTTTAATTTCTGTTTAATTGCTCAAATCCTATACAAAACCATACAAAAAATATATAAAAAGAAATTAGAGCTCATAAAGTAAATTATTTAGATAATTATCATTTGTTTTGGATATCTTAAACTTGTACTGGTTCTATTTTTTGCTTTCTTTTATCTATTTGATATAAATATAATATTTACAATTAATTAAATAGTACTCAATAACGCAAAAGAGGAATGACTAAATTTTTAAATCTAAAATTATGAAGCTCATACTCGGAGCAATATTTTATTAAAGTTGCATAAATTGCTTAGCTTTAATAAACAAATGACTTATTTGCAGATGCTTATGAAAGCTAAATTGACAATTATAACTTTATAAAAATAAATTTGTGTCCATCGTATTTATTATGCAAGTAAAAAAATCTCTGAGAAAGTAATAAAATCTATGATTTTTGTTACAAAAGTTGCTATTTTAAGACATTATTAAGCTTACTTTAAATACCACCCTTTAAAAATTTAGTCATTAATTATCAAAAATAATAAATAACATACCTGCGATTTCATTAGTTTCCTTCTAGAATGATCTCACTGAAAGATTATTTATACTAATATTTTAAGCGTAGAGTCTTGCTTTATTAGCCAGTTCTGTATCTTTCTTTACTAACTCTCTAAAATCCTTTTTCAAAGCATAATTGAAGTGGAGAAAGCAGCCTATAATTGTGCCTATTCTGAAGGTATTCTTCATAGGGCTATAGGGTTTCCAAATATAATATAAATTCAATAAAGTAGGAACAAATATGAATGCTAGCGCGGACCTTCTAGAATATGTAAAATCTTCCAATAATACATTATTCTTAAATATGTTGTATAAATTGATTTCATTCTATTTTTAATTGACATAATCCTTGTAAAGCTTCTTAAAAGCAGACTCTCTTTCTTCTTGCTTTTATAAATTCAGCTAATCTTTATTTTGCTACTCCTTTTTTTAATTCAAGTCTTCCATTTATCTATTTGATTTACAATTTGAAAATAAGTAAGTAGTCTTGATATTTTTTTCTTCTTACCTTCGTATAAAACTAATTCAAACAAATTAATATCTGACGAGATATAATTTCAGAATATCAAAGTAATAAATACTAAAATATATCTTTCGATAAACTATTTTTTTTTAGCGTATCAATTAAATAAAATAATTCTTCATCTTAATAAATAAAATCCACAAAAATGTAAAATAAATGAAATATCTCATAATTTTTTCTTCATTTTTACAAAAATGTTATTCATATATAACAGTTATAGTTAGATAGATTCTAATAATTTTTTTTAGATTTTTCAAAATAATACTTAATATTTATTTCTTTTTATTGAAATAGATTATAAAATATAAAAAAACTTGATAAAAGCTCAAATTTAATTTATTTATCAGTGAAAACAATAAATAAATAAACATAATTTTTTATATTTTTGAACTACTATTAAAGCATGCAGGTATGAATATCTTCTTTACATTTTACGTTTATCATTTTTTTAGTTTATTTTTTACTATAATTGTTACCATTATTAAAAGAACCAATCAAAGATATAATAAATAAAATTTATAGTAGATTAAGAGGATTTTAATCTTATAAATATCATTTTTATTGCTGATTATTAAGTTGAAGAATATTTATTATCATCTTCATTAGTATTAAGGTTAATTTGGAAATTTTACTTATAATTAATATTAGTTGATAATATGTATGATGATTGTTAATGGGGAATTACTGTTAACTTCTTTAAGCTTATTTATTGTTGAATTATTTTATTTATTTATTTATTGTTGAATTATTTTATTTATTTATTAGATAATGTAATATGTTTTTAATTACATTTTTGTTTTGTTTTGTTTGCTTGTTTGTTTGTTGTTAGTTTATTTTTTTAACTTTTTTGAAAAATTTTAAAAATTATTTTTGTAATTAAATAATGAATTTCATTCAATTTATATAAAATAGATTTTCACTAAATATTTTAAATTCTCCTTTTTCAAAAGTGTAAAATCCCATTTGATATTTAAATTCTTACATTTTAATTTTTTCTTGTTCATATTAATCTTCATCATTTTCTTCGGAGGTTAGATTTCTCTTGACAACAACACTGACTTTTTGTGGGTTTATGTACATTTAGTTGGTTATCTAATCTTATTTTAGCAATTCAAGAGCTTTTTCAATTGCTTAAACTGAAAAATTGTCTAAACTTAGACAGTATATATTTTAAAAGTCTACATTCATATGATAGCATTCTTTGCTTAGAATATGTGTAAGCTCTTCGCTTGCTAAAAATCTATCGTCTTTAAAATCAATTAGATTTCTAACTTTAAAGTAGTCTCTCTTGCTTTATATAAAGCTAACTCTTGTAAATTTTTATTACACTTCCTCTAAATATTCTTTTACAACTGTATCAAACTATTTGCTTATGTTTAATTTATGCTAAACATGGTGCTATGCTGCTGTTTTCTTCTTTTTCTTTTAGTTATTTGATTCATCTTCATCCTTAGAAGGTGTTTTATGATGAAGATGAGCATAAGATTCATTTTCTACGTAAAAAGCATTAACTTCATCTATAATCACAATTCTTATTGATTTATTTTTAGTTAGGATGTGCTTTATTGCTCTTAAATTTACACAAAATTCTATCTAAGAGTGGCTCTCAATTACATGTAATTTTTAAAGACAATTTTCACTTATTGTTTCAAACAGTGTTTCTAAACTTTAACTATTTACTTGACTTAAATTCAAAAGTTCTTAAGATTGTGTTTAATTCTGCTTTAAACTATGAATTTAGAATAATTTATTTTTGATCATTTGTTTAATTAGCTTATAGTTAAACTGTTGAGTGTTATCATAAAGCAATATTTCCGGCGCTATTTGACTTTATTCTTAATTATCTTTACATGCTTAATCTCTCAGAATCTCAGAAATCATAAAACTAAGCAATTAGTTTTTTTCTGTTGTTTATGAATGGTGTATTTCTAAAACACTTCTTTCTACTAATTAGTGCTTCTAAAAGAAAAACGCATTAAAGCACTCATATTTTTCTAGCAATTCATATTCTGTTGTCTGTAATCTGTTTTCTGGTAAGTTTTAACTCTAACTTACTTTCTGGCTTACTAAATAAATATCTTTGCCAAATGAAAATTTGAATTTATTTTTGTGCCTCATCAAATCATAAAGGGATTCATCACATAATAATAAGTCTTTAACAAACTGAGGTATTACTAACTAATTTTCTTATTCTACAGGAGTTTCTTAATCTTAGCCACAATAATTGTTGGGTAAGTTATCAGCTTCAAAGTCATTAGGAATATAACTCGCAGCTTAAATGAAAGGATAATTTGTTGTAGACTACATATCTTTGCTCAAATTTTAATTATTTATAAGTAAACTAAACAAGTTTTTGTTATTTATTCTACTATCATTTTCTTTGGAATACGGATTATTATTTTAAGTTGAATTTTAATCCTCATCTTCCTCCTCCATTATAGTATTTGGATTTATTCTTCCAGCCATTTCTTTCAATTTGATGAAGTTTAAAATTGACTTATTTGTCTGATGATATTTTATCAGATTAAGCTTTTGCTTATTTCAATTAAAATTCTTTAAGGCTTTTAATTAATTAATTGTGGAATATATATATATATATATCTTTTTAAGGATAAAATCAAACAATTATATTTCTTAAATGTTACTTCAATTAAACGAATAATAAATTTTATATTGATGTTATACGATTAATTAAATATTCTTTTTGCGCTTATTTTCAGAGTTTTTAAATTAATAAGATTTAAATTAATGATTAAAAATAAACTTTAAATAATAAATTAAATTATAAATGTTTTTTTCTACATATTTAACAAAAATATTAAAAAATCAAAAAAATTTTTTTCTTTATTTAATTTTGATGATAAATAATATCTTTAAATAAAACATGAATTTTTATTACAAAAGATTTATAAAAAAGATTTAAATTAAAAATTATTTTTTAATTTTATTTGAAAATATCGTTTTTAATGAATTAATTAATTCAAAAAAATGATATTTTGCTTACAAACATTTATTAAAAAAAGACAAATAAAATTTTAAAAATATTTTTTAATTTCATAAAACTTTAAATTAATATTTAACAAGATATTTCGACTTTTTACATTATTAATGGAGAATTTCCATCTTTTATCTATCATGGTATTAAGCGAATGGCATTATGTATTTTAAATGCTTTATGGATTTACTTTCAAATATGCATTTTAGGAATTCTTTGGTTAGTTTGTATTCTTGTATATTATTAAAGCTATTAAATTATAACTCTAGCTAGTTTAGTCGTTTGAATTTTGATAAAGATTATCCAAATTCTTCATAGCACGATTAATTCAACTTATTTTCTTTTAGACTAATTTATAAACTTTCTAATTGTTCATTTTATGAAAAAACTTAAAAGAACTTAACCAAATCTTCATTTTCAATTTCATTATCTTCAAAATTTAATTTCAGTTTTTTTATCTACAGATTTTATAAAGTTTGACCTAATTCGTTTAAATTTGTATTAATACTATTTGCCTCAGCATTGATTTCTAATTATTGTAGATGAATAACACTCGTTATAAAATTAATTAACTTTGATAACTTTTAAGAACCTAGTTTATTTCCTCTTAAGTGCAGAGACAAAGAATTTAAACTTGCAAGCTATTCTGGTATTTAATACTATTCAGGTTATAAATTTTCATTAATTTAATTCCATTTTAACTCAAAATCAATATTTTTCAACTATTTACACTAAATTGTATTCAAGATTAACCTAATTAATCCTATTCCATTAAGCTAAGTCCAACCAAGAAATAATTTTAAGCTTTCCAAGTGTTTAAGATTAGAAAAATTAATTTGCTCTATCCCTGAATTCCCCAAATTATTCTATTACAGATTTAACTCTAAATATTGAAGATTAGCTAGTTAGCAAATACTTTCTGAGGTTTGCTTAAGATATTCTGGAGTAAGAGAAATTTTCTATAAGTTTAGTTGCAAAAATTGTAATTAATTTAAAGTTGAAATTGACTAAGTGATTTTTGTAATTCCAATACCAATTTTTTCGTTTTAAGATAAATCTATTTACAATTTTTAAAGCTATTTAAGATTTTCGAAACCATTAAAACATTCTGAAAACTTGGAGCTCATCTGATTACTTGCAAACCCAAGAGTCAGTGATTCAAGTTTTTAGCAGGTAGAGATGCTTTTCATAAAAAGCTTAGGAGATTCATCTTACATGTTGTTAATTCCAAAATCTAGATTAATATTTTTGAGGTGTTCTTTAGAAGCGTCTATAGCTGTAGCAAATTCAATATGAGATTCAGTTGATCCAAAATCATTTCTTCTAAAAACCAATGCTAGTGATTCTAATTTACAGCAATTTTATAAGCCTTTTCCAACCTCTTGTAGCCCGATATCCTTAATGCTTTAATTTTAAAAGCACTTTTCTATTGCTTTTACATTTATGCATTTACATATAAAATCTGCGAATTATTTTCCTGCCTAAGAATTTCTCCTATTCTTATAAAGCTATTAGGTATCTTAAAATGTTTCTACTATACTGAAATCTTTAACTAAATATGAATCATATTAATTGATTTTAGTAGGATTATAATTATTAAAGAAAAGATGATTATCCATGTTTTTTATTTATAAATAATACAGAATATTTATTATAATTTGTTTTTCAATTCTTGTAATAATAAATTAATTGTTAATTAGTTTACCAAAATATTTAAATGAAAAAAAGATAATCAATAATACAAACTAAAAAACCTCATTTCAATCTTCTATGAAATTATTAATTAAAAAATCACATCTGAAAAAAAATAAATAATGAAATATTTGACTGTCTGTCACCCATAAATATAAAATATCTATTACTAATTTCTTATAAATCCCAACAGGAAAAAAATGCAAATCCTAATTAAATATTACGAATCTGATATTCAATTTATTTTATAAATTTTATTGTAGACAACAGGCTCGAAAAAAAAAATGGCGTTTATATAAATATTTATTATTATTGAATAAATAGAATATAATCTAAGTAAACCAAATTACTTTATTTATTTATTTATTTTATTCAGAATAACTTATTTTTAGGTTGTGTTGATTTTGCTTATTTTTAAAATTGAAAAAGCATATTTCATATATTTTGTAAATAAAAAATGTCAGAAAATAAATTGTAACTCAACAGAAAATTAAAACATAATATTTCCAAAAAATTAAACATGTAACTAAAAAACATACTAATATAGGATGAATGACATAAAATATATTATATTTTAATTTATTCTAAATGATATTTTATTTTATTTAATTGATTTAATTTACTTAAAATTTCAAACATTTGTTTTGCTTTAAAAATTAAAATGTTTGAAAATGAATTTTTACATATTTATGGAGGAGTGAGTGAGGACATCAAAATAGTGTTTATTATTAGCTGATATAAAGCTTGTCAAATATACTATTACTCAAAAACATTTAAATTCTGCTAAGTGAGGTGCTTTTAAGCATTCTTTTAAACAAATTTATTCAATTATATTCTAAAACTTTTTAAAAGAATAATAGTAAAATTGGTTAATTGTTTTTGATTTAAATATTTTTTTGAACATCATTTATAGAGAATTAATGTCTTAATATTATTAGATTCTGTCCATTTTAAAGTTTAAAATTTTCAGATTTTTAAAATTCGCTAATTACATTCCTAAATCATTTAGACAAGATTCTTTAAAGTTATTTTAGCTTATATCTAAAAATAATTGATAAATTGAATTATTTTAAGAGCTTATGGATAATAAGTCCAGAATATCCTTATCATTTAGATTCGATTCTTCAATATTCAAAGAGAGTTTTGATATTTTCAATTTTTAGATACCTTATCCTATTAACTTAGTATCTCCTGACAAAGGATTATCTTATAAATGTAAAGATAAATCCTATAAAAATGGGATTTAATTTATGAAATCTAATATATCCTTTATGCATTAACAGTTTACTTAACTGCTCTTTAAATTTATGTTTATCTTTTCAACCTTTGATTTTGATAAGTCTAAAGTTTAAGTCAATTTAACAGATTAGATTTAGTTCCATTTTAGATCTAAATCAATAATTTTTAAAGATTAACATTACAGAATACCTTCAATTAGTAAAGCACAGGTCTAATCATTTATTTATGTCCATCCCAAGTCCAACGTAAGCTCCTTTAGTTTACTTAACGTTTTAATTTTTTAAGTTATAACTTGAATGCAACTGTAGCAAATAGCATTTTCTTAAAGAACTAAATGCATTTTTTCAAGCTTGTAGAGTTTATAAATGTTTTCAAAGATATTTTAAACTTAATTCATATTTAGATTGGTTTTTCTTAAATTTAAATGAAATTATTATAAAGAATCAAGTTAAAATATTTACTAACATATTAGAATTAATGAATCTTATATGTTTTCGTTGAAGGATAAATCCAAATTTAGATTTTTTAAGCTTTTAAGATTAGAAATATTTTAAAAACCTTCAAAAATTTCAACCTACAAACCATTATTTCTGAAAGAAATATCTAAATTCTCAAGTTATAAACATTTGCTCACAGATTAGATCAAACTTTTAGAGAAATATCCATTAAATGAGTTATTTGTGAAATTGAATTAAATAGACTTTAAAGTAGTTTGCAGCTATTATTAAATCGCAGAAGCTAGATTATTTGACTTTAGCTGAAAAGAAGCATAATTAAAACTTAAATCTAGTACTAAAATTTACAATTATTTGCACTTACTTATAGCTCCTCCTATCTCTTAAATTTAAGAATCAGTAAGCCCTCCGCCTATTATTTTAAAATCTATAAATTTATATTTATTTGACTGCATAGTCTTATTTTTTAATTTCTCTATTTCAAGTTTTGAAGAGCATCCAAAAGAATAATGTTATTTTGACAAATTTATATAGCATTCTTAATTTGAGAGTAAAATTTTTTCACCAAATAAGGATATTTCTTATTAGTTTTTTAGATTTTGGCTTTTCATAATTTATTATTATTTGTATTTTCTTTTTTGATCTAAATTAATGTTTATAAATTAAATAAAGTATATCTTAAAGCTTAGTTGCTCTAAAGTTTCTTATGAATTTTGATAAGATATTAATTATTCTATTAACATTCTTTTATTTATTTATCTCAACTTGTGATATAACATTTTCTATAAAATTTAAGATATTATTTAAAATTTAAAAAGTGATAATTCAAGCATCTGAAATAAATTTTGATATTAAATTCATATATTTTAATTTTGGTTTTACATTAAATAAAATATTGCATTTCTTATTTTCATTTTTTAGATTAATAATTTAAGAAAATAGATTTGATGGCTGTAAAGCATAAAAAAACATTCTAATTAATAAAATATTGCATAATATATATTTAAGAAAACAAACATTTAGTAATTAAAATTTATATTATCAAAATAGTAAATAATTAAATCAAAATTGTGCATTCCATGTCTCGAAATCTTTGTATTTAACATCGAACCCGCTTGTAAGCTATGTTTACCTGAACTGTTGCTAATTTGAGATTGCCTTTTTAAATTTTAAATAAACATAATTTTTTTAAATTTATCTATCTATCTATACTTTAATTTTGTGAGAAAATTAGTTTTGATTTTGCAATAAAATAAATAATACTATTAAAAATAATTACAGAAATTAAGCTTTTTGAATCTTCTGAACTCTCAAACATCATACAAAAGTCTTAGAATGTAAGATTTTCAGAAGTTATATGAGCAGAATCAAACAGCTTTTCAATGTCAAAAAGTAGACCAAATTCATTTTTGATAGTATTTATTATAACTTCTTTACTGATAACTCCTGTTCTATCAAAGTTACCTCCAAGAGCTACAAAAGCATCAACTATTTTAATGTGATAAATTAGATTAATTTTTGATTAAAATATTATTTTTTTTTATTTAAAATTGCAGCTAAGATTTAATGCATTGAATTCTATTTCTAAAGCAATTACTTTTATTGAAAATTTTACTTGAAATTAGCTTTTAAATAATTTTTTGATTTCAACATTTAAATTAACTTGATTTAAATAAAGCTTATTTATCTGTATGTAAATAGATTAAATTAAAATTTTTTAATGATAAATCTACACTTTTAATAAAAAAGCAAAAGAGAAAACAATTAAATAAATTTGTTGAAAATGTAAATTTATGTTTTTATTTATGGTACTATCAAATCTAAAAAAATATTTTCAAGTAAGTAAATGTCAATTATTAGTGTAGTCAAAACAAATTTATTTATTTGTTTGTTTGTTTGTTTAAAACTCAATAAAAAATAGAAATAAATCATGTATTAAAACGTATTTTTTAAATTAAATTTATAAGCTTACTGTATTCAATATTTTATGCTTCTTCTTCTTCAGCAGCAAGTCTCTTCTTTATTTTACTGTAAATTTCACAGCAAGCTATGAACTCTATTGTTTATTGTTGTCTGTCTCTTTCTTAAAGTTCATCATTTACATACTTTTTGATATCATTTGCAGGCATGAATTCCATAACTAATAATACGATTATGTAAAGATTAATTAGGATTTATTATCAGTAAGCTTTACTATTGAGGAATAAAAATGAAACAAATAACGAAGAAATTACATTTAAATACATCATCTAACTCATATTTCATGATAAAGCCTTTATCTTGCAAATCAAATTTAGAAAAAACTGCTTTTAGCTTTTCAATCTCAAATCTTTCCAATCCAGTAGCTATTTTTAAAGAATGACATGTTTGTTAATAAATGATAATTAAAAAATATGTTCATCGATCAATCGATCGCTTAGATCAAGAACATAATTTTTCTAATAAACTATTATAATAATAAAGAAATATCCTACTTCCTATAATCAGACTATAATCATCTGTATTTTGGAGGGCTCCTCTTTTTTTTTAAGCTACGTTCTATTATTTTAGTATAGAAGCTTTAGGACCTGAACTAGGAGTTGTTATACTAATATTGTTTTGATTAAATGACATAAAAAATACAATTTTTTACTATTTTGATTTTTTTAAATGTTATGGTTTATAATATTTTGTTTGGTGATTGGAAATGTAAATTTATAAACAATTTTTAATCAAAGCAAAAAAAATCAAATAATCAAATGTATTTTTCATGCTATCGTCTTTTTGAAGTCTTTACTTCAATTATTTAAATGAATTAACGATATATTAGTTATCAGCTAAATCCAAAAAAAAAAAAATCTTAATAATTCATAATTCAAACATATTTAAATATAATTAAAATATTTCATTTGATAATTATTGCTATTTTAAATATTATTTAAGGTAAGAATATAGATAAAAAATTAAACAAAGCTTTAAACTATTTAGTCTGCTTCATTTTTTAAAGGAAGTATTTTTTCTAATTTAGTTTTTAAAATTAATTTTTGAAAAAATTTCTGTAATTCAATTCTTTATGTTGTAAGATTACTTACTTATATTTACAAACAACTTAATCTTAAATAGGTCTATCTATAATTAAAAAAGTAAATTAAGTTAAAGCAAAAATATTTTTTTATCATATTTTGCAAGCTTCAAAAATAGGAGGTTAGTTAGAGAAACTTAATATTTTAAATTTATATTATTACTAATTTGCAAATAAAATGGTTTTAAAAAGTATTTATTTAATTATGAAATTTTAAATTTTTATTTTTAAAATTTAAATTACATTTTTTATGATTTTTTAAAGTTTCTTAAAATAGATTTAAATTAAATACTTTTTGTTTAATTTCATATTAATTGTTTTATTTTTATGTGATAAATTAGAACAAATATATAAATGAATAAATATCCTGACTTATTCATTCATTTATTAATTTTTTGATTACTAATAAATACCATAAATAATAACATTGAAGAATTTAAAAATAATATTTTAAATACAAGAAAATTTTGGTAAAGTTAAAAATAAATATCAAAAATATACCCCTTTGTTACATTCTTTAATAAGAAGAATACACATAATATTTTGGTTGTGTTTGTTTTTTATTTGGTGTGACAATTTAAAAATTATTTTTTCTTTGTATTTTAAAAAATAAATATTTTAAGTAAATAGTTATAAGCTTATGAATTTAATTATTAATATTAGTTTTAGAATTTTAAAATTGTATTGAAATTGAAGATAAAATAATCATTCCATTTTTTTTAAAAAAAATTATTTATTTATTTGTTTATTAAATAATAATATTTAAAATTAAAGAAGTTATCTTTTAAATTCTAAAATATTGGTTTTGTTTGTTTTAAATTAAAAAATGAATTTAATTTTTATCATAGTTTATTTAAGCTTGCTTAGCTTTTAATTTATTTAAATTTAAATGATTGTTACATTAAAATAAAGAATTATAGATTAGAATAGTGATAAGAGAATGATATTTTAATTAGGGTTAGTGGTTTAAAATAGATTGATTAGCAATTAATTGATTGTTAAATATTGATCAAAGTATTGTGTGGTTAATTTGTATTTGTTCTTTCTAGAGTAAATCAATTATTACAATTATTGAAAATGAGATTTTGGTTATTTAATAAATTAGATATTTACTCATAATTAACATTGAAAACTCTAAAAAAAGCGAAACTCACTAATAAAATTATCAGTATTTGTATTTTTCTCTAGTAATTGCTAATGGTGATGATCTTAATAATATTTTGATGATGATTTCAATTTTAATTGAGTTGCATCACTTTGATGTTAATAATATTAATTAATTAACTATTTTTAAAATATCACCTTAATAACTAATTAATTAATTAATCAATTTTTTAATTAGTAAATATATTGTGAGATAAAGTTTGTGAATACATACAATATATTGTTCTAAGTAATAAGATATATTTCATAGATCGATATATACTAAGATATCCTTCATTATACATTATAAAGTATAACAGTCAAAATAGGTTGATTTAAGTTATACAGTTAGTTAATAATTCGAAGCTCAGCTGCATCTTTTTAGATTAGCATCAATGATAAAAAGATCTAACTCTGAAACTAACAGCAACACATCTTTTCGAGCGAAGGAAGCTTTAGATCAGTAGTAAGCACATGATATTGAATAAAGCTTCTATAAGCAGAAAACTAGCCCTGAAAGGAGCAAAAAATCTAGCAAGATAAACTCTTCATTCGTAGAATATTTAATTCGGGATATAGATAATAAAGAAGGTATAAATAAAATACTTAGTCAAGATGGATCTGTAGGCAATAAAGAAAAAAGAATTATTTAAAAGGAATAATTGCCAAGTAGAAAGAGAGAAATAAGAGCAGAGAGCGCTAATTCGTACAATTAAAATAATAAGGAGATAGATAGAAATGGCAACAATAATTAATGGAATATAAATGGAATGAGTAATTTGAACAGTAACCAAAATTAAACTCATTAATCAATAGAAAAGAAGCAGGAATAAAATGCTTATATGAATGGCAAGTGCGTATACAAAATATTTCCAAACATACAATTAAAACTACCAATGATATCTCAAAACAATAATAATAATAGTCATACTTATCAAAATATTTAGAATTAAAATAATTCTGTTAATATCAACTCTGCAATAAGACCTTATTAATTGGGGTATTCTATTGACCATAATTATTATCCATAACATGTAGTAGGACATAGGCAAGGTATAAAAACTTAGTAGTCTCCTAGAGGCTAGATTTCTCCATATTAAAATAATAATAGTCAATGCTAAAATACAAATAATCATAGCTATATTACCAAGAAGTATATAGACAAGTCATTTGAGGAAATAGTTGGAAGAGTCAATACAGAAATGAGCTAGGCAGGAAAAGTAAAGTCAAAATCTATTACCGAATCAAATAATGATCCTCATTATTCCGCTTCTAAATCGATTAATGGACTTATTAATTAAACTGAAATATCAGATTTATAGCCACAAAATGCCTTTTTTTAGTAGAATTTTTCTAATCATAAATCTGTAAATTCTTAAAATTATAAAAGGAAAATTCTTCTCAAATTAAAATCTAGCCAATAGACTAAAAATAATTACTAGAATACACAAAGCTCAAATTACACTGAATAATCATCATCAGGGATTGCAAGTAGCTACTTAAATAATTAAAACGATTAACAAAAATAGAGGTTACAGCAGGATAGATTGATAAATTATATAAGCTGTAAATTCAATCAAATAGATAAAAATTTGAATAACAAACTCTCAAAAGATGAAATAATTTAATTTTTTGAGTGCCACAGTGGCTCTCCTATTCAAAGTTATAAAGATTTTGAAATTTTTATTAAAAATAACTTCTCTATGTTCTTATTAGAGCTAGTGTAGAAAGAAACAGAAAAGGCTGGATTTCTTAATTTTAGAGAGTTTAAGCAATTGTTGTAAGATTTTTTTATGAAAAATATTCAAGCTTTAGAGAATAAAGCTGTTTTGGCTATAAAACCTGTTTAAAATAGTGTAAATTTGAAAAATAATCCAGATCAATCTATTTCATTATTTTAGAAGAAAAGAGAAACCTCGTCAGAATTAAAAAATAATAATTAGCCACAATTTAAGCTTTCTGATAAAAGAATTTATTCAGCTTAAAAAGCAAGAGATTAAGAGAATGAAGAGTTACTGGCTATTCGCTAAAGAGATAATTCATTTGATAACGCTGTTTAAAGATAAGTTAATTCATAAAATTAATCTCAATTATAAAAATAATAAAAAATTTAATAATAAAATGTTTAAAATAAAGAAAAGAAATTGTTAAAATATGATTTATTTTAGTAGTAAAAAAAGTATAATTTCGAAAATTAAATTAATTCTAACAAACAGCTAAATTAAAGTTATAATTATCCGAATTAGCAGCATCAAAATAATTCTACGAACGTTTAAATAGACTAAATAAGCTCTGGTGCTAAAAATTAGATATAGAAAAATTAAGCATCAAATTAAAAGTACTACTTAGGTTCTTATAATGCAAGTCGAATTCCATCATAAAACTAAATTAATAATAGCAGCTTTTCAAATAGCTGCTCTGAAAATGATTTCCAATCTCCTAAGAAATTAAATAAGCTATATCAAAGTCAAAATAAACAAAAGATGTTGTAAGACTAATAATAAAGTAATTAAAAAAGTTAAGTAAAGTAAACTGAAACCAATAAAAACACAAATAGCGAAATAGATATTGATAAAAATAGCTTAAACAACCAGAGCAATATCATATTCAGAACAGAATAAAAAGTCAGATCTAAATCAACTATTAGAAATCAATCTTCTTAAAGTGCAAGGAAAGTGTTGTAAAATGAAAAAATCTAGACTTCTGAAAACTCTTAAAATAGTCTCAGCTACAATAAATAATTTAGGAGCAACAGCTAATAATCTAACTACTCTTTTGATTCTCCTATAAACAACTAATTGCCATAGTTTCATCTTAAGCTACAAAAATCTAAATTTTCAAATGAATCTCCTACATAAAAACCTTAAAATAATAGGTATCAATAGACAAATGAAAACAATGAAGAATCAGAGTAGTATGTAAAATTTATTGAATTACATTAAATTCCTATAAATGCTGATTCTAAATTGAACTCTCAATAATAGTCAAATACATAACCTACCGAGTAATAAAAAATAGTTAAATAGGAAATTATTGTTCAAAAGGCAAGATCAAATTCGAGAAATATTTAAAACCCAAAAAATTCACCTCCGAATGATAACAACCGCTTGAGAAGCTTATCAAAAGAAAGTCAATCAAGTAAATAATCGACTTAGACTATTAAAGCAAAGCTTGCTTAAAACGATGTTATTTATAACTAGGAGAATAAATAACTAAGTTAATAAAAAAAACCTAATCAGCAATAAACTACTGAATTTATAGTGGATATAAAATAAATTAGTAACTCAGTCTCAGTAGCTGATTAAAATCAGTTAGCAAAAGAATAAAAATAGTAGCCTAATATAAATTAAGAGAACACTAAATCGTCAAGTTTTACAGAGAAATCTATTAATTATGTAAGCGAAGTATCAAATCCGAAATATTATTTTTCATCAACTTAACAAATGTCAGATGACCACTCTGATTTTAAGCTTGCATTTGAAGATTAAAAGTTAAATAAAATAATCGATTTATAGAAATAGCCTTTCGCTCCTAGTCAAAAAAATGCAATAGTTGGCATGTCAGGTTCTCTTTTATTAAGATAGTATAATAAGTGCTTAAAAGTTAATTCACCACAAAAAAAGACAACACTTACTCTACATCAAAGTAATCCAATCATAGAGCAAAATGAACCTTCTTTAACTGAGCCTAATGAGCAAACTCTCACTGAAAGATAGCTAAACTTAGAAGCTACAAAGATTTTATCACCTAATCCCGTGAAGCGTAAAGAATTTGAATGCACATTCCGCCCTTAGTCTTTGGATAATGAGTTCAAAGAAACTGAGTAACTTAATATTTTGCAGACTGATTCTTAACCAACAAATTTTAACAAATTTCAACATAAATCTAACAATCACTTAAAAGTTTAGACTTTTTGTGCATCTCCTTCAAATAGTATAATGGAAACTCCATAATATCACCAACTTAAAATATTAGACATAAATAAAACGACCGAAAACTAGCAACCTGAAAATAAAAACACTGCTTTATCTCTTCCTATTAAAGTTGATAGCTATGAAATTAAAGAAGACAATAATTACTCATTTGCTCAAAATTTGCCTTAAAAAAATGAAAAAAGTGGAGAAGATTCATCAAAAAAATTAGGAACATAATAAATCCTCAGAGAAGCTTAAGATTAAAATGATTAAAACATTGAAAAAGCATCTTCAGTTATCTTAAATATAAAAGAAGATATAATCAATCTGTCAAATAACTTCAAAGCAGAATCCATAAACAAAAATAGGGCGCAAACAGAAGTGAAATCTGGTTCAAAAAACAAAGAATAAAAATCTAAAAAGCCAGAAAATAAATTTGAAGAGACTAAGATTCAAAGCATGAACTAAATTCAATACTAAGAAGACGATACAAGAAAATCATCTGCAACAAAAAAATAGATAAAATCTACATTTAGCTAACAGTTTAATAGTACATTTAGCGATAAAACTCAAGTACTCAATAATCATCTTGACTAAAACTGCTAAAATTTTTTACATAAAAAAGAAGTGAAAGTTCTGAAGAAGCCAAGCATGAAAAAATCCTCTGAGATAGCAATTAGATAGACATAAAACGAAGACAACGACGAATTGCAGCAAGCTCAAACAGAAAATCAAATAAAAAATGAGGAAACAGCAAAATTTGAAGAACATCAAAAAATTCTAAATGATATTACATTTGAAAATAATTCTCAAATGATCAATGCTGAGAATAATAGAAAAAGTTCAATTTAGTAAGGAGATTTAAAACTATTTTACCCATAAAATTCTCTCAGTAACTCATAAAATTTATGAAACTAAATTCCTCAATAAATTTTGTAAATTCTTTAAAAATAATTCTAATTTTTTAAAATAACAAGCAAATCATTGAATAATATTGTAATCTATCTATCTATCTATCTATCTATCTATCTATCTATCTATCTATCTATCTATCTATATTTTATTTATGTAAATTAGCACTAACTTACTGGGTAACAATATTCAATCAAATTTTAATTAAAATTCAAAACATTAAATAAATTTATTTTAATATTAAATAAATCAATAAAAATGATAGAATAAAAAAAATTTGATTGATAAAGTAAATAGGAAAATTAAATATTTCTTATAAAAAAGGATAGTTTGATTATTTAAATTAAAATTTAATTGAATATAAAAATATAACAATATTAAAATCAGATTAGAAAAAGTTTAAATTATTTAAATTGATATCTTTAATGTGTTAAATAAATAATTAATTTACAATAAATAAAAGCAATCAATAACTATCTATATTTCAGTGATAAAATAATTTGCTATTCATGTTAGTATGATAGTATTATTGGTTAACTATGTTGCTTTTATAATAAATTTAATTATCTTATTTACTAGCAAAAAATTTTTGTTATAGTTTTTCTTAAATATTTATTTATTTTGTAATATTTTTTGTTAGCAATTTATTTTATTAAAAATGAAAGTGAAATTTATATTAGAAAAAAGGGATAAGAATCAAAATTTTAATGAATTTTAAATTTATTTAGAAAAATAAATAAGAACACAAAAAAATCAATGGACATTATTTAATATTTTAATTATATTTTTTTTAATTTGGTGAATTTTATTATTTATTATAAATTATATCTTTTAATTTACACAGATTTTATATATACTAAGTAAAATAATGCAAGCAAATAATGTTAATTTAAAGCAAACAGAAGGATACCAAACATTTACGTTTGGATCTGTTAGAAACTCTAAGAGAGATTCATAGTTAGTGAACATTAGCAGTAAGAGCTTTTTAAGCTCCCTTAAATCATAGATTAATAGCTAAACTTCTAGGATAATAATAGAACTAGATAATTAGGATTTATCTAATTGTCAATTTTATAAAGAATCTTTGGATAAAATCAGTTAAACATGTAGCGAAAATACCTAAATTTAAGTTAAAATATAGTAATTGTATATTAGTTTAAAAAGTAGTAAAGCAGATTCGGATTTTATTGTAAATCTCACAAAACAACTAAATTTAATTGAATCGATTGAAACATTTCATATCTATGCATAAATGAATAATTTATATGATTTAAGTTTATCAAATTTGTCTTAATTACTTATGAAGACAACTAAAATAATCTAACTAGACTTAACTTGTACCAAAGTAGCGAATTTAAATATTATTTTTCAATCTCTAATGAAAAACAATAGTTTGACAGATTTGTCTTTAAATTTTTCTTAAAATCCTGTTCAAAATTTAGACAATTTAAAATCTTTAAAGCTCCCAGCTCTAAAATCTTTAACGTTAGAATTCAAGTATATTTCGATTATTAAGTTTTACATTTTAAATGTTATTAAAATAAATTTAATTATCAAAGAAAGTGTGCAATAGATGAAAAATGCTGCTAAGCCATCAGTTTATTCACTAAAAGTCACCTTAATATTACTGTTTTGTCTTTATAGTTGTCGTAAATAATTTACTTACTTTCAAAAGGAGAAAGATGAATAATAAATAAAAAATTACTATTATAAAAATAAATGCTAATCTTAAAAAAATAATTTATGAAATAATTCAGTTTAATTATTTAAAAAAAAGCATTTTACCTTTTTATTATTGAATATTAATTATAATATATTAGGGAAAACAGAATAAATGATTTAGGAGTTAGATATATAACAGAAGGAATGTAAAAATTAAATAAAATAAACTATTTATATTTAGGTTTAAGGTAATATTTTAACAATTTAGTTTCCTTTTCTTAAATTATATAATTATCAAGTAACTGCCATATTGGATAAGAAGGTTCTAATTATATTTCAGAATTACTAATCAATAACCAGAATATGTAAAAGATAGAAACTCTCAACATTTAGCTTTAGTAAAATAATTTATTCAAACTTAAAATAATTAAAAGTTTTGTAATTAATCATAAAAGATTTAATAAAATCCAAACATTTGGTGCTTAAAAGTTGCTTTAAGCCTTGAGTAACTGTAATGATTTAAGAGTTTTATACTTAAATATATCACAAAACTCTTTGGGGGAAGGAATATATCAAAAAGCATCTTAAATGTTGTCTCATTTGAGTAAGCTGACAACACTTGATTTAGATTTTAGGTTTGATTAATTATATTTAATTCATAAAATTATATTGGTAAAAAGTATTTTTTCTAGTTTAAATTATTTAGATTCAACAGGATTTGATTAGTTAGTATAGAGCTTGAGTGAAAGCAATTTGTTACAGCATATCTCCCTTAACTTAAAGTTAATTATTAAAATAAAAGAAATAAAATAAAATATTATTATTAAAAAGATTAACACAAATTGATGACAACTCAGTCAGTGCTTTGTTTCCTTAAATTTTAAACAAACTGAATTTAACTTACCTTTCCACAGATTTATCGTATAAATAATTTTTATTTTTTCATCCTTTAAAGAACAATAAATAAATAAATATGTTAATAAATAAATTGATAGAAATTTAATTAATACCAAAAAACAAACAATATAAAACGATAATAATTAATTTTATATTAAAAACAAAAAGGTGCAATGAAATAACTTTTGACTCTGTTTTGTTAGTAAAGAAGTCTGTTGATTTAATAAAAAGTAAATAGCTTAAGTTGAATGTAGATTTGAGGTAAATTAAATTAAATTTTAATAAAAAATATTAATTTTAAAGTATGAAGGTATAATAATAGAATAACTTAGGAGTAATTGGAGGATCTTTCCAACCAATTCCAGCAAATTAAGAAAAAAAGATAAACATTTTTCATATAAATTAAACAAGACGACTGATTGATTGATTGATTGATTGATTGGCTACTGACTGTATGACTAAAAATAAGAGAAAACAATTAATTGCGATAGAATATTTATTTTAATTTATTGATAAAATTTAATAGTGAAAATTAAAATTAAACTGCATGCAATAAATAATAACAGTTTATTTATTTTTATTATGTATTAAATTTTATATCTATTTTAATTATGATGGTATTCTTAATTTAATTAAATCAATTTTCACCTACTTTCAAGCTTTTTAGTGCTTAACTTAATCAAAAATTTATTTATTCACTTGCTTTTTTGCGAAATATCATATAATAAATCAATCAATTAATCTAATTATCTATATATCTATCTACCAATATATTTATTTCTAGTGAATCTTCATAATCTAAATCTTCAATAATAATTTTCAGTAAAAAAGTTTAATTTACACTTTTAACTAGCTAGCTAGCTTCAATATTTCTAAATGGATTAACAAAATAATTAGGCTCTCATTTGTTCAATATGTAGTTATTAATTTAATTAGACAAATAGACTACCAAGGATGATACCTGATTGCGGTCATACTTATTGTGAAGATTGCATAATAAAGAATTTAGTTAATTCAAAACATACGTTTAAATGTCCAGAGGATGGGTAATCAATTAATCAATCAATTAAAATTTACTGAATATTTTAATGAAGAATCAAAAAATATAAAAAAATATATTAATTTGGATTAGATATTCAGCATTTTAGTATGAATTTTTGTGATAGAATATAATATAATTAATAAATAATATAGGGACATTATTCTTTGCAACAGAGATTCTATAAACAATTTCCCAAAGAATATATCTATCCTCAAAATTGTGTAACATTAGGAAAATCAAAAATAGAGCTCATTTGGTGTTATTTAGCAAAAGCCCTTTCAGATGGCAGAAGTTTTGAGCCAAAAATCAATTTAATCAGCATAATCTTTTATTGATAAGAACATGATTCCTTGTTCTTCTCAAGAAATTAAACCATAGATGTCTTCAAATAAGTATTCTTTAAAGTCCTAATAGTAGTAGTAGTAGTGCTAGGTTCATGGGAAAGCATAGGATTTAGGATGCCTACAATGCTAATAAAAGGTAATCAAACAATGATATTTTTATTAAAAGCATCCAAGCTTTTGTAATTTTTAATTCATTAAAATCATTTATTTAATTTATAAATTTTAGATTTGTGCACATTGTGCAATTTTCGGAAATCATAAAAATCATACAGTGATTCCAGAGGATGAAATGAAGAAGAAAAATAAAAATGGCTTAGAGCAGATGGTAAAAATAAAACAAAAGATTCAATTAACTAAAGAGGACTTTGTGAATAAAATGGAAGATAATTTTTAGAATAACATCTGCAGCAAAATTAACTATTAAAAAGGATTATTTAAGTCAAATACACGCCTAAAATTCGAGGTAGATTAATTTACATAAAAAAAATTAGCTATAAGCAGTTACTTAAGTCAATAAATATATAGACCCAGCAAAAAAACAAAATTAAAAATTAAACAAGAAAAACAAACTGCTATTTTTAAATAAAAATAAGTTAATTTATTTTAGACCAACAAACTAAATTAAAAATAAAATGTTACTTACTTTTCTAGATTAATTTAAATTTAAAATATTTTTAATTCAGCCTTTAATTGTTAATTAGCAGAAAGTATAGTATGTTTAGATAAAAACAAAATTTAATTTTACTTATTATAATAAAATTTATTTTTAAAGAAAATATGTTCAATATAAAAAATAAATTACTCAATGAATAAAATTAGTTCTTAATATTTTCTTTTAAAAAAATATTTATTTGTTAACTATAAAAAATACTCAAGGAATAAAATAAATGACTTATATTTTCTATTAATTTCTGACATTTAATGATTCAAATTTTAATTAACTTTTTTTATTTCATAGGAGTTCTAAAAATTGCTTGAATATTCTGAGTAAAAGTGCTATGATGAAATAGAAAAGTTTTTTGAATAAGTTGAAGAGAAGTTTAGGAAATTCAAAAACCATACTTTCAAGGAAACCTACGATAAAATTTACAATTGGAATTAGATGTAATTTAACAAAAATTATCTCTTTTTTTAATAGATCTTATATTGAAAATAAAGGATTGACACTCTTAGAGTTTAATAAGAAAGCTTAGATAGAATTAATTCTGTTGATTTTGATCTGTTCCTTAACTTGGAAAAATTGTTAATATCTGGAAATGAACTAGAAATAGAATACCACAATCTTATCTAATTTCCTGTTAAATTGATTGGTGATTATTTAGAGAATATTTGCTTTTCTTTCTCAGATTCTGTTTAAACAATTATTGAAAATTGCATGTCTATACAGTTTTTACAAAACGAAAGCGATATTATTCATAAAAGCATCCAAAATTTAACTTTAGAAAATTAAAAGGAAATTCTCAGTAACACTCAATTCTTCTAACTTTCTCCATAAGAAATAAAAGCTATTCTAGGAACTCCTAATTAGACTCCAACTGAATAATTTCTTAGTTCTCATCAAGCTCTTACTAATAAATAAAATATGAAGTCAAGTAATTACTTTATCACAAACAGAAAAAACAGTAACACATAATCAAGCTCTCGCTAAAACTCATTGGGGTAAAATTATTATTGAAAAATTAAAAAAAATATTTGTATTTTTTCAAAAAGCTAAAAATTCAAGTCAAAGTACAAAGAAAGTAACTAATAATAAAAGGAGGAAGTTAGTTTAGAAAATGTTGATTCTATAGTAGCATAGTTAGGATAATATCGTTAAAATAATATTATACCTTAATTATAAGAGAGTGCTTTAAGCAAAGATAAATTATTACTGTCAAATTTGGATAATTAATTAGAATTTGTTAAAAGCACAGCTCTAAAAGAAAGTATGTTTAATAGTGTCGTAATAAATAGCAACGAATCAGACAGACAGCATTAAATATATCCTTTTGCCAATGATGCTGAAAATGGAAGCAAGACTCAATTTGATAACAGCATTAATAATGGATACATCACTATTATAAATCATTAAAATTTATCACCATAAAATAAGCCCTTCATATAAAATATCTCTGATATTAAAATGGATGGTAGTGGATTACTATACTTCAAAAATGGACCTGCTTCAGTACATGATAGCTGTAAAATATAAGCCGTAGTGGAAAAATCCCTCACAAGAGACATAAAAAAATCTTAACTGTAATTAGAAAATCCTTTCAGTGAAAAAAGAGATAACAGTTAGATTAGAAATAGTTAAATTAGTAACTCTACTTTAAATAAATCTAGAAATAGATCTCCTTTTAAACTTAATGATTTCGAAACGTCTTAATATGGAAAAATGAAAAAAAGTTCAGATTTAAGACAAAGTAACTTAGAAATAAAGAGTGCTAGATCTCATTACACAAATGCTGATCATTATCAAGATTATGCTAGTATAAAGAAATCTCTAACTCCAACAAAGAAAATTCAAAGATAAAATGGAAGCGAAATAATTAAAACAAAAGACTAGATCAATAATCATTCATATATAAATTAGTAAAATAGTGATCTTAGTAAAACATTACCAACCCGCATGAGTAATAATGAAGACACATACAACTCTATCTCTGCAACTGCCACCGAATAAAATTCTAATCATAATTTAGTAAAAAAGAATAACAACTCTATCAAAAATAATTCATTAAAATTCATCAAGTCACCAAACAAAAGCAACGTAAGCAATAAATCAGTAAGTCAACAACAACAACAATAACAAACTCAATCTCCTCACACACAACGTAAAAATGCTTACAAAAAGAAATCTGAAAAACTTAAAATATTGCTTTAAAAGTTAAAATAAAATGAGTACATAGATTAAATAGAATTAGTAAGTGAAGGTAATATTAAATTATTTTATTTATATTGATTTTTAAAACCTATTTTAAAAAAGATGTAAATGACTAAGAATGTGAAGAACTAGGTATAGAGTTAGGAAAGACGAAACTATAAATTGATAGTATCAAGCTAGTTAAGAACAAAATTAGTGATATTGGTTTGTAGCACATATTACTGGGTTTGGAAAAGAGTAATCAAAAGATACACACATTAAATTTAACTAGCAATCTATGCACAGAAAATTGCTTTGATGACATCTTAAATTATTTATCTAAAAATGAAACCTTAAAAAATATATATCTACTTAATAACAATATTTAAATCTATAAAAAGAAAGATAAATTAAAGAACATTTAGCTTCTTTGTAATATTCATATTTGATTTGCTCCACACTAGTTAAAATAACTTAAAATGCTACAAAAAATTCTAAAATAAATAAATAATATTTATTTTTTTATCTAAAATAATATTTTATTGAAACTAAAAACAAACAAATACAGATAGATATTAAAAATGTGTACTTATTAAATTTTCAAAAAAATATAACTATTTAAAATCGAATCTTATTTTAAAAATATGCCCTTATCTCCCTATAACAAAAATGAATCAATTGTCTTCTTGAACAACAACTTCAGCAGAAAGAGAGCTGTTTGCTTCTACAACACCATTAACACCAATCTAACAGTCATTAAGTTTAGAATTTTACTTAATAGTGGCTTTGTTTCCAATGATACAGTTTTATAAGACGCATCTTAAATTTAATAAAAAATAAATTATTTGTTTGTTTTTATATGTTTATATTTATTTATTTATTTAGTTAGTTAGTTAGCTAGCTAGCTAATTTTTTTGTTATTTTATGGATTACTTATCAATGAACTTAAATTTTAATTTATATAAAACTAATTAATTTAATTGTAATTTACCCTTACTCAATGGTGACTTCTTTAAATATAATACAGTTAGAAATTTTAACACCATCTCCAATCTTGCATTATGGTCCAATGATAGATTTATTAATTTATACTTTAGGACCTATCTATGATTTATCAGCAATATTACTTTAGTTAATTCTAATTTTATAAAATTAATATTGATTAATAAATTTTTTATTTTTTCTAGTTATTTATATTTTTATTAAGAAAATTCAAATTTACCACAAATCCTCTTTTATTAATTCCAAAATAATAGATTAAATCCAAAAATATTTTTGAAAAGTATACAAAACAAACTTGATTATAAAAGAAGGGGTTTGGTGTTAATAAATGAGAATTTATGGTTAATTTTTTTAATTCTTAAAATTAATTTAGAAATTTAATTATTATAAATGATATTTATGATCGATTACATAAATATGATATAAATATTATTTATTTGTATTAATTTATGAGAAAATAAAATAAATAATTTAAATAATACTTAATATCAGATTCTTAGATAGAGATAAGAGGGATACCATTATTTTAGAAGATTTCAACATAGGATTCTGGCATGACTTTATCAGTTTTAATACAATCGAAGTTTCCTTATATATAATCTTTGATATTATTAGCTCTTTTAATGTAATTTTTATTAGTTATAAAAGCTATTATGGGAATATTAGATATTTTTTCTTCACTGCTTTCATCTTTGTTTAGTAAACCATATTGTTATTCTTCTTCTTCGTGTTCACTCTTTTTAATCTCATCCAAGAGTTCGAGTAAGTTTTAGTTTTACTGATTTCTTACTAAAAATGGGAACAAATCTTCTTTCCAAGAAGAAATTGTATCACTTACCTTCTTTTCTAATTTACACAATATTTAAAGGATTTGTCTTTTGCAAATATATATGTGGGAATCAAAAAGATTAGTTTTAATGCTTGCTTCGGGGTTGCTTGCCAAAATAGATTTTTTTATTTTTAATCCATTTTCTTTTATTTCATAGAAAGAGTTCACATACAAAATCTTATTATTTGTCTCATCGATAAGGAATACATCATGGTTATCCTGATTAATATTAATTATTTTTTTTAGCATTCAATATAATAAACTAAATATTTTACAGCTGAAGAACTTGGGTTGATGATTTTGTTATTTTCTTCATCAACTTTATCTTCCTTTAAAACAGCTGTCAAATAAGCTCCAGTTAAAATATGCTATTCGATTACATCGTCTAAGCCTAAATCAGTAATTGAGTCACAAGCAATAAGAATAAAGTCTTTCTGTGTTTATAAAAATTTTTGAATTTAAAAAATTAAAAGTATATATTTAGCAACTAATAATATGCAAATTGCTTGCATTTTCTAGAAAAGCTTAACTTTTCACAAAAATATCCATTTATCTAAATTAAAGTCATTTATTTTTGTATTCTTAATAACTATGTTTTTATTAGTTTGAATAATCTTCATATTTTTGATTTGTATTTTTATTCAAAAACGTAGAATTAATTGCAGTAATTAATTACATTTATTTTATTTGAAACATGTCTGATTGCTTCAAATGTTTCTTTTTTTTCATCTGGAATTGTTATCAACTCATATTTAACCTAGCCTTAGTAATATTCCTTTATATATCTTTCAATTTTACTTGTGTTCTTAGAGGTAAGTATAAGCACATCTATTTTTATATTTAAATGATAATTTGAAATCAGAAGAAAATTTGCTTTCTATTATTTGGCTAAAGCTGTTTGTTTTTTCATAATTATTACTTGTAAATCCATTGCTTTCTAATTTTTCTAACTAGTAAATAATCAGAGGCTTATTGTTAACTGGTAAAAGAGCCTTTGGGAATCTTTCGCAAAGAGGATACAATTCAGTACCTTAACTAAATTTTAACAAAAACAAATCAAATTATACTTAATATAAAAAATATAAATATCATTTCACTAAATAAATAAATAAATTATTTTACCCTCCGGCTAATATAACAACTTAATAATTCTACTACATTTTAGATGAACCTAGTTTTATGTAATTTAAATAACTTTCAAAGGTATATTTTAATATTTATGATTAGTGTTGATATTGTAAATTATTAATAATTAATTAATTAACTAATTAATTAATTTGCTTTTAATATCCAAATCTTCAGCGAAAAATATCTTTTGATTTAATATGATAAATTTGTTTAATAAAAAATATTAATGAAAAATTCAAGGAATAGAATAAAGAATATAAAAGATACATGACCTTCTATACTTTTTACTTTATTTATATATAAAAAATTAAGCTGCTCGCAATTTATTTAAGTAGATCTTCTATTTAGTCTTATTTCTACATCAAATTTCAAAATAGCTTGCTTGAACATCATAAAATCATTATTTAATCCCTTCATAAAACTAATTCAATTCAATATTAATTTGCTTAAAATATTTAATTGTATTCATTTTTTTTCTTTAAGTTTAATATATTTTAATAAAAGCAAAAATATAAACGAACTATCAAAGCCATTGTAAAAAGAATTAGAAATAGTTTTATTTCAAATTATTTGAAAATAAAATAAAGGTAAAGTGTCAATTAAAATTCATTAAATGAGAGGGTTTGTTTTTATGACCTATAAAATATCATGTTTGTTTTAGGTTTTTTTTGAAGTTTTATTTTATTGAGTAAATTAATTTTATAATTGATTCCCTTCTCTATAATTCACTAAAAAATAAACTTTATTATCTAATATAATATAATTTAAATAAATATAATTTTTTATAGTTTTCATAAAAATTACATCAAATATAACTATATTTATTTTAGATTTATAATATTAATTAAAATAAAATTCTATGATTTTGGTTTTAATATTTACTTGCATAGATATTTATGAATTAATTTGTAGAATATTAAATTAAAAGTTGTGTATGAAAAAAACTTATTTATTTTAGAAATTGTATCAATTACAAGTAAAAAAGATGTTAATATTTATGAAAAAAATATAAAAATGTTATAAATTAAAAGTTTTTTAATAAACTAATTAAGTAACATAATCAATCATACATAAATTTATATAAAAATCATTTGATAAGCTATTTAATTCTATCCATTAATATATTGAAATCCTCATTGCAAGACTAAAAGAGAGACTCAATAGAATAGTAGAGTCTCTTTTGCTTATATACTTTAATAAACTCTTCTTCTCCATACCATTCCCAATCTTCTTATTTTTCAGGTTCAGTGTTAGAAAATTCTTGATCATCAGGTTTAACAGCTACAGCAAAGAAAGTTGCAAAATGAAAATTTTCTTCTTTATTTATAACATTAAAAGCAATAGGATATTCTTTGTACCTTTTAAAAATTAGTTTAAAAAAAAATTACACTTTAAATACAAATCGTAGTTAATTAATTCTTATTTTAATATAAAATTAATGAGTTTTCAAATTTATTTTTAATAGGTTTTTGATGCTAAATAAGAAATTAGCAATCAATAAACTTACTCTTAAAGCGGTATTTACAGATTAGATTCTTCTAGCACTTCTCTTTAAGCACACTCACAAACAGTCTCAAATCTCTCAAGATGACCTCCCATTAAAGCAAATCTGCCGCAATCTTTTCTCTTTGACATCAAGAATTTATTAAGATCTTTGTTTAGGATAAAAACACCAACTCCGATTTTTGGTCTAATCATTTTTCTAGCAGTATTTTTTTAAAGAATTTATTTGTGTTAATTTATAATTTGTTTTAATAATTGAAAGTTTATATTAAAAATATAAACACTTAATATATAAACCATACACTCAGTAATTTATAGCCTTTAAGAATTCAAATAATCTTTAAAAGCGGTGTTTATCTTTATCTAGTTGATTCTATCTCTAAAGTGTCTTCTTTCTTTAAATTAGGCTTAACTTTTTTATCTAAAAATAAACTTTGTACTTTTTTTATAAATATTTACAAAAATAAGTAACAAGAAAGTATTTTTTCTTTTATTTTAATTACTTTAAGGATTTATATTAAAATTTTATTTTAAAACATATTTTTATGCAGACAAAACTACTAAAATTGAGTAAATTAAATAAATTTAGTAAATACATAAATCAATAGTCATTTAATTTTGTTACAGATTATAAAGTTAAACAATCCCCCTTTCTAAAACTGCTCATTTCGCGGTGTAATGTATAAATAAAGTTCTAGTGGTTTAATATATATTATTTATCCAAAATTAAAATAGACTAAAGCTTGAAACTGAATACCATAAAAAAAAGCGAAATTATTTTTTTGAAATCTATTTAACAGAGAGCTAAATAGATATAATATTTATCATTTTTGCTTGATTGTAAATACATAATTTTATAATCAGTATTTTATTATTTTTGTGATTTATTTTTATTAGAATTCAAAATGATAAATTAAAATAACTTTTATTTAAATAATTTTTTTAGTATTTCTTAGTTAACAAAATTCATTTTTAAGGATCATTAATTATTATCCATCCATGCATTTTATGCTGGCTTATATAATTTTATATATTTAAGCTAAACACTTTATTAATCAAAATTAACAAATTTGCAAAAAAATTTCAATAAAAATTGAAAAGATATGATTTAATATTTTCAAAATTTATAATAAATTCTATCAATTAAATGCTTTGCAGTAATATTTAAATTTGAAATAATTATTTATTAATTAATTAACTAATCAATCTGAAACAATAACAATGATATAATATAATAATTTTTTATTTCTACTTAAATAAGAATTATACTTTTTAATAGGATTTTTAAATATAAGCAACATTTTTATCAAAATAATGATATATTTATATATTTAATTATACCAATCGTTTGTTTATAAAACAAATGCATTTTTAAAATTGCATCAAATACAAGTAATAAAGATAATTAAATTTATGAATAAAATATAAAAATTTTATAAATTAAAAGTTTGTTTTTTAATAAATGAAATCAAGTAATCTAATCATACAAAAGCAATTATTTATCTATCAATAAATTTCACTAATAAATAAGATTAAAGATAAATTTATAAAAAATCATTTGATAAGTTATTTAATTCTTTCAATCAATATATTGAAATCCTCATTGCAGGATTTAAAGAGACACTCAATAGAATAATAAAGTTTCTTTTCCTTATATACTTTAATAAATTCTTCTTCTCCATACCATTCCCAATCTTCTTATTTTTCAGGTTCAGTATTAGAAAATTCCTAATCATCAGGTTTAATAGCTACAGCAAAGAAAGTTACATAATGATAATTGTCTTCTTTGTTTATAGCATTAAAAGCAGTAGGATATTCTCTGTAACTTTTAAAAATTAGTTTTGAAAAATAAATGATACATACAAAATACATATAGAAGTTTATTAATTCTTATTTTAATATAAATTTAATCATTTGTCAAATTTTGAATAGATTTTTGGTGCTAAAAAAGAAATTATCAAGTAATAAGCTTACTGTAAAAGTGGTATTGACAGATTAGATTCTTCTAGCACTTCTCTTTAAGCGCACTCACAAATAGTCTCAAATCTCTCAAGATGACCTCCCATTAAAGCAACTCTACCACAATCTTTTCTCTTTGACATCAAAAATTTATTAATATCTTTGTTAAAAATAAAAACACCGACTCCAATTTTTGGTCTATCCATTTTTCTAGCAGTATTTTTTTAAAGAATTTTTGTTAATTTATAATTTGTTTAATTAATTAAAATTTTTATATCAAAAATAGATAGATATACTTAATATATAAACCCTTCAATCAGTAATTTATAACCTTTAAGAATTCAAATAATCTTTAAAATAGCGGACCTTATTTTTATCTAGTTGATTCTATCTCTAAAGTGTCTTCTTTCTTCAAATGAGGCTTAACTTTTTTACCTAAAAATGAATTTATTTTTTTTTTGTTAATATTTACTAAAAATAAGTAACAGAAAAGTATATCTTCTTTTATTTTTTAGATACTTTAAGGATTTATTTTGAAAGCTTTAGTTTAAAATGTATTTTTTTAGATATAATAATATTGTTTTTAAATGGCTAAAATTTAGTATATTAATTAAATTTAGTAATTGCATCAATTAAAAGTTATTCGATTATGTTACAGATTATGATTCTATAAAATCCCCCTCTCTAAAACTGCTCATTTTATGATGTATTTATAAATAATGTTATGCTGGTTTGATATCATATTTTTCCAAATTAAAATAGACTAAAATTTGAAATTGAATAAGAAAAGAAAGAAATTATTTTTATAGATATATTTAATAAATAAATAATAAATTACTTTTGTTTGATTGTAAATTCAATTTAAAATTAGTAGGAAAAATGTAATATTCTGATTCAGATTTGAACTTGTAAGAGGTTCATTATCTTTACTTACCCACATAAAATTATAATCAATATTTTTATTATTTTTTGTCATTCATTTTTATATTAAATTTAAATACCTTTTTATTGAAATAATTATTTTTTTTGTATTTATTTATGAAGAAAATTCATTTTTAAGAAGCAATATTTGTTATTTATGTGTTTTCTGCTAACATATATAACTTGATATTTTTAAGCTAAAGATTTTGTGAATCAAAATTAACATATTTACATTTTTTAAAATATTATATATATTGTTTGAACTTTAAAAAATTTCAATAATATTGATATAAAATAAATTTAAAATAATTTTAAGCTTTTAGAAAACAATTATTTAAATTATTTATCATTTTTATTGTTTGTTTTTTACAAAAAATTATTTTAAATAAATTAAACTAATATTTGATAAATAAGTAAAATTTAAATTAAAAAAAATATTTGCTAAGTTGCATAAATTAGAAAATAATTTCTGAGCATAAATGAATAGTGTATATATGCATCAACAGCATCCATCCACATTTGAAAATTAAAAATACAAAAAATATTTATAATAATGATAATTTTAATAAATTAATGAGATTAAAGTTAAGAACTTACAAATTAATTAATTTTATAAATAAAAATAAATTGAAAATAAGTTTATTCATTAAAAAATAAATAATTACTTCAATTAGTTTGTAAAAATATTATTCCTATCAAATCATTTATTTTTTTTCAAAAATATTGGAGATAAATTTAGTGGATATTTAATTAATGATAAATATTAAAAAATAAATTTTTATAATTATCAAATATGAATTTATGAATTTACTTTTAGGAAGAAATTTAACAAAAAAGATAGTGTATTAATCCAAACAGAATAACTGGCTGAATGACTAAATAACTAATTAACTAACTGAGTGAATGATAGAGAAAATACAAAATTGATTGAATAAAATATAAAATTTATTTATAAATTGATATATATTAAATATTTTTTATCCTCATAAAGCAATAAGAAGTGTGTGTTTCATAAAAATAATTATCTAAATAGTTTTATTCAAAATTTGTATCAAATGTCTCCTTTTAACATAAGTTCTTTAGCTTCGTTGATTTTTGTAGCAACATATTGAGAACCACCTATTTAAAAAAAGGAAATTTAATTATGTAGATCTTAAATAAGGTAGAATGAAATTACCATTATCAGGATGGTTTGTCATCATCATTTTTCTGTGGCTTTTTCTAATTTCTTCTTTGGTAGCATTCTGCTTGAGATTTAAAATTAATGCTGCTTCTCTTCTATTCATTTTATCTTAAAATCCACCTTTGTAGAGGAATTTGCTTACAGTAGTTTTAAATAGATCAGCACCACCTAGGTTCTTTGGCACTTGTCTTGCCAAAACCATACCAACTTTTTAATAATAAAATAAATTATCAATTATAAAATGAAATATTTAATTTTTGATTAATGAAGTTATAATTTTAGTTATACTATAGTGAAATAAAATTATTTACAAAAGATTTATTTTAGAAAAAGTAAAGAAGGATATAAATTAATTTTAGAAATTTCTCTTAATTAATTTATGATTTTTTTTATTTATTTTTTTGAATAATCAGTATAAATATAAATAAGAGTAATTACCTAAAATAGGGAAAGTGCACAGAAAACCCATTGAAAATATTCTAGTGCTGGACCATAACTAAAATTTTTCTAATCTCACTAAGAATAAATCAATGATGGGAATATCATGTTTAGGATATGTTGCGTAAAGTGGATCTATATCTTCAAGAGAATCTTTATAAACAACTATATCAAAATTTTTCGAAGTTTGATCTATTTTAGCTTAATTTGTATAATACTCTTTTTTAAAATATTTAAAATGAGTTCCTATGTCATATAACTTATCTAAATCATCGTTTTATCTCACTTTTTCTTTTTATTAGCCAAATATGTCTCCTCCGTATCCTTACTCATTAACTTCGTCATCATCATCTTCTTCTTCTTATTTGTTTTTTTAATTTTTATACTTTTCACGAAGATACTCGACTTTTTTCTTTTAGAAATCTTTAAGTTCACTAAAAACCTATGACCAAGTCATCTCCTTAGCTTTTTATTCTTACTCTAAAATACGAGGATGAACGCTGTATATTAATCTATTGTAAAATTTGAAAAAATTGTCTGTTTGATCTAGCTTATAGCTGTAATCTAAATTTCTAAAACACTTCTTTTCAAAATCACTAAGAAAAGGAGAGGTCTAAGATGATTCTAAAATTTTCACTTAAAGTTCTTCAACTGATTTGACAACATCAGGTTCAAATACTTTAACCTCCTCAACCTTTTTTGGCCCAAAAAACTTGCCCTTAATTTCTTCGAAAAAACTAAAAACAGAACTTTATAATTCACTTTATATTTCTTAGCTATTTTCTGTAGTCTACATCTTTAATTATCTATTTATATATATATATTTGCTTTTCTAATTAATTATTTAATAATTATAGTAATGTTATTTCACTCAATATAAATTTTCTATTCAAAACTAGCTATTAAATTCGCAATTTCTTCAAAATATAAAGTTATCAATTATATAAACACAGCTAAATACTTCTGTTAAAAATGTACTTATTTTTTATCAATGAATTCTTTTGTTTATTTTTTAATTTAAAAAGTAGACTTTCACTATAAAATATATTAAATAATTAATTTAACAGAGGTTTTAATACATTTTTTTATTCAATTTTAAACAACAAACTAACAATAATTTACAATATAAAATGAATTTAATTAAATTAAAAAATTGTTTTTATAACTAAAGATGTGATTTTTTCTTTCAATCAACCTAATATAAGTTTTGTCTAAATCTAAATATATAATATTTTATAAATTAATTGACTTATTTATTCGTCTTTATAATAAGAATTTATTCCTGTCTAAAATTCAAACACAGCTAAATTCTTCTGTTAAAAATGTACTTGTTTTTTATCAATGAATTCTTTTATTTGTTTTTTAATTTAAAAAGTAGACTTTGAGTATAAAATAAATTATATAAATAATCAATTTAACAGAGGTATTAATAATTTTTTTTATACAATTTTAAACAAACAAACAATAATTTACAATATAAAATTAATTTAATTATATTAAAAGAATCATTTTTATAACTAAAGAGGTGATTTTTTTAATCAACTCAATATAAGTTTTGCCTAAATCAAAATCTAAATATATAATATTTTATAAATTAATTGACTTATTTATTCATCTTTAAAATAAGAATTTATCCCTGTCTAAAATTCAAATAATGAAAATATATCCATTCAATAGCGCTTTATTAATGTCATTTTGATAGTAGGTCTTTCGCTTCATTTATTTTTTAAGCTATATATTGACTTCCCCCTAGTAGAGTATATAAATAAAATAAGAATTTTTAGTTTAATACTAATCATTATTTACTTTAATCTGGATGGTTTATTTTCATTAACTGGCGATGCCTTTTGTTTATCTCTTCTAAGTTTGCTAAAGATGAAGGAGAATATATTCCAAAAATATGCTCAGCTTCTTCTCGAGTCATTGGATTTTAAAAACCCACTCCTTTTTCAAATTTAAATAGATCTTTTTAATTTTAATAATTGTATTAATTTTGTGCTGCTCTTGACATCAATTTTAATTCTCTATAAGCTCTTACAGTACCTTTAATTACTATTAAATTATGAGAAACCTTAATTATTTATGATAGTGTAATTGATTTTACTTAACCCTGTTGCTACTAATACTAAGCCAAATCTAATCATCTATTTTTAGCAATTAAAATTTCTGAAGTTAAATATTTGTAATTTTTGTAAAATAACAACTAAAATTTGCAAGATTGTATCAAAAACAAATAATATTTTCTGGAAATATGAGAATTTTTGATCAATTTAAAAATTAATTTATCACCTATCAAATTAGTTTTGATAAACTACAAAAGATGAAAAATTGAGTATAGATAATATTTAAATAATTTTGTAAAAATTGACCGTAAGCACTGTATATAAATCAATAATATATTTATTTGTTGAAGGTATTATTAATAAGTAAGTAAAAATAAAAATTTGATTATTTCCTTTAAATAACTACTAAAATTACAATAACTTATTGATAATAAATAATATTTTATGGAAATATGAGAATTTATTTTTGATCATAAAAATAAAATTAATATATCACCTATCAAATTTTGCTAAAATATGAGTGAAGAAGATAAATAAATCAAAAATATATTTATTTGTAGAAATTAATAAGTAAGTAAGTAAGTAAAATTAATAATTTGATTATGTTAATATGATAACTACTAAAATTACAAAAACTCATCAATAATAAATAATATTTTACGGAAATATGAGAATTTATTTTTGATCAATTTCATAAAAATTCTATCAAATTTTGCTAAACTATGAATGAAGAAGATAAATAAATCAAAAATATTATGATATTTTATGGAGATATGAGATTTTATTTTTGATGAATTTAATATAAATTAATGTATCACCTATCAAATTTTGCTAAAATATGAATGAAGAAGATAAATAAATCAAAAATATATTTATTTGTAGAAATTAATAAGTAAGTAAAATTAACAATTTGATTATGTTAATAAGATAACTACTAGAATTAAAAATTTTAACAACAATAATTAATATTTTATGGAAATATGAGAGTTTATTTTTGATGATTTTAATAAAAATTAATTTATTGCCTATCAGTATATATATTATTTATTGTTATATAAAAAAAGAAGAACAAAAAAAATAATTTATTTATTATATTATAAATTGAAGGTGTTGGTTATTAATAAGTAATTAAGTTAGATTAACTAAACAGATAATGATTTATGTATAAATATAAAGATTATAAAGAATATTTTATTATATTTAAACATTAATTATATTTAATCATTTATTTTTTATTTTAAAAATTATTTTGATACACTACAATAAAATTACTTCATAAAACCTCATCACTTTCATTAGTTATTTGCACTCTTTCATAATTTTCATCTATTTTTATTGAATTTTTATGTTAATGTTATTTTTACGAGTTTAAATATTTCTTACGTTAGGTATTTTATAAAGTGTTTGGTAAAGAATACAAACCATCGTGGTTTTCATTGGTGATGAGTTCCTCAATTTCATCTCCATTAGACGTTTTACTTACTTAAATACGTCTTTCTATTTCATCTTATATAAATTAAGGAGGTACCTATTGCTAAGTTTGCTATTGAACAACTTGATATTTTCTATCAGCTACATAATAAGCAGAGGAGTTACCTCCTTATAATTATGAATTTTATTACTGTTAATTGAGATTAGCTTCTATATTTTATTGAATTATCATTTATTCATGCTTTTATTGATCTTAATTCTATTGGCTTAGTTACTCATTCTGGTATTATTCAATTAAATTTTGATTCTATTGCTGTTAATTATCAAAACTAAAATTTACGTAATGTTAAGGTTAGTTTAAATAAGGATCAGCCTAGCATGCTAACACATATTTATTCTTTTAAACGAAAACATTTCCTATTACTTAAGAATATTCTTTTCTTTCAGCCAAAATAGGATACTTTGTCACCTCTATTTGTTTATTTTACTATATGTCTTCATTCAATCTCTCGAATTGCTATTTTTTTTTAAATTTAAAAAATAATTATAATTGTTTTAGTTTTAAGTAAAATTTTAGAATTTATTTGCTCTAATTATTATGCAAATATTACTATTATTAATTGATTTTAAAAAGCAATTTTATTGTGCTCAAAATTGAGTTGAAATAAATATCTTTAATAAAACTTTTATTTGGTTTAATTATATATCAAGTAGATTTTTTTTGATTTGATCAAAATTAAAATGAATTTATTTCGAAGAGATCAATTAATGTGCTTTAATTATGAATGAAATCCATTTTTATTTTACAAAAAAATTACCTTTTATTTAATTTCTTCTTTGCTAATAATATAATCTGAGCCTTGAAGTGAAGCTTTGTGGCTATTTTTTTTACTAGAAGAATCAAATCGCTTATCAATATTGGAATTTCCAAACTAAGATCTCTAAAGTTTATTCTATTAAGCAATCATTTAATCTAATTCAATCTATTGTTAAAAAACCTAAAATAAACTTTCTATTTTTGATATTTAAAAAATTTACATTTTATTTGCAGTAATTGCTCTATCTCATAATGCCTTGAATATGACTTACTAAGTCATAGTTTTCTTCTAAATTAATTGGACGAGTAACACTTTTGATTATGTTTTCACCTTTTTCTAAGTTATTTTAATTAACTTAAGATTCTTGAAGATCTTAGTTATATCCAAAGTTTTAATTTTGTTAGTTATATTGCTAATACGAGTTTTGATCCATAGATTAGTAGTCTTCATTAAAGTTACCAGAGTTTTTCTTTCTGCAAGAGCTCAAAATCTTATTCAATCTTTAACTATAATTGATTTAACCCACTACCTCATATTCACTATTCTTTGGAGGACTGTTCATCATTTAGCTTCTTTATCTACCTGAATTGAATATTTCATTCGATCTCTATTTAATAATTAATTAAATATAATAAAAATTAATATCTTTTTTTAATTTTATCAATGCTAATTACCTCTTTAATCATTATTTCATTTTCCTCTTTTTATCTATATATTTCAGCCTCAACTCTATTCTTCCATTCCATTTGGCGCTTATATAAGGATGTGGGATCGTTTGAAACATTTGTATATTAAGATGAAAACTTGTTTGGAGTATAAAATTCTGGATGGAATGTGCACTCTCTCACTTCTTTTTCTTTTTCGAAATTAGTCTTTTAATCAATATTTATTTCTTTTTGTTTCATCCACTTATCATTTCTTGAATGGAACTCGTCACTTTTAATAAAGAAATAATTTTATTATTAAATTATTCACAAAATTTATTAAATCAAAATAATAAATTGAAATAAATAATTTTCTTAATCATTTCTTTTTCAATAGATATTTTTTAAATTTAAGAAAAAGTTACAAGTATCTATTTGTTGAGACAAGACGAGGATTGAATGTGCATTACTCAATTTCTTTTTATACTCTTTCTTAATCTATTAGCTTTTTGATCTCTTCCCTAAATTATATTAAACAAGAATTATATTAGTTTTTATTAATAAATGGTAATTATTTATTTATTTATTACTTTCTTTTCGTTTTCTCTAAAGCATATTCATACAATCTTTAGCCTGGAACGTAGCTGGAAGATTTTTCTACCTGATTATTTTTATATATTTTGTGTGATCCCCTTTATTTTTTTTCATCTGCATATATTATTTATTAATTTTTAGTAGTGAGTTTCTTTTTCTTTTTATTAGTGCTGGATTAGTAGTCTTCTTCGTTTTCTTCTGGAACTACTCCATCGCGATTATGCAAATTTTTATTTTTTTTATTTAATCTTGCATTTTAGTTATTTTAACTTCTAGCTTGCTATTCTTCGAATTAGAGTCTCTGTATTTCCTATTCGATTTACAAGAGTTACTCAGATAGCTAGGCATTTTTATTGCTAAATTTTTAAAATTTATAATTGAAACAAAAATAATGCAGTTTTAATATTAATCGATTTTACGATTTGCTTTATTTATCCTAAAAGTTGTTGTTATGGTTTTGTTCATCCTAATATTATTATCTATGATTCTCTCCTTCTTCAGCTGCTTCCTAACTATAAGTTTCTTCATAACCTTCATGCTAGTATTTACGTCTATTTGCTTCTTCGTCTTCTGTAATTTATTTACCACGACTATTATTGCTTGAACTATACAAATTGATGTAATCGCCATTACGCTGATTTTCAGTATTTCTGTCTGTGCTTTATTGCTTTTATCTCATTTATTCTTAATATTCAGCATTCTCCTCCTCTCCCTCTTGAGTTTTATATCCTTATTTTGCTGCGAGTTTATTTTTCTTATCTCCATTTTCTGACTATTAATTTTGGCGCTTTTATGTCTACCAATTCTAGTCAGTTATTTCAAAACCTTAATCTTCTAGCTCCCTATAAAGCTCTGCTATCTCTTGAACTCCTAAATGGATTGTTAAGAAAAATTGTTAATCATACTAGGATTATTTTTGATTTTTATTTTAAAAATATTTGATGATTACTTGACATTTATTTCTCTATATTTGTCAAATTCTTATTCATTAATTTATTGAAACAAAAAAATTTTCAAAGTAAAATTTATTTGTGATTTAAACAACGAACTGCAAGCAATAATGCATGGAATGATTGATCGCTCAAGTACGTTAAAATTAAATTAAAAGATACTTAAAAAAAGAAAGCTGAACAACAATATTAACAATTAATAGAAATAAAATCTTCAATAAAATTTTTAAGTTAGATTTATATTTTTGTTAATTCATTCTCTTTTTTATAAAATATTTTTCTCATTAATTTTTAAGCTAAATTAATTCGTTGATTTTTATTAAATTTTTTTTTCCTTATTTGGCCTGATAAAATTTTACTGAATAAATTCATTTTGGGAATTAAAAAATTAATTTTTTTACTTAATTTAAAAATTAATTAATTACCTTGCTTTTGTCCTGCTGCTGGTTACTAGTCTTTATATTTAATGGTTTGCTTGTTTTATAATTAATACTTTTCTCTTTCTTCTTCTTCATCTTGTTGATGACTATCAAAACACTCTTAGGGAATTTCAACTGCTCTTTAAATTTCAACTTCTCTTCTATTATCGTGAGTCTATCTATTTTTTCCATCGTAAATTTACATTTCGACTCTGTCTGAGTTTGACATTTCATAGCTATTCATTGGACTGGATTCACTTTTAGACTTATATTCATTAAACTGATGCTCTAGTATTTATTTTTATTCCTAAAGTTTTTGCTACTGTTCTTCTTATTCTGCTTACCTCTTTCTCAATAATTCTAATTGCTATGCTTATTACTGAAGAAGTATTTACTGTTACTCTTGCATCATCTTGAATTCTTTTTCTTTAAGTTCTTGCTTTTGTCTCTCAAGTTAGAGTGCTTACTCAACCTACTATTTCATCAACTGCTCTTTTTCTTCTCTTAACTTCTCAAATATAATTAGGCTATCATTAGCATTCTAGGGGCTTCCTTGCTAGCTTCTTGATTAATTTAATAGCATTTCCTTTAAATCTTTGGTTTACTAGTCCTATTCTTTTTTTAAGTTTTCCAACTGTGAGTTGTGCTATTTAATTATTGACTAAAGCTGCTCAGCAAACTGCTTTTACTATTCTAATTGCTGAGTTTATAATTTTTTTAGCTCCTCTTACTGCTAGTTGTAAATTTCTTTGAACTGCTTTCTTTCTTCTGCTGACATTTACTGTTGAGCTTATAGCATCAACTAAAATTACTATTATTGCTATTCTATGTATTTTTTCTATTCTAACTCCTTCTATCTTTGAATCTCTTATTCTTGTAAAATAAGATTTTACTACTACTAGCTTAGCTTATCAAATTATTTCTACTGATTTTCTTGCTATCTACGCAATTATTCTTCAACTTCTTTCTTCTTATCTTACTCAATCTGCAACTTTATTTTTTCCAATTCTTTTGCTTAGTTCTAAAGGTTCCTTTATAATTCCTACTATTCTCTCTCTAGTCTTAATTTTTCTTCTTAGTATTTTTGTTACTGGATTTGTTATTCGTATTACTATCTCTCTATTTGTTCCTTTAATTTTTGCTCTTTCATTTAACTTTCTTTAATAAGTTGAGATTCTATCAACTATTTCTGTTCGGCTTACTAAACAAGAAAATGCTTCTAAAATTCTAGTTATTCTTATTAAATCTTGGCTAGATATTCATGTTATTATTTTTCTAATTATAATTTTAATTAAGACTCCTTTAATTAAGATTCTTTAAGCTATGAATCTTATGAAGATGCCCTGCGTTCCTATTCAATTTATAATTACCTTTAGAATTCTTCCTATTATAACTTAATTTTTTATGCAAATTCTCTTTATTATTTTTCAAATTGTTGCTTCATTTCAATTTCCTACTACTTTCCTTCTTTTAAAATAGTTTCATAAGAGTCTATTTATGCTTTTCTCTCTACCTAAATCATTTGGTTCTTTTATTATTCTAAGCTTTCTCTTTATTATTTTAATACTTACTCTTACTGTAATTATAATTAAGTATTTTAGTCTGCAAATTAACTTTGTGAGTTTTTTTTTAAATGATTCTAAGGTTAATTAGACTGATAGTTTGTGTTGAATGCTGAACTTTGCTAATTAGTTGAATAATTATTATTTGATTCAGTGCTATACTAGTAATTCTAATTGTAACTTAAGTAGTTTTTATTTTAGTTTATTCTATCATCGTTGTTTTCTATGATTGAATCATATTTTAAGGGAGAGATTTAGCTGAACTTATTCGAAATTTAATTTTCTTAATTTGGGCATGTTTAAAGCTTTTCCTCAGCTTCTTTTTACTTTTCTTGTAAAACTTCTTAAAGTGTTAAAGTTCTATTACCTTTTTTGTAGTAATGGGTTTTTCTGATTGCAGGAGAGTTTTATATCATAGGTTATCCACCTTGAATAACAGCAGGGCTTTAAGACCTAACTGGTGATCCTTCTATGATACGACGATTTTTTGTTGCCGAGTTTACCTCAATTACAATTGATAAATTATTTTTATTTTCATTATCTTATGATACACTTCGACTTGATTTGGCAGATTTGTGAGTGGAAGTGTTTCGTTTAGCATCTAAAGAATGTGAAACTGGAGTTTAAAACATTTTCTAAGCATCAACTAAGCTACTAATAATATTTCATAAGTAATTGAACAAAATTTTAATATAAAATTAAATTCATTAAAAAAAGAATAATAAAAAATATTTCAAATTAAATTGTCCATTCAAGCCAAACTAACAGCTAATATTTTTGTAGATCTGAAAAAAAAATAATAATTAAATTACGTATTAGGAATAATATGTACAGGGGATTATGTGAGGATTTAAGTTGGAATAATCTTTGTTTAAGGGTAAACAGATAAGGAAGAAATAGGCTAAATAATTTTTATTTCTTTCTAACCAAATGTAAACCTTTCAGTAGGAGATTGAGAGCGTTAAATATTTTAAACAATATTGCTACTCTTGTTTTCATTATTTTAACTATTGTCTTTGCTGCTTATATTATATTTGCCTATCATTTCATATAGCTTTTTAGCTTCTGGAGATAAGTTGCTTGAATCAATTTGTTTTAAGTTCTTTTGATCTATTACGTTTTTATCTCCTAATGGTACTTTATTTAATCCTTTATTTGGAGATGATTGAGAGTGAATTAAATTACTTACAATATAATTTTTGCTTTATGAATTAACTAGAATAATTTTTGCATTATTGCTATGAGTTAAATCTTATGAATATTTTGAAACGAGTTGTTAATTTTCTGAACCAGTTAGATTTTCACTGATACTTTATTTTTATTAAGAATGCAACTAAGAGTTATTTTAAATAATATTTTCTACTGGCTTTACTTGATATTATTAAACTTGAGGATAAATTATTATATTGTTTGCAGGGGTGAAGCTATTTTAAATTTATGTTACTCCTTGCTAAGCTACTTAGGTTTGTGAACGCATATGCTAGTTATTGCTACCTTTTTATATAGAAATTACAGTTGCTTAACTATTTAGTTAAGGCTTGAGAGCTGGGTTTAGCTAGTGAGGAGGACTTATTAATCTCTAACTGATTACTTAATTTTAGATCAATCCTTTTTCTCCTAAATTTGCTTGTTAACTAACTAAAGAATTGATTTAAATTTAAGTTCTATCTGTGTTCAAGGTAGTCTGCTTTGATGCAGAATTAGATGAAGGAGCGCTAGGTTAAAAGCGAGGATATTGTTAAGGTAATTACTGCTTTAAATTTTAACTAGGATGAGGAATGCCTTTATAAATAGTTTGAACTTGACTGCTTTGTTGGTCCTTGGTTTGCTGTTAGTCGTTAATATTTGATGTTTCCTTTAATACTAATGGGGTAGGGCTATAGAATCTCTATTATCTGATTGTGTTTTGTTGAGGAGAGATGTTTCTAGATGTGATAGAGACTACTTAAAATTAATTAAGAGTTGAGTTGTTTTAAATTTGGTTGCTTTACTGGTTCTATGCTGATTCATCTTATGTTTTATTTTATACTGTCGTTTGCAACAAATTTCCTACACTTGGCTTTGGTGAAGTTGCAATCTGATGAGGAAGACTTGGCCTGGCAACAATCTTTGCAGTTCCTCCTTATTAGTTAATGTTATTTTAAGCTATCTAAATTTAAGGAGATACTACTCGATCAGTTAGGCTTTGGTTCTTGAAAGTAGTTATCACTTACTGCTATTACAATTTGCTAGGAGTAAATAAAACACTTGGGCTTGCAAGAGGTGTAATAGGTTTCAACAAACTTATGCCTTTTTATTGAGATGACTGAATCTATGTGTTGGCTAAGTTTTAAGCAGATAAACTATTTGTGTTATTAGTGTTGCTCATAATTAATTACTGACTAAAATACAAAATCAAATATTAATTTTACTTTAATTATTAATTAATTTCTTTTTATTTTTTTGATTTTTACAAAGTTATTCTTCCTACTTCTAATTAATTAATTAATAAACAAAATGATCTTCTCTTCTTTTATTTAATTTCAGAATTTTATTTAGAGATTTAATTCTTCTTTTAATTTTCAAAAACTTATTGCAATATTTTTAATATTACGATCTTAGTTTGCTGATTAATTTATTATGCAAAAATTATATTTAGAATGCTTTGTTTTTCATTAAAAGTAATTTGAAGTAAAAGAAGAATATTTATTTCTTTTTCAACTATCAATAAAATAAATATCTTAATCAGCAAAATTAGTAATTTATTCTAAATTTATTTATATGTAAAAAAAATGCATAAAAATTTTAATTTCCCTATAAATCTGAGTCCATATCTTATTTGAAAAATTATGCTTAAAGCTAATTTATAAATATTAAATTTAGTCATAAAATACTTACTGAAGTAGCAATTGTAAAATGTAATCAATTTGTTAATATTTTTCTCATTCTTTTAATAAATTTATTAATCAAATAGTGATTAATTTTTTTAGATAAGAATTATTTTTAAGATTAATCAATTTCATACTTTTTTTGTTATGTTTTAAAGTGATTAGTTTGCTATTTTAAATAAAAGGATAGCAAAACTTAAATCTACATTAAAAAGATTATAATATAAATTGTGATAAATAACTTAGAAGATTTTATAAAAACTAATAATGTATTTGAATTAAATTAATATTTTAGTTTTATTTTAAGTCAAATAGATTAGAAATAGAACCAAATAAATTTTATATCCAACTCTACTCATTAAAAAAATTAATTGTAAGAATTAAATTGTGTTAAATATTTCATTTAAAAAATTCTTAATTTATGAAATTTATTTATTGAACTTACACATAATATTCAAGAAGTTATAACAAAATTAATATGAAAGGTTTTTAAAAATAAACAATAGCAATTAAAAAAATGTATTTAATAAAACAATTAAGATCATTTTTGTGTTTTTTCTTGGTTAATTAACATAACATACTTTAATATAAATGTAAATATGCTAAAAATATAATAATTTTAAAGACTTGAAAAAATAATTAACTATTTCTTTTGGTATTAAAACTCAATCTTTTTTGATTTACTTTTCTCTCTTTCTTAAAGAGAAACAGAATATTCCTAAATGGTGAGTGATTTGGGAAATAACTGAACTAGTATAGTGGAAAGAAAAAAGGATTGTAAGAACAGTGACAACAGTTGTTCCGAAGATCTTATTTTTCAAATCCATGACTTCAGGATAATTGTTAAAGATTAATAATAATATGTAATATGGGAGAATTTCAACATGGAAAGTAGGGAAATCCATCTTAGTTAAAGAGCAAATGATTAACTTGCAGGTGAGCAAAGAAACAAGTAATCCAAATGATAATAATATGATAGCAGAGTAGTTTTTGTATAACTCCTTCTATTCAAAGAAACCTAATTCAACTATCACTATCATTAAAATAGGAATCCATTAGAGGAGAGCTTTACCCTTTTGCTTTTCAATCTAATTTTATAAATTTATTAAATTAAAATAATTAAAAAATTAACTAAATAATTATTTTAAATTATTACCACTTTTCCGTTTTTGTCTTTATGAGTTCCAAATAAGACACTAATGACACAAGTAATTGTTGCAGCAACAGTACAGAAAATAACAAAATACACTACAAAGACATAAATGGGTTTTTAAAGAACATAAGTCAAGCCATATTAAACTAATTACTCAGCTACTTAAGAAGGTAAAACTTCTGCAAGCTTAAAGTTCCAAGAATCTTATCCAAAGAAGAAGGTAATTAAGTGAATTGAAACAACAATTAGTTAAGATTCAGTAACTCCAAAGTTTCCAACTTATGTGTTCAAAACATGAGTATGATACTCGGTCCAGTTTGCTGTGAACAAAGTGAATTACAAACAAACCAAAATGAAGAAAACCTAATTAAAAAAAAAATTATAAACACCCTCCCCTCTGATAATTAAAAGTTAAATAAAATAAATAAATAGATTGATTGATTGATTAATGCTCCTTTTTGCTCTGCTTGATTTGGCTTTTTTATTTTAAGTAATTTATTTATTTATTTGATTTGCTTATTTACAATTTTTGATTTATTTCTGACCAAAAGATATTTTTTATTTTCCTTTTTAATTCTAAAGTAATTAGAACCTTTTCTTTGTTATCTATGTAAAGGAGGGAGAAAAAGAAAGAAGTGAATAATAGAACCATTAAAAATATATTTTTGTATTCAATTTTTTTTTAAATATTACGTAGTAGGGGTCTAACTTAACAGCGTGAGCACAAGAGAGGAAGAAAAAGGTAAGTGAAAATGAATCACATCCATGATCAAAGAGCTATCCGAGAGGAGAAGAGGATTTAGTTCTTCTTGCCTATTTTCCATCAACTGCATCAAGAGTTTAGTAAATGAAAATTGAAATAGCAGAATACAAAAATATCCATCTAGGTAAATCTTAGGTCATTGTATAATCGTAATAAATCATGATCGAGTATTAAGAAACCACGAACAAAAATCCTATGAAAGTTACTAAGTTAGGAGCAAGCCACTTTACATATTGAAAAAATTATTTAATCATAAGAAGATAATGAATTTATTCATATGAGATAATAATGCAATTTCTTCAAATAAAAATAGCTAAAAAGCTTTTGATTTATTTATTACATACATTTTCATTTGTTCATTTATATTCGAAAATATCAATAAAATGAGTTGAATTCAATTTGTTGTTGTAATCTTGAAAATTAATTTATTTTTATTGATATAAAAAATTACCATTGGAAGCTATTCTGCACACCATAACCAGTACCCATTCATCTTGTTATCTAACCAAGAGTAGGCTCCTCCTACATACTAATACTTATCTAACTATTCAATACCAGCATCTGAGATGAATCTGCCGGTAAAGAAGTTTGTTGAATGTTTATCCCTAGCCATTTAATAATTACAATATTTGATTTAGCTTTTAATAATATTTATTGACTTTAAATATTCTTTTAAATATTAAATAATTATTTTTAATTTCTTAAAAAAGTGGTGATTTTAAAATAACTACAAAAATATCAAAAATAATTTGCAAAATTTAATTTCAACAAATGAACAAATTCACCAAAAAACAAATTTAAATGAATTTAATTAATTTAATAATAATAAAAAACAAGTAGATCCATTTAAGATACATCAGTACTTTATATACTACGTAATTATTAAAAGCTAAACTAAGTTAAATTAATTGATTCTAAATAAATTTATCCATCTATCTACCTACCTACCTACCTACTCGCTCTTAAATTAAAGATATGAAAGTAAATTTTAACAAATAAAGAAAATGAAATATAAATTCTTAGACATTGACCATTAAAAATTTTGACTACTGTAATACTTAGATTATTATAATTAAAAATTAATATTATTGCTTATAAAAATTAACAAACAAATAATATCTTTAGAAATTTGTAGTTATTTACTAAGATGCTAAATAAATAAATGCATATTTAGTGTAAGTTTATAAATATAAATAAATTATAGATGCTAAATGAGCTTTTAAAATATATTTTAGTTACTAATTATATATATAGTACCATGAGGTAATGCCTTTTTCAAGGTTACATACAAATAGAATACATATGTAGAGTATTTATCACGAAATTTTTGAATGGTATTTGGCTATATATAAAAACACTTTTATATTCAAATCCATTATATATATAAAGTTTAATATTAGAAATTATATTATGAAAAAAAAAAATATTTATTTATTTATTAAATTAATCTATTTATTTATTTACAAATCCATGAATTAAATTCTTAGGTTTCCTCATTCACAAGAAATTAGTTATAGAAGTGTATATTTTTTTATTTTGATCATATTAATGTTATTAAGAGGAATTTTTATACTAAATATCATACATAATTGATAATTGAATTGAAACAAAATAATTTGAATTTTTATCCTATGTATAATAAAACTTTATACAAGAAACATATAATTTTATGATTAAAAACATTTTAATATATTAATAATATGTTGATTTGGTATAAATCAAATATTAAGAAATTATAATTAAATTTATGCAATCAATCAATCAGTCAGTGCTTTGTATTTAATTTTGATACATTTATTACTAGATCTTTTATCAGTATAAAAAAGTTTTTCATTATGATTTTTATTTTTCTGCGATTTCTTATTATTATTTTTTAGAGGCTTCTTGCTCTTCTTGAGATTTAAAATATATCTTACCATTCTTAGTTTTAAAGTAGTATGCCAATATGAAGTCCTTGAGGAAGTAGATGTTCATGAAATCGAAGAGGAAGTGATATAAGAAGAGGGAAATTGAAAGTTTATTGTAAATTATAATCCAAAAAATGATTCTAAGTATTATAGAAACCAATTAATATGGAGTGTAACAGAAACTTCTTCTGTTACTTGAGATAAGGTCATTTCTACTATGATAAAGCTATGGCATATATTAACTGCTTTCAAGAGTGAAGCAAAAGAGTGCTACTTTGTTAATTAAATGCTTCATTGATAATTCTTAAACACATAAACTAATAATTAGTCCTACAAAAGCAATTTTAGTGAGGGAAACTGGGTTTTTCAAAGATTATTTTTAATATTTAGTTAAGAGCTTTAATTTATAAATATAACACAATATGTTCAAGAAGAATTGAACTAAAACCAGTATGGTTTGAATGTTATTTTTAGTAGTTGTCTCAAATATTATTTCTGATGACTAAGCAAACCATATTGTACGACTAAATATACCTAAAAGCTAAAGCAAAAATGATTCTGGTGAATATTCATCTGAGTATTAACCGCTTTTAATAAACCTAATTTACTTGATTTCACTTATTAAATTTAAAATTAAGCTCCATGAAATCAAACTAAATAATTCTGTAAACATTTATGTATTTCTTTAAGCTAAAAATAATGATTTATGTTTATTTATTTATTTATATATTAGTATCTTTCTCTGCTATTCAATAACTTTATGATTTATTAAAAATTACATACATAAAACAATATTTCTTATTTTGTTTAATTTTTTTTGATTTCATTTATAATTCAGTATTTTCCAATTATCAAACACCAAAATTGTTGTGCCATTGTTCTAATTACAACAATAGTCTATCTAGCTAATTGTCTACAAATATAGAAAAAATTTAAGTATTTTTAAATCACAGAAAAACTTTTATCTGTTTAGTTATGTTATGTTTAGCTAAGATTTGTTTTTAAAAACTTATTAAAATAATATCTTAAAAATAATTTTCAAAGTTTCTTTTGAAAAAAAAATACTAAATTTGTCAAAATACAAAATAATTTTATACTTATTATGTTTAAATAAATTATATTTTATATATTATTTTTAAGAATATTAATTAGTTGTTACATATAATACAGATTATAAAGAGCTAACATACATTTTTTAATTTCAAAATTTATTATTAACTTGATTTTCATCAAAAAAGATATTAAATAAAAAGGATTTATTTACATTTTTATTTTGTTGAATTATAATTTGCTTTAAAATAAATTACACTAATTATAAATATAGAATTACTTTTTTAGAAAAATTAATTATGATAAAAAAGATAACACATTTTTAATATTTTAAGGAGTATTTAATATTTTTTAAACTAATAAATAAATAAATCAGACTATATTTATAATGTTATTTTAAGAAATTTATTTTCATCAAAAAGATATATAATGAAAATGATTTATTTACATTTTTATTTTTTTGAATTATAAAATAGCTTTAAAATAATTACACAAAAAAGAATTACTTTTTTAGAGAAATTAATTATAATAAAAAGGATAACATTTTCAATATTTTAAGGAGTATTTAGTATTTCTTAAACTAATAAATAAATAAATCAGACTATATTTATGATAATATTTAAGAAATTGATTTACATCAAAAAAGACATAAAATGAAAAAGATTTATTTACATTTTTATTTTGTTGAATTATAATATTGCTTTAAAATAATTACATAAATTATAAATACGGAATCAATCACTTTTTTAGAAAAATTAATTATGATAAAAATATAACATTTATTATTAACATTTTAAGGAGTATTAATATTTTTTAAACTAATAAATAAATCAGACTACATTTATGATGGTATTTTATGGGAAAATAAAATTTCTTTTGACTAGCATGTCTAGAAGCTAAACATTTTTCTTTTTTCCATCTGTTTCATTGCTTTGTCTCTGTTTTTATGGAATATCAGAACTTATTTCTGATTGACCTATTTCACTCTCTATGCGACTCATTCCATTTTCATTTACTCTGAATTATGACTAAGCTGCAATATTAAATTGTGTTCCTTAGTGAATATTTGAATATGAAGACATTTGAATCATGTATTCTGTGTGATGATGCTTACATAAGGTATCCATAAGTCTGCTACTTCCTTTTTCTCCATAGTCAACATCGTTCTTTTAAAAGAAGGTAGTATGTCCTCTAACTCTTAAATTGTCATATGAAGAAACCATTTTGTTATCATCAAATCTATTTTATTCTAGATTACATCTTGGACATTTTATTTTTTAATTTGCATTGTTTGTAGATGAGTTTGGTAATTTATTATCGAAATAGCCATTAATCTCATTTGAAATATTCTATTTTAGAGCAATATCTTTATATTCAAAATAGTTTTCACTTTAATCAGTAATTTTCTTCTAATTTATTTTATTGTAGCTAAAATACTCATCAATTGTATTATTAATTAAAGTTAGTTCATAATTGTTCTCGTTGTTGTTATTGTTGCTTTAATAAGATTATTGCTGATTTTTGGATTATCTAAAATTTCTTTTCTTTTCCACACTTTATTGTAACTAAATATCTTCTTCATTTATAGTCTTTTTATTAAATTAATTTAAATATAATTTCTAAAAACAAAATTATTTTGAAACAAAATACAATTTTTTTTTTCAATTATCCAATCAAATTTAATTGAATAAAAACTTTAAAAATAAAATATGAAATCCAAATAATTATATTTGGATAAAAAGCTTTAAGAAAAATATTTTAAACTAGTTAATTCCTAATATAATTCAAATAATTTTTATAATTTCAAGTAAGAATAAATATTTTTGAAAGTATTTGAGAAGCAAAATAGTTGAAAGAAAGTAAAATAAAAAAATGAAGCACCTTAATTTTTGTTGAAAAGTAGTCATCAATTAAAAATCTTTCTTAAAGTGTGATTTCCTAACTGTTTTAATATAATTTGCCTTAAAATTAGCTTAACTTTTGTAAGCCATTCATTGTAGATTATTAGTTATAAATTGTAGAATAAGCTTGTTCAATTTTAAATGAGCTTGGATTTGTTTTAGGTTCTAAATAAGTGATCACTTCTTCTTAATTATCTATGTTATTAATAGGAGGAGAATAGTTCTCTTGTTAAATATCGCCTAAATCGCTGTTTTCATCTTATCGGAAAAAATCTGCTTTTTTATCATCTATTTATGAGTTTTCCATTTCGTTTATTTGCTCCAAGTTTTAGTAATTAATTACTTTTTCACTTCTATTCATAGTACTGAAGTTTATAGCTTCATTATCACTTAGCTTTTTTTCTTCTATTTGAGAATATTGCTTTTCTGGAATTATATCAAATTAGTCTATGTTTTTTTTACTTTCTTCAACATTATTTATGAAATCAATTCTGCTCAATTTATGTTAACTTTTAAAAAACATTTCTTTTCCAGCTCCACTATTTCTTTATTTTTCTCCCTTTTCTTAATCAACATTAACCATTTTTTCTTACTCATAACCAGCTGTTTAAGTATAATTAAACTCCAAATCTGGAAATAAATGGATCAGCTTATTGTATTCGCGACTTAGTTTTTCACTGATTTCTTTTCTAGATATCTTCTAAAAGGTATTCTAAAAATTGATGAACAAGTAATTCTTTTTTTTATTATTAATAGAATTTTATATTCTCTTAAGTTTTTTTTAGAAAATATTAAAAAATGTAAAAATAATTAATTAATTATTCTTGTTTTTTAAAAAATATGCTAAAACAAATTTGAAGGTAAAAAATACTTTTGGTAGAGTGATGACAAATTTTAGTGATTGTGTGCTCAATTATAACTTAGATTTATCGTATTTATTAATTATATTTATAAACTCTATTTAGAATTTTTTGAAGGTGAACTTGTTTCTTTGGTTGTGTAAAGGAATTTAGTAATTTTTAAACAGAGGAAGGTATTGTCTTTCAAATACTTCTGGTGATTGATTGAACTCCTCTTCCATTATTCTTCTAATCAGGTTGACACAAGTTTCTTCCTTGAAAAACATTATTGATCTCTACCACCAAGATTTTTCTTCATTTTTTATTGGATACGAAATATTAATATTTTACTTACTCTTATTACTAGACCTTTCTTGTTCTTAAGTTATGGAATTTTACCTACTTGAAGAAATAGAATCATTGTGATTCTTAAAAACCAAAATCTCATATCCATTTTTTGGCTAAAATTACTTTATTGGATTTTACCATATCTTTTAATTCTCGTCAGGAATAAAATTTCCTAAAAATAGATCAATTGATTACTATCTAGCACTGTCACTTAAATTATTCTTAAAGTGACGTTGGATTGAAGTAAATAGCTCAAATCTCCACTTAGTCTTTTACTCTTTAATGTTTTACTTATGAGCTTTCGAACTTCCATATTATTCTGAAATTATATCACCCATGCGTTCAAACATTCCTCTATAAAATACAAGGACTTTCTCATGCACATTTAAATCAGAAAATTTACAAGAAGACTAAAACATCTTTGCCAATTGAATTGCAAGTGCTATTTCTCCAACTAACTATTAGAACGAATTCGTTCTGTCTAAGCAATCAACACAATTACTACGCAAGACACCATTTTAAATTTCTACACACTATTCCAATTTTGACCTCTTTGAATCCTAAACCAAAAATATACCAATTTAATGAACCACATAGTAAGCAAATGTATAGCTTTTCTCCACATATTCTATTTTATCTCTAAATTAATAAATAAACTTTTTTTATAATCATTGTCTAAAAAAATCTTAAATTTTACGTTTTTAATTGCTTTTTCATATCGAAATGAAAATATGTTATCTACTACTTCGATTCTATTTCGCAGTTGATTTCTTCAACTACTTGGTTATATACTTATGCTAATTTTTCTTCATTCGTTTGAGTTTAAGTTGACTTTACTAAGTCCATACAAAATATCTTTTCCCCATACCTAGCATACAAGTCACCAAAATGCTTTTTCGTTGCAGAGTAATAAGGATCGCACTAATTAACTTAAGAAATAGGTGATATTTAAAAATATAAAATTATTATATTTTACTTTGAATTTGGGGTTTTACATCAAAGAGACTAGGATCTTGATGCCAAAAAACAGGTGCAGAACCTCTGATTTGGACGAAAGAAGAACAAGCAGGACGTCTATGAGTCGATTCTAAATCGATTACAATTTATTCAGTTTCAACATAATTTGCAGCAAAACCCTTTTTGAAAAATTCATAATTATTAAGTAATTTTGATTTAATAAATTTATTTACTTCTTAGTTTAATCCTCTTTTACAAAATCTAGTTCCTGCATGATGGCGACATCTTCTTGATATGATAGTAATGCTAAATGAAGAGTTTAAGCTTTTTAAGTCTTTAATTAAAATAAAATAATTTTTTTATCAATTTAAATTTATTCAAATAATCTTCTTATTTATTATCATAAAATCTATTTATTCTAAACTAATCATTTTTTAGCTTACACTGAGTTAATCAAATTTTTTAAATGTAATTTTTGATCAGCAAGCTGGTAACTCAGTTTTTATTGATTAATTAATTATTTAACTTTTGCATATTATTTATTTTTTAATAAATTTTTACTTTTTTGTTCTAAATAGCCATGAATAATTGGAATAACCCATTTTTTATTTTAGAGAATATGGTAGAATTATTGCACTGCATAGTAGTTCCACATGAAAATCTCGCAGAACTAGCCTAATTGTTTACTTTAAGAGTAGCGTCTATCAAGATTTAATTGATTTTAATACTTGTTTTGACTGTCAATTATTTCCAAAGCATTTCTCATCATATTTCTATTCAAAGTGTTGGTTAAATCATATGAGTAACTAGAATAAAATCCTTATGTCATATCATATTCATTCAGTTGTTTTCTAAATTATTGTTCTTCTTTACTTGAATTCTTCCCATCAAACAACTTGAGCACTTCTGTTTTTTATATTGTCCATAGCTTGTGTCCTTTAATTTTTAATTGAAAATATATTAAGCATCTCTAAGATTTTTAGTAGCAATTTTAACTATTTTAACTCTAATTGTCTCAATTAATTTGAGAATTTTTTTATAGCATACGATAATTGAAATACCAAAAATAAATATGAAAGTTAAATAATTACTTCCGATCTTAGCGATTTTCTTAATTTCTTTTATATAAACCATGTAGTATCCTTCAAGGAATTTGTAGAAACCAACAATGCCATAGAATTTGCAAACAAAATTCAATGATTTCTAAATTTCTTAAGTCTTTTTAATGCTCTATTCTGCTTCTTCAATTGAAGAAAACCTCTACTTATCTTCTTCAATTATATATTTTAATCCCTAATCTTGGCAAATGTTAGATTTATCATTCCCCTAAGATTTTGAAATGTAAAGGAGCTTGTATTCCTTCTCATATTTAGAATACCCCATAATTATAGTTTGCTATTCATTTATAATAATGATTAAATTCTAAACAAATCATTTAAATTGATCTACTTTTTTTGTTGTATACAATCTCATCCTTTTATACACTAACCCACCTGGGTTTTGTGGATATTCTAAATTCATTTCTTTTTTAGAATTATTTCTTACTTTGATTTAAAATTATAATTCTAAGTAATGTTGATAATTATTTGAGTTTGATCCTAGTAAATTTTAGAAATACTATTTATTTACTTCAAAAGATTGAATTGAAAATTAATAATAAAAATAGTTAATTAGCGATAATCTAAGAAATATTATTGATAAAAATATTTAATTTATGATTAATTGATTGATTGGTACTAATATTTTTTTCTTTATAAAGTTTCTACATAAACATATAATAATAAGTATTTCAAATATTTCATCAATAAGAATTTTTTTTAAGTAAAATATTGAACTTATTATTCATAAATTATGAATGACTTATAAATCCCTATTATCAAATACGATCTTAAATAAATCTAATTAAAATTTAAAAGTCTAAAAGTTGATTATTTGTGGTAAATTGTACCCAAAATTTATTTATTCTGAAATATTTTTATCATACACTTATATTAAATTTAAATTTGCCTTATTTTACAAAATTGATGTCATAAGTATGTAATAAGGTAACGAATGACACATTAAATGTGCCCACTTCAAATGTAATTATAAAACCATCTATAGGATTACAGATGGCAATCGAAACCTATAGTATCAATATTTATTGATATTATCAATTCGATATATCGATAAAAAAGTTATATCGAAACAAAATTTTTAAGTTTGGTTATCAATTTAAAAATCATAAGTATTGATCGATACTGATATATAATATATAAATTAATTCATTTTTATTTATAATAAAATGTTTAAATTTCATCTATTTTGAATAATCCACTTGATAAATTAAATTAAATATTATATGCCAAATATAGTTTTCAAAAGGGTAGGGTATATATGATATTTCAATACTACATATAGCTGTTCCTATATTTGAAATAATTTTTTAAAAAACCTACATTTTACCAAATAAAATTATTTCGTTCCCCATTCTCTATTAAATTTAAAAAAATTAAATAATTGATAAAATAAATTTTTATATTAAATTTATTCATTTAAAAATATTTTTATGATTTTTGTTTTAAAATAAATCTATAATTATAATAAATATTAAATAAAAAATATTTCAGTTTAAAAAAAATATTTAAAAATGAAATTTAAATAATTCAATTAATTATCAAAAATTGATTTGAATCTAATTATTTATTTTTGTAGGTATTATTCGTTTTAACTAATAAAAGTGTATTTTATACTTGGTATTTTTTTCCTTTTTTACTTGAAGAAAAATATTTTCACTAAAATGGTTTAGAAAGAATTATTATATAAATTGATTTATTCAAAATTTTATTGTGAAATGATGATTTATGAAAAAAAAATTTATGGATATAAAGGATGATATTAATAGAAAGAATTTTAGACTAAATTAGAGGATTTCTGTAAATAATTTATCAGATGGAAATACAAAGAAGATTTTAGAAAAGTAAAATTTAAATAAATTAAAAGTAAAAAGATATTAATTTAATTATTAATCAGTATGTTTTAAGTTAGTAGAAATATCAAATATCTACAAGCAATTAGCAATAAAGTTGTTTTGCAGAATGCATAATTCCATTTATTCAACTTTTAAAAGTTTGATTTATCTACAATCAATAAAGATGAAACTACAAGAAATATTAATAAAGGTACAGGTTAATAGTAGAATTAGCATAAAAATTAGGAAAATTAGTAAATGAAATCAAATTTTCAAAGAGGATAATATTCAGAAGAATATACAAAACAAAATTTTTAAAATAACATCTAAGGAAATTACATTAATTTGAAATAACCACTTCCAGAGTTTACAGGTGATAGAAATAAATTGGCTTAATGGTTTTATAATAAGAAAAACTACACAACTCATTAGAATTAAGAGGATCTATAAATTTTCAGACAACGTTTAATAAAGGAATTCGAATAACTAAATGATGAGTGCCAAGATATAAATTAGGCATTTAATATTTATATCAAATTGTTTATATTATTAAAGACAGTGGATCCAAAATTCTTGGCCTAAAGGTTTGAATTTATTATATAGAGAATTAAATATAGTCCAACTGATGAAGAAGCTCTTTATTATCTTGTTGTGGAATGTTTGAAATATTTGCGTAATCAAAATATACAGAAGCAAGTCAATTTACCTATTTTTCTGATCTTAAGGTTAACTCTTCACATCTGCTACAAGTTCAATTTTTTAAAAATACTACAAGAATGCAATTAAATCAAATAATTACCTTTCATGATTGAGGACATGGTTTGCTTTGTTTATGATTTTCACACAAATAAGCTTCTCAAGAAAATTAATCACGAAAGAATTCATGACATGTATGACAAGGTGATCTCTCTTTGCCACAAAATACATTATGAACCTTCTTATTAATTTGCGTAAGATTCTCATTTTATTTATTTAAAATCTTTTATTATTCAGTATGCTAGATAATTTAAAACTTAAAAATATAATAAAATGAATTAGTTTATGCTAAAAAAATGTATTAATTTCAAATAAACTTTAATCTACAATGAAATGAATTAATTTATATTTATTTAATATTTTATTTATCTTTTTATTTTATAAAAAATGAATGAACCAAAATAGATTGACTAACTTAAGTATGCTCTCAGATATTAAGCAGTTAAATAAATAAACATTCCAAAAGTTGAAAATACACAACACAATCTACTATAGATTATGCTTATAGGAAATAGATAGATGCATACGCAATACGAGTGACACTTAAATTGTTTATATTGCTTATAAATTATCTACAATTGACTATACTTCTTTTGGGTATAAGATAGACCATATTTGGGATTTTATTGAAGAAAGATTTTATCAAAAGAGTGATTAGTATAATTTGATAATGCAGAAGAGTTTATTATACTCCATTGGTAAAACAATAAGAATTACTCAAACTTCATAGAATTTGTACAAAAAATTGTTTGATAAGAAGCAATTAAACAAATTAAGGTATTAAAAGAACTTTTTAGAGTATTTTTCTAACCTCCTTCTTTCAGGAACTGCTAGAAGTCTTTTCACTAAAGAACAATTACAAAATACTTTACCATATATTTAAGAGCTTTTAGAAGATGAGTCATTAGATAGAAAAGAGAAAATAGATTTTGTTGGAAATACTTGCTTGCTTTTCTACAGATTAGGCATTTATGATAAATCTTTCTGGGACTACTTTTTGAAATACGAAGACTATTATCTGAATGATAAGTCTAAATTTTTTTAAGTATATTTTATTTCAAGAACCATGCCAGTGATTTCAGACGAAATTGATAACAAGGAATTAGTAAACAGGATGGCACATTTGTTGGAAAAAATAAAAGAATTGCCATATTATCAATAAGAATTAGCAAGAATCTCTTCTTAAATAACCTAAGTTAAATAATCTCTTTTCGAATAGCGTTTTGATTTTTATGCTAACGCATTTGGTAAAATCATCTAAAGAGAAAAAATAAGTAAATAAATTAAATTGATTGATAAAATATATCTTACTTTTATTTTTCCTAAATCTAATTAATAAATAGTTGACGATATATTCAGTGCTGATTTTTATATGAAAGAAGATAACATAGTTATAGAAATAGAAGGCCATAACCATTATAACTAGCTAACTGATGGTACATACTAAATGAACTTAATCACTTAATTTAAGAGTAAATATTTAAAAAAATTGGGAATATCTGTCATTCATCTTGGTGTACACGATTGCACTTAATAAGAAAATCAAATGATAAGTATATTAAGAGTTTTCTTAAAAAAATACAATCAAGTTAAGAAACATCAAGAAGAAAACAAATTAATAGCAATTGATGTTTGAAAAATATTATTATTTGTAATAAAATTAACAATCAAATTTTTATTTATATTTTTTAGTTTGTTTTGTGAAAAAATGAATAAAAATACTATTTCTCTAAAAAACATATTTTTTTTAATTTTAAATATTTTATTTATTTAAAAAGTATTTCTTTACTATAAATTTTACTAATTACTTACTGCTTTGTTTTAAGATTTATTTATTTTTAAAAATATTATTTGTTAATCTAAATAATAAAGAAATTAATAAATAAATAAAATTAAGTTATAGTTGAGATCTGAAATCATTTATTGAACAAAACAAATCTAATTTGAAAAAAAATAAGAACAATAAATAGAAAAAAAAAGTTTTGAATAATGATCTCATAAAGCTTTATTTGCTTTTTAGTTAATTTAATTTTAATTATTTTTATAATAAAAATAATTTTATGAAACTATTTTAAATAATTAATTAGATCATCTTAAAATTAAAAATATTGTTAAAGAAAGATGAACGAAAAAATTTTAATTATTTTAATAAAAACAAAAATAGACAATTATTTTTATTCATTCAATAAAATAAACAATTATTATACTAAAAATGGTTGATTATTAATTTTGAATATCCTTTATTTCTCTTTTTTCAGATATAATTTCATCATAGACTTTTATCTGGTTCACTTATTATAAATAAGATTAACTGTTTTAAAAATTTAATAAAATGCAAAAAATATTAAATTTTACTAATTTAATCAGGCAGTTTCATCCCTTAACTTATTCATAGAATGTTGTTAGGTGAATCATAATTTACTTCGCTATAAACTTGAAATGCTAAGATTCTCCTGTTATTTTGTCTCCATGATACAGTAACATCACTTTGTGCAGCAGCTTTTTATTGTTTTCGAAATTCTCAAGTTAAAAATTTTAACAAAAAGACGGCATATACATTTTAGTAATCCACTTGGTAAATTCAACAATTCCTTTAGATTAATTTAAATCAATTTAATCTATGATATTTTTATTTTTAGATTTCCAGATTTCGAACATTTAAGAATCTTTTTCTACAGATTTATCTTAAAGGATTTTCATGATATGAATAGCGCTACTATACCATTACTTTCTGTTGATCTTAGTTGAGTTGAAATCTAGAGAAATAGAATTTCTTATGTATTCATGAACTTTCTGATTATCATTGCCAAACATCTCTTGGTATATTTATCCAAGCATAAAATAACTTTCTGCTTCTATATGCAAGAACTTCCCTTCGAATAATTTAATTGCTGCTTTGTAGGCATCAACTGCATCCCAAATGCTCTCAGAGTCAATTAATTTGTAAGATACTTATATTATCTTTTTATCTTATTCGTTCTTATAAATTTAGTTGCCTAATTAAAGATATTTGAAAGCTTAATATTCTAAAAGACTCTCATCCAATTTTAAGTATCTTTAATTGAAATAGAATTTGATCTTTTCATTGCTTGACTTTTATGAAGCTTCATACAATCGCTTAAGATCAAGGTTTAAATTCTCCTACAAGTTTTGAGCTTAAATAAAATCTTCAGATTGCTTGCAATCTTAAATAAATTCTTCCTAGATAGAAAAAATTTACTTCTAGGTTATTAGATGACTATCTTGATCGATTTCTAGACTAATCTCTTTAGCAAATGTCTTCAAGTCCGAAATTATTTTACTCTATTCGATTTTGATGTTAGATTGCTAATTTAAAATAGTGTTTAATATTTCTTTTAAAGTTTAATTTTTTAGAAAGAGAAGCTAGGCGTACCAGTCATTATTTTTTTTTTTGTCTCTTTGAGCGAATTCAAAAGCTTATTTCATACTAGAAATACCTTTCTTAAAAAAATCCACCTAATTAAAGGGTTAGCAGTGGTAAAGCAAAAGTTTAAAGTTGATTGTTGCAATATTTTTGAAGATAGATGCTTTCTCTTAGTTTAGCTAGGATAATCCCTCTGCTGCTTCATAATAAGTCATCGCTTATTGTAATTATACTTTAATTTAGTTGATTGGAACTTTTTCTTTTTCACATTAAGATATTATTTGCTTAAAAATTTCATTACCTTTATCTTTTAACTGACAAAACTAGCATCCTTTAGCATAGTCATATTAGATATTTTCTTTTAATGTAAGACCAATATGATTATAATTCTATTGATATGCATTTAAATCATTCGATATATCTAAGTTTAACCAATCTTTAACTTTAGTCTAAGGCTGATATTAAATTGACAGGTAAGTGAATTATTACTAATTTTATTTTTATTAATTGATATTAAACCCATTAATATTTTTTTAATATTTTGGTTAAAACTTTTGTGTCTTTTCATTCATAGAAGCATTTTGATAGGTATTACATCTTTTAGGTGTTTTTTCTCTTGCAGAATAATTATTTTATTGATTCTCGTTTGTTTATTTTGCTTATGAAGAATACTGATTAGTCTTTTCATTCATTGAAGCGCTTTGTTAGGTATAACATCTTTTAGGTGTTTTTTATCTTGCAAAATAATTATAATAGTTATTTTATTGATTCTGGTTTTTTTATTCTGCTTATGAAGACTATTGATTATTTCTATAAATATTCTGATAGGCATTATTGACATTTTTATTCTAACTGTTATATGTTTTTTAAGAATTGTACTAAGTACTTGATTAGGTATTATAGCTTGTGGTAGTTTCTTCACCTTTATAAGAAGGATTATTTTAAGAGAAATTACATTCATTATAATTTGCCCTTTAAGCACTTTAAGGATTTGGAAATTTTTAATAAAAGTTGCTCATATTATTTTCTGTTTTTGGTTTTTTGATAATAAATAATTATTAATTTTTAATCTGAAATAAAATACACGTAATTTTTAAATTAACTAAGATATTTCTCTTTTTTTAAATCCCTATATTTAAAAATGAAATAGAGTGAAATATTATTAAATATTCAATTTTTAAATATTATTTATTATTTTCTATTTAGAATATCTTATAAATTCTTTAATAAACATCATTTATTTCATGGAGAGAAAAAATACCTTATTTATATATTGGCATAAAACTTGATTGACAACAATCATTACAAATTGTTAATTATCATCTTTATTTATGAAAATAAAACTTCAAACATTATATAAGAATAAATTATTTTTTAAAATGACTGATAAAATTATTTTAAGTTAAGATTATGAATTTATTTCTTATACTATTTTTAATAATATGTAAATCAACTAAATAATTTCATTTTATTTATTAATATATTAAGAATTTATTAATATTTAAATGCAGAAAAAATAAATATTAAGACTATTCCCTAATAGAATAACAAAAAAATTCAATTATTTATTATCTAGATTGTAAGTTTAGAGAAAATATATTTTTATAATAATATATAGACAAAGACTTCATTTAAATAAAATGAAAACCAGTATTTAAGGTTTTAAGATATATTGATTAAGAAAAATATGTCAAAATTACTTTTTATTTATATATGGGTGTGAAAACAAAATTTATAATCAAATTTATAATTTATTCAAAAATAAATTTTGAAAATAATTGAAAAATATTTGCTTGTTTTAGACATAAATATTTATTTTTACTAAAGTATTAGAATGGAAATTATTTGTTTTAATGAATTTAATCAATAAAAATTATTTTTTTTTAAAGAATTTAATAAATTATTTGATAATTAATTAAGATTAGAAATCAATTTTAATGCAATTATTGATTGCAGCTTTAAATTTATTTTTAATAGATAAATTAAATTTGCTTTATTTAGAAAAAAATAGTAACAAGGACTGTTTGAAAATGGAGATAGAAAGTTTAAAATAATATATTTTGGATCAACAGAAGATAAAATAACTTTTTTTGCATGAAAATCAAAAATAAATCATATAATTTGAGAAGCTATCAAATTTAAAATATCTATATAAAATTGATAACGAAATATTCTTTTTGGCTTAATAGGTTTACAATTCTACCATTATAAAAGTAATAAAAAATGATTAAAAAACAGTATGCGAATTAAGAAATTAGAGTACAAATTAAAATGAAAATTTAATTTATATTCAATAGTTATCCTTTATCTAATGTAAAATTTAATTTTTATTTTATTTTTTAATTGTTTTAATTTTTTTTAATAAGATTTAAAAAATTTAACTTCATACACTTTTGGAGAGGTAATCTATTGAAAATAATACTACTTAGCGATATTTTTCCTCTAAATGTTAATATTAGATAGATGAAAAACATAATCTTCTTTTAGTAAATAAAATAATTGTGAATAATGAGTAACAAAATTAAATAAAAAAAATAAAAAATAAAACCATTTTACTTTAAAGAAATCAAGATGCATTTGAAGAGAACATGAAAAAAATTGAAACTTGTTAGAATATGTAATCCTTGCATTTTATATACAAGTAAAATAAATTCACCTTATTTTTGATTGTTTTTATACCATATTTTTGAAAAAGAGGAATTAGATGCACTAAAAACATTGAGTTTTTCTTGCTTGCTCAGTAAGTTCAAAAGTTTGAGAAATTGTTGGATTTATTTTTGGATTTCGAATTTAATACAATAGAAAAAAATAACCAAAAGTAATTAATTACTTAGATGATAATAATTTTAAATGTTCAATTCATTCATTAAATTTAAATTTCCTTTTTAAATTTAATAATCAGTTAGTTTTTCATCTTTTTTGATTAATAAATAATAAATATTTTATTTATTACTTTGGCATTTATTATTTTAAATGTAATAATGATAGACAAAATACTAATCAGGAAAAATAAAACTTGTTTTACTTGCTTTAATAATTACCAAAATGTAGAAATTTGCATAGTCTTTCCTGTATCTTCAAGTAATAAGATCATTTTTTTTATTTTTTGTAAATTCTCATTTTTTAAATCTGTTTTATTTAATTAACTAACGTTCATTTTTACAAAATTTTTAACTAAATCTAAATACTAAATTTCGATTATTTTAAATCGGAAATGGCATTTTACTCTATATTATATAGATTAAATAATTTACTTAATTAATATTTAGCAATTGTCGTCTCAATTAAGAAAGAGGAATTAACTTTGTTACTGATTAAATATCATAGTGTTAAAGCTTAGCTTACTTAAGCATTTCATTTTGGTGAGTTATTAATAAAAGATTAATTTTATTTAATTTAATTTTTTTAAGGAAAGAAATGATTGATGCTTAAGGAATTTACGAAGCAATGCAGAATATTTCTAAAATGAAATAGCTTACATACTTAAACATCAACCTTTAGTAATGTTAATATTTTGATAATAGTTTTATTAAATATTCAACTTCTGAAATAGAGGAAATTAAATTGGGGATGAAGGAACCATAAAAATGGGATGGTAGATTTCGAGATTGATTAATTTAAGACAGCTTAAAATTGATTTATGGTAATTGTTAATTCTATTTGGATTAGGTTATCTTATGCTTTATTTCAATAAAATAGGGGAAATAACATAAAATCGGATGGAGTTTCAGGTTTTGCTTCAGAAATACAGAAATGTTCGCAGATAATTCTTTTAGAATTGAATTTAAGGTATTAAACGTTAATTCCAAATAATTAATTTAATTTAGAGTCAACGTGTTACTACTTATTAGATAAATGTAATGATTCATTCATATATGTTATAAAAGATATAATAATATAAATTCTAACGGAGTTATTGGTTTGGCAAACGAAATACAAAATTATCTTAATTTAAGGAATTTAAGTCTTTTATTAAAGTAATGCGTCAATAGTACTTCTAAATAATTTCAAAATGACTATTTTTTTATAACTTAGGGACAATGATTAAATTTCTAAAGAGGCACTAAGCATTCTAGGATAGCGAATTTCAAAGTGCTCTTAGATGCATAGTTTAACTCTCGATAAAAGGTAATTGAAACCAATATTTAATAAAGAGCAATTTGATGTTTTATGTTGAAGTATTTATTTTTTACAAACAAAAAATATGATTTTTATAAATTAAAAAAGGAGGAAAAGTCAGAAATTATAAAATAATAAATATTATTAAAATAAATTATAAGAATATAAAAACATTTTTGGATAAAATTTAATTTATTTTTTGAAATATTCGGAGCAGAGTTACAAAATAAAACAATACTTATAAGATGATTCAAAAAAGCAGGAAATCACCAAGACTGGTAAGCCTGAAACTGAAATTCTCTTGAAGGATTTTTATTAAAATAAAGAAAGCATGTACAATTAAAATATATTTAAGAATAAAATTGCTTGCAATTAGTTGTAATGTGATGTGAATACATTTTGTTATAAACAAAGTTTCTATGAAATTTCTTTTATTATTCTGTATTTTTTCTGCAATGCTTCTATTTTTAATTAAATTTCATAGTGGGAAATAAGTCTTTTGCAACATCAAAATTTCATATTAATAAGATGCATTTTAAACTCTATTTTCATCTATTTTTTTTTTTCAAAAATTTCTATCAAGAGTCTAGAAATTTAAATTGATGGCAGTCCTTTTTTAATAAAGGTAGAAGAAAGAGTTTTGATTAAAACTCTTAATCAAAAGAAAGAAATGTGCTTTTTTAAGATAGCGCGATTAAAAAAAAAGATAATTGATTTCTAAACCAAAAAATATTAATTAAAAACCAATTAAAAAAATATAAAAAACTAAATTAATAAAAAAAAAAATAATGGAAACTTCTTGTTTGAATATTGTGCACTAAATGCAAAATGAGTGCTCGATTAAAATCGATTCTTTACAAAAAATTCTATCATTCCTTTATAATTAACAATTCTCATAATTTCGATATCAAGAGAACGATGTTAGTTCTCTCATTTTATCTGCAGAAAACGATAAATTTAACAGGCATGTAGTCATGGAAATACTACAAAAGCCTTCTTCTTATTACAACGATCAATCATGCCACTCCGTCTATGAGGAAAGTATGCCAAATTTTTCGCAGCGTGTTGATAATATTTATTTATTTACACTACTTTTTCTTTTAAAATTTAACAGCGAGCGATAATAGCTCACTCACAATTTCTCCTCTTGAAATTTACGAGCTTGATAACTTCATCATCAAAGAGTTTTACTATACCAAATGTATTTATTCTTTTTGTTACTTACTTATTTTGTTCTACTGATAAGTTAACAAAAATATTCTTAAAATATCAAAAATAATTCCTATAATTTACTGAAACATTTTTTTTATAAAAACAAAAAGACGAATGCAGTAAAAGCTTAGTAACAATTAATGAGGTAATAAAAAATAAATAACTTATTTATTTATTTATTAATTCTATTCTTATTTAAATTTGCTTTATTAAAAATTCAGTTCCAAATTTTTAACTTGGGTCAGATTTAAATTCTTTCTACTTTTTTCTAATAATAATTCTTACTATTTTATAATTTTTACTCTAAAACAGGTAAAAGGAGATAACATTCATGAGATTAAATATCTTAAGGGATCTTTCCAGTAAATTTCTTTTGTTTATTTTAATCTTAGCTCTCTCTGATTGCTAGAACTTTACCTTGAGAGAGAGCGATTGAATAATTAAACTGATAATAAGCATTCTTTCATTATTTATTTCTAACTATCTTTTTATTGATTAATTAGATAATTTTTGATGATCAACCACCAATTTGAACCAATAAGCAAGTGCATTAACTTACAAAGTCTTAATTACGAAATAAAGTAAACAAAAATTAATCCAAATAGTAAATTAATTTATAAATTTGAAAATTCAAAAGTTCTAACTTCTTTGGAACATATGCTGCTTACTTCCTTGGTAATGCTATAAGTCAATGCTCTAAACTTTAAAAGCTGTAGCTATCTATCAAGTAAAAAAGCTTCTATTTCTATTTCAGACCTCAGATATTTCTTTTACTAAATTAAATGTCCACAAACATCATATAGAAATTCTTAATTTTCCATAATATATATGTTTTGTTTCATATATGCGTAGTCAAAAAAACAGGAATTTCTTATATATATTAAAAATAAATGATGGACAATCAAATATAAACTACAAAAAAACTTATAATTTTATTTATATATTTTTCTTTTTCTTTAAAATTTCAATCTTCTCTTTCATTTTATAACTTTTATTCCTACTTTAACTTTAGCTCTCATGGATTACAATAATAAGACGCTCTTTACCTAGTTTAAAGTATCTCTAACTGCACCAATCTTACTAAGCTCTCTTTAACACTCAAGTATATAACTCATAAAAAAAATTAATTAGTTTTCCCTTCACCCACCCTATCTATATATACTTAAATATATATATTATTTTGAATGCCAATTCGCATATACTAAATACAAGCAAATTAGTTTAAGCATTTATAACTCATTAAAAATTAAAAAAACTAGTCGTTGCGGCCTTAAGACTCAAGGTTCAGCACAATTTTCTGAGAAAATTGCTAATCTCTCTAGCTTAACATGTTTATAGCTCACTTTATGGTATTAAATATTTAAAAAAATTTCATAATTCAGTTGAGTAATTTACAAAATTTTTAACTTTATAGGAGCAACAATATTGATGCTCATGGAGCATGCATCATAGGCTAGAACCTTTCTAAATGCAAGAATTTGAGGAGACTTTCTCTTGATTTCCAGTATATATATTTATAGAACTTCAAAGAGTAGAAATTAAGTTATATTTTTTATTATAAACAGAGACAATAAAATCGAGGATCAAGGATTTCTCCACTTGAGTCATTAGATTTCATAGCTCTAAATGTTAAAAAAATTTGAAATCGATTTATGGTAATAAAAATAAATGCTAAAAAGTGTTTTTAACAATTTCTATAAAAATAGGAAAAACAATATAACATCCAAAGGAGCATATATCAGCGTTAAAGCACTTTCTTATTGCCAAACAATTACCAGCTTAGGATTGCGCTTAAGGTAAATATTGATATACCCCTTTTTTAGATAACTAAATTTATTTCTACTTTGATTAAAAATAGATCAAACAAAATAGACTCGATAGGAGCTATGAGAATAGGAGAAGAATTAGTCAATTTCACTAATTTGCAAAATTTATCCATATTTTTATCGTAAATAAAATAAGCTGTTGTGGAAGTAATATTTTAATCTCTTTTTTTGAAAAATAAATAGAGGCAATGACACAATCAACACAAACGGAATGAAGTTTTTAGGCAGATTTATTTCTCAATGCAAGAAAATCTCTGTTTTAAATATTGACAAATAGTAAATATATAAATAAATATTAATTTTTGATGAAAAAGTTAACTTTTATATAATTAAATTAATTAATTAGTTCTAATGAAAGAAAGAATATCAGTATTCTAAATGAAAAATGCAAGAAAGCACTTAGATTGGTCAAAATTTGCTGATAAAAAAATAATAAATGAATGTATAAATAAATATATAAAGAAATACAGAAATAAAAAAATAAATAAATAAATGAAATAAAAGCTCACAACAACTAACAAAAACTAATAAAATGCTATTTATAAAATAATAAAACTAAAATGATCCATCCTTTCCCTTGCTCTTACTATTTAAAACCTATTTCAAAGTGTGTATATAAAACAATCTATATTATTATATAATTTGTATATAATTTCCCTTCTCATCGTCTTATTTCTCAATCAAATTTTGCGAAAAAGCAAGCTAAAGCGAATTTTTAAATTCAAATTCTTAATTAAATTTTGATTATTTAATTGCATCACTTTCTTTAGTAAATTGTGTTGCTTTGATGCAGCAATTTGATGACATATCATAATTCATCATTAACTGACAGACTTCTTTAAATTATTTTACATATTTTAAATGGAATCAAATATAATTTAAAGTCTATTTCTTTATGAAACCGCATTTATTAGTGCAAGAACTATCTATCTATCTATTTTACTATTATCTTTGCCAATTTAAAAAGGAGTAATTAAATCATAAGTGATGGAATTTATTGTAAAAGACAGACTTAGACTACTAGAAATAGAAAAAAAATAACATTATAAATTAAAAGAAGCATTAATTTTTTGTTTGTCTTATTGATGAGAATAATACGCCTAAATATGTATTCCTCTGTGGACAATTGATGTTATAAATTATGATTACGTAATATGCACAAACAATAACTTAAATTATTAAATTATCCATAGTGAAAAAATTTAAGCATTTCTTAAATAACCCAAAATATACCTAATAAAGTATTCAAAATATCAAATTTCAATTAAATAATTCAACAAAAATATCCTCAAAAAATACATGATGAAGTTTTACAAAAAAGCAATAAATATTTTCTCTATTTTTACTTATTTTTATATTGATTAAAAAATCGTACCTTTGAAAATCATAGATAAATCTTAGCTAAAATTAGAAAAAAAGATAAATAAATAAATAATTATATAACTTTTTGTATAAAAAAATTTCTTGTTTTAGTTAAATAATTATTGATCAATTTGTCTTTGAAGCATAAGAATTTAAAATTAAAATTAGAAGAATTTACATTTAAATAATCAATTTTTTTTAAATTAATTAATTAAATAAATTAATAATTAGGATTTTGTTGAACTTTAATATTTAATATAAAATAATAATAAACTAATTTTGTTTGATTTATTTCTTTTATAAATAATTTTAATTAAATAAATAAAAAAATAATATAAATTAGAGAATATTTATTATTGATTTTAATTTATTTACTTATTTATTTTTAATGACGAAATTATTAAATATACAAATTATATATTTTAAATTATTATTGGGTGAATATTTATTTATTTATATTATTAAGAGTTTTTTAAGTTATTTTTTTGTTTAAAAGTAATTTTAGAAATTATTTAAATTTATATTCTGTGTTTTATTTTAAAAAGAAATCATTTTATATTAAATTTGTTAGTTTTATTAAAATAAGGGCTTGCTTTTTAAATACAACCCTGCTTTCCAGATTTAACTCACTCACTAAATTCATCGAATTTAAATTATTTTCTACATTTTCTTAAAGTTAATTTTATTTTCAAATTTTTTTAAATGCAAGTTTGTTTATTCAGCTGGTTGATCAATTTAAAGGATCAAAAGGCTTTAGTTTGGATATTGTGCTCTCCAAAAAAGGACTAAAGTCAGTACTATTTTTTTTATTACCACCTGTAGAAGACTTAGTTATGCATGAAGAATTAGAAGGGGCTTTGCTTCTTGATATGATACTATCAATTTCTTGAAAATTTGTCTCATCACTACTATCATCAGCCCCACACTCATTTTCTAGCTTTTCAATTTCCTTTTCTTATTCTTCTAGCTCTTTTACCATTTTTTATCTGTTTTTTCAAAAAGTAATAAAATAAAATAAACAAATACTCCAAAATAATAATTTAAAAATACATATGAATTTCCTCTTTCTCAATATGCTTTTAGTTCTCTTCAAATAAAACATCGTATCTTTTTACAGAAAACCCTGTTTGATCAAGTAATTTTTTAGCTTCTTTTACCTTTGATATTAAATAAAAGTTTAATAAATATTTTAAAAATTGTTCAAAGCAAATTTAAAAGAAAATATTGATCAAAGAAAATTTAAAATAAAAGATAAAATATTTTTAACATAAAATTTTTAAAAAATTATAAATTAATAAAAGAAAAGAATCAAATAAAATTTGTAATAAAATTATTAAGAAAAATACATCTTTTAAGATTTTCAAATATTTTTCAATAACTAAAGAAATTTAGAATAAAATCTAAATAAATAAATAATAATTATATAATTACAGTTTCTACTCCTTTTGGTAGACCGAAGAATGGATCTATCTGCTCTCCTTCTTAATAGACCTTATCTTTATCGAAATTGCTTGTATCCAAGATGTTTTTTACTTCTGGGATAATTGGAGCTGGCGTTTTTTTCAAGTTATTCCAATCTATGCCTGTAAAGAAAGGATCTGACTATATTTAAATTATTCCCTGAGAACCTAGTCTTTGCTTAGGATCTGGGTGCATCAACTTTTTAATTAAATTGACAGATTTTTAACTAACTTCATCTTCTCCGTCACCCACAGGAATTTAATCCCATGCTATTCTATAATTCTGTTCGAAAAATAAAAATTATTTATTATGGTGATTTTAAAATAGTTTTTACTTTAATGTTATCGAATATTTTTTCAACTGTGTCATCATTAAAAGGAGGAATTCCTATTATTAAATAAAAAATATAATAATTTATTTTATTTAAAAATATGAATTTACCTATGAGTAGCTCGAAAAGCATAACACCTACACTCCACCAATCAATAGCAGGATTTTATAAACCCTCTCCCTTTAATATTTCAGGTGCAATATAATCAGGAGTACCTATTATCCTATTTGCTGGTTTTGATATTTTATTATTTAATTTTAAAATATTGAGACTATCCACATTTTTTTTCATTTCTAATATCTCTTAGCGAATCGGTTTTTTTTATTTATCAAACTTATCGTTTTAATTGATTCTATCATCGAACTATTTATTTTAAGAAGTAGTTAGTTTTTAATTTTTTTAAATAATAAAATTACCTTCTAAAATGCTTTGTTATTCTTTTGTAAGTTGTTGAAAATTTTAAGCTTTTCTTTCTTCTTTTCGCTAGCTGTTTTATTTCTCCTCTGCAAACCCATATCAGAAAGTCCAAAATCTGTCAATTTTAAATGACCTTGGCTGTCTAACAGTAAATTATCTGGTTTTAGATCACGATGAATTATGCCTATTTTTATAATAAATTTGTTTTAAATTGAATCGTTTTAATGCATTTATTTTATTTGCTTTTATTATTATTTTACCTATTTAATGAAGATTATGAATTGCTACAACTATTTCTGCTATATAAAACTTAGCCATTGACTCCTCTAAAACTCCATAAGAAGATATTATAGAGCCGAGATCCCCTCCGATCATATACTCCATTACAAAACAAATATATGACTCGTGAGTAAATGTATAGACAGCTTTGACTACGTAATCACCTTAAACTTTAGATAAAATCTCATTTTCTTTTTTAAGTGAGTCCAAATGATTTTTGTTCATCTTTTAAAAAATTATAGAAGTCAAATAAAATTTTTTACATAAAAACAATCAATGTTTGAATAAAAAGAAATGAAAAAAGATGATAAAAAAACAAAAATATTTTTTACTTTTTCAGCAAAATTAACTATTTTCATAGCATAGATGTCCTCAGTGTTTTTTTTACGGACAAGCCATACTCTACCAAAAGCACCCTTACTTATTAACTTCAAGAAATCAAAATCCTTAATTCCAACATTGTTTTTGCTTTTTTAATGTTAAAAAGAATATACATATTTGAAGTTAAAAAATATTTTCATGCATGCACGATATTATTAAAACAAAATGAATTTTAAAATAACTTAATAATTTTACTCTATCTCTTTATCTGGCTTCTCTTTATGAGCACAAGACGAATAAGGGTTGTCCAGGACACCATCTGAGCTATAACCAGAATTTTTATAAAGAATTTCATCTAATATTTCAATTTTTTAATCTTCTTCTTTTTCAATTTGTTTGCTCAGCATATTTTCGAAATTTATTTTATGATGAGAACTTCTTCTTTCACCAATTCCTTGTTGTGGTGACTTCAATTTTCTATTTTTAATTAAATCTGAGCTTCTTTTTCTTTAAGGGCTAATTACAGTATCTGCTTAATCATCTTAATGAATTGTTTCTTTCACTATTTCTTTACTTTCTTAAGCATTTAAAGATGACTGATTAAACTTCTACTAGTATATACTATCTATAGATGACCTATGATCTATAGAAATTTTTAAATTATTTTGCTGCTTTCCTGTAAAAGTTCCAGATCTCGCCAATCTTCTTTATTTAGTTTAGACAATTGGAGACTTTGGTTCAGGGTCTTCAACAGAATGATCGCTTTATTCTCCAGCTTCTTTTTTTTTCTCATGAAATATTGTTGTTTAGATCGCCTTCTCTACTTATTCGATTTATTGAATCAATTTATATCGTTCCTATTATTGTAAAAAATTTTTTAAATACTACCAGATTACCTAATTTAATTTTACATTGAATAATTTCACTATTTCTTAAACTTTATTCTTAAACGTGCACAAAGATATCTTTTTTAAAAGAAATTCTATTCTCTTTTCATTTTCAGCCAGTGATTGCATTTTTTCTTTTGCATATAAAATATTTTTAATTTCATATTCACTAAATAAATCAATCAATATATTAATAAATTAATATCGAAATATATTAATTAACAAATAAAAAAATAATTAATTAAATATTTAAATAATAAAATAATTAAATAAAAATACTTTAAATCCTCTTAATTAACACCATTTTTAAAACTGAAAAAGTTTTACCTATATCCATGGAAAAAGTATTTTTTTGAGCTGGTGTTAATTAAGGAGGATTTACAGTAAATAATTAAATAATTAAATAAAGAAAGAAAGAATTAAATAAATAAATACATTAAGCAGTTGACTTGAAATCTTGAACAATAAATATTTTGCCGAGACTTTGCACGAGATCAGTAATCCTGAGTTTGGTTTGGCATTAATATTTTTCATGCTACTTAATTTTAATTTCAAAGTTTGTGGATAATTGTACAATATCTTTTTGTATTTCAGATTTACTTCCATTATTTTTTAAATCTACTATTAACTGCAGAGGTAAGCTCGATCTTCTCATCAAATTTCTTTAAGGAATAGGGTTTAGCTAGGATTTAGATTCTTAAGCTTTTATTTAATTTTGATTAGATTTTTCGTCCTTTTTTTTCTCTATTTGTTAAATATTTAAATAAATTTTTTTCTAAGGAAAAATTTTATCTTAGATTTTTACTTATTTGTCTTTTGGAATTTAATTGTCTTCTGTTTGTCTACGGAGTTTTAGATATTTTAAGGTTTCTTTTCAGATTTCTTATGCTATCTAAATCTGAACCACTATCATTGTTACTACTGCTACTACTTTCATATTATGAAGAAGATGGTTGAGAAGAAGAGGATTCAGAAGATGAAGAAGATATTGATGATTTAGAAATATAACTTAAATCCTTTGCTTCTAATTTCTCTTCACTTTATTGTTAACTCTCTAAATAATTATTTATTTGAGGTTTTTAATTATTTTTTGGGTGCATAATGCTACTCTTTTTATGGCTTTTATTCTATTTTTCATTGCTTTCGTGATTGGAAAAGATTTGATTTTTAATATTATCATTTGCATCTTTGTTGTAAATTTAATTATTATTTTCTTAATTACTTTATAAAAAATTTTCATTATGTTTATCATTATTATTGGTTTCATTTTGTTCTTAGTCTTATGAATTTTCTTAAGAATATAAAAATGATCTTTTTTAGTTGTTTTTAAACTTAATCAAAACTTAAGTTGAAAGATCTGGAACTTAGTCTACATATTCTGACTGAGTCATTTCATCGTCAGACTAATTAAAGCTCTCACTTTTAAGCCTCTGGAATTTTTATCCGAATATAGACTTTTGTTATGAGCTTTTACTCATAAAAGATGTCTATTTCGCCAGAGACTAGGATTAAGAAAAATTTTAATTTCCAATATTTCCTGATGGAGATCTTGGAGAAGAGCTCCCATATTTATCTTTAGACTTAAGCATACTTTAGCTTTCTTATTAAGAATATTCATTAGAAATATAATTATCAGTAATTGATTGACTACTTGTGTGAAAGCAATCATTCAATTCGCTCGTCACGATGTCAATAGTGTTCATACGGATTGATTTTCTTGATAGCATATTTTAATTTTTAAAAGGGCTGTCAGGAGATTTCTCTCCTCCATTTTTTTTTGTAATATCTAAAGTAATGTTGCTATTTTAAATATTTTAATGACTATTTTTTATATTTTTTTTGCTCAACACATTTTAATTACTCAAACAGTTAGGTTAACTCTCTACTTATCTGGCAGATATTTAATTAGAAAAGTTTGAATTTGTTGAAGAATGCTATGAAGAGCAATCTATTGAAACAAGCCTTTACAAAACATTTTTTTTCGTTATCTCTTGTTTGACTAAAATGTTTTAAGCTTCTTGCTAGTTCTTTTCTTAAATGACAGAGTTTAAAAAATTTTAATTCAGGCCTATTTGATTTAAACTTTTTATTTACGTTTAGTCAATCTAAGGCTCTTCTTTGTTCTCAAAATTAACGAAACTTTAAGCGTTTATGCCCTCATTTTTTTAATTTTAATGTTTATTTATTTTATTTTTTTCTTCTAATAAATCTCTATCAGTTGCTTAAATATAAACTTTATCCCCAAGTGCATTATTATTCTCTGCTTAATTTTATTTTTATTACATTTAGCTAGAAATTAAGTTTGAGTCAATGAAATTGAGTGTGTCTAAGTAATTTGAGTGATTTTACAACAGTTTATTTCCTTTAGGTGAAAATTCTTATGAAAAGACCCACTAACTACCAATAAAATTAGCATCTGAACTTATTTTTGACTCCTTATCTAATTATTGAATAAAATTTCTCTCCTTTTCATTTTTTATTTGTATTTTTTTGAAAAAATCTGCCACCATTAAGTCTACTTCGCTCAATGAGGATGATAAAGAAGTTAGAGAAAATTCATGAATCCCAAACCCATTATTCATTGATTTAAATTATTCATTCTCTTAATTTTAGCAGCAACTGGGAAAATCACTTACTTGCTATTATTTACCAGTGTTATCTTAATTTTCATTCTCAATTTTTTATTCTTGTATTGTTTGAAGAGGAATATCCGGAAAATGTACATGTGGTCTATTAAATACGTAGTTACTCTATACTTTTTCTTACAAATTAATTTCTTCGCTTCTAATTTGATTACTATTTTAATATTATTGTTTATTCTTTGTACAATTTAATATTTGATGGAGACAAAAATCATTATTTTTTATCAAGTTGCTCATGCTTCCTTCATTGTCACTATTTTAAAATTACTCAATTTATATCTAATTTTAGCTGTTTTTATTACTATTAAGCTGGTTGCTTACTAATTACAAATTTATCAATTACTACTTTTGCTCGCTACTTAATTTTTAAATTATTCCTTCAAATGTTTTTTGTTACTCTTCATTTATATAATATATTTTATCCAAATTTTCATTTCTATCTTCTAAATATTTTTGAAAAGCTTTACATTATTCTTCTTCTTACAATGTCTAAAATAGCATTTATCTTAAGCTCTATTCAGTTTCTTCACTATTAAAGTAATCAAAGTTAAAAATTCCGTTTTTATTATTTGAGAGTATTTATTGTAAAGAATTTATAGAAATTGACTCATCTTAATTGTTTGTAATTAAATTAAGCTATTTGCTACTTGTAGGTTTACTTTTAATTTCATTAATTTTATTAATCAATACTTTTTCATCTTCTTAATAGGTATCGTTTTCTTTACTATTTTCTTCTTTATAACTTGATTTTGAAATACCTGATGTTGTCTTTACCAAGTTGGTGTTAAATTTATCTTTTTAATTATCTTCTGAATCACTTAATTTGGTTTTTCCTAGAATACTACCTGCACTATACCAAGAGGTATTTTAATTTTTATATTCGAAAGACTAATCTTTTCTGTCTAAATTTTATGCAGATTTTTAATTAAACAATATCTCTCTGTTTAAATTAACATTTTTTATATTCTATTTTATTAATATGGGACTAGTTATCTCCTCTTCTTAAATATCAGGTAATTTTTTATTTATTTTTTCACTATTTTTCTCTCCTTATTATGATTTAATATCATTGTTTGATTTTATCGAACCTGAGCTCTTGTTAATAAACTAAAAATTTGGTTAAGAGCTTGAAAACACATCTTCGTTCTCTTCTTATTATTCTGTAATGTTAATTGAAGCATTTTTACTTAATTTTTTATTTTAACCTGTAATTTTATGAAGAACCTGTTATGGAACAAACTCATTCTTTTCCTCTCCTTACAAATTATTAGAAAATTAAAATTCCTCTTCTTTTTTTGAAGTGTCCTCACTTTTTATCAATCTAATTAATTTTTCTTCAGAGTGTGAACGATTATGATTAATAGGATATTCATCTTTTTCTTTATTTTGATTTTATTCTTATTAGTTTTTATTTACTTATTCAACAATATTTTTTATTTAGCTAGATTAAAACCCAAATTTATTAAATGAATGAGATGGAGTACATGTGTTTCTTCTTTAATAATATATAGATTTTCTTTATTCAGTATTATTAACAACACTCTCGCTTTTCAGAATACTAACCCCATCTAGCGAGCTTTAGCTATCTGTTTCAGTATTATTTTGATTTATTTTATTTTTTCGAGAATCTATGAGCATTTATTAATTTTATATCATTTTTTCTAAATTCTTTTGTATTAATGTATATTAAACCTAAAGCTCTCTGTTCTGCTAAAAGAAATAAAACAGACAAGAATTCATTTCTTTTAATTGAATCTTAAGTTATTAGTTTAAATCGTTTAGTTTTTTACCTTTTTATTATCAAGTTAAAATATTTAAACATTAGTAATTTCATTTATTTAAATATCAATTAAAATATTTAAGAGCTTTATACAGCACTTTTATTTGAAAATTAATTTATTATATAAATTTTAATCATACAAAAATTTAAAAAAATAAAAATATTTTTTAGTTTTTTATTTATTCTCGCAATTTAAATTGTTATTGAAGAATAGATATATATTTTATTTAATTAATAATTCTCATTTATTTTAATTATTAAATGTAATTAGAATAAAAATTTTTTAGCAAAAACTAATTAAAATAATGATATATAAGTAATAAATTTAAAAAATGATTTATATTGATAAAATGTTAGAAAAACAATTAAAATAAATAAAAAAATATTACAGTTGATTGAATGCTTTTTCAAATTCGTCATTAGGATTTCTTTTTCACAAATTCTACAAATAATTTTTTTACTTTACATATTTTCTAATAGTTATGCTTTCTATATCTAAGTTTTTCTTTTCTTGTAATTTGTAAACCATCTTTTTAGCTTCCAAAGATTATATTTGTCTTTGATTTGAAAGTAGAGTTCCAACACATCTGAATAATCAGATATCATGTAGTTTTTAAGTCTAATAAATTTTAGTCTCAGACTGCTAGTTGTTTCTTTTAGTTGCATAATATCCTCCAATTTTCCTTTTTCATTAAAAATTAGTTATATTTATTTTATTCATTTCAACTAAGTAAGTTTATATATAATATTTTCAACAAAGGTGAAAAAGTTATTGATAAATCTTATTATGGGCTTATCAATAACGATAAATAATTAAAATTAAAATTAAAAATTAAAATAAACTACTTAAAATTTTAATGAGGTCTATTTATTCATCAACAACTTTTTTGTACAAATCTATAGTTTTCAACTACCTTAAAATATTATGTAAGGGCAGAAAACGGTCTGAAATGTTTTTGTTATAGCTTTGGGTTTGTTGGGAACACTAAGCACTTAGCATCATCACTCCAAGAGCATTGCTTTAATTGTTACTATCTTATGCATCACTATAGACATTTTCTTTAGGTGAATTAAGTATTGATTGGCTTTTTTTATTAGAGGTATTAAATTCATCAAAAAAAATTTAATTTTAGCTATTTTCGTGAGGCGAATCAATAATTTCTTAGGTTTTTCCTTACTAAATATAGTCTTGTATATTTTATTAGCTAAAAACAGTTTCTCCTAATTTGAGAAATTTATTAATTTTTTAAGATTTAAGTGGACTACTTGAATACATAGCTGATGAATAGTATTCTTCTTCCATATAAATCAAATCAGTTATGCGAAAATAGTTGTGAATATAGATGAGTTCGCTAAAAACATTTTTTATTTTCTCTAAAACGCTTTTTATAATTAAAAATATTTAATTGATTGATAGGAGCATATTTTATAATTAATTACATAAATAATGTCTTTTCTCTTTTTTATTTTTCTAATTTATTTGTTTGCTCGCAACCAGCTTTGCTCTGATCAGCTTAATTAAAATTGAAAATAGTTGGAGGATCTAATGTATTTTAAGTATCGCCTTATTCTAGTTTTAAATCTCCATTAAGTTTCTTAGATTGGTGGAACTTGCTCTTTTAGTAGTTTTTTCCAGCTCCATCAGCAAACTTAGCTAACGGAGTGCTATTCTCACTGTTAGAACGGAAATCATTTTCACTTATAGACAAATTTTCATCTGTAATCGAAAAAGAAGAAGAAAGATTTAAGATTCCAAATTTTTTTACATCTGATTCACTATATTGATTGCCTCTCTTATTGTTATGAGACAAGCCACTGTGTCTTTGTCTGTGTACTCTAGACTAAATCTGTAATAAATTATAATTAAATTAAATCATTTTTGATAAATTATCTTAATTTTTACTAGTTTTTCAATAACCTCAAATCTGTCATAAATATGTTTAAATTACTCACTGAGAACTCGTATGGGAGGGAGTTCTAAGAAATCTATTATGAGATTTATTAACTCAAGGATATAGACTCTCTAAATAATTAAAATATATTAATTATATTGCATTTTTTTGATGTAAAAAAGTTATAAATTAAATATTTTCACAAAATATTTCTTGTTGATGAAATGATTAATTAATTAATTACAATTTATTATTGAAATAACTGTTCTCTTGAAAACATCTTAAGTTGGCCTAGAAGAGAGATCAGCCTCGAATTTGACTTTATTGATAAAAAAGAAATATAAACAGTTAAATTAAACGAAAACGCTCGCTTTACTTGTAGTTTAATTTGAGAGACTCTTCGGATATGCTTTTTGTCTTCTGTTAATGAATAGTCTAAATCCCTCATGCTCTGAAACTTAAAGAATGTTTGTTTGTGATTTTTATTATCTTTCAAACATTTTCTTTTTTCTTTTATGAAATTGTTGATAAAAACTCTCAAAGTTTGTTTGCTTTAAAATAATCCTTTTGAAGTGACACTTCTTTATATTTCATACGAGTTGCTGCGATTAAACTTTTTATTGTTTTTTACTTACTGCTGGCTTTTGTCTGTAAAAGAAAGACTCCTCAGTATTTAGTGAGTCTTACTCATTAGTTGAGGTGGTTTATTCTATAATTGCATGTTAAATTGCTGCCAATCTTCTAAAATTAATTTATTTGATGGTATGTTGAAATTACTTTTATTCTATTAATCACCTTCCACATTGTTAATTGTGTAGCAATCAAGTATGACAGAAGTATTTTTATCAATTTCATCGAGTCTCTCTGAATTGCTTGTCTTCTTTTTTATTTCAGGAGTATTATTTTGACATGCTAGCATTTAATAAGTCCCTCCATTTAGTTGATTTTAATTAAAACCTGTAAATAAATTGCTGGTATTATTATCTAATAGTAGAAGAAACTAACAAAGTCGCAGAGATTTCTCTTCCTGCAACACATCGTCATTAGAATCTGATAAATAACCATACTCATTTACATACTATTTTAAAACTTTCTAATTGATTTAAGGCTATTTGCCAAAATTAAGCAAATTCTCATAGCGTTTCCTCACTTTACTCTCTTTTTAACTACTAATTTCCTCTTCGTTGCTACCATCATCTTCTACTTCTGACTCAGCTTGTCGAGTTTGACGACTTATATTATTTGCTATTTGATTCAAAGGACTTTTAGCATCATTTTGATCATCTTCATTTCCTCCGCCTGCTTCACCAAATTTTACTTCTTTAATTTTTTATAAGTTGCCCATCTTGATCGATGAAAGCATGCTATCTTCTAAATAACTATTCATATTTATTAGTTTTTTATATATAAATACAATAAATAAAAATATATTTATTTCTCCTCCTTTTTAATAGAAAATTTACTGAATGTTAATTTTCTCATCTAAAGACAGTAAAAACCAAAACTTTTGACTATTGTCCTTATACATCTTATAAAGAGTTAAAGTATATTTATTTTTTATAAACACAGCACATCTATGATCAATCAATCAATCCATCTTCAAAAATAACTAAATGCTTTCAGTTAATAGCAAGAACAACTATTACCAAAATATATATAAAAATTAAACTATAAAATCCATCTTGCTAGTAGTACTTATAAAAGCTCTATAAAATTTTAAATCATAAATAAAATACTGAATTTTTTAATTATCAAATCAAAAATATTATCAATCACCTTTTGTACTTTTTTAAATATCTCAACTTATTTTTAAAGTTTTAATAACAAAAAACCATTTTTTTTTGTTTCAATTATACTTAATATATTAATTACCTCATTAAAATTTTCAAATCCTAATTAAAAATTATTAATTTATCTACCAGTTAACATATTTATTTAGCTGTATATTCATTTCTAAAAAAATAAGTTTCAAGTGTTAATTAATTAATTAATTACCATAATCTTTTGAAAGAATCATCTTATTATTGATTTTTTATTTTTTATTCATATGTAAAATAGCATATATATTTTTAAAAATTCACTCCTAAAAAGAAATTAACATATCACAACTAGTTTTTAAAACTAATAATAAGAAGCAAAATTTATTGAATTTATTTAAAAATAAATTTTTTTAGTGCTGGACAGTAATATTTACAATTTATTCTTATTTCTCTTTCTTCTAATATATTTCTATTTTATCTAAATAACTAACAATCATAAATTAAAAATTATTTTATTTCTCAAAAAATAAATTTAACTTTTTTATTTGAACATCTTTTAAATTAATTATCATACTTTTTATTATTCAGCTCATAAAAACAATTAATAAATTAGTTCATTATTCTTTTTGATATTATATGAATATTTTTGAAATAATTATAATGAATTAAAATGAATTTATTCATATTATTAAATGAAATTAAAGCAATCAAAATATTATCTAAATAAAAAAGGAAGAATCAAGAAAATTAATGTCAAAAATATCGAAATTGCATAATTAGGTCATGAAAAACTATCAAAAATAAAAGAGCAAGTGTATTAGTGTATTCATGTATAAAGTATCATTTTATGGATTTCTTGTTGATTAAATAATAATAAAAATTTTAACCCTTAGTTATCTTCTATATATATAATTATAATTCAATTAATTTATAATAGCAGTTTATTTTATTTATATTTATATCCTAAATAGTAAGTAATTTATACAATATCTACTAATATATCTATTGTATAATTCAATGTATGTCTAAATATTTTATATTATTTATTTATTTTTATTTATCTATATTTTTTGTCTTAATTTTTGATAAAAATTTAAGATTTTATCGATTAAATATTTGGCATAAGAGTTCTTTGATATTTTTCTAATAATACCATTAAAATTTATATTTAGAGATATTTAACATGAATATAATCGAGGGTTATATTATTTTATATAGAAATCTATCTAATAAATTCCATAAATATAAAACTTTCACAATAAGTTAGGATTAATCAATGGTTATAAGAGATAGTTAACAGATAAATAGGAAATCACAGAAAAAATCAGAAATATTACTTAACATCTATTTATTTATTTAATTAATTAATTAACAAATAAATATTTATCAAGGTACATTAATAGTTATTAAGAAAACTTGATTCAATAATACTATTAAAAATATTATTTAGTTTAGCTAAATTATTCATCATCAAAATATTTTTTCTCAAAATCCTTTTAAAAAGGATTTAAAACATATATAGGTTGATAATTAAAGCATTAAGCGACTCTTGATTGTAGAATGAATTACAAATCTAATCCTTATGAACTCAATAGCAGTTAATCTTAAAGCGAAGTAAGTAATTATTACTAACAATAAATTCTTTTATTTTTGATAAGTTATCATGATAAAATGCTAAGTTTTGCTTCTAAATTAAGTTTTTTTAATGCATTTGACTATTTCAACAATTTCACTATGCTAAAACGCTTATTCATTATTATTTGATTAACAGGTATTGGTTTTTGGTTAAAATTAAGTTTCTTCAACTAAAAAAGTACTGCATGACATGTAAAACGAGAAAAATTGGAACTACAGCAATAGAGGATTTGCCCCTTCTGCAAATCTTCTTAAATCAACAAAAAATGAACAAGGTAATATTTATCATACGCATAAAAACTGCATTTTAAGAATTAATAATATATAATTTAGCTCTTCAAAATGATTTGAAAGTATGATTTTAAAATTATTTCTGCCAAATTCATTTGACTCAACTTATTAAAATTTTACATTTTTTTGATCTTTAGAAATGAAATAAAGACAATTTAAATTATAAATTATGTAGATAAAGACAAAAAAATGAAGCAAACAAACTAGTTTCACCAGAATTAGAAGAATATTTTAAATAATGGGGTGCTTTTATTCAAAAAACAAATGGATGAAGTCAGTCAATAACAATAATAGCAAACACAAAATAGAGGGAGGAATTTACTCAATTAGAAATAGAATTTGCCTTATTTTAGCAAGAAGTTTTTGTCTTAAAGCATAGATTAAGAAGCGAGTTAAATAAATTCTGCATTAGGGAGCCAAATTCGAAGAATTTATTAAAAAAATAGATGCATAAGCTAACTTTCTTAATACGAATTTGATACAAACAATAGGTTTGTTTTGGGATCTTCAATAGATAGAAATAACTAAAAGCAACTACAAATTTAATAATAGCAGTTAAAAAATGAATTATTTGTCTCTAATAGAGCTTTCAATCCTTAAAGTACTTCATCTCATTATAATAAAAGTTAGAGTCCTAAATTCTAGCAAGCTTATAGAACGAGCAAAGGACTATCTCTCTATTAAAACGAAGAAATGTAGGGGGAGGAAAATAATTTTTTTGGAGATATAAGTGTTGAAATCCCTTCTAAATATTAATAATTAACTTCTAAATCTAATATAAATAATGCAAACAATACAAAATACAGATTTTTAGTACAGTAAAATTAGACACCTTCATAAAATAAATAGCTCACTAAGTTGACTGAACAAGACTCTTCTCAATTTACCCTTGTCTCCATTGAATAATTCTAAAACTCAAATCAAAAAGTTATATAAGATACATCCAATCCATTGAAATTTCATGCTTCTAATCCGTTTGTTTAAAAAAATTCTAAAAATAGTAAAAGATATGATGCAAATATAAATATTAACGAAGGGTTGACTGTTAAATCTTCTCATTCTCAGCATGCTAAAAGCAAGTCCCCTAATTCTTTTTTACATCTTCAAAAGGATCAAAGCTTTTCTCAATCAAAAAATTAAAAGCAAGATTAAGCTTTTACAAAAATGTATGAAAATAGTTAAAATAATCTGATAAAAAGCGAAATTCCAATAGATGATGGGCTTCACTCATTAAAGAACCACCTTCATAACACTTAATTAAAAAATATTAATAATGATTTATACTTACACAAGAGTAAATAAAATAGCCAAATACATGGTTCTATAGAAATTATCGACCTAAAATAAATAACGAACTAAAAAGAAATCAGCAATATTATTAGCAAGTAGCAATTAAATAAACAAAATACGATTTCATTGTATAATAGCTCGAACAAAGCTCTAAGATCTAACTAGTAAGAAAATAATTAAGCCGAGTAATCCACAATCATTTATAGCACTGAAAACCCTCAAAGATAAAAAAACGACTAAAGTCTTTCTGAAAAAAAATATTAAACTTTAGTTTGTAAAATGAAAGAATGTTTTGAAAAATTTTAAACAAATTATAGGCAAATTAATAAGCAGGCAGACAAAAAAGCTTTGAATAAAAAAGAAATCAGCTCATAAAATTTATAAAATTGCAATGAAATAACATCGCTTAGTGAGTATTTAGAAAACTAAGATATGAAACATCTTGGATTGCAGGATTCTAAAGACAAAAAGAAGCCCATTAACAAAAAATTATGCAACATAGGTTTAAATATGATACACCGACTATTCATAAAAAAATACGGATAAAATCTACTTACATAAATGAAAATTTAAAAGTAGATTGATAATTATTCTACCAAACATGTAAAAAACGGATTTTGACAAATAATTTAATTAATAAATTATTTAATTACTATTTATATAAAATTTTAAACAAACAAAAAATTAATTAACAGAAAGAATTTGGGTAATAATCAATTTTTCTAATATAATAATAAATTAACGTATTTATTTTTCGGCCTTTAAGACATATTAATTAACTAGCCAATTAATAAAATAATTCCCATTTACATCTACATTTAATAAATAAAACAAACACAATTTTATTTATTGAAGAAATATAAAAACAATTTATTGTTCAAATATTCAATAAAATTAATTTATTCATTGAGTTATAATTTAATAAGTATTCTTAGTATCTATCTATAATAATTAAATAATACTATCTATAATTATTTAACTAGTTAATGTAATTAATAATCAATCATTGTATTTAATTATTATAAATATATTCATTTTTTCTTACATTGTCTTATTAGCTATCTCAATTCCTCTTTTTCGTTGGCAAAACCTTCTTTTGTACTTATAATGTTCTGTAAAATAAAATAAAATAAATTTTATATTCATATTTTTGAAAAATTAAATAAATTTACTAAAGCTTCTTGATAGTGCTTTTGAGCTTCAAAGTATTTATTTATTGCTTTAAACGATTAAGCTAAAAAGTTATGAATCTTAAACTCATATTCTTGAGACTAATGCAATGTTTAACTTATGCTTAGCGCATCAAAATATGCCATAATTGATTTCTCATGTTATTATAGAATTGAATAAGTACTAGCTAAATTCATATAAACTAAAAATAAATTCTATTGAATCTACTAATCGTCTACTTGTTTTGTACCATTATTTATCTTCAATTACTTCAATATATTACTACATTTTTATTGTAAAATATTATTAATTAAAATCAATAAAATTCTTCCCTCTATTTAATATGCTAAAAAACAAAATATAAAAATAATTATAAAAGCTTTATTTTCCAAGGGAGGTTTTATAATTTTTAAGAAGATAATAGAATGAATGAATACCTTGCAATTAAATATCCTTCTAAAGACTATTGTATGAAATTATGCTATCTTAGAATATTACTCATTTCATTCAGAACTTAAACGCTGTCTAAGCTAAGCTTATTTTCAGTATTTTTTACAATATCAGAAAATACAACTTAAACTTGAGTAGTTGATTGAGTAAAGTTACATGTGAGATAAATTATATTCAGCAAGATACATAAACAATTAAAATGGTCTGATCCAAATATTCCTGAAAACCTTTCAAAAGCTAATTTGTAATTCTTGATTGCTTCATCAATTTTTTAGTCTTTCTTAGCAATTTCTGCAATGGTTAAATAAGAATTAGCACTATATAAATTGAATAAAGAGAGATGCTTATCCAGAATAGATATGCAAGTGCCTAGTCTTTAAATAGCTTTTACACTATTATTTTGCTTATGGTGACTTTTCCCACAAAGAAAATATCCAACTCCTGTTATTTAATGGTATTATCCAAATAAATGAGTTTTTATCTAAAGACTCTATTCAAACCAATCAGACGATTAATCATACTCTTATTTTTCAAAGTATAGGTTAGCTAAATTATCTATGCACTACAATAATAATTCTTCTTTCACTGTTACTGAATTGGTTTCTACTGTTCTTAAAAATTTTATTATTTTTTTTGACTCTTCAATTGCTTCATTTTTCAATTAACTGAGTATTAGCATATCTATTAAAGACATTGATAAATCTATATCTCTATTTAGTATTAAGTATTATAAATATTGTCATTCATTCATTCAAAAAAATTAATTTAAATAATTAATTAAATTAATAATTTTTTGATAAAGATTAAATAAATCTATCTGTATTATCTTCAATTATTTAAATTTTACTCATAACATTTTAATTGTTTTTTTGAATTCAAGCCAAATAATGAATTAAATTATCATACTTAAAAAAAAGCTATTTATTTGGAGAAAAAAAAACTTTTTAAACATTTAATATTTTTTAGAATTTTTCAAGTTGAAGTTAATGAATACTTTAATTGTAATAATGTTTAATTAAAATCTGAAAAATATGTAAATATTTATTAAAATTTTATTTATGGCTTGAAATAAATTTAGATTAAAAAATAAAAGAATCTTCTTACATGGAATTCATTTTTGATTGTATTATTTTGATATACTTACAAGCATTTTAATACTCTTTCAGTTCTTGGCAAACTTTAGCAAGTTCTCTGTAGATATGAAGTCCAAATTTATTGTTTAAATCAGAATAAATTCTAGCTATTTCAATATTTAAATTTGAGAATTCTTTTTCACAAATGTTTAATTATTCTTCCATTTAAGTTAGATAGTATTTTTACTACTAAAATTATTTTATTTTTTTACATTCACATTATGCCAACTACCTAAGAGTAAAAGAATATTTAAATAAATATGAGTCATTGAATAATTCTTCTCTTAAAATTTCTTTTAATCCTCTTTCACAGTATTTAACAGCGGTATTAGATTATTGTAAACCTTATTAAACTCTAGCATTTAAGTAATTTATGTAACTATAATTAAAATTTTCAAGATAAACAAGTACATTTTATTTTTTTTAAAATCTAAGTAATTTTACATTCTTTAAGGATGATTCAGTTCAAATGTTTGATAAATGTAAGATTCTATTTAAGTTAATAAAGATTATGCAAGCTCATATTCCTAATTTTAAATATGCTAAACGCATTACTTTTCAATTTCTTCCAAGTTAAACTAATGAACACTATTTCAAATAAATAAAATAAAATAAAATGAAAGAAAAATATTAAATTTTACTCGCTTTTTGAAGTAACGTTTAAGTTCATTGATTAGGATTTATTATGGCCTGAATGCTTTTTGGGTATATTTCTATAATCATATCCATTGAACTTGTAAGGGTCATAAATAAATCCTTTGCTTTTAGCATAATTTTCAGTAGATTTGTCGAAGGGGGAATTTAAGTGAGAACCAAATTTTATTGGGGAATTTCCAAGAGAATCTAGCTTAATTGGTGATTTTGTAATGCTTTTGATTTAACTTATTGGTGATGTAACATCGCTCATTTACAAATTTACTAGCTAATTATGTTGATATTAGTCTTAGTTAAAGTTAAAGAATGTAGGTTATGCTGGATGAGCAATTTTATATTTACTTTATTAACTATTGCTGTTTTAAAAGCTCATTGAATTTGGCAGATGTTGCTAGCAGGTGTGACATTAATTACATGCATCGTTAGAAGTTTGTTCATATTTATTTGGAGATAAATTCTTTTTAACATTATTATTATCATGGTAAGTTTGTTTATTATTTTTATTTATTTAGCTTTTGATCTAACGATAACTTGAATTAGCATTAGGTTTTTCATTAGATGAAGAGTTTAGGTTATCTATTTCACTCGAAGGAGAGTAGTTTAAATTATTCATTATCATTTCATTTCTTATTTTAGCATCGTTTCTCTAAGAATTACTATTTAAGTAGTTTTTCTATGGAGAATACATGGAATAATTACTGTTATTTTAAACCTGCCTCATGCTGGTATTAGCATTGGAAAAGTCATGAGACTTTTTCATTTATTTGTTATTGTTACTTAGACTTTTTTTAACTTAGTTTTTCATTTATTAGTTGATTTTTCTCAGGTTTATCCCTTTCATAAGTGCATTTGATGGCATGTAAGTATTTTCCTTGGGTTATCGTAGCACAGGGGACTTTTATTTAATATAATTTTATAAAATATTTTATTCTTCAATTTCTAATTCTTCATAATCTCTTTTCTTTTTATCAGACATTTATTAGTATTCCTGAAGTTTTTCAATGAAATCAGGCTTATAATTTGCTATTTTCCTTTAATATTTAGCAATATTGTATTCATTATAAGTATGGTGATCCATTTAGTGTATTTGATCTTACCCTTAATTTTATTTTTCATTTAAGATATTATTCAGCTCAAATTAATCGTTTTCATTCCCTTGCTATCTCCTTAAGTATCTATTTAGTATTGCTTAAGACACTGGCTCTAGTTAAGGGGTTTTCTAATCAAGTTAATTTAAATAATTAATTAATTTTAAAATAGATTTTTTATAATAAATTTTTTTAAAAAATTACATAAGATAATTCACCTGAATTTTCATTATAATTTTGCTCTGATTTTGTCTAATCATTTTCAATGGTTTGCCCTAATTCCTACTCATTTTGTAATTTCTGTTTTCTTTCTATAAAATTATACCTGTATTCATTTTTTTAGGATGGTAAATCTTGGGTTTTTTAAATTTAGCAATTATCTTGGTAGTTATTTTAATTTCTATCCTAATTTTGGTAAGAGTATTCATCGTTGTATTTTTATTTATTTATATGATTTTTATTTTAATTAGTTGGAGTTCTGTGAGATTAATCGTCATCTAAACATTCTTTATAGTTAGAAATACTCTAAAAATTAAAATTATTTTAAAAAGTTATTTAATTTGTATTGTTATCATTATTTATTATAGGAGATCCTTGTTATTACCTTTTTAAAATTTCCTCATAATCACTATTGTTATTGTTGTTATAGTTATTAATCGTTAAATATTATGGTTTATATCTTGGACCTTTATCTATTGGAGATATTTCTGAATAAAAATACTTATTTTACTCATTTGTATTCTGCTTCCATTCCTTTGCTGTTTTAAAAATGTCTTCATCTTTTTCCTTTTTAGTAAAGTCATACTTATTTATTTCTTTTTATGTATTCAGTGGTTGCTATTATTAGGAAACATAACTAAGTGACTTTTGATTTAACTAATCGTATTATTAGTTACCTTATTAGTTAATTTATTATCCGTTTAGAATGTAGTTTTTTTCAAAATTATCTGAAGCATAATGCTGATTATTTTTAATTTCATTGTTATCTTATTACAATGACTAATTCTATTAGATTCCTACCATAGTTGGATCTGTTAACTTCTTGAATAGATCAACTTTCAACCTATTTTTAATAGTTGAATCATAGCAATCCTTAGCTCCTCTGGGCTATGAATCAAACAAATTATTTGTTTAGTTATTTTTATTTGAGCTGTTTGAATACTCAAATAGCTCTTTTGTATTATTTCCGGTAATTGAACTTAGCTACTTTTACCTATTTTCAGGAGTTTATTATGACTGAGTGCTTAATTACTTATTAAATTGCAAATTGTCCTCTAATTTCAAGTTACTTTTTTCGTTTTACTGGTAGTGTGAGCTAGAAGGGTTTTTACTCATAATTAATTGCTTTAATTATCTGTAATCTTCGCTGTTTACCCTTACATCAGTTCTGTGTGATGATGCCATATCTTCTTGTTCTATAATTTCTTCATCCTAAACTAGCATGTTGTACCTTTCAGAGTTAAGCTATTCTTTTTATTCTAAAAGATTAAGCATATATAATTACTTCTAAGCTACTTGAGTTGCACTAGCATTTGATAAAGTGCTTCTTTTAGTCAAATCTAAACTTTCTTTACTCCTATATGTATAATTTTCATCTAAATTACTTGGATTTCTCACTTAAAAGGTCTCATTCGAAACATGATCATCTCTTTTTGACATAGATTAAATCGGTGTTATTTATTAATTATTTTGCAATTCTTTGCTCTTATTTTAAATCTGATTTTAAGCATTATAAATCTAATAAACTTACTATTTTGCTTAATGATTTTCTTTTATAAAGTTATCTTTGTTTTATTCTTATACTTCATCTAAAGGTTATATTTGCTCTTATAACTGCTATTATTGTTATTATTACTGAGAATGATGAGAATATCTTATAGAATTTTAATTTTCATTTTATGAGGATCTGAATGATTCCTTCGAGTTAAGCGAATCACTGTATTAAATTTAATTATTTGAGTATTGCCTTTCTTAATTTGAAATCATAGAATTAGCTTAAGAATTATAAACATTCTCAGAATCTCTGTAGCTGTTTGATTGATTATCATTTTACGGAGATTATTTAATTCTTTCAATCACAATTTAATTCTAAGCCTATTTAGAAGATGCTTAAGATTAATTACTCTAATAAGTTTCTTTTATTTTTTAGCTTTCATCTTGCTTTTATTGCAGAATTATATTAGATTATTGTTTTTTTATACTAGTTGAAAATAATTATTGGCTCATTTAGACTGGTAATTGATACTGCATATCTAAGTTTTTGCTCTACTTCTATTCATTCTACTTTTCTTATTTAAGTGAATTGTAATTCTCAGATCTTTATGAATTAGTAGGTGTTTAGTTTTTACTTTGATTGTTAGATAGACTATCTTTATATAGCAAAACCTGCTACTCTTGATGCATTTCGCTTTATTATTATTAATGTTGTTATTTTTTATCTTCAAGTTCCTTCTATTGTTTTTCTATAATATCATGCCCATCCTCATCCCCATCCTATTTTTCTATCAAAATAATCATTAAAATAATTTCTACATTGAAAATTTGAAAATTAAAATGAAATTTTAGTTTCAAATTCAAACAAAAAACACACAAAACTAAATTAAAATTAAAATTTATTCTTGATTTAAAAATATTCTAGATTTTTTAGAAGTTTAAGCATTAAATAGTGTACCTGTTACTAATGATTCAATGTATTAATTTTATTCATCCTCTTATATATTTTCTTCATCATAGAATTATTCTTCTTATTAGTTTTATTTGCTAGCCATTAACTTATTTGATTCTCTTTGTAAATACTAATTAAGAACATTTCTTCCTAAAGTGTTATTTCCATTTTCATCTAAATCATCCATTTCATATTCCTTTTCATAGTCAACTTCATTTTGATGATAATTCTAATTATATTTCTGATCGTAATGCTCTTAATTTTCATTTTGATCATTTTATGTATGATCTTGATCATAATATTAATCTTCCTGTTCCTCTTCATCTTCTTATTCTTAATAGTCCTTATTCTAATCAAAATTTTCATGCTATTATTCTGCTGAATCTAATTAATTTTATTCTTATTCTTCCCCCACATCTTCTTTATTTTCGCCCATTTAATGTCTTACATAATTCTAAATATTCTAATTTTATTAGTTTTAGACAAATAGCCTTCTTCTTGGGTCGATCTGATTAAATTGATGAATATTTTATTAATTTTAACCTAAGCAATTCTATAAAAATTATTCTAAATGCTACTGCTAATCAAACTACTATAAACCCTAATTCGGATGATTAAATTAATGCTCTTGCTACATTTATTGTTAATTTTTTCTTTAGTATATTTCATATTCATATTTGTAAAATCGTGAGTCACCTCCTGACACAATTTCATTCTAATTTAATGTACTACTACTGTTTTGGGTGTTCTTTAAACTTTGCTTGCTTATTGATTTATTCCCATAAGAATCTTCTTCTAAAGAATCACGATATTTAAGACCAGGCATTCTCTCTACTGAATCCATTTAAGATCCAGAAGATTAACTATTTACTTACATATTAAAAATATAATTTATTAGTATTTCTAAATTAAAGGATATCAAAAAATAAATCTTATTTTAATTATCAAAAGCTGCTGATGATGTTTTTTGAATCAACTTTGATCTAAACTGAATGATAGTAATTGATTTATAATTTTAAAATAATAAATAAATAATCTATATAATTTAGCATTTAATTAACACAGAAAGATAACTCTTTAAACAAATGTTAGTTAATTATTTTAAAATTATGTAAATCAAAAATTATAAATGAAAGCGAAAACTAAAATATCTATTTCATTTCTAATTAATATTTAATTAATAGTCTTTTGTTCCATTAATATCTATTTAATAAGCTTTGAATTTAACTTATTGAAAAAATAAAAGAGGTTTAAATTTTTTTGGATGCTGAAAAGCTAGAATTTTTGCAATTAGATTAATTTAATTTATTATTTTATTTTAATTTTGATAATAAAATCCTTATAATAAATTTTTAGATTTGAATACATAATTTTAAATATTAAATTTAATATTAATAGTAGATTTTTATTTTATAATAAAATGCTTTATATTATAAAATATAAAATAAATTATTAAAAAAACAAATAATTTCCAAATTTTTTTATAAATTATGTAAATTTTACTATTTTTATTTGATTTCAAGTTCAATAAAAATAAATTAAAAATTTTTTTATAATTAATAAAGTTATTATAAAAACTAAATAATGTAATTTAAATTATAAATTTTAATCTCAAAATAAAAAAGCAGGCTTTTATATTTATTTCATTAATATAATTTATAGCTTATCTAGGAATTAAATGCTTGCATCTCAGTGTCTGCAAGAATTTAATTCTTGGAAGTGCTATATTTATATAAAATTTATATTTTTGAATTTTAAAAATATATTTGGATGATAAACTTGGTTTTTAAATTCAATTTAAAATATATTTATTGTAATATAATTCTTATTTATATAAAATATTGTTGAAGATATCTTTTATTTGAAAATTTTGATAAAAAAAATTAAATTAAAATAATATTAATATAGTCTTTTTGAATTATAAAAATTAATTATAAAATATAATAGATTAATTTATCTATGATTATAATTTAAGATTAATAGTAAAAAAATATTGAAGAGAAATATCATAATCATTTAAATAAACATCTTAATCAATAAATATACTTTTACTTAAAATCGAAATATAAGTGTAATAAATAGATAAATATTATTTTCAAAATGAATATTTAGAGTATTTGGCATTTATTTTTCATTCTTATTTTAATTTATGGTTTTTTTAAGAAACAGAAATAAAAAAATTTAAATTGTGAGTAATTAAAAAGTATATACAAAACTTTTAAATTTTGATATATTTTAAATGATAAAAATTAACTTTGAAAAATTTTCAATTAATTAAATATTGAATAGGTAGTTACAATTTAAATAAAACTATTATTTTCAAATTGTTTGTTTGTTAGTTTATTTTTTTTTGGTTTAAATAACAATTTATTAATAATTTTATTAAATGATTAATTCGGATTGATTTTTATACTAGAAAAATATTTTATTGAAGAACTGATTCACTAAGTTATTTAATTCCCTAATTTAAAATTACTTATTACTTGTTAAGCGAAAATACTTAATTTAGTGATTTAAGCAAATAGTAAACTGCAAAATAAATTTAATAAAAAATCTTTAGAGTAGAGGGTTTGCGCTATATAAAACTTCTTAATCAAACAAATGAATATTATTTCAATTTAAATGAAAATTAGTTAAGTTAGACTGGAATTTATTCGTTTTATTATTTATGTATATACGTAGCGAAGAAATTCCAAATAATATTCTAAAAATTAAGCGAATATTTAATAATATATATGTATATATATGAATGTGTATGTGTATGTGTGAGTGTGTTGGTTGATTTTGGTATTTGTATGATCAAATAGTTATTAGGGTTTTTGTTTGCAGCAAGAGCTTATTTTCTAATGTGAGATTCGATATTTAAGAGAAATATTTAATTGATTATGGATTTATCTATCATCTATTTATTTGAGTTCTTATTAGTTTTTTCAATCCATCATTACTACAAAAGTGATTTTTTTTGATAGAGATGTTAATTTTTTGATAAAATACAAACAAAATACAATAAAAAAGTAATAAATTAATAATAAGAAAATCAAATATTAAAAAAATATTAGAAAGATAGATAGAGATTGATCAGTCAAGTTTAATTTGAAAAATTGATAATAATAAACAAAGCAAAGTAGAAAGCAACAAGCTGATTATTTAATAGTTTTAAAGTAGTGATTAAATTAGCAAAATATGTCTTATTAATAAGTGTAATAATTGACATCTTCATCCATCAGTAGTAAAGAGACTTCAAGTGATTCAACTCCCATAAAATCCAGTAACGTTAGCATTTGGAAGGAGGCTTAGTTAAGCCATAAAAACAAAGAAATTCCTTCTGCAAGATGGGGCCATTCATTTGTCAAAGCAAATAATGATTTACTTTACTTATTTGGAGGATATGCAGGTAAATTTAAGTTCCATAAAACTATAATTTAATTTTTAGCAGCACATTATATAGTAACCATTAATTTGCATTAAAAGGCATTGTTTGAATAAATAGATACTAATTTTCCATTATAATCAACATTTAATTATAAAGCTGTTTGAATTTAAAACTTTTTTCTATTTAAAAGAATCAAATTATATGAATGATTAGTGGGTTTTTGATTTGAATAGTTTTTAGTGGATTGCTCTTCCTAATTACGGTAATATACCAGAAAAGAGGTCTAACCATTCAGGATGCTACCTAGAGTAGAAAAATAAGTAATACTCAATTTATTAGTTTCAAACAAAATATTTATACTTCTTAAAATATAAAAAGTAGTGTCATTCATTATTTTTTAAAAAATAAGCTTTTAAAGATTTTTTTTCAATAGCTATTTAAACTTCTACACTTATTGTTTGAGATTAATACATACATACTATATTTAAAAATAGTATGAGACTGATTAAAAAAAACATTTTTTGAATAGCGATTATCTTCAATTAAGATTTACATTTTATAATTAAATATCTTTTAATAATGACATTTTAAAGGATTCTTATATTTGGTGGCGGTGGGAAGGAAAAGAAGCGATTCAACGATGTCCATTTATATGATATAGATAATAGTAATTGGGAATATCTAAAAGTTTAAAATAGTGATTTAATAACTCCTCGTACTTATCACTCCGCAAATCTGTTCTTCGATAAATACCTAGTCGTTTTTGGAGGTGAAGGCGTAGGAGATTTAAATGATCTTTGCGTTCTAAATCTAGAGCAAGAACCATCTTGGTAATTATAATCTATTACTTTTTAATAAAAGAATTTTCATATTTAAATAAAGAAACTTAGAATTAAATTTTAGGTAAAAAATATTGCAAAAAATATTTTACTAACACATATTTAAAGCATTGAAAGAGACTTAATTTTAAAAAGAGAAAGTGAAAAAAAAAGTAAATACTAAGATCAATATTTATAAAATATAGGATATTATTGTAACCATTAGGCAAAGTCCCTCCAAAGAGGAGATTTCATTCCAGTGCGACTGTTTAAAATAAACTATATATTTTAGGAGGTTGCTTTTCAAACTATAGATGTCATGAGTAATCTACAAATTCAAAGCTATTACATAAAAAATAACACTTTCATTCATTTACTTAAAAGCGACATTTGGGAGTTAAATATCGGTGAATATTTATAAGATCCACACAATACATAGTTAGAATGGAGATAAATTATTCATTATAATCACGTATTTTAACCAAGATGGGGCTAATGCTCTCAAGTATATGATGATAAAATTTACATATTTGGAGGAAGGAATTTAAAGGATTTGAATGAAACGATAATATTTGATCCATCAAAATAAGCAGATTGCTTAGTAAAAATAGATTAAACCTCTCCAAACCCAAGAAGAAGAGGAGCTGCTGTTGTTGTTGGATCCACAATCGTAGTGTTTGGCGGATTTGATGGAGTCTACTATAATGACATTCATTATCTCAACATTTCGTAAACTGAGGTACATTTTCTACATTTATATTCTTTATTTTTAAAATTAAAATCAAATAATATTGAGTAGAACTTTTTTTTGATTAAATTCAAACTCTTTAGTGATGACTTTATTTAATAATAATTGAATAGAATGAGCATAATTCCAAAATTGATACAGAATCTCATTTTAAATTCCTTTAAAATATTATGTACAGCTAACAAGGCTACGATTTAGAAATATAAATGAGTTCGTTTAAAGTAGGAATACACAAAGTAATTGTATTAGAGAGAATGAATGACCCTAAAAACAAAGCATTTTTAAACAGAGTAAAATTTTCTTCTCAACAATAAATTAATAGATAATAGTATCAAATAAATTAAACATAAAAATGATTTATTTTTACTAAATTCTGTAGATTGAAATTGCGGATGTATTAAATTTGAGTCATAGAGATTTTGAATAGAGGTTTTTCATAACCACTGTTGTTTAATATTTGTATTCTGGAGTATTTGATTATAGGCAAATAAGAAACCAAAAAGATTTAAATTAATTACAAGAATTCGCTCATGAAATTAAACTCATCACTCTTTTAGAAGCATTGAACCAAAATGAGTAGTGGATTAGGTAAGAAATACAATCCACTCTTGTATAAAGATTTAATAGCTACTATTTTTAAAGGTATTTCCGCTATAAATAACATTATAAAAAATTTCTTAGCTTTGCAAATTCTGATAAAAAACTAAAGTCAGAGCATAATTTAGATAGCAAAGACAAATCTAACAACACTCATTAGTAAATTAAAAACTATGATCCTACTTTTGTTATTGTAATATAATTCTGAATAAATTTACAAAGTTTTCAATTAATAAATTTGCATTTAAAAAAAGGTTAATGATTCAATATGGTTTGAAGACAATGAAGTATTTTATTAATATTCAGATATCACTTTATAATGTGAATTCAAATAAATTCGTGCTAATAAACTCCTTCTAAGTTCCTAATCTTTATATTTTAAAACACTCTTTGAATAAGCCTTTATAGAAAAATCAGAATCTATTCTTTACATAGAAATAGTCTCCTACAGCACTTTAAAAATACTAATGAACTTTTTCTACTACCATAAAATTATCCTTCCTTCATGCTTCGAAATTAGCGACTGGCTAAACTTAATTGAGGCATCTAAGTACTTTTAAATTCCTTAAATCTAAGAAGTAGATTAAAAATATTCTTTAAATAACTTTTATATTAAAATATTTATTTAAATAATTAGATTTGTGAAATAGAACTAATTAAAATGATCAATATTGATAACTTATTTAACTTATACTACTCTTCTATACTTTTTAATTGCCCCAAGCTCCGTAAAAATTGCTCATACCAATATGCTCAAAAGTAATTTATTTATTAAAAAAAACTATCAGGCGGTTTAATAAAAATATTTTTGGAACTTCTAATAGTATTTATTTCTTCAAATTTTTTGCAAATTATTTTTTAATCATATAAATTCAAAAAATTAATTTTAAGAACCCTGCTTATAAATTTTGATATAAACTATTAGGTTGTATTCATAAAGTATATTTATGGAATAAAATCCAAACGAATAAGATGACGATATTTTAATATAAATGGGAATAGAGGCTCAATATATCTACAAAATTTTAAGATTTTAAATCAGCTAAGATAAAGTAATTGAGTAAAATGCAATAAACGAAGCAGAACAGATAGATATAGAATATGATAATCATGGAGATTTAAAAAAAGTTTAAGAATTTCTTTCTAATAATATTAACTGGGAAAGGTAAGAAGATATAATAAATAGATTAAAGCGCTGTAATACAAAACAAAAAAGTTTCAGCCATTATTTTAATAATAACATGATCTAAAACAATACATAAGTGAGTAATGCCTACTAAAGTTGCTATTGTTCTAATAATTGTGAATAAGCCTTTTCATAAAACTTTGACTCAAATACAAATGTACATATTTATGACTCAGGAGACAGCTCTTGCAAACAAATAAATAATTACCATAGTGCTGAAATAGAAAAGTTTAATCATTCGACTTAATCTTCTTCTAAGTGTTTATCCTAGCTCTTTTAATCTTAAGATTTAACTGTATTTTCTAAAAAAAACTACACTACTTCAAATTTATAAAATAATCAAAAAACAAGTAAAAACACCAAATATAAAAACTCTTCTAATTCCACAAATGAATACAGTTTTTGTCTGTCAGGTAGATCACAAGACTCAATTTAATATGGAACAATCTAAAATGGGAATAAGACAAGTTCTGAAAACTGTAATTCTGATTTTAATGCTGATTCTGAAGAATATGATATTTAAAACACTGCCATGATTGAAGAAACACAGACATTCGTTCAGTACTAATCTAATATGGAATACTCTCTTTGAAATAAAATTCTTTATAACTTAAAACCACAGTTTAATTATATAGTCACATAATTACATAAGAAGAATGAATTATCTATCAGTCCAAGAAAATTAAATAAATTATTTATAAAATTTCACTGACATAAATTCTGAAATAATATTTTGAATTTTGAAGTTGGATTTAAATATGACAACAGTTAGAATTTACTAAACAAACTAACAAAATTAAAAAGATTCATCTTTTATACCTATTTATCTACATCATTTTAACTTTATAAATATAATTTAATGTATATTTAACTACTCTAAACTCAAAATCTCATTTTATTTTTAGTACTTCATGTTAAACTAGCTACTTTTAAAAACAATTCTATTTCAATATTATTATTTTTGATAAACTTAATTTATAAATTTATTTATCAAACTTAATATAATGAGAAACTTTTATTATCTATGATGTATTTTCTGCTTAAAAATTAAATAAATTTTTATATCTCTTTTAAAGCTTAATAAACTAATAAAGATAAACATTTGATAGAATATTAAAAATAAAATTGCAATTATTAAGTTATTAAATTATTAGAAAATGCATTATTTGTACTCTAATTTAATGTAATATTTTGCTTATTAGACAAAAAAAATTTATTATTAGTAATATATGAGATTATAATTATTTAATATTAAAATAATTAAATAAATAATAAATAAATTCAGTCTTCTTCTTCCGAAAAGAGACGTTCTCCTTATTAAGGTAAAAAAGAACTTTTATTTTTAAGCAATTTGTATTATGGAACTGGTAAAATAGGACTGATAAGGGAAGCCTTTAGATTTTTAGTATCTATTTTGATGTTCTTTTTTGAAAGAGTGTTTTTAATTTTATTAATTTCGTCTATCTAATCGCTTGTAATTTAATTATCTGTTATAGATTACTTGCTTTTAGTATTAATTTGTCTTCTATTTTCTTAGTACTGTTTAATTTTAGTACTATATTACATTATGGTGTTTTATAAGCGCTCTTTAACAACTTATTCTGTTAGTTCGTTTTAAATATTTTAGCTACTATAGTTATTAGTTATGTTTGTTTAACTTATTTATGGTAACTACTTTTGAGTTAAGTTAATTATTTTTCCTTTAGTCTATATTAGTTAGTTTATTTTATTTCTTTTAATTTCTTGGGTAATCTAATTTTAAGTATTCAAAAAGTTATTTCCTTATTTTGGATTATATAAACTAGAATTCTTTTATTCTAGTATTCCAAACAGATCTATAGTAACAGCTTGCTTTTATGGACTGCTTGCTACTTTTTGAGGAGATTGAAGAGATGTATATTCTTATTTAGACTTTTATTTTGAGTAGAATGTGTCAGATTGTAAATAATTTCTTGTTTTATGCTAACTAGTAGAAATTCTGCTATTAATTTAATTAAATGTCTCCATAGTTGGCATTTAATTATTATTAGGAAAAAATGAAGAGGCTGTTTTAAAATACTAGCTATTTTAATTAGAAAGCAACTATTGATTATAACCCTCTATTTGAGATCTGTTTTTTTGTAATTGAGGAGTTAAGGCTGAAATTTATGGATTAATGCATTCTTAAGAAAGATTATCTTCATTTTCATTATCAAAAACTTCTCTACCTATTGATTTTTGCATTAAAAATGATGGATTCTTTGTTTAATCTTCTTACCCAGTTTAAGCATAACTGTCAAAACTTTCATTCTTGTTGTATTTATAGCTAAAATAATTATTATTTAAAAAGAATTTTAAGAGGAAGTTTTTATTAAATTTCAAAAGTTATTTTTTCAAAATTTTAAATTGAAAAAATCAATCAATTATTTAAAAATATAAAATTATTTTTTTTACCCTGCTATCATAGATTTATCATCTAACAAATCATATTATGATAATATTGAATCTTAGAGATTTTCCTATAATTCTTTTTTTTAGTATTTAAGATCTTCAAATTAATTGCACTAGAACGTTAGTTCATTGCAGGAATTTTTGAATTAAATTAACTGCCTTCTTTCTTTTGCTTACTTTTAAATGAAATTTTTAAGTTATTCTTATTCTTTCTTTTCCTATTCTTTATTTAGCTTCTATTTTAGAACTTAGAGTTTGAATTAAGTTTTTTCATCTAATGTTTTTGATATAAATCTAACCTGCTATTAAAGAGGTATGTGACCATAAGAATGTGCCCTGCTCTATTTAATTATTTAATTAACTAATTAGTTAGGTTTTGAAATATTAAAATACTAATTAATAAATAAATTAGGTTGTTATTATTAAATAAAGAAATTATTTTTTATTTATTATTTATTACACATGGGATGCAGGTTTAGATTTTTCTTTCATATTCTATCACATTTATAGGTTTCAAGTTATTTTAATTATTCACACTTTGAGGGTGATGATGGTCATTATTAGATTACTTTTACTCTACTTGAGTGGATTCATTTGGTTAATTAGAATCATTTTTTGGGCGAGAGTCTTACTAGGACGAAATTTATTGAGGCAATTTTTAAACTTATTATGAAAATGGATTACTTTCTACAGTTTATGGACGTGGTAAAAATTTTTTGAAATAGTCCATCGATTTGATAGTAGGAGTTTTAACATCAACAACTTATTTCTTCTTTCTTTAGAGGATTTCATTGATTTTTTCATTGTTATTTATTTTAGATGCTCTATTAATAAAAAAGACATTTTTAAAAGTTATATAATAATTTATAATGAAAAAGTGATTTTACTCACAAAATCACAGAATTCATTAATTAAAAAAAGTTTATTTAAAGAAATTAATAGTAAAAGCCTTTATTTAATTTGAATAAAATTGAGTGGCCTGTTGTAAAAACCTTACATAGCTAATTCGATGCGGTCCAAAATATCTTAAAAATTTTCAGCTCCTTGTTTTTTCTTCTAACTAGCATGGAATTCTTCACAGAAGATAGCATATATCTCTTCAAACCACTTCTTAACACTATTTAAGTAAGATAGTTGAATATCTCGATGAAACGTTTAACAAATTTCTCTTAGGTGAATACCCAGCTCAATAAAGATTGTATTGAGGGCATTTTAGCATTTAAAGAACTATTTATCTTTGCGATAAGTATCGACTCTGTTGTTCCATTATCTAAGATAACCCACAAGCTCTATAAAAGTTTAGTTGTTTTGCAAAAACTAAGAATTAATTGGATCTAAATCAATTTTGCTCAAGCGATTTGGAGTATTCATCTTGAGAACTCTCTTCAAATCTAACTCACATGATTCCAGTACTTTCTCAATCGTTCTCTCAGGATTTACTTTTAACTTTATTTTTTAATTGAGTTTAGCTAATTTATCTGCATGCATTTTTGAAATAGGAGTAAATATTCAAATTTTTATATCCTTTAAAAGTCTTCTTAAAGAGTGAGTTATTATGTTTACTTCTTAATTTTATGTTTATATTGGCTTTTTGATATAAATTTTATGTAATAAATATATAATAAAAATATATCTATGTGTCTGTGCATGTATGCATGTCTTTTATTAAAATTTAATTAAAAATTCAGTGAATGAATAAATATGCAAAACCTTTTATTAATTAATTCATTGATAATTAGCTCATATCCATTAATTTATATGCTAACTCTAAATATCTAATAAAACTCAATAAAAAGTAATATTTCCAGCTCTATAATCAACTTTAATAAGCTTCAATACATAAATAATTCATTCATTTTTCTATTTATTATTATTTTTTTTTGACTGATTCATTGATTGAGAAAAACTTTACTTGTTTTTAATTTTTTACATAAAAATTAATTATGATTATCTATCTCACTAGCTCGAAAAATAATAAACTACTCTGTGATAATATACTAATCTAGTTAATTATGACTAAAAATTGATTTTTACATAAACCAAAATACTTATATTTCTATATTCATTTTCAAATGTAATTTTGCAATTTACTATTCAAAAATAGTAATCTTTTTATATTTTATTTCATACAAAAGTAAATATTTTTTGGATGGTTTAAAAGTATTATTTATAAATAAGTGTAACAAAATCAAATAGACTTTATAATGTAGGTAGAAAATAGCACAAATAAATTCTAAAGAGAAAATATATTTTTGCTATTTCTTAATATACTAAAATATATTCTATTTCCTCTAAATTCCTTATGAAACAAAAATAGCTTGATAAATTTATATATTAAAAAAATATAGTTTTTATCCAAAAAAGATGGCTTTAAGGGAATCTGAGGCTTTGATTGAAGTTTTAGAGTAATAATACATTTTTAAAATATTTCTTTGTCTTTATTAGCAAGTTAGCAGCAAATAATATAAAATTTTAAAAGTTATTCTGATTGATATTTTCAAAATTTTTGTTAAAAATTTTAATAAAATAAAACATGTTTATAATTGAAGACACTAAAATGATTTTTATAATTTAATTAAAAAGTTTGTTGCTTTATAAAACAATAATTTGTGCTTATTAAAATTTTTATAATTTTAATAAAAGAATGAATATTTAATTTAAACTTAAATTTTTTTTAGCTTTAATAGAATTTCATAAATTTAGTAAATCAATTTTTTTAAATAAGTATCTAGAAACTTTTTCTGAATCACTAATATTGACTCTATCTTTTAAGAGATCTGTTTGTATTGGTTTATATCTATTGTCTTTGGTGAATAAGAAGACAAGTGGAGAAGCACTGGGTGATGGGAATTCTTTACATTCGTTATATATATTGTATCTATACACCTTTATGTTTTTAAGGTTGGCAAAATTATGGAGATTGTATTAATTAATTAAGTTATCGTCATAGTTTTTATATTCCTTCAAACCTTTTTCATATTGATTTATATGTTCCCTAATATTATCTAAATCTTACACAAACTTTTCAAGGGCTTTGTGCATAGCATAACAATTTGGACAACCTGGCTTATAGAAGTAAACTAGACTAATATCATCACTGTTATTTTATAATATTTCTTTATTAAAGTTTGATGCATTTAAATATCTGCTCGAGTATTTTTATGATTAGTGATCAAATTCGTAGTACTACTTTTCGCCTATTTATAATAAAACATGCTATAAAGGAGTTAAAAATTTTATTTATTTTATAATAAAAAAGCTCATCTTTAATTTAAATTCAGTTCTTTTTTTTAATCAAATTTTTAAATCTAAATTGTAAAATTATTTTTTAGTCAATTTTAAAATATTCAGTTTAAATTATTCAATTTATTTTGATGATTTTGAACAAATTTATTTTTAATATTTTTATTTTAGAATATTTTAACAAAAATTATATTGAGAGAATTGAATTTACTTTGCTAAATACTCTGTTTCACGAAATAACTAAGCTTGTTTCTGGTTATTTTTCCTTCATACTTATACCTTAATGCATCTTCTGATTCTTTTTAATAGAATGGAATTTCGTTAGCTATTTATTATTCTTTTGGGACAGGACTTTGGACTGTGTTATTTGGAGAATAGAAAGCGAGAGTTGTCCAATCTGCCAATCTTTTATCTAAGTTTTTACTTTTGGATGAATAGTCTAGAAAACGAACTGTATCTGTATACTTGTCAGGGATAATACGGAAATAGTTTTTAAGCAATAGAGGATTTTTAGTAAAAATAATCTAGAAATCTTGATCTTAGATGTTCTTTTTAACTGAAATAAGCTTTTTTGTAAGCTTTTGCTCATACTCTGCTTCTATAGCTTCTGCAGAATAATATATCAAGAACTTATTAACACCATTTTCATTAGCACTTTAGAGTAAATTGTTTAAATCATGATCAGTGTGAATTGCATTGACATAATTAAAACTGCGTTGATAGAGTTTTTCAATGATTTAATTCTAATTGAGCTAAATGTCTTAGTCATTATTTGGATCCCATTCAATCTTATTGTAAAGATACTCTTAGCCTTGGAAAAACCAATTAGACTCATTATTCATTTACTTTTATGTACGCTTTAGAATGTAGATTTCTCCTATATCATCTTTACCTATTGATAACGACTATGCTATGTCTGGATTTCTTATGATAATAAATTTAGTATTCTTCTCTATGTATTCGTAGGAAATATCTCTAAATCTACTCTCTAATTAACTTATGTTTTTTATTCTACCTTAACGATACAAATCATATGTGCTAAATTTAGGTAAGTTAGCATCATAAACTTTTTCTTCTGGGATATAGCTAATAATTAATCTATCTTCTTCTGTCAATTCATTAATATTTTATATCAATTGTGGGTAGTCTTTTTCACCAACAATTTTTGGAGGATGAAAGAAATTCATAATTCTCTGAAAATATGCTTATTAGCTAATATTTCTGCCAATACAATTCTTCCAGTTGCTAATCTAGGAATTCTAATTCAAAGAAAAGTATCTCAAATCACCAAAACAGTTAATTCCAAAAAACTCTACTCCATTTAATCTCTCTTACAGATCTCTTTCTTTTTCTTATTCACGCTTCTACAAAGAATCATTAAGATGGAACTTTGAAGGTTTAAAAGCATAAAATTTAATTTTTCTATTTTCTCTTTTATTTTGAATTGATTTCAACATAATTTTAATGGACTCTTCTGAGCATCCTGGCAAGAAAACAAGACATTCTGATTGCGTTTTATGGTGAACAATAATATCAGAAAGATCTGAATATTTATTAATTAGCAATATATTATTCTTTTTGAAAAATTCTTCAAGCTCACCATCATCAACTTTATTAGCTTCATTAATATTATTTTACTCAATTTTTTTCACTTCTTCTTCGCAATAAGTAGTAAAATAGTTGTGATAAAATGATTTTACAGCTGTCAAACTTAATCCAACTCCACAAGCTTGATAGAATCTTCTTTACCTAAATAAATTCCCTAATCTAAAGAACGCTCTTTTCATAATTATAACAAGTTTAGTATATCCTTTTGAATTTATTTATTTATTATGAATAAATATAATATTTATTTTAATCCTAATCGAAATTTCTTTTTAGATATTCTTTAAAATCTATCTAAGCCAATATAAAAAATTTGATAAGAATTTAACTAAAGCAAAGACTTCAAAACAAACTACTAAAATCAAATAATCATCACCACTAAAATAATTCAGATTATGCATTTATAATACAAACAAAACAAGCTCTGACAGAAATTAAAAAATAAACTCTTGCTTGTTAATTAAATAGTAAATTTTTGATATTTTATTTGAAATTATTTATTGATTTTTCCTTTCTAAAATAATTTTAAAGTGAATTCCTTATTATCTAGCAATATGTTTTAATTAATGACTTAATTAATAAATTAAAATTTATTGTATTTTTATTAGTTGTATTATGTCAGATGGTAATTAAAATAAAATAATATTTATTATTTAATAAAATTGGCGTATTAAACTAAGTATTAGATGCATAGAGTATAACTACAGAAACTTTATCATACCCTTTGGCCAGATTTGTGCAGAATATATGATATGTTCGTTAAAAAAGTTTTAATTAAACATTTTTATTTAAAAATAAAATTAAGACGTATTTATTTTTTTAAGATTTGATAAAAAAATACATTTTATTATAATTTTATTAATGACATCACTGATTAATAATTTAGGTTTATTATTTATTATAATTTCTAACTCCTTTATTAACTTTCAATCAATTCTTTGTATTTTTTGAAATTTCTGATGTGAATATTGATAAAATTCACTAAACAGTAATTAAATTGCTAAAATATGAAAGATTGATTATCCATTTTTATGAAATGAAATAATGAAGCACTCAAAACTATTTTCATATTTTTATTTCATTTTATTGATTAATGCGGCAGCAAGATTTAGATATTCCCTTTCCTTTCGAAATAATTATAGATTATATAGTTTTCATATTTATGTTCTAATAATACTTATTTTAGTGTTCATCAATTGAATCCAAACGTTATAAATAAACACATAAATGATGGCCTAAAATATAATTAATCCAATTTAATTTTATACAAAATATTTTAGTTAAATTAAATGAATGTTTTTTGAATCGTAGAAAATAAATAATTCTTTTTTCAAAGTAATTTATTTGCTTTTCATCAACATTATTTGGGAATTTTTTACATTTCATCATTATTTTGAAAATATATTTTAAAAGAATGTAAATTATTTTTCAATTTACCAATAAGAAGAATACACAAACATTCAAATAATGAAAGTTCTCTAAAAATATAACAAACTTGACTATCGAAACATAGATTTAAATAAATACATTTTTTTTTAACATGCCTGAAAATTGATGTTATAGATAAATAGAGACCTTTTCAATTATTTTTTTTGAATTTAATTGATAGCTTATAAAAAATCTCTTAAATAATCAAAATTTTTGACAAATTTCTATCAATACTATTAATTTATTCAAATGATATTTCCTTTATGTTTTGTTTTAACTCTAAAAAATTTCTTGATTTACATAAAATTTAAAATATTTTAACGAAAGGCATTTGTGAAAAAACTAAATAAATTTGAATGAATAAAGAATATTATTATTTTCATTAGGTTTCTAGATGACAAATTATGGAAAAATTGATTCTATTAATTAAGAATAATAGCTAAATAGAAAAATCTGATAGAAATTAAATAGAAATAGATAATACTTGAAAATTATAAATATAAATTATTTCTTACAAATGGTGTTTCTAAATACTTTTTGCTTGTATAAATCTACTATAATATAATTGTTGAAAAACTCAATCTTAAACGATACTTGAATTATTTCACTTGTAATTAAAAACATTAAATGGCAAGCTGTCTAACTTTAAAATATTAGACTACATTTTAGCCATGCATATTATGTGGACAGTAGAAGCTGAGTTTAATTTGCATTTAATATAAAATTTAATATTATTCTTATTTTCCTTCTGTATTCTAAAATCTGTTCTTTCATCTCAACCTCAATCAATTAGTCAGTCAGTCAATCAACTAATACAATCAATAAATAGGACCCGAATAAATTTTATTTATTCTTCAAAAGGAGTAGAGAGCAATGGTCTCATAGAGATCATCTAATTTTGAATTTCTCAGCTTCATCATATACTTACTACTAACCATTTAATCCTATTGATTTATATTAGAATTATTTTATAAATATTAAATAGAAAGTAATAACATTTAATAACGTTTGTTTAAAGGTTTGTCACTGAAATTTGGATGGATTTCAGTTAAGAGAAATTTAAGTGGTTTTATGTGTTTGTTTATGTTGTCATCTCTGAAACGCATACAGATAAAATTTACATCTAAAATAGTAATTTTAAAATTCAAATAGAACTAAATTCAAATGTATTTTCTCTCTCCAAAAGACATGGAGATTTTTAGTAAACTTTTTATAAAAATGAAAGGTTTTATTTACAAATATCAAACAACACATGTAAAACATAATGAAAGATCATTAAAACAATATTTAAATGAATTTAAACAAAACCCACTAATACAAAGCATTAATAATGAAATTTATAATTATTGTCTGTCTTGATTAACGAAATAAATTTGAAAATTAAGAGTGTTCAAAAATTTGTATGGTAATTAATAAAAGAATTGTAAACGCATTAAATTTTATAATGGTTTTTACAAAAAAGTTATTATTATCTGAATATAATCAATCTATGATAATTATTAAAAATTTCTTAGCTTGTTTTTATGGATCCGTCCTAATTATTTTGATGAGACCCAATTCCTTTTTATTTTTAGAATGAAAATTCATCTTTCTCCTTTTATAATTCAGCTAATTTTTATTTTTCCCATCTAGTTGTTTGTGTTGTTGGGTTTTATTTATTACCTTTTGATAAAATCAATCTAACTAAACACTTTTTACTGTTGTTAAAATAGTTAATCAATCAATCAATCAATTTTGAGCTGGGAAATAATCTTATTTGGTTTCTTAGCTTATTTGATTTGATTACTTTTTTTACCTGCCATTTATAGTATAAAGATGGTGTATTAGTTTTTAAAGTAGAAGTTGCAAAATATGTTTTTTATGTTTAGTAAACCAAATTAAGGAGAGTTTAACTCTTGCTTGAAAAAGTTCAGCTCAATAATAACCGTGTAATTTGGAATATCATTTTATCAAATTTCTGTTTGCTTAATAAGGAGGGGGACACATATATTTATTTGATAACAATTTATACAATTTACACAAAATAATTCTCTTAGCCTCGCTTCTATTCTTGAATCAATATAAATTTTCAAAATAGTCTTAGTTTCTTCCAATTTTTTAACTGAATTTTATTTAAACTATCATTTTTTATAGCATTAAGTAGAATGAATCATCATATTTTAGTTATTTTCAATACAAATATTATGGTTTCAACTCAATATTTTATTATAAAATACAAAATTTTTTTGTGTACTTCGTTAAAATCAACTTGAACTAAGTTATAACCTATCTATTTATAGTCCATTAAAAGCTAGCTAACCTTTTTGAATAATTTTTTATCAATTCACGAAAAAATGTTCAACAAAATCTGACGAAAAATGAGAGAATGCCTATAAAAAATTAAATAATTAACAGTCAAGTAAAGCTATTTTTTATTTAAAAGGAAATTATGAAAACCATTTTTATTTGAAAGAAATAAAAGCTGAATAAATGTGAATGTGAATGATTGATTATCAATCAACTTAATGAATTGATAGTATAAATAAGTCAATTTATGACATCATAAAACATAGATTGATGGAATCTGATGATGAAATTAATTTGAAATCAATAGAATTATTATTATAATAATTATTATAATTAATATCAGATATTATAAAATTCTCGCTTTGTGGCTAGTAAATAACTAACTAACTAACAAACTAATTTTCTTTTAAGAAAATTTCAATTTTTGATGAGCTGTTCAAATAAATATATTTTTTATAATTAAAGTAAGATTTTTGTCTATTTCATGCGTAATCAGTAATTTAAAATAACCAAAATCATCTGCAACATTTCATCATAATTAATTAATCATAAACTTATTTGTAAATTAAGAAAAAAAAAAACAAAAAAACAAAAAAAACAAAAAAAAAACAAAAAAACAAACAAACAAAAACAAAAAAAACCAAAAAAACAAAAAAAATGTTGTGATTTTTTTTACTTTTCTGGTTTTAACTGGAATTGGGAATACACTATTCGAATACTTTCTTGAAATGTTCGTGACTGCTCATATTTAACTGGCCTCAGATCTACTTGCTAATTTTTGAGAGAAGAGAATTTGCTCAGATACCAATCAGCCAATGCTCTGAAAAGCTTTTTAAAAAAAAAGAAACAAAAAAGAAACAAAAAAAACCCCAAAAAACACAAAAAACACTCAAAGAATAAAATGTTTTTTAGCAAATTTCCCTCCTTCTGAATCTCAAAAATGTTCTCTAAAAAAAAAAAACAAAAAACGAAAAAAGAACCAAAACAAACAAACAAAGAAACAAACAAACAACCTCTAGCTCACAAAGAGATTATCTTACTTCTTTCCTGTGTTTCTGCGGTATCTCGGAAACCTTTTTTGCAAGACTTTCAGTTTCTAGCAAGTCTCTTACTAAAAACTAAAAGGCTTCTCTAAATCAGCTGCTATTTGTTCATTCATTCTAATGGAAATAAGCTCCTTTGTCTTTCCTCTGGGTTTCTGAAGAAGTCTTCCTTCCCTCCCGGATGAGTTCACTTTTGGCAAGCCTGTTTTTGATTTCAGTCTCTTTGCTTCTTAAAAAAAAAACGAAAAAACAAAGAAAAACCAAACAAAAAGAACAAACAAACACACACACATCTTTGAGCAAGTAGATTTTCTTTCTTACATAAATGCATACATATCTTTCTTTCTATCTATCTATCTACCTACCTACATATATCCATATATATCCTTTAGGCTTTTAGGATTATAGTATGCCAGTCTGACTTTCACTTGATAATGGACAGAAGTATTCATGTGCTTTTAATCTAAGAAAAAGGGTACAGCTCTCAATAATATATGAAGTATGAAATAGGAAGCTACTTTTTGGCAGTAAAATCTGTTTTATTTGCTCCAGCTAAATCCATTTCTTAACTTATGACTCTATTACGAATGTAATTTCGTTTCATGTTTATAAGTTGCTCTTATATTTACCTCGCTCTAATTCTCTGGCTTTGCTTATTTTAAGCAGACTGCTTCATCTGCTTTTTTTGCTAAAACGATATTAAATGGCTTGTTTAAACCAGTACTTCTTGGTAGGAAATGCCTATATTTTTTAGCATCAGAATTTTAGCCTTTGCTTGCTACTTCCTTAGATTTCTAGCACACCATTATACAAATTTATACTTTATCATCATAATTATTATTATTTTTATTACTATTATATTTATTTACATACTAAGGTGTATTTTTTCTAATACTTCTCAATTCCTCTATTAAAATAAACCTTCATTTCATTATTAAATTAACCTTCAATAAATTATTAAAATAACATTAATTTAACAATTAAAATAAATATTATTCTAATCCTTGTAAATTTTATTGAACATTGATAAAATTCATAAAAAAAGAATATAATTTTTATACAAATTATATTAAAAATATCTAATAATATATATTTTTTCAAAGTCAATCAACAAAAATATATAGATTTTTTTGTAAATAATAAGCAAAAAATTTCCAAATTCTTTGAGAAAACTCTTGCCAATTGACAAGAAATTGTTTTTTTTATTTTTATAGATCTGTATAATAAATAAATATTATTTTAGAATCTTTTGTTTATTTTTATCTTTATCTCTGTATTTAGCATCATAGTTTCTTGTAAAACCAACTTAAAACATTTACTTTTCAAAGATAGTTTTTCTTTTAATAAATGATTAAATTTTAATGGTTTTATTTAAAATTAAATTAATTATTATTACCTCCATATTTTAGAAGAGAATAATCAATAGTAAGTAACTCAATCCTTGTTAAATAAACAAAATAAATTAAATTTATTATAATAAAATTAGCATCTTTTTACAATATTTTACTTAGTGAAATGAGTTTTCTTTAAAGATTTAAATAATTAATTAGAAACAAACTTATTTAACAATTAATTTTAAATGAATAAAATTAATTTCATAAACAAAAATGTTTACTTAATTATCTCGATATAAAATTAAATGAAAAAAAAAAATTCATAACAGTTTTTAATAAAATAATTTTTAAATATTTTAAAGTTTAAAGTAAAATAAATGGATTGCTTTTATTTATTATATTTAATTTTAGTTGAAGTTTTATCAAATTTATTCTATCTATCTTTAAAAATAAATATATAAATAAATAAAAATAAAATTTTTAGTAGAATTATTTCACTAGATTAGAACTACAAAAATAAATTTAATATAATAAATGATGTTTTTTAGGTGAAATCATTTTTAATTAAATAAAATATTTTTTGCTTTTGCAAGAATGAAATATTCTACCTACCTATAATTACATAATAAATGAAATGTTTATCTCAAAATAATATAAAGATTAAAATTATAGGATAAGCTATTAGTAAAGAATAGATTTTATACCATCTATCTATCTAATAAGCCTCTCTTTGAAATATTAAAATATCAAATATTTCTTTCAATAGCTAAATTTATAACATTTTAATCATTAAAAATTAAAACATTAATTCTTTACTTTTATGTATTTTATATAAAAAAATTGAAATGTTTAAAACAGTATTTTTTATGAGAAAGTTTTTTTTTTGATGTTTTTTTATTAAATTAAAAAATTTATCCATAAATATAAAAATATTTAATACTTAAATACACCTTTTATGATAAATTAATAATAATAATAATGATAAATTAATTTTAAACATTTTTAAGTAAAAAAAAATCAAAATGCATTTTTACAACAAAAAAAAAATTTGTTTGGTTTTTAAAATAAAAAATCTATTATTCACATTTTTAAAGTTTAGATTTTTGCTTTTTTAATTAATAGGGAATTGTTTTAGATCATTCACACATTTATTCTTTGCTTATTTCGTCATAACATGATTATGACTATTACGAAATAATTCATAATCGAGTTGAAAAAGTGAAAATATAATTAAAATTAGAAACAAAGATTTGTTTGTGTGTAGAGAAGTTAGTAAGCAATAGTTACCAAAATAAATAATAATCTCTAAAAGTTTAGTTAGTACTATTGTAATTGTAATATTCAAGAGCACCTTTAATCCTAATTTTATACTTTCTAATATGATATTAATAAAAGTAAAGCCAAATAAAAATAAAATATCCTATTATCATACTTCTTGAAATGGCTATTTCACTCATGACAGTAATCTAAAAGACAATTTACAAAAATACTGTTTTTGTTAGAATCTAATCAATTTTTTTAAGAGAATTAGTTAATAAACTAATAAAAAAAGTAAAAATTTATTTTTAAAGATTTATATAAAACACATTTAAATTACAAAAAAAGAGATTTTAATATGATTTAAGAAGTTGAAAGATAAAAATTTTAGTTGAATTTTATTTTATTAAATTGTTTTATAATTTTATCAGTTTATTTGCTTGCTTGTTTGTTTATTTGTTAAGCTATTTATTATCTTGCATATATAAAATAAGATTGCATTTTAAATAAATATACTATTTAGAATAGGAGCGATGCATTTATACTAGATAATTACTACTAAATTTTATAATCTACTTTTAAAAATAGAATGAAAATTAAATTTTTTATTGTTTAAGGGAGAATTAGTTTGTCAAAATCATCAGTTTTTATGATGATAATGACATTTTTAGATACTTGTAAGTTCCTCTAAAGAGATTAGGATAAATCAGAATTCCCTTTGAATTTAGTTGTATTTTAGTATTTTTCTAGTAAAATTGCTCAAATAAAAGAATTTAAATTTAAATTGTATCCACTTGCTTTCACAGTAGCAAAATTGAATTTCATAAAATTTACAATTGTATTTTTTTCTTGATATTTTTCACCACCTTGCTTGAAAATTAGCTTATGAAAATATTCTCAGAATGTTCTTTATCAATAAAATATTGTTCTAAATTATAAAAACCGGATAAATCATTAAAATTATCTAAATAAAAAACTTTAGCTGTTAATAAAATTTATGCTCAGCAATCAGTGAGCTATTTCAGGGAGATTTTTAATTGATTACAATTAAGAGGATTAGGTCAGTTTTAAATTAATGAATCTATAGCGCAATCAAATCATAATTTAATGTTCAAAATTCATTTAAATAAAAGTAATTTTCTATTTCAAGTATTTAAAAACAATTTTCACTTTTGTCAATAAAATTCTTGTAAGTAAACTATTTAGCAAGAAGAATTTATCAAAATTATAAAATAACCAAACAAATTTGTTTAATTGATTTACCACAAAATTAATTATTATCAGTAAAAATTCTGTGGCAGGGAATTGTTTTTTTTATTAAGTTGTTTATCTATTTGAAGTTGCTTTTTGGATGGTATACTAGTTTAATTATTTTATTTGATGTTGTTTATTTATTTATTTGATAGTTATATATTACTAATCAATTTATTTATAATTTTGTTCATTAAACACGGATGTAACAAAACAATTAATTTGTCTTCTTGTTATGAATATTATGGTATTAAATCCATTAATGAAAGAATAGAAAAAGTTGTGTTCATTCTAAAAAATGTAGAGAAATAAGGAACAAATTTAAAATACAATTCTTATTTAGACATAAAATAAACTATACTTTTTTATAGGCTATTTAATATATAAATTAAAGATATTTTGATAAATAAAGCAGAAAAGATAAGGAAATTACAAAACAAAAAAAAATCTTCTATTTTAAATATTGATTTTTATTTGCAGTTGAAATCAATTCTTTTTTTTTGATTTTTTATGTGGTGTTTTTTGGTATATAAAACTCAATTATGGAAAAACAAACAAAGATCAAAAATTAAATGAAATTAGGAATTTGGTTAAGTGAAGCAGTTCATAGAAAATAATTAAATCTATTCTAATATTGAACTTGAGAAAATTTACATTTGTGAATTTTCTGTACACCTTTCCTTATAATTCACGTGAATAAATGAGCAAAAAATCTAACAGAGTTGAAGTAATTTTAAATTCAATTCCTTCTATTTTAGTCTATATAAAATTAGCATTAAGAAAATTTTCATAGCCTAGTTTAATAAGAAATAATCATTCATTCATTCTTTATTTTTTCAAGTTTTATGGGAATACAAAATGAATTTGCAAATTATTTATTTATTTATATTGCTAGTTGATTTTTTTATTTGACCAGAAAATAAAAGAGAATCCATTCATTCATTTGATAAAGAAAAAATTTAATTGATTAATTTTTATATGAGATATGGTTAATTAGTTAGTAAGTTAGATAAATAGATAAACAGATAGATTTTTGATCAAGTAAATTTGAATAGCAGATATATGCTTTCAAAGCAATAAAGGGATGTTAAGACTATTAAAAGAGCTTACTAAAATCAATATATGAACAGGTGTGCAAGTAAGCAAGCAAGCAAACAAGTAAGCAAGAGAGAAATAAAGAAAGAATAAAATTGAAGAATCTAAGAAATGAATGATATTAAAAAGGATCAAATAGAAAAGATAAGATAAGTACTGAAGAAGGAGAAGAAGAAAAATAAATTCAATCGCAAATTATTGATTGAGCAATTTATTAATTAATTAAGTTTCTTGTTATTTGGCTTTTAATTAGAATGTAGATAGGTAGGTAGGTAGGATTGATTGATTGATTGAAATGCTATTTGACTGAATGATTTTATATTTGAATAATATTCTGTAAGAAAGCAAGCATACCTACATTACTCATACATGCACTGATATATATGCGCCAATTAAAGATAGATAGATTGATAAATAGATTGAGTTTAAGCTTAATATTGATTTGATAAAGATTTCTAAACAAAAAATAGTAAAAAAGAGGAAATAAAGAAAGTAAATCGAAATCAAAGATAGCTTTCACAAAATAAGAAGAAGTGTATAAATAAATTAAGAATTTAGAGTTAATTTGAAAGATCGTCGCCTAAAAAAAGCAAATAAAGTCAAGAAGTAATTAAAAGAGAAAAAAGGAGAAAGTACAAAATTTACATTAATTTATTTTATGTTTTGAGGCTTAACGCTCTCACTATCTATATCAAGCCAACATGCCTAGGGCTGAATTATTTGACCTAGCCTTAAAAATATTTTAATATATATTTTAGAAATAGCAGTTATAAATGTGTACTGCGACACAATAAAAGAGCTATTAATAAATAAATACATTAATTAATTGATTATTTGGATGCAATACAAACGACATTATTTTTTAATTGAAGTAAATACATCTCAAATTATGCTAAGTTAACTAAATACACTGCCTGCTTGCCTCATAAATACCAGTTTAAAAGCTTGAAAGCGATTGGCAAATTTTTTGGAGTGATAAAATTTTACAGCTTCGTAAAGCTGTCTTTTATTTAAGTTTGATAACTCGAAACGTAAATTGCCAAAAAATCCCCCTGAGATAAAGAAAATAAAGAATTTCACAGTAATATTTTAAGGATAAAACAGAGCAAGATTTTAGATAGATTCAATAAATGAAAACAGCTTATTCTATCATTTTATAAAAAGCGTAGTTAGGTAGCTATTCTCAATTTCAGTGAAAGCTCTTTTACTCTGAGTTATTTCATTACTTGAATAGCTATCCTCAGTTTATTCAAAGAGTATTACCAAAAAATTAAAAATTAGCAAAAAAAAATAAATTATTACAAACAAACCAAAAATTATATCAAAACTCATTATCATATTCAAATTTTTATTTTTCAAAAAATTAATTAATTATCAAAACAAACAAATCAATAAATAAATAAATAAATAAATAAGTTCATAAATAAATAAATTAACAAATAAAAGAAAGAAAGAGCATCAGGTGTTTATACCAAGTCACAGTAGTACTAATTTTCCTTACATTATTTATCCTTAAATTATTGAAAAAAAATATGAATATTTTTCTAGTTATTTTTATCTGCATCAAATATCTTAAAATACTATTTTTCTCCTAAAATTTCTACTCCAAATCAAGCTTCTTATTCTAACATCAAGCTAATAATCTCAAGCTTTTGCAAAAGCTATTTTTTTTAGCAGAACCCTCCTTCTTTTTTATAAATAGATGAGAAATAATTAAAAGCTATTTTTGGCAAAAGTCTCCTTAAGCAATTAAGCAATCGAGCAAAAGGAGGTGGTGTTAATTAGAACTAATTTTACAGCCATTTATTAGCTTAAAATTTTAGAATACTTAAAAATTTTCTTTCAACTTAGTTAAGTTGATTATTTTTTAGAATTTTGGATATTTTGACATTCAATTTGAATTTTGATAGGAATTTTATTTAGGCTTAGGCATGTTTGCATGTTTTGACTTTTTGACATATTTAATTTTTTTACTTGCTTGAAATTTTACTTTGTTTATTTATTAATTAATTAATTAAATAAATAATTAACATAAATTTAGATCTTAGATAGACTCAGAACTAATTAAATAATTAACAAATAATTAAATAAACAAACAATAAAATTATTTAGTTTATTTTTGTCTGTATTTAGTAACTTTGAGGCTATGTCTTAGGCAAATAAACTTCAAAAATCGCAGCCTGTTCAAATATAATAGCACTTAAACGGAAATCAAGCCAAGCAATCGTTATCTTCAGTTATGCAGTAGCAGCAATAAAAAATAAGTGCTTAAGAATAGTCTTTGAAAAATGAAGATTAGGCTATGCACAGAACCCACATGAAGGCTAATACAATCGAAAATCTATCACCTGTGTTACTTGTAATTTTCAATACTAACGAAGCTAAGACAAACTAGGATCTCTTTGACATGTTTTCGTCTTATGTGAGAGTGATTCGTGTTTTAATATTTGAAAGAAAAGAAAATAATACAAAGTGCTTTGTCGAAATGATGACATAATCTGAGGCTACTTATGTAAAAAACTAAATTTCCTTCTAGAAGACTAAGAATTTGTTAAAAAATTTACAAGTTTATTATGCTTAAATCTCAACAATCGACTTGTAAAACCATTATTCAGAAGGCTAAGACTTTACTAGCTTCTATGCAACTCATCCTAATTTCACTTGTTAATACATTTAGGAAACTTAATAATACTCTCAGAACCCTATTTTGTAAAACAGCACCATCAACCCCAAATTAAGCAGTCAAGCAGCTTTTTAAAATAGCTTCTTAAACCCAGGCAAAAATAATGTTCAATAATCTATTAACAGTCCTTCAGCTTTTTATAACAATTATAACCCAAATAACTAAAGTTTTGCTGGTCCTGCTAATAATAAAACTGCAGGATTTGGAGCTCCTTACGTTAATTCTTAGCAATTTTTACCTAATCATGTACCAGCTGAAATGGACAATAATTTCGATTAATCACATTTTCTAGATGGATAAATTCGTCCAAGCTCTATTTCTTCTATTGATTATCAAATGCAGTCAAATTTACATTTATCTCAATACAATCATACTTCAATTCACCCTCATTCTCAATACACCACCAATGGCGGTAACAGCGGTAATCTAACAAGCAGACACACCATTCACGGAAATCCTAATATGCAACCTAATAACACTCCATTCGAATCCAAAATTTATTACACAACTCAATAGCCTCAACAATAGCAAAATATTAATTAACGCAACACTATGTCTTAATAGCTTTACAGAGATTTGCAAAAGAAGGAATAAGTTTTATCGCATCACATTAATTAAAATATGTAGCAAAATATGCAAAAATCCGCTCTTCTTCTATCACCTTATTTCAATGTCACTCCTGGCATAAATAAGCCAGAGATGATAAACAATCCACCTCCTATTTCCTTGAACAGTAGCACTAACAGGAGTCCTTCATCCACCTCTTACTCAATAAATAACAACAACTTAAATAATGCTAATCAAATATAATATGACTCTGATGTTGATGAAAATGTCTAAGTCAGTTAACCTTCAGCATTCAGAACTAAGTATCGTGATGTCTAATTTTTCAATGGCAACTCCAGCAACGTAGGCTATTTAGAAGATGTTGATCTTTAGTAATAGCAAATGGGAGCTGACTAAGAGGCTAAAAAAGTTCTATTTGTTAGACATCTTGACTTTCCTGATTTAAAAATATCTATGCTTTATAACCTTTTTAGCAATTATGGAAATATTGTGAAAATTATTTTCATGAAGCAGAAGAGACAAGCTCTGATAGAATTCGAAGAAACTTCATAAGCAACCGCAGCCAAAGAAAATTTAAACAACTTGCCATACTACAATGCTTAAATTAAAATAGATTACTCCAAATATGACCAAATAGACCTCCAAAAGAAGAAACTTCATTCTGGAGAAAATAACGAACAAGAATAAGTCCTGTAAATCCCTCAATAATGCTTCAGATATAAAAATAAAAAGGGAATTCCGCAGTACGCTCCTAAAAGCACTCTCCATGTTTCTAACATCAAAAAAGAATTCTTCGACTACAACCTAATTTAAGATTTCTTTTCTTCTTCAGGTGCAAAAATAAAGATGCTAAAACTCATTCCTAATGAAAAAAAGTAAATGTGTCTAATTCAATTTGAAACCCTTGATGATGCTCTAAGAGTAATATCAACTTTCCACGATACACCTTTCCATGGTAGAAACCTGTGCATTTCATTCACGAAGAGTGCAAACTCAATATAGTAAGCTCCTGGATAATAAAATAATATCAATACTAACTTCTCTAGCTCTAATAACATGAGCAACAATTTAGAATAATAATAGTAAATACTTATGAAATAGCAATAACAAATGCAAAATTAACAATATAATATCAACATTTTGAACTAAAATTAACTTCTTATTTAACAATAGCAATATTAGAATCCCTAATATGGTCAAAACAACACATTCTAAATCAATAACTTTGCCAATAATAACAACAATACTCATGGACTTGCTGCTCAACAGTCAACTTTGTTTGGTTACGATCTTAGTGATAACAATTATCACCAATACTATGATGAATACAATGACAGTGATGAAGATCCTTAAGTGACTAATTCTATTTAGAACTTAGGTATTTGAACATATTTGTTGAAAACAAGCAGAGTTTAATAATAACTTAGCCTCAAAGAAAAATGGATCTAGTTTTATAAATTAATAAATAAATATGCAAATCTAAGACTGAAAAAAATATCAAAATAAATAAATAAATAAATAATTATATCAACCAGATTAATTAATTTAGAAGCTTCTTTTTTAAGTGAATAATGTTTTCAGCATTTTTACTTATTTATCATCAAAGCTACTAACATAAAAAAAATAAATACATTAAGCAAGTAAACAATAAAGTACTAATAAATAGATAAATAAATGATTATTGAACTAAAAAGTAATTGATAATATTTAATTAAAACTAAAAAAAATTATAATAAAAATTTATAAGCTCCAACCAAATTTATAAAATATTCACATTTTACATTTTTAACCACACACAATTCAAGCAATACTCCTCATTCTAAACTTCTTTTCTCCTCTGATTTTCATGCTGCATTTTTAAAATGCTCAAAAATAAAAAAGATAATAAAATAAATAAATAAATATCGATCGATTAATAAATACCAAAATAATTAGCTATAATTACTAGTTAAGTATCTATCATAACTCATCCTTAATTTTCTTATAATTAATTATAAAAATTATAAATCAAATAAAAAATCAATTAATTAATTAATTAACCAATCAATCAATCAATCAATCAACCAATCGATTCATCATAATAAAGCTAAAAATAAAATTTTAGAACAAGGAACTAATAAATTGTTTAATTAAAGCAAAATTACAACCATGCATTAAAAATTTATTAATATTTCATGTTATTTAACTTTACAACCAATAATTGCAAAATTATCTTCTTTTCAGATGATCACACTTACTCATTTACTCACTCACTCACTCATTATTCATTCATTCATTCGTTCATTACTCACCTCTTTTCTCAACTCAAAGAAGCTCGCGCAAAATATTAGTTTCTAAAGTAATTTAATAACTCACTTACCCTACCTTAACGACTTGTACTCCTCAACTATACCAATACATACCTACCTACCTACATATCAAAATAAATTCATAAATATCTACCTACCTCACCTATAATATCTTTCCTTTTCGTTTCTTTCTTTCAAATTTCTAAAATTTATTCATATGAGATACCTCGTCTTTACTTTTTAATACTTACACACTTTATATGCTTGCATACATATCTACGTTCATTTTCTCTTGTATTTTCATACTTGGATACTAATATTCATTATCTTTAAATATTTCTCTTAAATAATTAATTTTTACAAGCGATTTCAAATAAAAATCTGAAGATTATTTGAATAAATCTACAAAGCAAATCAAATCAGCAAACAAATATGTTCAAATAAATTTTTAAAGATGTTATTAAATGAAAAGCAATCATTTATGTTTAGCATTATTGGTATTTGCAATTTTTAAAACAGATAGTTCTATCAAACGAATAAATAAAAAGGATTCTAAATCAGATAGATATAAAATTTCAGCTATTTAGTTCGCTCTTTAATTTCATTAAGCAATTTTATTTTAATAAAAACAAAATTTTTCTTTCATTCATTCATTAATTAATTACTTCCAAGATTTTTTAATTTTTAATCAGATTTTATAAAAATAAATAAATTGATTTTGAAAAAATATTTTGTAAACTATTTTCAAATATTTTTTAATCATATCAAAAAAATACAAAGCTCACAATTTTTAAAATAATTTCTTATTCATATTAATTCAATTTTCTTTTTGAAAAAAAGATGGTTAGTTGATTATTAATTAACAATAAAATTTGCTACTCATAAAAATATTGAAATTATTAAAGTAGGTAATGGCTTTTAAAAAGATATATATATTTCAAATTAAATAAATCATCGCAAACTATTTATTTATTTATTAATTAATTAATTAGTTATTAAATTTTTTAATATTTGTAAGTAAACTTTAAAAATTAAAATACTTAGATAGCTAATACTTATAGATAGTTTATTAGACTGAAACCATTGATTTAAAAAGTAAAGATGAATAGTGTTAACTAATTAATTAGTACATAGTACGTCTCTGTTGGTTCAACAAACAAGAATACTTTAAAGGCATTACCTGCAAAACAAAAATAGAAATTATAAACATGTATCAAAATAAATAATTTAATTTATTGAACTAAAATTAGGATTATTTTTTTATTTATTATATGTTAAAATTTTATTTAAATATTAGTTACAATCGGTGATGATAATGGTTATATTTATATATTTGAGTATTAGAAAAATGAACACGTTCTAGTTTCTAAATCTGCTTAGTCTGGAAAGGAAATTAACCATGTCCAATTAGGATATAGTTAATAGAGTGAAAATGACAGAATATTTTATAGTACGGGAACTTCGATAAAGGCAATGAGTCGCAAAGGAAAAGAAGTATTTAAAGGAGAATCTAAGAGTAGCGATCTCATTACTAAATTTTAAGTTGAAGGCAATAGTATTTGGGGTGCAGGAGTATTTATACTTTATTTAAAACTGACTATTTATAAATATATTTTTTATTAGAAATATTTATTCACTGAATTCGATATACAGTCTGAGAGCTAGATGAGAGATAAATATGATTATTTGAGTAACGAATTAATCAATTGCATGTATTCCAGCAATATAATTGAAGGAAATAAAATTCAGAGTGTTCTTGCATGCGGAGTAAGTTTTAGAATATTTTTTGTTGCTGCCTTTGAATATATTTTTGATTCAATAAGGAAGCAAATTAAAAAAACAGAAATAATATGAATTAGTATTTAAAACTATGATCAAATAATTAATATAGGATAACACTTTGAGAGTCGTTTAAGATGACACTGAAGTCATGAAATACAATTTAACTTCACTGGTCAATCACATGAAACCATATTCTACTTAATACTAATTAATACAATCAAAGACATAAGCACCTAAAACTTATTTATGTGCTACAAACGATGGAGAACTTATTATGCTTGATATGCAATTGACTAAATTTAGAAACTAACCTACTCTTTTATGGCAATTGAAAAATTCTGAAAGCGGTATAAATCTCTTTGATAGCTTCGATTTCTATGGAAAAGGAAACTCTGATTTGCTCGTTTCTTATGAAGACAGCACAATAGAACTTCTTTAATGCAATATTAATGGAGAGCTAGAAGTAGCAGCTAGAAAGACAGTTGAAGAACAAGTGACTTCAGTTGAAGGAGGTTACTTCACTCAGTAAGGTGTTAGTGAGTTCTTGATTAGTACTTTCTCTGGCCGTGTTTTGGGCATATAAGAAACTAATTAAAAATTTGCATCACAAACATAAATAGGCTCATCATCTAAAACCGATTTGAGTACAGTAGAGCAAGACAAAGTTAAAAACAATGCTTTAGCAGTAATTTAGTTTCTTTTTATTTTTATGTTATGTTATGTGCTAAAGTTTAAAGAAGTTTTATTTATTTAGCATTTGCTAAAGAAGTTATTAATCTTTCTTTAAAATTAAATTAAGATACAAAAACTAAAAGATGATATTTAGAATTTAGAGAAGTTAGCAGATGAGCTTTAAAAAAAGTGTGTAAGTGAAGATGGTCATGTTGCTTTAGTAAATGAAGTAAATATCAAAATTGATTACAAGCTAACCATCAATTCAAGTGATGCTTCCTACAATCTTAATCTCAGCTGCCAATATCCCTTCGAGTTAATTGCTCTCTAAAGCAATTTAAAGTTGGAAATTATTGACGTTGATAACAAAGGTGCAATAAAAAGTATTTCTCCTGAAGATCCTTCCAACGAATCACTTTTCTTAGCCACATATCGTATGCCAGAATAAAACATCTAAAAAATAGAATTTAAACTAAGAACTTATGAAGGCAAATCAGGTGATATTAAAGTTCATATCATCACTTCTCCTTATCCCATGAATTGCCAAGTGATAAATGTCCCTATTAAACCCCTTTCCTTGCATGTCAGGACAAATGAAATTCCAAATTCAGGTATTTTTTATAGTTATTAAATTTAATAATTCAAAGGAAAATATTTCTTGTTATTTTTAATTTTCCATATTTATTTAAAATACCAATTAATTTTTTGATAAATTTCAAAAAAATAAGAACAAATTAATCAAATTTAATGTAAAATATTTTTTTTTTTAAAGTGTTTCATTATTTACAAGAAAATGTTTATAAAGTTAATAAATAAACCAATAAATTTATTAAAATTATTTGTTTTGATTATTCAGTATTCTTTATACATAGTTTATTAATTTAAAAAATTTATTTAATTGATCTAGTTTATTATATCAATTTATTTGTAGAAATTTAATATTTAATATATGATTTTAAATTAGAAATGCCAATGAACGATTTGACATTTATAGGAGAGTTTTAAGCTAAAGAAATTCATTATTATGTTCAAGAAATGATACCTGATATTCCTGTTTTAAATCATGATGAAGAAGTAAAATACATATTTAAATCATCTTTAGTGGGTTCGTATTTGGTTTGCACTTATAACAAAGGCAAAGCAGTATTTTAGAGTGACTCTGTTAGTACTATTGCTATTGTAAAAGATTTCATCAATAACTAGTTAAATCAGAGAGGAACTGTTGTAAGTGTAAAGTGGAATATAAATGACAAAAGTATCCCTCACATGATCGAGCTTTTAAAGCCTTTGTTCGAAGACCATAAAAGCTAAACTATAAAATTAAAGATTGTGCCTGCATTGAAAGAATTAAAATTATAAGTAAAACTAGAAATAAATTAAATCAACTAAATTTATTATTTAAATAAAAAGGATGAAGAAATAGATTTTATGACACCAGAAATGAAGCAAATTTTATAAAATTCTGAATAAATTTTAAAAGATTATGGAAATCTGCCATAAAAAATAGAATATTTAAAGGGAATTGTTAGTGATTTGTAATTTTAATCTAAATTTGAAGAATTTTATTATAAAATATTTTCATAAAAAAGGGTGTTTGACAGAGCTACATTAAAAGAACTAGATGACCCTTCCAATAAAATAGATACAATAATTTAATATTTAGAAAAATACGATTATGATCGTGTAATTAAATATATTCTTAGTTGATTTTATTTCACAATATTAAAATTATATTACAGTTTTAAATAAAACAAATTATATTTTTTTTATTTAATACTAAATTTTTACTTATAAAATCTATCTATCTATTTATTTATTTTCATAATTGATGAATTAAAAATTTAAAAATATTTTTTAAGCAATTTTTATTAATTTAGTTTATTAAGTGAGATAAATTTATAAAAAGTGAATTGTAAAAAAATATTTTATTTAATTATATTTAAAATTATATACATTACTGATAGTTAAGATTCTCACATATTATGCCAATTGATTTATTTTTATTGGTTAGCTTAAATGAGATTTAAGTTATTTTAAAAAATTAAAACTGAAAATACACTGTTAAAATAATAAGTTTATTATTTTATCATTTTTTTTGAAGAAATTTTTAATTTTAATTTTTGAGTAAAAAAAAATTAAAAAAATTTTCAAATAACAATTTTTTTTTGCAATTTTTATTATTTATTTTAATGATAAATTCCTATTTTGGCTTTAAAAAATAAATTTTTTGTAATTTATTCAAAGAAATGAATATTACTTGAAAAAATATATGAAAAAAAGCAAATTAATATCTTTTTTTAGAGTTTAGATAATTTATGGAAATTGCCGCAATATCTATCTATCTATCTATCTATCTATCTATCTATTTGTAATTCATTTATTTATTATAGATCTAAAAACTATATTTATTTTGTTATGATCTCTTAAAAAATAAACATATTTAATTTATTTTATCTGATTTATAAAAGAAGAGCAATATATATGAAAAAAATAATTAACTATTTGAGATATTTCCTGAGTTGCTTTATATGATTAATATGAGAGGAAAAAGTGAAGATTAAGTGTTAAATATTCTATCATCTAATGCAAGGTTTTTTTGCATGAAAAAATATTAAGATACAAAGTTAATTAATAAATTAATTGAGAAATTCAATCAAATTTTGAAAAAAAGGTAAAATGATAGCTCAAATATAAAAATTTAGACATTTGTTCCTTAGTATATACAAAGAAGATTAGAGTGAGGCTCTTCTTAAAATAGGTTTTGTAACAGATTTTATCAAGAATAAATTCTAGCAAGTGTCATTCCTTTTCGGCCTTTCATTTTATGCAAGAATAGAATAACTATTTGTTCGCTTTTAAAATGATGAAATTTAAGATATTTTAAACTACTTCAAACAAATTTTAAGCTTGTAAATGATACCTGAGGAATAAAAGTAGATTGAGACAGTTTGCTAATGGCTTCAGAAAATGATCTCTTTTTTGGAAAAATAATAAATGGAAAATTTTGAAAATTATATTTAATTTTACAACTAGGTATTTTACTAAGATGTATTTGAAGAATATGCAAACAGAAAAGATTAAACTCTTGTCGAGGAGAGTCTATCATTCGCAAGCAGTCTTTATATCTAAAAGTGGGCTGTTGGAATGGAAAATATCAACAATGAAATAGTTAAGGAGGGTCTCAAGTACCTTTAAAGTGATTTAGAAGAATATTTAAAACTTAATGATGAAATGAAGATTTATTATCTTGCAGAGGTTTATAGCCTTTCAATCAGATTTTTCTTAGATCTTTAAGATGAAGTATAAGTGTACAATAAGAAAAAGTCATCAATCACTTAAGATTATGAGAGAAATAACGATTTATCACTTAACTTGATTTACAATCCTACTACTGATTCTTTTAGAATCTGCTATGAAGAAAATTATAAAGGCCAATATCAGCAATACTAATACTATTATAAGTACAACAGGTATTTGAACAAAGAGATTAAGAACTGTCAAGACATAATTAATTGTGTCAAAGAAAAGAGCATTAATGAAATTAATGAGAGATTAAAAGATCTATAAAACGAAATATATAAATACGAAAGTTAAATAGAAGAAAGAAAGAAAGAAATAGAAGATGGAATTTCTCAATATAATAATTACTAGGTCCTAGAAAAATAGTTAGAATAAGAAATATAATAACTGAAATAAAATAGAGAACAGCTAAACATGATGCTCATTTAATAATAATATAAGGATGAAGCTGCTCTTAAACAATAGATGGAGAGAGAGAAAATAGAGTAGTAATAGAGGAAAGCCAGGCTTGCCTATGAGTTAGATTGTTAGTAAAGACAAATAAAAGGCTAAAATCTAAATTAATATTATATATCAAATTACGATATAAATACTTCTTTAAGATAACCATAAATGTAAGCTAATTATGAATATGATGATTGTTTAGCAACAACTAATATTGTAAAAAAATTTTACTGTGAAGTATGTACTGTTACATATGAATTAAACAAATAAATTTATTTTAGTTGTTGTGGAAAAAAATATTGTAAGGATTGTGTCATTAGACATTTTGAAAGCACTCAAATAATTCAAGACAAACGAAAATTAGTTTGTTTTTGTGGATAAGAATTAGAAAACATAAACCAATTTCTAGATTTATAAATTATTACAGAAAAAGTCATGAAAATATTTTAGTTAGAGCTCAAGCAGTGTGTTAGCTCTAAATGCAACTATAAATTCTATGTTAAAAATAAAAACGCAGCCACAGTTACATGCCCTGCATGTAAGACAGTACATTGTACTGGCTGTTTCAAGGAGTCCCATTCTAAAGATAGTCTTCTTTGCGGAGAATAAATTAAAAACTTTGAAACTGCTATTGATTTACATATTAATTACATTTAATAATAAATTGATTAATAAAATGCATAGCCAAATGCTAATGACTAGTAAGTCTAAAATAGAATTGTAGAGTTGGAGAAAGAAAAAAGATTTAGAATCTGCCCCTATTGCTATAATCTCTTACTTAAAGATGACCATTGTGAACATATTAAATGCCCTGAGTGTAAAAAAGATCTTTGCTTTACTTGCGCTTGTCTAAGAATTCCTACTATGGCACATGACAACTAATTTCACAGAAGAGAATGTAGCTATGCAGATAAGAGAAATCTTGCAAATATTAAATTTGAATAAAAATGTGAGGAATGTGTTAGAAACTAAAAAGTCTGTGAAGTTCCTAGTGATTTTTAAGACTATTGCTAGGACGTTGTTATAGCAAAACTTGGTTAATAATTCTTTGATAGGTATCCTTAAAATTGGTAAATATAATAATTTTGAAATGTTCATTCAATCTATTATTTATAAAAATCATTATTTTTTTGTATTCGTATAAAATCCTAAAAATGTTTTTTATAATTTATCTACCATTCATTCAATTTAAATTGCTTTAGTAGATTTAAAAATTATTATGAATAAATGTCATTTAAATTTATCAAAATTTATTCGTATTAGAAATTATTTATATATGAAATTACATTGCATTACTTTATTTAATTTTAGTCAATAAACTTTAATAATAAAGATAGACATTAAATAAAATAAATTATTCAAATTTATTTATTTAGTGTTATACTTTTAGATACAAATCTAAAGTAAATAATTATTTTTCCTAAAAATTAATCTTTTGCACATCTTAATTGTGTTTAAACAATTTATGTATTTTTAATTTCATTTATTTATTTGTTTGCTTTTTTAGATTTTATCAATATTTCATTTTATCAAAATTTATTTGTATTAGAAATTTTTAAATATGAAATTAGATTTCATTACTTTAATTAATAAAAGTGAATAAATTAACAATAAAAACATTAAATAAATTATTCTAATTTAGTGTTGTGTTTTTTAGATACAACTCCAAAATAAATAAATATATTTCCTCTAAATTAATCTTTTACAGTTCTTTATTGTGTCTAAACATATTATCATTTAAATTTAATTGTCTTGTTTATTTAGATTTATTAAGAACTACTATTAAAATGAAAATCTAAAAATAAATAAAATAATCACATTGTTAATTCAAATCTATCTATAATTGAAAAAAATTTAACAACTTGAATAAGCAAGCTATCTATCTATCTACTTATGTCAAAACAAAACAGTAAAATTTATGAAGTAAATAACTCACTTACAAATAATTATATTCTTAAAAGAAACTAACAACACAACAAAATTTGTCATTTTATTTGTAATAAACAATTTTTAATAGTAAAATCCAATAAATTTTAATTTATTATTTATTTATTTAGTATTTTTAATAAAATTTAAAGATGTTTTAATTAATATTTTTAATAAAATTTAAACATATTTTAATTGAAACAAATTTATTTAAATAATATTAATTATTCTTTAATTTATTTTACATTTTTTTAATATTTATATTATATTTATGGCATTTATTTTTTAAATAAAGCTTATTAAATATTTTTATTTTTTTTTTTATTTTCCATTTTTTCAATATTGATTTTTTTAAAATACTCGATTTTAATTGTATTTTTGTATTTTAATTTGAAAAAAACTAGTTAATCCAAAGCTAAAGATTTAAATTGAGAAATAGCAAATAAATAAATAAATCAATAAAAATTAGATAAGATTTTTAATTTTAGCTAAGTTTTTTTATTGACTTACTAATTTTGCTTAATATTTTTATTGTATTTATTTATTAATTTACAAAAATTTTTAATAAAATCTGATTTTTGCTTTATTCAATTTAAATTAATTAAACTAAAGAAATGAATAATTTTTTATATATACATAATCTTCCCTATTAAAAACTTAAGACTATAATTTTATTTTTTAAACTTTCAAAATAAAAGTTTTATAAAGTACACTTTTATAGCAAAAATTTTTAATTTTACTTCAAGTTATTTATATTTTATTTAGATTGTTTTTTATAAATAAATATTTTTCATAAAAAATTGTAAATTTTCATGTTATTTTCTCTATAAAAGTTGAATTTATTTAAAAGAATTTATCATTTAAATAAATATATTTTAATGATTAAATAATTTTTAATTAATACCAGTAAAAAAACATTAATTTTAGAAAATTTTAGGTGCCAGTATGTGTCTTTCTTATGAGTAATATTGTTTTAAATATTTTTTCAATATAGCTTTTTTAAATTTACTTATTGGTATAAAATTTTTAAGTAATATTCATTGATTAATCACTTACTCAAATATTTAAAGAATTAGAATAAATAAAATTAATAATTATTTATTCATTCTTTATGTCCTTCTACTTCATTAATTAATTATAATTTTTCTATTAAATAAGTATTCATTCATTTTTTTAATTTCCTCTTGAATTTTTTATCTTTTTTTTGGCTAGTTTGTAATATAGACTAATAAGAATATAATTAATGTAAATAGACTAAGTAAAAGGGATATCTTTTTATTCATTCTAAAAGTATTAGTTTAATATATCTAAAAATGATTAAATACTTATTTAATTAATATGTCTTAAAAGTATTAAAATTACTGTAAAGAAAACCTATTTTTTATTTAATGATTATTGCGAATATTTTACTGTGGAAGTTTAACTTATAAATTCTAATCCCTATTTATTTTTGTGGATATAAATTTAGATTTATTAATTACAAATAAATAAATTAAATTTATTACAAGCAGTTATCTATAACTTCACGTGAAAATATCTTCGATAAAATAGCTTAGATGTAATCTAATCAAAAAAAATTAAAAAAAAATTTCTAGAAGAAAAAAATAAATTAAACTTGAAGTTTTGATTTTGAAAGAGAACATTCATTCAAATATTTCTCTATATTGTTAGATTAATAAATAAATAAATGCAATAATAGAGTACACTCTAAAAAAAGGATTTAATTTTGCATACTCAATTTAAATGTTAACAGTATATATTGTTTTTGTGTAATTTAGACATAATACTAAAAATTAAAAAGTAGGAATAATCTATCTATTAATAGAAATAAACAAACAAAAATTTTAATATTAACAATAAATATACCAAGAGAAAATAATTATTTTATATGGATAAGCATAATAGATTAGGTAGTAGATATGTTGAGTTGGTAGACATAGAGAACCTCCACAAAGCACTGAAGGATGAAGCCGTTTACAAAACTCCTGACCTTCAATCCAATAAGGTAAAGGCCTTAAGAACTCTTAAAATAGTTTGCTGCATTTCAACTTCTTTTATGTGCATTGAATTTGTTGGAGGATATCTATCAAACTCACTAGCCATTATGACTGACGCTGTACATCTTTTATCCGATGTTGTCGGATTTTTAGTAACTATTTTGGCTATTTATATTAGTAGATTAAAAGCTAACTCAACTATGACTTACGGTTATCATAGAGCAGAAATTATTGGTGCAATGATTTCTATTTTGATCATTTGGGTTTTGATTGCATGGATGTTTGTCGAAGGTATTGAGAGATTCTTCAAGCCACCTGAGATTTAAGGAACTACTATGCTTATACTTGCATGTTGTGGCCTGTTCTTCAACTTGGTCTTGATGAAAATTTTAGAAACAAAGTTAGAAACTGTTACTGAAGAAAGCTAGAAAGAAGAATTACTTAGCGAGTTCTCTATCAAGCAAGATGTTGAAAAAGAAAACATGAGTATGAGAGCAGCTCAAATTCACATTTTGGGTGATACTATTTAAAGCGCTGGAGTTATTATAGGTGCTTTGTTTGTCTTTTTTGGTGGTGAAGATTACTTCATTGCAGATCCTATAATCACAATCGTCTTTACAATTGTAGTTACATTTACAACATTGCCTGTAATGAAGGACAGTATTAAAGTGCTCATGGAAGGTTAACCCGATGACATCAAATACGAAACGGTTAAAGAAAAGCTAGAAAAGGTTTCAGGAGTAGTCAATGTTCATGATTTGCATGTTTGGAGCATAAATCCTGGTTTTGTCTCTCTTACTGCTCACATATGTTCTAAAACACCATCGGTTACTCTCTTCGAAGCCACAAAGCTTTGTAAAAAATTAGGAATAGTCCATTCCACAATTTAAGTCGAAAACTTCTTTGAGTAAGACAAATATGACTATAAGAAATGCGAAGAATTGCATTGAAATCCTTAAAACAAACATATAAATAAATAAATATGATTTAAAAATTCTTTAAATCAGACAAACCTAATTGATCAGCACACTTAATTTATTTTAAATTTCCATATAAATATCCTTAATTCTTACTTATATTTATATATTCTTTCATTTATCAAGTATTTTATTACGCCTTTCTTTATTTCTTTCTGTACATTCACATGATATTCTCAGTTGATAAATTTAATTTTGATGTATTAATTCATTAAATTTGCAATATTTTTGAGTTCAAAAGTTAATGTTTAACTCAAATAAATTTATCAATTTTATTAAAATTCAATAATTTTTATGAATTTTTAATTAATATTTAACATTTAATCCTTTTATTGAAATTATATAGAAAATAAATGAAGTAATATACATTAAAATATATTTTAAAATATTAAATTAAAAATGTATTTAAATCTTTTATTGTAGAGAATATTATTTAATAATTACAAGACAAACAAAACATGTTTTAAATAAATACTTATTAAAGTAATTAAGTTAGTTTCTTTGACAATAACTTTTTTAATTTGTTTTTCATCAATCAAGTCTTCATTCTTATTTTCTATTCAATAAATTAAAAAAAATAAATTAAATTGCTTATGAAATAGTTTTCATTATAAATTAATTTAATTAATTTCTTGTGTCAGGAATCCTCTATATCAACATGTATATTATGAAGACCGTCGTCGAGAATTTATGATCATCATCCCAAGAAATGTTTTTTTTTTTTTTATTTCTTTACTTATCTATAGTTATTTTGTAAATAAAAGAACAAAATAATTACCATTATTTATTTTTTATGGGTTTATCCTAAAGTGCAGCTAAAGTATTTTCCTAACAATAATCTAATCTTGTTTTCCAAGCCATAAAATACTCAACTCTCATTTAAAACAAACAATAAATGTGCTTTAGAGAGATTAGTTTGATAAGTGTATTTGTAAATTTCATATCTCATGTTTGAAATTATTTTTGACATCACACAAAGTTAGTTATTCATGTATTTTTTCATTCTTCTTATGCTTTCTAAGCTCTTTTGATTTGAAAAAAAGAAAAATAAGAATTTTGTACTTTTTTTAAATATAAAAATTCGCTTAAATTGGGTTAACAAGACATAACGAATTGAAAAAAAAATATCAAGCTTATTTAATCAGTGTAACTATGACAAAACATCCATGGTAAAACTTGTCATGAAAAAATAAATCATCATTTAAGCTTGTATTAATTGATAAATTTACTGCATATTTTTATGACACGATAAAATTATGCAAAGTAAAAATCACTTTTTTTTTTTTTTTTCATTTGTTATGCAATGTTTTAAACAAATATGTAAACAAATTCTGCTACTTATTGATAAATAGCATAAATATTCACAAATAAAACAATTTAAACCCTTTTATCAGCGAACTGTGTAAAGGAAATTTAAATTATATTGAAGAAAGGCCTACATTTTGAAAGAGACATTTCTAAGATAGTCGTTTTATCCAAGAATTATTGTTAATTCTCAAAGAGTATTTTCATCACCGGTTTTAATTTTGTTCGTAAGAACAAAAAGGATTGTTTCAAGATACCATTTTTTGTGATTTGGATTAACAATAAAGGATTTTTCTACTTTTTTTAGACTTTCTTTATTATATTTTGTTTGAATCAGCTGAATTGTTTTGTGCTTTTATCTAAATAAATGAATTAATTATTTAATTTTTTATTTTCAGAGAAGAAAAAGCCCATATATAAAGTGAATCTTTAAACAATTTTGTTTGTAAATTTATTCGTTTAGAAATTGCTCAAATAGAACATAATTTGATTTTTATAAAGAACTTTATTTCTTAATTAATTGCTCACATTATTAAGAACAAATTGTTTATCTATTTATTTATATCTTTTAATAGGTTTTTTATTTTTTAAAATAAATCTCAATTTTATTTAAATTTATTCATAATCATTATATATATATAACAAACATCAATTATTATTATTAATCTTTTTTATTGCGGCTGATGAAATTAGCAAACAGAACAAATAAATAAATAAAGAAAGAAATAAACAAATAAAAAGCAAACAAAATTTAAGTAATCGCATATTTTTTATAATTATTCTAATTTTGTTGATAAATAAATTGTCTGATGTGAAAAAATAGATAACTAAGTAAATTAGTAAATAAATAAATATAAATTAAAATTTATATGAATTTTTATAATTATTAAAAGCTAATATCTTAACTGTCATTAGCTATTTATTTTCTTTATAGTTTTATTTATTGTCAAGTGCCTTTTATTTTAGCTTTAAGATTTAAATTTACAAGGCTACTTTTGCAGAAAATAATTTAAAAATTGGTAAGATTTTGGATGAAAAAGAAAGATATATATGTGTGTGTTTGCTTTATGAAAGATTTAAAAGTATTTAGACAGTTTTTAAATTTAATTAAAAATTTGTTTATTTGATTGAATAGTTTTTTTCATTGATTGTTTGTTTCAGTGTACAATAATCTTGTTATTAAATTATTTGGTAGAAATTATTGACAACCAATACAAGCAAGCAAATAACAAAGATCTTAATGTCTGAATAAATAAATGAAATAAAACTAAAAAGTTAATTTTATTATCTAGCTTGATAAAATTATACATTTGCCTTTATTTAAGAATTGATTTATTCAAATTAACCAATATACATACATACGCATTAAGATATAAGGGAGAAGGTATTGTCAAAAAACCAAAGAAATTTACCTAATCATTTTGACAATTATTGTGTTTTGCAAATTAAAATAATATACTTGACATTCTTTTTTAGTAAAAATTAGAAATAAGAGTTAAGCTAATTTTAGATTAAAAGAGGGGTCTTCTTCTTTCAATAGCTTTATAGCTAACTAACTAACTATTTTATAGGTTATTCACAATAAATCAAACTGTCCACCTTTCCGCTCTTAATTGTATTTTTTCACACTGTTATCTATATTCTATTCTTAACAACAATCAACATATTTGTAAAGAAACTTCTCTGTCTAGTTAAAAATTTTTATTTTTTTATCACTCATATAATTTATTTAAAGCAAATCTATTTTTTCTACTTGGCCACAAAAACGCTGAAAAATGTTTTCAAATCTATTTGTTTTCAAACCAAATTCATAAAATTCTTTTAAAAAGTATTTTGTTAACTTTAAATTCAAGTTTTCCTCTAACTTTCATTGTGAAAAATCATTTTTCTGAATGTATTTTGTTAAGTTTATTGCCCAAACTAAAAATTGTTAGTAATTTAAAATGTTTAAAGCATGTCTCAAATAAAAGATTTTTAAAGCAAACAAATTTAGTCACAATGGTAAAAAATAGAAATGTATTCTCTAAACAACTTAGATATTGAATTATATTTCATTTTCAATCTTTATTCCTTAAAAATTTATGATTTTTTTTATAAATTTATGAGTTAACATAATTCTGTATATTTTTAGAAGATAAGAGGTAGTAGTTCGTTAAAAAATCTAACAAATATGAAGAACTTTCCTTCTAAATGCTAAACTAAATTATATTTTTTACAAAGTGCATAATTTTCGCTTACAACTACAAAGAAAAGGTTGTGCTACTACACCATTCATACAATAATAAAAAAAATTTTCATTTTGATCATCTCTGTAAATAGCAATATTATATCTTTTTTGGCTAACAAGATAAATTTACTATTTCTTTAAATGTCTAACTTTATTTTTAAAATTTGTCTACATGCTTGAGTTATGGAAGAAAGAAGTACTTAAATTTAATGAGTTCTTTCTTTTTGCTTTTGTTTTTTATTGAATCTACTTTTTTTTTTGAATATCTAAAAGCTATTTTAGTGTTAAAAAGAATAAAATATATTCATTCATATTTATTTTGAATACTTCTTTGGTATCTTTCACTAAATGCACACACAAATCTTTTCAAAATATTTATCAAGTCCATTCATCAAAAAATCAATGAAATAAAATGACTTTTATTAGCTCTTTTAATACAAGCTCTATTTTCTTTAAACTGTCAATGACTATCACTCAATGCTTATTAGCAGCATTTGCATGAAAGCTAAATTGAAAAAAAATAAAAATAATTTTGACATTCTGATTATTATTTTATCCTTAGAATATTTAATAGTCTATTTGTTTTATTTTGGATACAGAAGGAAGGAACTTAGTATCAGCAGTTAAAAATAAGAAAAATGGATATATTGACAATTCATCTTAAGAATATGCTATGGATTTCAATTTCACAGATGAGTAAGATGTCTCTGCTTTTATAAAGATAAAATGAATTTGCTATTTCTATTTTATTTTTTAATGAAACTTTAAACAAGCGAAGTTGCAAAGAAAAAATTTATATTAAAGTATCTCTACGGAAACCAGGGTGAAAAATAAAATTTGAGTGTTTGTTTATTTGTTTGTTTGTTAATCTGATAGATTGATTGAATGACTGACTGACTAAATAGTTATTTAGTTAGATAAAACAAATAAATAATATCTTAGACACTTGGATTTGATTTGATAATATTAATAAGTATAAAAATAGTTTGAAAAACAGCTTCTTAATATTAAATTAATTTAGGATATTCAATGATAAATTTCTTCTTTTTTTATGGTTTTAAATATTTATTAGCTCTTTCTAGTGAAAGGATGGATGAACTATAAAAATGTTATGAAAGCGTATATAAAATCATGTTTAATTTGTAATATTCTATAATATATAGGGTGGGTACAAATTTTTTAATTCGTGTTAATAATGAAAATGGGTGGGTAGAGCAATGCAGACAGTTGTTTTGTATGAATGAAATAGAATTTATAAAAAAGTTTAAGGAATCTAAAAAAGGAGTTTGTACGAAATTGACAATTTTATTATTTCAAAGCAATAATTCAATAAATAAACAGGAGATTTCATGCTATTAGCCATAAGGATTTTATCGTTTTGAATGCAATAATAATAATTCATGAAATTGTTTAATAATTAAGTTTTTTTTAGGAGAGCTTAACTTAATTATCAAAAATTAGTTTGATTGTTTGCTTGTTTATTTATTTTTACATATATAAATAGAGGTGGTACCTCGAATACAATAAGCATTAGATGCATTGATTACTTTATGTTTATTCACTAGTTTCATTCATTTTATTGCTTTGTCAAAAACCTTTTGTTTGTTTTACGCTCTTTTTCTAAAATTTTGTGAAATAATTTAATCATTTTTTCTTTTTTAAGGAGACACTTTTTTATCTTTGTGCCAACTAAACAACTGAATAACTCCTTGATTATTTTTAAGACTAAAAAAAAACAAATTCAGCAACTCTGCTATAACTTCTAATCAAACAACGAAAGATAAACATTTTAACAGAACTGGTGTGGTTTTTTTCATATAAGCGCGTTAGTGATTTGGTGGCGATAAAATATTTTAATCAAGAAAATATAGACATTTATTTTTAGAGTTTTGAATAAATGCATTGAAAATGATAAGGATACAAATTTTGCAATATATTGAAGATAGAAAGAAAGAAGAATAAAAAGAAAGATAGAATAAGTAGTTGTTGTTGGATTTAGGATTTAGAAGAATTATTAATAGGCTAAGAAAAAATTTAAGGCTTTCTTATATTTCTTCTAAGGTGGGGAGAATTAATTAAGGATAAAATTTAATTTTTAAAAAGGGGAAAGATATTTTGATAGAATCCAAATTAAAGAAGAGTCAAAGCTAAATTAAATAAAGAAGCTGCTTCTTTTCAAATAGAGTTTGGATCCAAGTCTGCGAAAAGAAAAGATTAAATTAATTTTAAATTAAAAACAACTTTCTTTAAAAAAAAAAACAAGCAAACATCTATTCAAAATGGCTAGAGGTGATAAGGTTCACATTAACTTGGTCGTTATCGGTCACGTCGATTCTGGTAAATCTACCACTACCGGTCACTTGATCTACAAGTGCGGTGGTATCGATAAGAGAGTCATCGAAAAGTTCGAAAAGGAATCCGCTGAAGCTGGTAAGGGTTCTTTCAAGTACGCTTGGGTTTTGGACAAGCTTAAAGCTGAAAGAGAAAGAGGTATCACCATCGATATTTCCCTCTGGAAGTTCGAAACTGCTAAATATCACTTCACCATCATCGATGCTCCCGGTCACAGAGATTTCATCAAGAATATGATTACTGGTACCTCCCAAGCTGATGTTGCTATTCTTATGATTGCTTCCCCCTAGGGTGAATTCGAAGCTGGTATCTCCAAGGATGGTCAAACCAGAGAACACGCTCTCTTGTCCTTCACTTTGGGTGTCAAGCAAATGATCGTCTGCCTCAACAAGATGGACGAAAAGACCGTCAACTTCTCTGAAGAAAGATACACTGAAATCAAGAAGGAATTGTCTGACTACTTGAAGAAGGTCGGTTACAAGCCCGAAACCATCCCCTTCATCCCCATCTCTGGTTTCAATGGTGACAATATGTTGGAAAGATCCACCAACTGCCCCTGGTACAAGGGACCCATCCTCATCGAAGCTCTCGATGCTCTTGAACCCCCCAAAAGACCCATCGACAAGCCCCTCAGACTTCCCCTCCAAGACGTCTACAAGATCGGTGGTATCGGTACCGTCCCCGTCGGTAGAGTCGAAACTGGTGTCATCAAGCCCGGTATGTCCATCTAATTCGCCCCCAACAAGGTCATCGCTGAATGCAAGTCCGTCGAAATGCATCACGAACAACTCCAAGAAGCCGTCCCCGGTGACAACGTCGGTTTCAACATTAAGGGTGTCTCCGTCAAGGATATCAGAAGAGGTAATGTCGCTTCCGATGCCAAGAACGACCCCGCCAAAGAAGCTGCCACCTTCTACTCCTAAGTTATCATCATGAATCACCCCGGTCAAATCCAAGCTGGTTACACCCCCGTTTTGGATTGCCACACTGCTCACATTGCTTGCAAGTTCGAAACCATCCACGACAAGATCGACAGAAGAACTGGTAAATCTCAAGAAGAAAACCCCAAGTTCATCAAGAACGGTGATGCTGCCTTGGTTACCCTTATCCCCACCAAGCCTCTTTGCGTCGAAGTCTTCCAAGAATATCCCCCTCTTGGTAGATACGCCGTCAGAGATATGAAGCAAACCGTCGCCGTCGGTGTCATCAAGAAGGTTGAAAAGAAGGACAAGTGAGTAACTCACTTTTCTTGAGCAAACTTTAGATGATATTCATTATCCAATAATTGCCATTTAAATAAATATAATTTAAGTATTCTAAAAATGTACGATTCTATGTAAATTATGCATCAAATCTTGCAGTTTTTTTTTTTAAATTTCAAAAAAAAAAAAAATTTCTCTCTCTTTATATTCGTTAAAATTTAACATGATATGATATTTTTAATTCAGTAAAGTAAAAAAAGACAATAAATAATGATAAATAATGTCTATCTGTTTTAAACATTTTTATATTTTAATATACTAAATAAAATCAATCTTAAAAAGAAAGTATTTCACTTAGTAAAATACAAATCAATTAATTATTTTTTTTGTTTATTCTGATATTGAAATAGTATTTTTTGCAATAACTATTCCAATAACGCCCAACAAAACTCCAATTAATACTTTGCTTGAAGAAATTTATTCTAAAATTATCGCAAGCAATTTGTTTATAGAATTTTATAAAATTGCTTTTGAGATATATATTATGAAATTTTTATTTTGGCTTTTTCATTATTTTACACCAAAAAGATAGTTTTGCTTTAATCATAATCAAATAAATAGCTATATTTTGCCTAATAATCAAACAAAATTTGTTTTAAATTAAAGCTGTATCTTTTCAAAAGATATACAAGAATTGTCTGGAAATTTAATTAAAGATTTCAAAAATCAAATATTTCGTTTTAGAATCATTAAAAAAAAAAATCTTAAACTAATTTTACAACTTATTTTATAACACGTAAATTTCTGATATTTAATAAAATATTATAAATTTCCACTTATTTAATGATAAATTTAATATTAAAATTCTATTATTAAAAAAAAAAAAAAAACAAAATAACAAAATCTTTAAATAGAAGAATAATATATGTATTAAATAATATCTTCGTGTGTAAATTTCTATGCAAACTTATTAAGAGAAAAAAAACTAATAGATTCTTTATTTGTATAAATAAAAAAAAATCTGATGAAGGCGAGATTCGAACTCGCGCCCTTTCGGAATAGAGCCTTAATCTACCGCCTTAGACCGCTCGGCCACTTCATCTTAAGTGAAATGCATGATATTATTTCACTGATTTTCTAAAATTAATTTTAGCTACTTCAATTAAAAAAATAAATTTAAATTTAATTCCAATTATGTCAAAAATTTAAAGAAATTCTATTTGATGGATCAAATAATTTTTTTTAAAGATTGATTTTAGTTAGAAAATGAAAAGAAAAAAATCTGATGAAGGCGAGATTCGAACTCGCGCCCTTTCGGAATAGAGCCTTAATCTACCGCCTTAGACCGCTCGGCCACTTCATCTTCAGTGAAATTAACAGTTAAAATGATTAATTTTTGTTTTATCTAATATTTAAGTTTAACTTGAGTTAAACATTAAAAATAAAAAAAATAAAAAATCTGATGAAGGCGAGATTCGAACTCGCGCCCTTTCGGAATAGAGCCTTAATCTACCGCCTTAGACCGCTCGGCCACTTCATCTTCAGCGAAATTATCAGTCATCACTAGCTACTTTTTCTTTCAAATTTTAAATATTTAATTTCTTCTAATTTAACCAATTAGTCAAATTAATTGTATTTATTTCTATACTAAAAAATAAATTTTAATTATTTTAAAAGTCTCATTTTAATTACATTTTGATTGCTAAGAATTAAAAAAAAGGTTGCCATCTAAAAATATTTACTTTTTTATTTATTTTAATTATTCAAAAAAATGACATTGAGGCCAAGTAAAAAAAAAGTTTATTTCAACATTTTTAAATTGAACTTATATTTAATTTGAAATAATTAAAAATTAGCCTGCCTTTTAGAATAATTTTATATTATTTTAATGCTATTTAAAATAATAAAATTTTAATTAATTATTCAAATCAGTTAATATATGTGTTTCTGTTGATTTAATACTACTTTACTATTTAAGAAGCTCTTCAAGAAAAATTTGAGTAGATTTTATAGGAATATCAACAAAGAAAATCTAATTTTAAATTTAAACGCCCAACCAATATGAGTTATTTATTTTTGATGAATTGCAGAAAAATTTATCTTTCTATCTTACAATATTTTTAGTTTAAGGAGGAAAAGGTATGGTCTTTGAAGCCAAAATAAATAGGTAACAATTTTGAAATGTTTTAAAAATTTATATAAAAAAATTATTAAATAAACAATTATTCATAAATTTAAATTAATTTACAATTTATAATATAAAATAACAAACACCTAAAAAAAAAATACAGAGAATAGCTATACAAAAAAAAAATCCACAATTAGCAATACTTGTTTATCACAAAAATATTTTAAAGGCAACTAATCTTTTTGATTTAAGGCATTTGTTTTCTGCTTTGAATTGTAATTTTGATTCATTATACGATTCTTAGTAACTTATATAAAAAATTAAAATAAATTAGAGTTTTATTTTTTTAAATAATTTCATTTTTATTTTAAAAAATATAACAATCCAAAATATTAAACTATTTTTACCGAAGACAAAGTGTCAAATTTGAGAGCTTAGTGCAATTTGCTAAAGCAGAACCTAAGCTAGATGCACCAATTGGGTTAATATAATTGCAACTTTTTAGTTATTAAAGAAAAAATATAATTAATTAATTATTTAGAAAAAAAAAAAATGAAGAAAAAATTCAAAATAATGAAAAATAAATAAATAAATAAATAAATTAATTAATTAATAAATAATAAAAGGAGTTAAATTAAGAAATAAAAAAAGAGACACAAAGAAAAAGAAAAATATATTAAATAAAACCTATTTAACAAATTAAAAATAGTTATAATTAAAATATCACAATTTTAAACCAAATAAACTGTTCATACCCAAGATTAAGTGTCAAATTTTAGAGATTAGTGTATTATGCTAAAGCAAGACCTATACCTAATGCACCTTATTCATGAATTTAATTGTTACTTTTTAAATATTGAAGAAAAAAAATATAATTAATTAATATGTTAGTTAGTTAGTAGGAAAAAAAGAAGAAAGAATACAAAATAATAAGAAATGAATTAATTAACAATAAATCAAAATTAGAAAATATAAAAATGAGTTAAATTTACAAAGAAAAATATATGAAAATAAAAATAGTACAATAAAAAAGAAAAAGAAAAATAAATCAAATAAAACCTAATTAACAAATTAAAAAGGTTTGTTTTATTGTTTTAAATTCCTTTTTATAATTAAAATAACACAATCCAAATCAAATAAACTCTTTTTACCCAAAATCAAGTGACAAATCTGAGAGATTAGTGCATTATGCTAAAGCAGAACATAAGCCTGATGCACCTTATCCATCAATTTAATTTCCACTTTTTAAATATTAAGAAAAAATAGAAAATTAATTTTTTGGTTAGTTAGAAGGAAAAAATGAATAAAAAAATACAAAATAAAAATAAATAAAAAATGCAAAATTAAAAAATAATAAAATGAATTAAATTATGAAATATTAAATAAAAGCACACACACAAATACAGTAAAAAAGGAAAAAGGAATCATATAAAAGGCTTTTTAACAAATTAAAAGAGTAATATTGCTTCAAATCATATAAACTGTTTTTACATAAGTTTAAGTGTCAAATTTGAGAGATTGGTGCAATTTGCTAAACCAGAACCTAATCTGAATACACCATTTGTACCAATTTCACAGCAACTTTTTAAATATTGAAGGAAAAATATATTATTAATTTAATACTTAGAATGAAAAAATATGAAATAATAAGAATTAATTAGGCAATAAATTTAAAGGAAAATTGAAAATAAAAAAAGGAGTTAAATTAAGAAAGATAGAAGGGAAACAAAATAAACAAATATAAAAAAAGAAAAAGAAAAATAAATCAAATAAAAAGCTAACAAAAAAACAAACAAATTAAAAGAGTAAAATCATTTTAAATTCATTTTTATAATTAAAAATATCATAGTCCAAAACAAATAAACTCTATATACGCAATATTTAGTGTCAAATTAGAGAGATTTGTGTTCATTCCTAAACCAGAACTTAAACTTGATGCACCATATTCACCAATTGAATTGCATCTTTTTAAAATATTCAAGATAAAATATTTAACATTATTAATTACTTACTTACTTAGTTAGTTAGTTAGTTAGGTTGAAAATCGAATAAAAAATATAAAATAGTAAGAAATTAATTAATTAATGATAATAAAAGCAAAATAATATAAAAAAATGAGGTAAATCAGAAACATAGATGAAAAAAAAACACAAGTAAAATAAATAAGAAAAAAAAAAATAAATCAAATAAATATCACAATCCAAAATAAGTAAATAAACTGCTTTTACCCAAGATCAAGAGTCAAATTTGAGAGATTAGTGCAATTTTTTAAAGCAAAACCTAATCTGGATGCACCAATTGCATCAATTTAATTTTAGCTTTATAAATATTGAAGAAAAGATAGAAATTAATTAGTTATTTAGAAGGTAAATGAAGAAAAAATATGAAATAATAACAAATGATATTTATAAAAACAAAATTTGAAAATAAAAAATGAATTAAATTAAGAAGCATAGAAGAAAAACTCAATTAAAATAAAAAAAGGAAGAAAAAAAAATCATATCAAAAGCTAATAAACAACAAATAAACTTTTTTACCTAAGATTAAGTGTCAAATTTTAGAGATTAGTGCAATTTACTAAAGCAGAACCTAGGTCTGATGCACCTTTTGCAACAATAAAATTGTGACTTTTTAAATATTATGAATAAGTTAATTGTTAAAAATTTAATTAGAAGAAAGAATGATGAAAAAAATATAAAATAATATGAAAAAAATAAATTAATAATCAAAGCAAAATTCTAAAATATAAAAAGAGTTAAATTAAGAAAGATAAAAAAACATAAGTAAAATAAAATAAATAAATAAATAAATCGAATAAATAGTTAATAGAAAAATTAAAAGAGTTTTTTTGTTTTAAATTTGTTTTTATACAAAAAAATATCATAATCTAAAATAAATAAACTTCTTTTACTAAAGATTAAGATTCAGATTTGTAAGATTCTTGCAATTTGCTAAAGCAGAACCTAAGTCTGATGCACCTTCACGAACTGAAGTGCAACTTTTTAAATATTGAAGAAAAATAAATAATTAATTATTTAGATGGAAAAAATAAAGAAAAAATGAAATAATAAGAAATGAATAAGTTAATAATAAAAGCAAATTTTGAAAATATTAAAATGTTTTAAATTAAGAAAGATAAAAAAAAATAAAAGTAAAATAAAAAAGAAAAATAATTCAAATAAAAATTAATAAATAAATAAATTAAAAGAGCTATCTATATTTTTTTAATTCATTTTATAACAAAAAAATATCACAATCCAAAACAATTAAGCTGCTTTTACCCAAGATAAAGTGTCAAATTTGAGAGATTAGTGCAATTTGCTAAAGCAGAAACTAAGCCTGGTGAACCTTCTTCAGTTAAAGAATTGCCACTTTTTAAATATTTTCGAAAAATATAAAATTAATCGTTATTTCGAAGGAAAAAAAATATGAAATAATAAGAAATTAATTAATTAAAAAATTAATGAGTTAAATTAATAAAGATTAGAAAAACAATAAATAGCACAATAAAAAAAAATAAATTAAAAAAAAAGCTAATAAACAAATTAAAGGTTTTATTTTTTTAAATTCACTAAAATACTAATAAATATCATTTTGCAAAACAAACAAATAAACTATTTTTACCGAAGATTAAGTGTCAAATTTGAGAGATTAGTGCATTTTGCTAAAGCAGAGCCTAAGTTAGATGCAGATATTGCATTAATTTCGTTTTCGCTTTTTAATATTAAAAAAAATATAGAAAGTCAATGAGTTAGTAAAAAGGAAAAAATGATGAAATAATATGAAATAATAAGAAATGAATAAATTAATAATAAAAGAAAATACATAGTTTATAAAAGTAAATAAGCTAAATTAAGAAAGATAAAAAAAACATAAGTACAATAACAATACATCAAATAAAAAGTTAATAAACGAACTAAAGAGTTTTTTTATTTTAAATTCATTTTTATAATTAAAAATATCACAATCAAAAACAAATGAACTATTTTTACTCAAAATCAAGTGTCAAATATGAGAGATTAGTGCAATATGCTAAAGCAAAACCATTGTCTAATCGGTTTTATTCACTTATTTTATTATATCTTTTTAATTATTGTTGAAAAAAATATATAATTAATAGTTATTTAGAAGGAAAAAATAAAGAAAAAAATACAAAATAATATGAAATGAATTAATTAAAAAATAAATTAAATTAAGAAAGATAAAAAAACATAAAAAATGAATTAAATAAAAAGTTGATAAATAAATTAAAAGAGTTTAATATTTTAAATTAATTTTTTTACTAAAAAATATCATAATCCAAAATAAATAAGCTGTTTTTACTTAAGACTAATTATCAAATTTGAGAGATTAGTGCAATTTATTAAACCAGACTCTAAGCCTAATAGACCAAATGTCCTAATTTCATTTTCACTTTTAAATAAAAAGAAAAAATAAAAATTAATTTACTATTTAGAAGAAAAAAATGAAGAAAAAATATGAAATAATAATAAATGACTTAATTAATAATAATAAAACAAAATTTGAAAATAAAAATGATTTAAATTAAGAAAGATAGAACAAAAAAAACAAAAGTATATAAAAAAGAAAAAAATAAATCAAATCAAAATCTAACAATCATGTTTTAAAATTATTATCCAAAAAAATATCACAATCCAAGTCAAATAAACTTTTTTACTTAAGATAAAGTGTTAAATTTGAGAGATTAGTGCAATTTCTTAATCCAGAAACTAAGCCTTATGTACCTTTATCACCAATTTGATTGTTACTTTTTATATATTGAAGAAAAAATAAATAATTAATTAAATAAAAAATAAAGAAAAATAAATAAAATTTGAAAATAAAAAATGAGTGTAATTAAGAAAGATAAAAAAAAAGAAAAACACGATTACAATAAAAAATAAATCAAATAAAAAATTAATAAACAAATTAAAAGAGTTTTATATTGTTTTAAATTCCTTTTTATAACTAAAAATATGACAACTCAAAACAAATAAAACTTTTTTACTTAAGATTAATTGTCAAATTTGAGAGATTAGTGCAATATGCTAAACAAGAACCTAAGGCTAATGCACCTTCTTGACGAATTTTATTATCCCTTTTGAAATATTGAAGAAAAAATATATAATCTAATAGCTTCTTTGAAGGAAAAAATGAAGAAAAAATATGAAATAATAAGAATTGAGTGAATTAAAAATAGTAAAAGATAAAAATAAAAAATGAGTTAAATTAAGAAACATAAAAGAAATAAAACACAAATACAATAAAAAAGAAAAACAAAAATAAATCAAATCAAATTAAAAACTAAAAAGCAAATTAAAAGAATTATATTGTCTCAAGTTCATTAATATATTAAAAAATACCACAATCCAAAACAAATAAACTATTTACTGAAGTTAAAGTGTCAAATTTGAGAGATTAATGCAATTTGCTAAACCATAACCTAAGCCTGATGCACTTTTATCACCAATATAATTATTACTTTTTAAATATTGAAGAAAAAATATATCAATAATTAGTTAGTTAGAAAGAAACTATGAAGAAAAAATTATGAAATAATAAGATATGAATTATTACTTAATAATAATTAATATAAGCAAAATTTTAAAATAAAAAATGAGCTAAATTGAGAAAGATAGAAGAAAAAAAAACACAAGAACAATAAAATATAAAAAGAAAAATAAACCAAATAAAAAGTTAATAAACAAAATAAAAGAGTTATATTTTTATAAATTCATTTTTATAATTAAAAGTATCACAATCAAAAACAAATAAAGTCTTTTTACCAAAGGTTAAGTGTCAAATTTGAGAGATTAGTGCAATTTGCTAAAGCAGAACCTAAGGCTGATGCACCTTCTACACAAAAAAGTTGATTGCAACTTTTTAAATATTATATAAAAAACATTAAAATAATTAGTTATTTAGAAGGAAAAATGAAGAAAAAATATTAAATAATAAGAAATTAGTTAATTAATAATAATAAAAGCAAAATTTGAAAATAAAAAAATGAGTTAAATTTACAAGCATAGTAGAAAAAAAACACAAGTATAAAAAAAAATAAATAGAAAAATAAATCAAATCAAAAATTATCAAAAAATTTAAAAGAGTTATATAGATTTAAATTCATTATTATATTAAAAAATATAGCAATCTAAATCAAATAAACTGTTTTTACACAAATCCGATTGTCAAATTTGAGAGATTAGTGCATTTTGTTAAAGCAAAACCTAAACCTGATAGACCAATTGCATCAATTTCATTGTAACTTTTTAAATATTTAATAAAAAACATTAAAATTATTAGTTATTTAAAGGAAAAATATGAAATAATAAGAAATGAGTTAATTAATAATAATAAAAGCATAAGTTGAAAATAAAAAAGAAGTTAAATTAAGAAAAATAGAAGAAGAAGAAGAAAAAACACAAATACAATAAATAGAAAAAGAAATCAAATAAAAAGCTAAATGAATTAAAAGAGTTATATGTTTTAACCCCCTTGGTTGGGGGACCAAACTCTTTAGGGATATTCTTAGTCTAAATTATTTCAGGTTCGAAACAAACCTGTTTCAAAACCTTTTTTTTATTTACTTTAATTTTTTTTACATTATATTAAATAATGTTTATTATTCTACTAAGTTTATATTTCTAACTCTAGAAATAATTTTCTGAGAATAGCTATAATTAAAAAATAATCTTTTAGGTGTAAGTATTATAAAATTAATGCTTGTGTTATACCATATTATAATTTAAAGAGAAATAATGTAATTTTTCATTTAAATTTACTTTATTTATAGAGATTATTAAAGTTCAATAACTCTAAATATATGAATATAATTCCCCAAAAAATTTATATTTTGTTATTGAAAAAAAAAAGACATAAATCTATTTATAATTGTGATTGTATATTCAAAACTGCTCCTATTGAAAGAGTAATATTTTTTAAATTCATTTTTATAAATAAAAATATCACAATTAAAAACAAATTAATTGTTCTTACCCAAAATTAAGTGCCAAATTTGAGAGATTAGTACAATATTATAAAGCAGAAACTAAGCCTGATACATCTTTATCACTAGTTTTCCTTCCACTTTATAAATATTGAAAAAAAAATATATAATAAAAATGTTAATTAGAAAGAAGGAAAAAATGAAGAAAAATTATGAAATAATAATAATGAATGAATTAATCATAAAATTCAAAATAGAAAATAATAAATGAGTTAAATTAACAAAGAAACAAAGAAAAACAAACACAAGTAGAGTAAAAAAGAAAAATAAATCAAATAAAAAGCTAATAAATAAACAAAAGAGTTTCAATATATTATATTAAATTAATTTTTATAACTAAATATAAAACAATTAAAAGTAAATAAACTGTTTTATAAAGAAAAAGTTCTAGAAGGAAAAAATGAATAAAAATATCAAAGAATAAAAAATGCATTATCAATTTTAAAAATTGGAATTGAAAATCAAGTTAAAATAACTAAAAAAATATTTTTATATATAAAATGAATAAAAATAGGTGAGCATTTTTTTAGAAAAATAAAATTATAAATAATTTAAAAACTAAATATATAGAAAAAATTAATAATAATAGTAATAATTATTATTAATATAAATTAAATATACTTCAGATCTATACTGACAGCCTAATGAGATTAGTGTGAAGAGGTTAAAAACTTTTTATATTTAAAATTAAATTTAAAGTGTAATTATAAAAAAATAAATAATTACTTCTTCTAATTTGTTCTAATAGTTAATATGTTTTATCATTTTTTTTCCTCAAAAATACTGAATAGTTAAAATGGAAATTCAATTGATTGTAAGTGGGTAAAAATAATTAATAAATTAATTGAATTTATAAATTTGTTTTTAGTATATATACCACAAAAAAGTTAATGTAAATTTAATTATTCAATTTTAATATTTCTATTTAAAATGTGTACATAATTCTTAAAAATTCTCTATAAGTTTTCTTAATATAAATTTCATTATTTAATAAGAATACACCGTATACTTAAACACTACTAAATCTGAAATGATTAATTTTTAATATAAATTTTATTTTTTAACTTAACTAGCAAAATATAAAACATCAGTAGATAGTATCGAATATTTATATTATTTTTTATATAAGATATTTTTTTGCTTTTATTATAATTTATAAAAAATATACTTTGTTTTAAATAACTATCTATTTTTGCAGTGAGTTTGATTTTCTTATGATACGAAGGAAATAGGATATTAAATTTAATTTAAGGTTGCATTGGTATAAAATTATTGTGTAAATTTAATAAATATTTTTCAATGTTTAAAAAGTAAATTTATATATTTAGTTTATTTATAATATAAAAAGAAAATAGTCCAGTTTATATATTGAAAACTTACCTAAAAAATAAAAAAAATCTGATGAAGGCGAGATTCGAACTCGCGCCCTTTCGGAATAGAGCCTTAATCTACCGCCTTAGACCGCTCGGCCACTTCATCTTCGATGAATTTTAAGTAATTATTTATTTTATTTTTATAATATTTTAAAATATATTTTTCATTAAATCTTTTTATTATATTTTAACAATTATACCTAAATATAATAAATGCAAATATCCATAATTAGCAGCTATTAAAAAACAAATGTTGCAAAATATTCTAAAGTAATTAGTAAAAAAAATAAATAAGTAAAATTAATTAATTTAAGATTTTTCATTTAAAATAGATGTTTGTTTGATATTTATTTACACATCAATAATTTAGCTTTTAAATGAAATAATAAGTAAGAATCTGATAAAAAATAATATCTTCATCTACTTTATTAAAAAATAGTCGTTGCTTAGAATTTTGAAATTATGAAATCAAGAAATAGTTCGTTAATGTCAAAAGAAGGTTAAGAAGATAATTTAAAAGACAAAAGGGGAAGTTAAGATTATAGCTTCGAATATTAGTAATATGAATAAGCTATATCGAGTGATTCAGATATTGAAGATTATAGCATAAAGTAAAGTTTAGGTAAGCATGCTTAGCCTTATTCTCATCCTTACTAAAGAGAATAATCTATTCCAGTAAATTAATCTAAATCTTCACTTCCTACGCGTTTGAATCTCCACAAAAAACTTATGGAAGAAAATCAGGAGTAAAATTAAATGAATTCATAGAGATTAAATAAAATATTGGAATCAGAATCAGATTTTAACAAATCCCAAAACTTTAACTAATAACGATAAATAACTCAAGCGAGCGATCTTCATCCACTTCAAAAGACATCTCAATTTGGGAATAAAAGTATTGAAAATCAAGAATCTCCTTTGTCATTCATAACATCTACAATTAACTACGATTACACTCATAATACTCCAAATGAAAATTTCTCTCACCAACCTCATACTATATCTAAATCTATGCTCTCTGAAATCATGGACAGAGACAGAATTATAATTGAAAAAAATAAAATTAATTAGGAGCTTTAAGATAAAATAAATGATTATGAATTTTTGCTGTTAAAATCAACAGAAGAGCTTCGCAAAAAGTAAGAAGAGATTGAATTATTCAAGCAGCAAACATATACCAATATTACTCAATCTAATTCACAAAATGATAATAAATCTAATTAAAATAGTTAATTAAATTTACAACAGCAATACATTTTATAACAACAAGGCTTGTAAACCTAAATTAATCTTAATGATAATTAATTCAACTTGTAATATTCATAGAAAGAAATGAATCCTAGTCATTTAACAACCCCATAGCAATTAGATTCAACAAGAAAAAACAGTTTATCTTATTAATAGCAAAATGATAATTTGATATCAGTCATTAACAAGAAATAAGAAATAATAAATAATATAGAGTACGAACTTAAAAAAAAAGATGAAACCATTACAAAAGCCCATGAGGTTATAAAAAAAATAACTGCAGAATTCTCTTAGATTTAACACTTGAATTAAGAGTTAACAAGTACAATTGAAAAAGTCAAAAGAAAAAAATAAGAATACAAAAAGAAATACCAAAAAGCAAAGCAAGAAATTTAAGAATACATCGAAAATGTTCAACAGCTTCAAAATTAAATTTAAGTAAATAACTTTTTTAATTGAAATAGCTTAAATATTTTCAATTTAAAAACTAAATTTCTTCATTTACTTTAAAAGTCTTAAGTTAAATTTTAGTTTGTCCTTTTTGATTTTAAAGTTTTATTTTTTAAAAAGTTTAAATTATAAATTAAATTAAAATATTTGGCATAATTTTTATCAATAATAATTTTGTTTAATTTTAATTCTAGTTAAAATAAAAATTTTATTCAATAATACACAAAATTTAGAAAAGCATTTTAAAATTTTATTTATTTATTTTTATTAAATTTCTTAAAATTAGCAGATTCATGAAGAAAAATAAACTTAAAATGATTAACTTTATGCCTTCAAAGACCAATAAATTAAAAAGAAAGAAACTTAAATAACAACTTTGCAATCTGAAATAAATTTGCTATAAAGCGAATTAAGCAAAAGCTAATTAATACTAAAAGAAAGTTAGTTATTGAGTGAAGAAAATGAGAGACTTAAATAAGAAATCCAAAGCTAGCTAAACGAAATATAAAAACTTAAGGATGAAATCAAATAAAACTTTTTAAGTCATGAATAGCAAGTTAACCAGTTAAAAGGGGAGTTTTAAAAGACTTTAAATTTTTATAAATAAAATATAAAAACAAATGATTAACAAGAGCTATAAAATACTTCTAATAAGTAAATTAATTATATTTAATTTATTTAAATATGTGTATTATTTAAATTAGATATATTGATGATTTTACTTCTACAGAATTTGATAATTGCCAAATTGTTATGACAAGACCTATCAAAACATCAAGTACAAAACCTAAAGCAAGTTAATCTCAGATTAAGTAGATATAATAAACAGATTGCACTATTGATAAAAAAATTTATGATGACTGCTAAAAAATTGAATAGTCTGTTTTAATGGATACATTAAATAAGCTGATTCTGAGAAATAGCTACATAAAGTAAATTATTTAAAAATAGTTAACAAAATATTAAAATGTCATCTGTAAAAAGCTAAATGATGAAAAGAGAGGATTTAGAGTTAAAGGAAAGAACTCAAAATAAGATAACTAAATTGGAAGATTTAGATATTTTAATTGATAAAATAAATCAAGGAATTTAAAAAAAAGATGAAAACATTAATTAATTAAACTAAATTATTGAAAAATTATATCAAAGACTTGCAATTTTCAAGCATATCAATGAAGAAGTTGTCAAAAATTTTAAAGAGCTATAAAAAAGATTTATTAATTCAAATGAAACTGTATCTTAAAATGAGAACCTAATAAATGATATTCAGCAATAGATTTAAGATTATTAACTAAACGAAAGAGAATATTTCTATTAAGTTTTTGATAGCACATAAGATTAGCTAATTTAGCTTTAAAGTTTACAGTAGAGTGTAAATGAAAAAAGAAAAATGGATTCTTATTTGGCTACTTATTTAATTGCTGAATTAGACACTTTAATTGAATAAACTGAAAAATATTTTGAAAGCTCTAACTAAGAAAATTCGAAAAAATCTAATTAAAATCATAATAATGCTTAAAATAACTTAGTTTCAAACTCAAATTTATTACCTACAAATTAAAATTTAAAATATTTGATTGAAATTAAAACAAATTAGCTATAGAAGCTTATTGCATAAATACAACTAAAAAACTAAGAAATATAAGCTGAAAAAGTGTAACTTACTTGCAAAATTTAAGATTTAGAGAGTAAATTGAGTGATCTTGTCTTAGAGAAAAATGAATACTCGTAGTTTTTACAAATTGAGTAGAAGAAAAATTAAGATTTGAGCAATCAAATAGAAGAAATCAAAACTTAATCTAAAGCAACTTTAAATACAGAAAGAAGTGTCTGTGAAAATAGAATTAAGTAAATTCATTAAATTTTAACTTTTAAAGTTATTAAAATAAATATAAAGGTACTTTGAAAACAAGAACTAAGAATTGATTTAGCAGTACAAATAGCAGTTCAAAGAGCTAAAATTCTAGACTAGTAAAAAATAAAGCATGATTGATCAACTTAGCAGTTATATTGATACAAGCCAAAACGAAATTTAAGAAAGTCAGAGATGTTAAATTGTTTAATATGATTAAAAAATGAAAAGGTCACAGAGTGCGAATAGCTTATCCTAAAACTAAGCAAAAATTTGCAAAGATAATAAACAAGATCTTAGTTAATTTAAAGTAAACAACTTTCTTTAATTTAATTCATTATAAAATCATATCAAATTATAAAAAGGAAACTTTAAATACATAGAACACCAATGAGCTTGAAAAAACAATCAAATAGAATTATTAATACAAAGAAAATGTCTGCCTAGATTTATAAAATAAGGAAAATACATAAAAAATATCAAAAAATGAAAACGATTTTGAAGAATCTCTAAAAAAGAACAGTTAAATAAAATCAATAATGAAAGTAAATTATCATTCAAAATTTTAAATAAAATCCTAATTAAAAAATAAAAACAAGGAATACAAGGAAAAAATGAAGTAAAGCTTTTAAAAAAGAGTAAAAGAACTAGAAGCTATATTGAAAATAGTAAAAGAAATTGTGAAGGGCTTTGATTTTTCCAATTTCAAATATAAAATTAACAGCTCAAAAAAAGTGAAAATCTCAGATCTATCTGATGTAGAATCAAAAATATAACTTTACATAAACTACAAAAACTCCTTAGAGAAAAATCCAAATTTAAAAGATTTTATTGATGATATTTCCCAAATAATTAATGAACTTTATGAATAAAATTATTTCTTTTTAACTGGTGAATGGAGTAAAATACCATTAACAATGAATGCCTCCAAAATGATAACTTTAACTTAAGAAGAAATATAAAAACAATTAACACATAAATAAATATAAAATAATTAAGAGTTTTAGCCTATTTTAGGTTCATCTAAATAAAATTTGTTATAAATGTGAATTAATTAATAAAAAATGAATAATAAATAAAATAGTTAAATTTCAATCCTAAATAAACTAATTAAAAAATAAATTATTACTTATTTAATACTGAGAGTAAATAATTGCTAATATATTAATATACTCATTTGTGCATACAATAATTATAATGTTTATAAATAAATTCTATTCTTAAAAAACAAATTTTATCAATTTAGTTTAAAAATAATAAAAATTTTATATTTTTTAAGCTAAGAAAACATTTTTTTTAAAACTTTAGTGAGTTTTTTTTAATTTTTAAAAAACATCATTTATGGCTTAAAATAAATTGTATTGATTTTAAATTAATCAAATTAAAAATTAAAAGTTGCATAGCAACTAATTTGCAATCAAACCTTATCAGAAGGAATTAATTAGCTCATTTTTATTAAATAAAAAACATAAAATATCACTTTATAAAAATTTGTTTAATTTATGAAGCGAATTTTGAAGAATTTTAAATTGCAATATTTTTAATATTTAAAGCCACAAATTAATTATTGTTATTGCTAAAAGAAAGCAAAGAAATTAAAGTTTCAAGCAGCATTATTATTTTAAATACTAAAAAAGGACAGTGCAAATAGTTTTAAAATTATTCAGTTAAATGAGTTAATACCAAAGCAATTATTAATAGTAGAAAATTGAATATGGAACTGAACATATTTATGAAATATTTGACTTTCTATTTCCTGGATCAAATACTGCCAAGCTGGTAGAATTAAATATCATTTGAATGAATCGAAAGTTAGATTAAAACCAAATTTTTTATTTTGATTAGATAAAAGTGCATGATGCTTATGCGAAGAACTTTCCATTTAAAGAAATTTTAGAGAGACTATATTTGGAGAATGGAGCTCCAGTTGTTAATATTATTGGTGGAAAAAGTGGATAAGACAGAAATAAACTTTATGCAGGAATAGCAAGAGCGTGTTTTAATACAGATGCAGTAATTATTGATAATGGCATAACAAGTGGTGTAGAAAAACACTCTATGAGGAAAGGTAATGATTTAAAAATATCTAATATAAATTGTTTTTAGATATCTTAATTTTTTTCTCATTAAATAATTTATAAAAAGGTTTAAAGCTTATTGGAGTTGCTCCTGATGATGAAGTATAATATCCGAAAGTCAATTCAACCTATTAAGATCCATACGAGTTATGTGCAGGACACACTCATTTATTTTTACTAAGTAATAAATAATTTATTAGATATCATAATATTCAATTTTATAAATTATATAATAGATAACAAAGAATAAGATCTTAGATGGACCTAAGAATCCCTTTTTAAAATAACGCTTGCATTGAGGTAAAAAATAAAAAATAATATAACTTAGTCAAAATGATAATAATAATAATTAAATAGAATAGCTGAAGGAGATTATCAATATAGTGGAGTTTATCAAAGAGTTGTTCATGTATTTGTTGGAGATAGCACTAATTATATAGATGAAATTAGACTTGCTGTTAAATTTTAGCAGCCAATTATTGTTGTCCCAGGAAGCGAAGTATGCAACATGATAATATAAGGAGTATAAAGCTAAAATGGAGTCTATAGAGGCTTGGATAGTGGTATTAATTAACTTTCTTTTATTTATTTGACTCATTCAAAAAATATGAAAAAAACATAATTTGATTTTTTAAAAAATACTATATTTATGAATTTATAACCCTTAAACCTATTTTAAAATTAAATTGTTAAATAAACAGAATTGGTAGAATACTTAACAGATTATCCACAATACTTCTTTATGTTACTTGATTCTAGTTCCGATGAAGTTGCTTAATATATTCACTTCTTTTTAACTGTTACTCCTTACATTCAAAGTACACCTATTTTATACTAAAAGAAAAAACAAAATTAATATGAAGAGGAAGATTAAAATGATTATAATCCCGATGATGATGAAAAAAAAGATAAATAAAAATAAAGACAAGATTAAGATTAAGATTAAGACCCGGTAGAGTAAGATCCATGAAAATACACATTTATTGTTAAAGTTTTTGATTTATTTAATTAATATAAAAATTATAATATTTTAAATAAGTTTAATATTGTATTTATTATACTCCAAATAACTTCTTACTATATATTAATATTTACTAATATAAACTTTGATTTATTTGTTTGTCATAGTTTTTTTAAATATTTTTTAATAACCAATTTTGCAAAAATTTTTATTGGTAAAAGTCAGTGAAATAATAATAAATAATTTTTTACAAAAGTGAAACACTTTTATATCTTCTTATTAATATTATACTAATCTTTAAGAATTTAATATACTAACTAAATAATTTAATAATTTAACAATCACAAATACAATTGATAATAATTAAATTTTCAGAAAATTTGGATGGTTTTAATTACTCTAATATATTTTTCTACTTTTTAAACTATCCAAATAAGATAAAATTACAAAATCAATTTCGAGTTGAGTCTTTTAGTTTTGAGAATTTTTGTGAAGAAACTATTTTAATAAATATGTATACCCAATCCTTCTGAAAAAAAGATTTATAATCAGGGATTATCATTGGATTTATAAACTTGACTATAGGCTGGTATCAAAAGTAAAAAATGGATATAGAAAATTATTTTTTACTATTTTAAAACATTAATGTCTTAAAATACCAAAAAAAATTGTAACAAATAATGAATAATCATAATATTTTGATAATTTTGATTGCTTTATCAAAAAATATGTTTATAATCATCAAATTTCTATTAGTATTTAATCAATTTGTTTAGCTTACAAATTAAGAATCTATTTATTTAATATCTTTTGATTCCCATAATTAATTTTTTACATAAAAATAAACTAATAAATAATATACATACTCAATCGATTTTGTATTAAATGTTTAAGAAAAAAGAAATAATCAATATAATTGTTCTTGGATCCACAAATTCAGGAAGATCAACTACAGTTGGTCACTTTCTCTATAAGTTAAGCAAAGAGTGTCCTCAATTGCTATAGTATTTTAATACTACATCTTAGATTACAGAAGAGAAGGATATAGACTTTACAATTCCACTAAAAAATTTGCAATTTGAATTGGAGAGAAACAGTGAATAGGAAGAAAAACATATATGCTTTGAAATGAACAACCATAACTATGAAATAGTTGATATTATTGGTCATAAAAACTTTGTTAAAAATATCATATCAGGTTAATCTAAAGCTCATGTAGTGCTGATAGTTGCAGCCCTTTAACAAGAAAGAGATGAATATGATTTCCAATTTGAGTAAATAAAGCAATAATTGATATTGGCACAAAGTCTTGGAGTAAAGTAGATTATAGTGGCTCTTAACAAAATAGAAATAGTGAATTTTTCTGAAAATGAGTTCACTTTGATGAAAAACTAAATTGACAATTATTTGCATGAAATAAAATTTAATCCTGAAAGTATTTTTTATATTCCAGTTTCTGGTGTTAAAGGCGATAATTTAGTAGAAAAATCAGAAAATATTCTTTGGTATGAAGGATAAACACTTTTATAAGCTTTATTTTTTATGAATAATATTAATGATTTGAAACAAAAACCTTTGAGAATGCCAATTAAAGATATCTATAAGATTGGAGGAGTAGGAACAGTTCCAGTTGGTAGGGTTGAAACAGGTATTCTAAAGCCTGGAATGATGATAAGATTTTCTCCAAGTGGCTTATTAGCAGAATGTTCTTAGTTTGAGATGATGCATCATCCAATGGAAGAAGCTATTCCAGGTGATAATATGGGTTTCAGCATTAAAGGAATTGAGACTTCAGAGATTCAGACAGGAAATGTTGCTTCTGATGCTGAAAGAGATCCAGCGATGAAGGCAATATCTTTTTTAGCTTAAATAGTTTTACTCGAAAGCTCTAAATAGATAGAAGTAGGTTAAATTTCATAGCTTTTTATTCATTATACATAAGTAGAATGTAGAATTAAAAGAATTATACACAAAATTGATAACAGAACAGGCATTATTCTAGAAGAAAACCCAATATCAGTCTCAAAAGGAGGTTCTGCATTAGCTGAAATTGAACCTCTTCAACCATTATGCATCGAAGAATACAGCTAATATCCACCTCTAGGTAGATTCATATTAAAGGATTCTGATTAAACTACAGCTGTAGGAATAGTTTAAAAAGTTGAAAAATAATTTATCAATTGAATATTTGAAATAAAAAACATATTTTGTAAATTAAAAGAAAAAAATAAACTTTAACCAAATGATTATGAATTAAAATATTTATTAATTTGATACAGTTGTTGTTATTTTAATTGATAAAGTAAATATTCGTAATTATATATATACAAATAATACATATTAAAATTTTTTATTTAGAAATATTTCAAAAAACATTTAAAGTTCACTCAGTTTGTTTCATTATTTTTTACTGATTTTTTAGTTCTTAAATGATTTACTCTTTTTCTAATCTTTTTAGTTTTTCTATTTCTAGTTTTGGTTTAGTCTTCTAAAAAGTTAAAAAATATTTTAATTAGTTTTCTCAAAAAATTAAAATAAAATAAATAATATTTTAAAAAGAAAGAAGAAATTAAAATTTAAATAAAAATATTTACTATTTCTTTGGATTATTTTGTCTTTTTTCTTTTAGACAGATAAGGGATTAGGACCTTTAGCTGGCTTTTTCACTCTTATATTCATTTCATTTTTTATTTTATCAATTTTTTAAAAGTATTTCTTTAATTCTTCCTCCTTTTGCTCTTTTTATACTTACTTTATAACAGCTAATTCTTTATCTGAAGGTAGATATTTATTATGTTTTTTCTATAAAAAAATAAAGAGATAAATACCATTATTTACTAACATACTTAAAAATATACCTTTTCTATTTCTTTTTAACACTTTTTATTTGGCTCTTCAATTGTAAATTTAAGGTCTTTGCTTATCCAAAAGAGAGGAATAGGGTAAAATTAATTGAAGTACTCTCTTAATTCTTCGTCTTATGTCATAACCCAGTATCTTTCTGCATTATTTTTTTATACTAAATCTTTGAAACACTCAGTAGGAGTTAATCCATCAATATGATTGCATCTCAACTTTGGTAAAGTCATTCCAAAATCAAATAAATCTTTCAATTAAGCTATCCATTATAAAATTTAAAGAAAAATTAATAATTTTATATAAAATTAAATATCTAATATAAAATAATCTATTTCTTTTTAGTATTTAAATCTATTTTTATAAAGATTCTTTTATATAAATAAATTATTTACGAATAGATCTAAGCTCATTTAAAACGCATGTGGTAATTTAAACCCAACATTATCCATGCATCAGTTTTGTAAGTTTTTCCTTAAATTCAAATTTTCTATCATAACATGCCTTTAAAAATGTTCCGTCTACTAAAAGCTTATAAGGGAAATGGAAATCGTAGTTGATCCTATAAAAATTAATCCACTTTCTTAACTATTTAATTTTTTTGAATTTCATTTTCTTATAATAAATTAAATTATTTGCTAAATATTCTTACTTCTATCAAAAAATATCAATAATTGTTAAAATCTTAAAAAAATAATTGATTCTTACAAAACTATTTGATTCTTTTTATATCTTTTAATTTTATTTGATAATTTGATAATATTTCCATCTCTTTGATTTAGAAAGCTATATTTAATGCCATTTTATAGAATATATTCTACATAAATATTCTACTTTTCTTAAATAAATTTATAAATCACTTTCATATTTAAAAATCATTTTATAAAGTTAGGATAGTTGAATTAAATAAAAACCAGTAAATTCAATTAAATTTTTTAATAAATACAATAAATATCACTTTTAAAAAGAAAATTTATTATTTATTGAGTTTAATCAAGTCTAATATTTATTTGAATGATATTAAAAATATTTTAAGTAAAACAAATAAAAACAATTTAAAACTTAAAATAACCTAAGAAAAAAAATGTATTCAATTTATTTTTTCACAAAAAAAAATACCCAATTTCTCATTTTCGATCAAATGAATAAAAATTATAGAAATTTTTAAGAAATAAAAATAGATTTTTAGATAATATAAAAATTTTATTAATAAAAACAAATTATTAGAGAGGCATTAAAATCTCATTTAAATCAATTTAAATAATTATAAAAATATATGTCTCTTTAAGTTAGTTAGTTAGTTAGTGGAGGCCTCAAATACGTTTTAAAAAAAAATCAAAAATTTTTAGTAAATAAAAAATTAAAATGGACAAATAAATAAAACTTATCTTTGAAGTAGTATTTTGTTAACTATAAATTTCTTTTAATAAAAATTTAATTATTTACAAATAAAATTATTTTTATTTAGATGTGAATAGAAAGATTAGGGAACTTTATGACAATAAAATTGTTGATATAGTTAAAATAATCAATAAATAATATATTAGTATATTAGTAAATTGCTGATATTTTTATTTGATCAAAAGAATTTATTAAATTATATAGAAGAAAGAAATAAGTGTTTTTATATAAGAAAAAATTTTTTATTTGATAAGACTGCTTTAAGCGAAGAATAATAAAAAATAGTTTGCTTTATAAATTTTGAATAGAATAACATCAAAAAAATAGTCAAAGATATTTTTATTCATAAATACACAAAAATAAGGTATTAAAAATGAGTGGATAGCCTATGAATAATGATGTTTTCATTGCAACACTATAGAAGTGTTAAAATCTTTCGGAAGAAAGTAAACGATATATTTAAACAAAGTATAGTCATTTTAGAGAGTTTGAATGGCAATTAGGAGGCATATTAATTGGCATAATTGAGTAAAGCATATACGCTTAAAAAGTAGATATTCTTAATTTTGTTGAGTAATTAAGAAGGAATTAGATGAATAACAAAGTTGTTACCAGAAGTGTGTCTTAGTCTGCATAATAATAATTTTTTTTTTATGTTAAAGACATAATCGATAAAAGTGATTTAAACATGTTAAACCAAAAAATTAAAGATGCATCCTTTTAGAAAATATGCGAGTAAATTTTAATAGAATAAATAAACCAAAATTAGAAATTGAAGCAATATTCTTAATTATCTTAATAATAACTTACAAATAATTCTCAAAATTACATTTAGCCTGAAGTAATTTAGTATTTAACAGAGATTCTTTAATCTAAAATAGTTTTAATTAAATATAACACCTCTTTAAAATAATTCTATTATCAATAATTTAAATCTGTAAAAAGAGATACAGATATAACTATTTACTCTCTACCAAAAAGCTTAATAGTTTGTATTAGAAATAAAACATAAGTTAATAATATGGAAGGAATAGGAGATGGATTTATTAATGTCACAGATATGAAGGTTAGACAACAAAGCAGTTAGTAAGCAAATTATAACAGCAATACTAGCAGCATCAACAGAACAATAATATCATTATAAGATAATAAGAGTAAATATTTCTTTTCTAATAACTTATTGATTATATATATTTTATTTGTAATATTCTAAAATTAAACATTCTTTATAAAATTTTAGGAGAATCTAGCTTCTAACCCTCATAATAATTTGAAAATATGAAATTATGTGACAAATGTAAAAAAGCATTAGATATAATTCTTCTATTCAAAAATTAATAATGTAAACAAGGCCATTATTATTGTTTTAATTGCTTAAGTTAAAAAAATAATTAAAAATTTTGCCTTTAAAACACTTGTAATAGTTAGATGGCTCCCGAATTAGTTAATCAATTCTTACAAAATTATTCAAAATAACTATTGCTATATAAAAAACAATAAGAGCTTAAGTAGTAGTAGTAGTAACAATAATAATAGCAATAGTTATAATAATAACAATATTAACAATAATAACAATAACAGTAAGAAGTTAAACAAAAAGATCAAGTGTAAAATTAGCCAATTATTAAATGTGTCAAATGCAATAATTAAGTTAATAAAGATACTTTTTATTATGGTAATTGTGCACACCCACTATGCTTTGATTGCATTTAAAAAAAATACTTAGAAAGTTTAAAATATACATATTAATATGCTCTTAAGTGTGATGAATGCTTTTAATCGCTCGATATAAATATGATTAAAGACTTTATATAAAGTAAATAAGAATCTAGTCAAAAAAAATGTTTGGAGTGCAATAAAATTTAACCTGTGGAATCATTATTCCTTACTTAATGCAGACATTTATTTTGTTATGATTGTATTTATTAATAATATAATAGTTATAAGCAAGGTAACACATCAATAAAGTGTAAATTATGTTATACAATAATCTAGATTGAGAGTATAGTCAATTTCTTAAATCAAAATAAAAATAGATATTCTGAATCGCCTAGCAAATAAAATAAAGGAAATAATCCAAATAAGGATTAATTGTCTCAATCTATAAATTTTCAAGATAATTAGCAAAACAGTCAAAGAATCCTACCTGGTTAATAGGCATCTCCATTAAAATCTTGTGTTAAATGCAGCAAATTAAATACATTATCAAGTATGTTTATTACTCCATGCAACCATGGATACTGCATTTAATGTCTGTGTGAACTTCAAAGTATTTATAAAAAAGATTTTAAGTGTATTGGATAATACTGCTCAAATTTGATACCAATTTAATCAATTAGCCATTTTATAATCAACTAAAGTAAGAATAAACAAGAAAATCCCCAAAATAATTATTAATTACCGATCAGCTAGTCAATAGATTCAAACAAATATAATTAAAATATCTCAGATGTTCCTAAGTGTTTAATGTGTAGATCTAAGTTTAAGAAAAATGAGTTATTTTATGTTAAAAGCTGCCAGCATAGTTTTTGTTATAAATGCCTTTGTACTAAGTAATTTGAAAGCGATTAAATTAGATGCTTTGAAACTGGATGTAAATCAATAATAAATGTTGATGAAATAGAAGAATTTCATTTCTAACACTAAATGATGAGCTCTTAGCATCTTTAAGGAAAAAATGAGTAAAAATTTGAAGTTGTATGCTCTTATTGTAAAAAATAAGATATCATAAGTTCTACTTAAAAACCAGACTATTTTAAGTGCTCTTCCTGCTAAAAAGGTAATTAACTTTATCTAATATTTTTGTTAATAATAATTAATATTTTATTCTTTGAATTAAAAAAAATAGTTACTTGCTTGGTACATTAAGGCTAAGTTCCTTAATGTAGATGCTACTGTGAAAAGTGTGGAAATTAATGCAAAATCTGTGAAAATACAATAATGTGTCCAAAATGCAACTATTCCTACTGTATGAATTGTAAATAAACTGAAGTAGGAAATAAAATTTGTCAATGTGTATGTGGATATTGTGGAACCTAACTGAAAGTTTCAAAGTAGCTCTGCAAATGTATTGAAAATGTATGTTCTATCTGTCTGAATAGTTTTGAAAATGTGCAACTTAATAGTTTTGATGATAGTCTGCTAAGAAAAAATCAATGTATCCATTTCTACTGTAATATTTGTTACTATAAAAAGGTCACTTTTGAAACTCAAAACAAGCAATTTGGTAATCTTAAATTCTAATGTCTGTTTTGTTGATTTTAGTAACATATTATTTTAATTTAAACCAACAATTAATTTAATTAATTAATTCTAAAATCTTATTAATAGTATATAAATCAAGAAGTATTTATTTTAATTTTTGTTTAAATATTTATGTATTTACTTATTTTTTTTTTTTGGTTTAAATCTTTCTCAAATATGTAGCCATTATTAAAAAGAATATTTTTATGTTTTGTGATATTTTATTTTTTGATAATTGAATCAAAATACTCTAAATATTCATATATTAAGACCTATTATATTAAGGCTGATTTTTACAAAATTTAAATATTTTTAAAGTACTATTTTAGAAATTAATTTTATTTTATTAGGACTTTCAAGAGAATTTATGTAATATAAAAAATTAAGTTTTAAAAATAATAATTTTAAAAATGAAAATTAAAAATGATAATAACAATAAATAAAAATTAATATTTCAAGAATAAATTGCAAGTCAATCTAAAAAAAGATATCATACAAGAGAACATAATTTACAACTTATAAAGTAAATGGTAAACGAATAATCAATTTATTAACACAAAACTGTTGATTTATTTAGGTTTCGTTATAACTTCTTAACAGCAAATTCAAAAATTAATGAAAAAAATTTCAGTGCTTAGATTCTTAGTGTAACTTTTTTATTAAGAGATTTATTTGTTAGATAAATTAAATTAAATTTTGTTATAATTAATTACGCGTTCAGCTTCAACTTTAAACATTTCTTGAATATTTTTAATGAAGATATCTGGCTTAAGAGCTTCTTTGCATTTTTGTTCAACAACCCAGCAGAATACGATAACACCAAGCTAATTTTATTTTAAATATTTTCAATTTAAAATTTTCAGAATTTTTGAAATGAAATAATAAATAGAGAATTAATTATATTTCTCACAAATATTAAAACAATTTTGTAAGTATTTCAAAAATTTTGCATAGTAAAATGTTTCTTGGTGAAATAGGATGCTGTTAGAATAGAAATAAAGTATTTGACGTAGTATTCATTTTTCAGGAAAAAAAATACAAAGATTTTTATTTGCTTTCGCTAATTTTGTTTTGTTTATTTGAAAATATCCTAATTTATATGAAAAAAAAGAGAGAGTTGTTTTGTGAGTAATTACCTTGATAATAAAATTAATAATGCTCAAGATTAAAACAAATGATTAAACTCCCTTAGCCCAACTTTGTTCAAGTTTATCGCTATCCCAGAAGGAACCCCAGTAAATAAGCCAGACGAAGTCAAAGATCCAAGTGAATATGAATAAGTACAAAAGTCTAGTCTTTTAATCGCACTATTTTATTTTATAAAAATAATTAATTAATTATTTTTGTCTGTCTGTCAGTTTGCTTTCAACATTCATATTTTTTAAAATTTAGCTTATTTTATGGTTAAAAAGTTCCTTTTTTATCTTTTAATTAAAAGGATGCTAAAATATTTTAACAAAGCCTTTATTTTATATCAATCAACTTATTTTGTTTGCTCATGCCTTATTCAAAGCAAATTTTATTGGGCTTAGCTAATTAATGATCGTTGCAATATAAATAGATATAATTAAAATTTGAATTATACAGGATTGATTTAATCCCAAAGTAGATAGGAAAAGGCGAAGAGAGGGAGATTGTAGTCAGCTCTTGCATAACAAGTGAAGCAGGAAATAACTGCTATGACCAAAAACGACAACTTCAAATATCTTTTTTTATTTTAGATGTCATCATTGGGGTTGAATTGAGTATTCATCTAGTTAGTATTTATTATTTATTTATTTATCTTACTTGCTTAATAAATATCAATATATTATTTTTGTAAATCTTTTAAAGTTTATTAATTCTTATTTATTCAATTTATTTTCTTATTTCTTCAAACTCTTTCATTCGTAAATTCAATCAATTATCCACACTTTTTTTTTTGATTTTTAATTGTTTGTTGCTTTCTTACTTGCTTGCTTGATAGCTTGCTTGGTTGTTTCTTTATGAATTTGATTGAATTCAATTTCCTTTTATTGAAATTTACTGTCCTCTCAAATATAATTTATATTTTTATTCATTTAAAAAACCATCTAACTTGCATTAATTTAATTTTGAAATATTTTACATATAAATTTTAATGCATTTGTTCATACATACATTAAATATTAATAATTTATCGGCTAATCTTTTCAAAAAAAAAAATTAACTACGTTTCTTGCTTAAAAGATATTTCTTTAAGCTGATTATGAAATGAACAAATATTTTAAAATTAACTTAAAAAGTTTGTTTTTTATAAATTTAATTTTTGATAATCCTATAAACATTTAAATATATATTTTTAATCCAAATTTGTTTTTAAAATTAATCCAAAATATTCAGTTTGAAAATTGATTCAAAATGAGCTAAAAGCTTAATTTTTCCCTCCATATATAGCTGGAATTAAATCATCATCCATGTATTAAAGTAAAGTTGAGTGAATTTCCTCCTGGTCTGAACCAACAATTACTATCTATTTACAAAAAATATATTATTTTTTATATAAGTGGAATTAACATTTTTTATATTAAAAATAGCTCATAATATTTCTTTTAAATAATCTAAATTATTAAATATGCAAAACATCACAAAAATTAGCATAAAACTTCCTTAATTATTTTTCAATCAAAATATTTGCTGTAAAATTCATATCAGAAGTAAGTGTTAAAAATTGCATAATTTAGGGGAAAAAAATTATTTAAAATACAATTATATTGAATAAGCTATTAATTGTTTTTTAATAAAAATAGTTTATATTTTTTTAAAAGTATTGAATATTTTAAAATTTGATACTTTATCTTAGGTACTCTTTTCTAAGAATGGTTTGATGGCTTTCCATAGTATACGACAGTAAAAATCCACATTTACTGCTATTAGTTTGAAAACACCTTCAGGAAAGAAATCTAATACAAGCTTTAATTATCTCCTAGTTAAGCTTAAATCTACATTACTTGATATTAAACCTCCAACATCATTGATCATTATTATTTGATCAACGTGTCCTGTAGCTCTATTTAATATTACAAATTAATAAATTTAAAACTTTATCCAAAGTTATTTTAGTATTACAATTTCCTCATATGTTTCAGATAAACCATATAATATAAGCAATATTCATCATAGTCACACCTTTTTTTTATATTTATTATTTTATGATTAATAATACAACCTTATATAAATCCTGTAAATACGGCAATTATTCTGGAAAAATATATCTGCTTACACCAAACCCAATAGGTCTTCCTTTTGGATCTTTTCCAATATATCTAAAAGCCTGATGTTAATTTTTTAATTTTTAATAAAAATAAATTAGTTTTTAGCAATGTAAAACTTTTTAAAAGTATTTATTTAGCAACCAACATAAAATAATTAAAAAATTAAAATTAAATAAATTTAAAATGTTAAACTTAGTTGAAAAAATTTTAATTAATTTTTTAAGTTAATTTCATTTTATTTTGTTTTTCTTTAAATGAGTAAATAAATAAATATATTGAATTAAAAAAATTTTATTTAATTTTTATGAGTTATGAAAGTTTGAATAGAAGAAATTACTTTTAATCTATGGAGGTGTGGGAAATCATCTATGGTTAAGCTATCAAAATTATTTTATGTCTTCCATTAAACCCAGTTTTCAAGCATTTCTTAAGCATTTTCCTAGTTAAATCTTTATGTAAAAAATATTTGTTTAAGTAAAATTTTGGAATAATTAATTATTAACTTTCTAGCAACTAAGAACTGGATGTACTCATTATCTGTCAATTTTAAAGAAATATTTTTTTATTTGAAACTTTTGAATAGATTTAGCTATTCTTCATTTAATTTTTTTATTCTCAAATGAGTCTCTTCATCCCATGAGGGATCGTCATACTGAAGATTAAGTGGTAGTTTTGTCAAACTTCTTATAGAGTTTAATTATGAAAAGGAATCATTTTCATTCTTATCTATTACTTAGTAGGATTTTATAGGTTAGTAGATATTCTTTTTAAAATCTGATTCATCTCCATTTATTCTTTTTTACCTCTGCTAAACCTTTTCTAATATCTTTTAATTATTGTTTTTATAAAATTTTCAAAAAATCTTTAATTTCTAAAATGTTAAAAAAATTTACTTCATTGAATTCAAACTTAAACACACTAAAATTAACAAATCTCTCCATGAGATATGTTTCGCATATTGGGTATTTTTATAAGAAATTATATGGAACTGCCAAGTACACATAAAATTATATGAACCCTTTCTTTACATATTCTATTTTTATTATTTGCTATTTTATTTTTAAAAATAAATTTAACTAAATTTTTATTTTTATTCATTTACTTGCAGAGTCTTTAGCTGTATGGTTTCTGTTTATTTATTATTTTGATTATTTTCTTAAATTGTTTGTTTAAATTAATAAAATATTTTATTTTTTTAATTTGTATCGAACCAGCTTATCTCTCGATAAACATTTTCAAATTTATATGTTTTTTTATTCGAATAAAACTGCTCTTTTGTTTTATAAATTTAGTAATTTTCTTTAACCTTCAAAAAAAGCTCTTTTTCTTGTAAGTAAAAATCCCAAAAATGGTCATTCAAAGGATCCTTTTATGTAAAATTTCTTATTAAATACTAAAAAGATTAAAAAATTACTGAAAAAATGCTGCTCATAGAGAAAAAATCAATATTTTCTAAATATCCTTGCATTTTATAGCAAACTTAATTTTATTTACTATTCATTTGCCTATAAATTCTTAAATTAGATTCTACCTAAAATAAAGTCCATGCGTTCTATTACGAATAATTTTTACAAAATAAATAATCTAAATTAATAATATTATTAAACTTTTTATTTATTATTTACTTTATTTTCTTAGAGTTTTTTTTCGAAATCTTATTAAATTAATTACAGCTCATTTGGTGTTCCTTGAAGAGTATCACCCAAACCTATTTGCTTCTCATAATCTAATCCATTCGCAGGATGCTCCTAGAAATCATCTGAATCTATATCAGAAATAGTATCATCAGAGTTTTAAATACATTTATCAACTTGCTCCTCCATCTCTAGTTGCTTAAAAAGAGTTTCGTACTCAAGCAAAATCTATTATTGGAAAACATATTTTTATTTAGCTTTTATATAAACTGTATTTATAATAAACAGATAGGTAAAAGCTTTCTTTAACAAATCATTTTTAAACACAAAATACATAATTTAAAATGTCAAAAAACTAAATTTCCTACAATTGCACTCTTTAATGTCTCCATCCATTCTGAAATTTCCTGCATTGAAACTGATCCCTTTTTAAAGATAATTAAAATAGCTTATGGTTATTTGGTCTCCTTGACAATCTAAATAAGATTCTGTAATTTAAAAATTTATTTTACTAACTAAATAAACTGTTCCTCCATATCCTGAACTAGTGATCTGATGGTGATAACAAACAATTCATTTTATTCCCAAACACCATCAACTATGCATCGGTTCAAGTTAACTGAAGCTATTGGCTAAACTCTCTATGTATTTTTTTATATTTAGATAATAATTAATTAGTTTAATTAAATTTTTATAGCTAACATTTTAGTCTTAAAAATACCTAATCATCGTCAAAGACAAGTAGCTCAGTTCCATCTAATACAAAATATTTTGTCTGCCATATGTTGAATACACTATTTACTTACTATTCTAACCACCCGCTTTTTTAAGGGCGAGTTTTTATTTCAATTCTTCCTTCTTGCATTTACTCTACTAAATTATTAATTACCTAATATTTTTTTTATTAAAATACATGCCTACTTTCAACACATGTAATAAATTGTAAAGTAAATAAATCTTGAAAAATTAAAAATATTTAACATATTATTTTTGTGGGTTTAATCTTTTTAAAAGTCTTTAAATACTTTTAGCATTGTGAATCTACGTAGAACTTTTATTCGAATTACAGCTTTAGACTTTTAAAAATGATAGACAATTTATTTTTATTTGTTTTAAAATAACAATACAACATAAAATTAAACAGAAATAACAAAATTATTATATTATACATTTTAACTTGTTTAAGATTAATGTTCTACGTTTAAAATTGCTAAAAAGTAAGCTTAGAAAATACATGTACAAAGCTTGAATACTTATTAATTATCATAAAGATAAGTCATTATAGTTTATATTACAAATTTAGTTTACTCTATATTTATAAACATTAATGTTGTATGTAAATTAAATTAGTAATTAAAATTATTAAATAATCAACACCTCATTAAAAAATTAACATAGTGCAGAACTAACAAAAAGTAAAATTTGTGGATTTTATAAACATAATCAAAAAATAATTCATAGTTTGGATTTGGTAAAAATAAATTAAAAAAACACTAAAAATGAAATTAAAAGCTTATTACTAATAAATAATAAGTTTTTAACTAAAACAATTTATGAAAAATATAATTTTACTTTAAAAATTATTTATTTAATTAATTTTTTTGAAAAAAATGCTGTATAACAATTTTAAATATTTTTTTTATATTTTAATGGTTAATCTCATTTACTTTGATTTTTTATCATATCTTAGACTAGACTTTTTAAAGAAAAATTTGGTACAAGATCTTCTTTTTAACATTACTTTCTGCATAAAGGGCATTCCAATTTTTTTTATAGACACTAATCAATAGTTTCCTTTTAGAATGAGTGACCGCAATTCTTTAATATGTATGGATCTGTCATAGGTACAAAACTTATAGGACAGAATAAATTTTCATTATATTGATCTTAATCTTCAGTTTAATTAGTATTTTTATCATTTTTATTCTTAATTTCTACATTTTATGGTGCTTTTTAGCCATTTCCATTATCAGTCTTTTTATCATCTTTTAATTCTTTATAAAGGAATGCACCTATTGCACCTATCGCAACTCCTGCTAATCCTGCTAATATTCCTATTAATGTAGAAAAATATAAATAATTATATATGGCTACTTTAAATAAATTGTTTCAAAATCTAAACTATTTAAAATGATTGGTTGTTTTTGTTTTTAAATAATTTATATCTTTACCCACTCCTGTTTATGATGATTTTTTCTTACTTTCAGCCATTTATCTAAAAATTTTTAACCTAAAATCTAATTGAATGAGTGTATTTATATTTATATTTTTGTAATATGTTTGATATACAAAAGTTTTTATTAATTTATATTATTAAGAGAGTTTTTCTTTGAATAATTTTTTTTCTATTTGATAAATTTAAAAAGATAAATTTTAAAATAGAAAAAATATGATCAGGCAAATATTAGAATAATAGTTTTTTCTTTAAGTATAAAAAACTATTTTATATACAATCCAGAAACATAATTAATTAGAACTTTATATTCTATTAGAATATATATTTTTTTATTTAATCTATTCCCAATTTAAAAATCTTGCTTTAATAATAAAATCTATAATGCACAAATAATATCAAGGATTTAGAAAGATATAAAAATATGATTCTTAAATAAAGAAAAAATATAAAAAACACACAAATAACTCTGATTTATAAATTAAAAAAAATTTTATTATAAAATAATCTGACTCTAGAGAAATATTAATAAATAAATAATTTATTTATTTAAGTTTGTTGTATATAATGAAAGAATATGATTCTTACATAAATAATAATTATTTTCAAGAGAGATGTATTTTTGCTTGGATTTTAGATTTTTATTAACTCAAACTATTATATTAAATAGTGTTTTAAGGATGGATTACTTTTTTACAATTGATTTTATATTAACTGAAAAATTCAATTTTTGTTTGGGAAATTGTACAAGTCTTATTTCTAAATATTCATTTTGTTAAAAATTCTAATCATTGAAATAGCTTTTATTTATTTATGGTAGGAATTAATCAATGATAGATACGTAGCTATTTTAATATTTTTCAATATTAAGTTTAATTTTTTAATACTAAAATAGAAGCAAGATTGATTGAATGAATTTATTTGCTCCTTTGTTTTAACTTCAATTTGAATATTTTATTTTTTCTACTTTTGTTTTATTGTTTATGAATCTCACGCAAGGGTCAAGCAAAACTGCCTTTTCCTAAAATATAAAATACTATTTCATATAAATCCTTTTATTTTACTTTGCTCTAGATTGATCATTTATTTTTGGTAAGCAACTAACCTAAAAGTTTCTAAAAAATTTGAGGTTTTTTAATACAATCATAATTTTAATGATTTTTAGGGCATTTCTTCAAAATACAGATTAAATCCTTCTTTTGAAAGCAAGTGATGAAATTAATGAAATTAAATATAATATTTACTGTGTATTAAAAGCTTTTTGCTTAATTTTACCATGAGTTTATCATACTATAAAATCTGTTCATATTTAATACATCGTAATAGTTTTTCAAAATTTACTAAAAATAATAGATAACTTTTTGTGTTTGGGAAAGAGATTTATTATGCAAAATGTTGTTATGAATTTGCGGTTTCAATTCATTCATGTTTATAAAAATCATTTTTTTAAAATGATTAAAAAATAAAAAACAGATTAAAGCGTATTCTTTAATTTTCAAAACATTTTACATTTTAGAGTTTTTTAAGTAGACTCTAAAATATGATTAGAGTAATAATTAAAGTTATTACTGAAAATTAATATTTTAAGATATTTATCTAAATATCTCAAGTTAAATATTGTAAATTAATAGGAGAGTATAATTCTTTATGTTAATTTTTAAAGCAAGATATTTTAATTGATTGCTAAAAAACTGCGAAATGATAAAAACATAACATAACATAACATAAGATTGGTTAATATCTAATTAATATTAATTAATATAGATGTCATTATATTAAAACAACGTTAAAGATTGCTTGTTATCCAATAGAAAATCATCAAATTTATTAATTAAATACATAATAGAAACATTGAATCAATAAATACTTTTTTACCAGATTTAATGTTTTCATTATACACTTAAATACTGATTTGAAAAATTTTTCTGGAAAATATTTATCTAAATCAAATTATATTTTTATCAGTCAAGTAAGGAAGCAATATAAAATTATTTGAAACATGTATTTCGATAACGAGATAATATTCTAATTTTTTAGTTCTTCTAACAATCAAATGGATGGTTTCAGTATTTTTATTTATTAATTGATTGATTGTTCAAATCAAATCAAATTCAAGAAATGTAAGAATAATTTAAATTTTACTTGTAGAAGTTTATGGAAATAACTGTTAGATCAATGGTGCTTGGAAAGATGAATTATCAATGAGCGTTTAATTATTTTAAAAATTAGAAAATTACAAGTTTGTGATTTTCATATAAATAATACAGCAATAGGAAATTATAGATAAAAGAATTATAAAATGTGATTTGACACAAATAAATTATGTGTTTGAAAAGATTAATCAGTAATTCTATTGTCACTAAATTTTAAATTAGAGAGGACTGCTTTATAGTAAACAAAGGGAAGCCTATGGAGACGAGCAAATATAGATAAAAAATTATATTTATGGAATGATTGTGTGTGTTTACATGTATTTAAATTTGTTCAGAATTTGTAATTAGTTCGACTTTATTTGATAGGCAATTCTGTTTAGATTTTTACTAATATGATAGCCAATTAATTACTATAGGCAGCATAAAGAATAAAAACAATCCTAGGGATTTAAATTTGATCAATTTCAATGAAAATTTTTATTGCAATCAAAGTGGAGCAAAAATTTAAATATGCTAAAAATCAGACTGTATCTAAATAAAAGTATAAGATAAAACGAGACTGAAACAAAAGTCAATTAATTAATTAAAATAAATTAACGATAATTATTCTTAGCCTCTTAGAATTAATCTGTGTTAGTAAGGAACGATTAGAATATGCAGGAAAGGAGCAATCTATTAAAGAAATCTGATCTTATGGTAACAAATTTTGATTTAAAGCCTCTCTTTCTTTAAATTCCTTTTAGCATTTATATCTTATTGAATGAGCTTTATTTATTTATTGCTTGTTAGGGCTTTAATAAATTATTTATTTCTTTTACTAGGTAAATAATAAAATTTATAGATGAAAATTTCTGAGGCTGAAAGTTAATTTTTTAAAGCAAGGATTATTAGCCACTATCAAATAAGCGAATAGTCTTTAAATATCACTTTTGTTATCAAATTTAATAATCATAATTAAATTATTGAAAATAAAATAAATAGCCAAAAAAGCTAACAAACAAATAAATAAATAAACAAAAGAAGAAAAAGTTCTACTAACTCTCTACTATTCATTCTAAAGTATCTAACACAAAGAAAATATCGCAATCCTCCTCTGCATCTCACCTAATTAGAAGGTAGAAACTACAGTTACCATTCAAAATTAATTTTTATTCATGCGTGCTGATTAAAGCTTCTGCCATCTCTCTTTATTTCTTGCCTGTCTTCTTAAAAACTCTCCTTAACCCCCAAAAACTCTAAAATTTTATTTCAGTAGCCAATGATTAATATAGTAAGAGCAATCGACAAAAAAAACAAACAAACACAAATTATCAGAAGGAAATAGTCGGATTGAGCATTTAAAATATCACTAACTAATATTTTAAGTAAAGGAAAGGTTTTCAAGTAATCCCATAGAATGTTTTTAAGTAAGAGTGAGTTCAAGAGAAAAATAAGAAAATAAATAAAATTTTGCGATAGAAAGAAAATGCAATAAATGATTTTTTATTAATTTTTTAATGAATTATCTTTTCTGCAAATGATTTATTTATTTATTTACTTATTAATTTATTTTTCAGCGAAATCAATAAAAGCTAATTAATTTAATAGAAATAATAAAAGTTTATTAAAAAAGAGACTGGTTATTTGATTGATTAGTTAGTGTATATCAAAAAACTTATTTTAGGAGAACGCTTATTCATTTTAGTTAAGCTAATTAATTAACATATAATACACAAACAAACACTTTTCCTTTAAAATATTGGCAGATTTAATAAAGATCGCAAAATAGAAATAAATAAATAAATTCTGAAGAAAAAGAAATTAAATAATTAATTATATTGATAACAAAATAACATTAATCTAAATCATTTTTTAATTAAAAAAAAGAAAAAGAAAGGCACTAATAAAACAAACACTTTTTTAAATTACCTTCTGACTACTACCTACTACTACTACTATTAATTAATATTAATAACAAATAATCAAACTCTCACATAAATACATATTAACTTCTAGCAAGAAATTACATTATGGATAAAGTATACCACTTCAAAGGAAAAACAACTCAAGGTCACCTAAAACATATGACTGACAACTAAGCTGGATTCTACTCTGAAGAAGAAGCTGAAGACACTCCTCCTTCAATGAAGCCAACTGAAACTAAAAAGAGTTCATTTTAATCTAATTTCGCACTCACTAACAGCGCCAATCTTTCAGATGATTGTAATTATAATCTTCTCAGCACATTCTTAAATAATCAGTCGCATATTCTACTTATCGCTAATTTTAATACCTGCCTGAACTGCGCTGAATTTTATCATATTATTTAAACCTTTATTCAATTAAATAATATTTTTAAACAAATAGAGAGAACTAAATAAAGAGGAGCTAATGAATAAGAAAACAACGACTTTGAGGAGTTCTCCATCAGAAGTCCCTCTCAGACTGTTGGGTACACTAAACCTACTCATTAGCACTCAAACAGCTACTCAAGTAACTTGAAGGTTGGTCCAAATAGTCTAACAGTAATTTAACATTTATGAGTTTGTTAGTTGTTAAAATCATTAAAAAGTTGTTGACTTATGTATTTCAAAGCTAAATTATAATATATAGTCCACTTACATAAAAAAAAATCGTTTAATTTTCAATAATATAAACATAAACGTTGATTTTTCAACCAATTTACGCTTATTGAAATTCTGGTTTACTGATACATTTATTATTAACTAATAGGCTGATATTAAGAGTAGATTCCTCACCAACCACTCTGTATCTACAGTTGATTCCGATGCGGAGGCCAGAAGAATTGCCAAGAAAAACGAAATAATAGATGCTCTCCAATCTCATCCATTCCGTCATCTCATATTCTCAAACAGTGTTACAGAAGGTAAGCATATTAATATTTTATACATAGAAAATATAATAAAAATTTCTAAAAAAATGACTCAAAATATTCATTTTACACCATGTTATTGCCACATTAATTTTTGCGATAGGTGTTATTATGATCAGGCTATTTCAGATCTATTAAAAATAAAAAGATTTTTTATAAGCATTTAAAATGCAGCTAGTGTAAGACTGATTAATCATTATATTAAATGATCAAATAAATTTGATTTTATCATTAATTACTTACAAAAGCTATAGAAGGATAAAAATATCATGTAAGATAAAATACTTTTATAATTCTAAAAATACATATGAAAGTATTTTATTTTTTAATTGCTTATTACAAAATTAAAATTCAAGGAAATCATATTTTCAAAAAAATAATTACTAGAAAAGATTTTAAAATAAACTAAGGAGAGCAAAATGGAAAATATATCTAAGGTTCTATTACAAAAAAATTTTTTATGCCAAAAGTGATTGATAATAAATAATTGAGAAAACAATAAGTTAATTATCATCAACGCTCTTCCCTTAGTAAACTTAAAATTAATATAGACAAAGAACATGATACAATAGATATTTAGACTATAAAAATAAATACACATTCAATTTTTTAATTTTAATTTTTTAGAAAAAAATTAATGTAAGAAGGAAGGATAATAATTAGAAAAAATTTGAAAGCTTGAAAAAGTACAAAGAAAAATAATATTTAAATTTTAGTAATATTTACTTTTAATTTTTCTTTTTAACATTACAACTGCGCGTAGCAACAGCAGTTAATGTTATAATTTTTCTAATGAAAAAATGTCTTTTTACTTTTAATTCTACTCTTTTTTCAATTTTTCGAATTCTGAACAGCCTAAAAGACCTATTTATTTTGTTGAGAAGTTAGTAGATTAGCACACAATAACTCTCTCTAATTTTAAAATTTTAACACATAGTACGCTGTATTTGTTTTAAATACCTTATTTTATGTCCATTAAATTACTTTAATGAACTAATATTTTGAGGTATTTCCTTAATAAAGAATTATACAAATTTTAATTAGAGTTGAGACCTATAATTTTATTTAGTATAATTACATTTTGTAACAACTACTAGTTAACTATTTATCATTTTTGAGTCACTCATTCTTATTACTTTTATCATTTCAATTACTTAATTTTCTATTTAATATTATTATAAAGCAACTTTCAAAAAGCACTTGACATTGACTTATAGGGGTTTAGTATACGCAAGAAAATGCTTAAAAGGACCTTCTGACAAATTCATTAAGAGCAAACAAGTAGCAGTTCCAGATCCAAAATGTAAAACATTCTTTTCGAATAACTAAATCTAATTTTCATCTATCTTTTATTAGACCCTAAGGGAAAAACCCTTTTATTAGACTTGGATGAAACCTTGATTCATAGTTGCAGCTTAAAAGAAAATCCTGATCATATTATCAAGGCTAAGGCAGACAATGATGATAAAGTCGTAAGAAATCAATTAATATTTATTATTATTCTCACATTTAATCTGGATTAAATTAGCTTTATTACAATTAACTATTTTATTGATTATTCTACACAGCTCTAATTTTTAACTCTCAAATATATTTCAACAAACAAAAAAAAACATGGTTTTTGAATATCACAATAGATATTTATTTATCGAATTGATAAAATTCTATTTAAAGCTTATAAAAATAAATTATTAATTTAAAAATTGCTAAAATACGTTAATTGAAAAATAAGTTTATTTTAATCAATCAGAATAATTCTCTAGAATTTCTTCATTTAATTTAATATGATTATTTTTTTAAATAAAGGGCTATCAAATCGGACTCAGAGTTAGACCTTACTGCTTAGAATTTTTATAAAAACTTGCTTAATATTGGGATATATACATTTTTACTGCTTCATCTCCAACTTATGCCAGTGCCATTGTTAAATTCCTTGATCCTGAAGGTAAATACATCAACGGAATTCTTAATAGATCAAATTGTATGGAGACCAAGAATGGATTCTTCATTAAAGATCTTAGAATTGTAAAAGGTAAAGACTTAAAGAAAACAGTCCTTGTTGATAATTTGGCTCACTCGTTTGGTTTCTAAATTGAAAACGGTATTCCAATTTTGGAATGGCACTAAGATAAAAATGATTAAGAACTTAAACATTTAATTGGATACTTGATTGATGCTTCCTAGGCTGAAGATGTCAGAGTATTTAATAGAGAAAGACTTAGATTAATAGAGTTATCTGACTCCAGAGTTGAAGATATCTGAAAAATTTTATCAATTTTTCATCCCTTCATTTTTTGAAAAGCAGCTAATGATATTCAAAAAATGAACGCTCACTGTTCTATACTTTTATAGATAAGTTCTACAATATAACTAAATTCCCTATTATTTATCTTCTTATTTCTTCTCACTCTAATCAACCTATCACTATTAAATACTAACCAATATCAAGGTATTAACCAATCAATAAACGAACTAATGTTCACTAAAAACTATCTATTAATCTATTTTTATTGAGCGTTCTTTTAGGTAACAAAAATGAAAAAAATGATAGTTAGTTACTTCTTATATTCAAATAACTAAAACAATATAACTAACTTTAAAGAGCGTATTAGCAATATAATAAGTTCTATTTTGTATGCTCTCTGCTCGAAAACTAACTAGTTTACAAATAAATAATATAAATTTAACTATCTATCTATTGAATAAATTATTTACCAAAAATATTTACTTGCCAAAAAACATTTTATAATTATATCCATAAAATAAAATATCAGAAACTAAATATTCAATAAGACTCTTTATTCGTATTATATTACTTAAAATCGCATTTATTTGTGTATGTACTTTTGAAATAAAATTATTATTTTTTATAAAAAATTTCCAACATTAAATAAATAAATAAAAAAGCAATCTATAAATTTTTAAAAAATTAAATAGCTACTTCAAAAAATAAATTTTAATAATTATCTAAAATATATTTTGACATAATTCAATAACAAAATATTATAAATTATTATTTTTACATTTTATATTTGCATAAAAACCCTTCAAAAATATTAAAGTTTATTTAAAATTTAAAAATATTATTTTATTTATCAATAATAATACATCATAAAATAACTAAATAAAAATTAAATATTTAGTAAATTAAACAATTTATCAAAACTGTTTAAAATTCAAGTTATTATGTTAAAAACTAATTAAGCTTAGCTTTGGCTAACTAGCAATTATACACTTTTTTTATTAACACTAATTAAATTACTTTTGTGTCGAATTATTCAACTATTTAAGGAATTAATTGAAGAGTTAGCAAAAATTGAAAAATAAATATAAATCCATAATATTAGGTAATATAGGGAATGAATCAAAGATTAAGGCATTAAAGATTTAACATTCACTTTACTCACATTATTTTAGTTATTCTAATTAGTTAAGATATTTGCTATGGATAAAATTTGGATTAATTTTTCCATTAATCTAATAATCTTTAGGAACATAATTATGATGACAGAAACTATTTCAATCTATATTAAACTTATAATAACAAACATTCAAGCAAAATTTAAAGAAAAAGTAGTCTAACTTAAAAATGTTATAAAATAAAAACATTCAGCTTATCAGAAAGTTAAGATAAAGGTGAAAGTTAGGAATGTTTTTTAAACAATAATAATATATTATAGCTACTTAAAGCAAAAGATATAATAATGCTAAATATAAAAAATATGGAAAATTAACTTCTGTTTTAAACTTCCTTATTGGTTAGTATGGCTAAAAATGGTACTTTAAACAGTTTTATAACAGAAAATTATGCTATATTCTATTATAAAAATAGCAGTTAACTAGAATTTTTGTAATTTAATGCTTCTAATAGTAACTAAAGTAGCTTCTAAAAAATTCAATAATAAGTACTAGATTTTTAGCATGGAACATATAAAATAGGAAACTTTCATATTAGGTTAATATTTTTTGAATACTAAAAATATTAGATTAATATAAAAAATAATAATGAAAATTACAGTTAAAAATAGATACTGAGTAGCTGTCGATAGCTATTAATTGAAGAAATTTAGAGAAACTAATTAACTATTTATTAGCTGGACTCTAAACAGTTTACAATAATTTATAATAGTAAGATATAATCAATTTATCAAAACCAATTTATAATACTAGAAACTTATTATTAGTTATATGATATAATTAATTTAAATAATAAAATTAATCAACACATTTCATTATTTAGCTTGGCTTAAATGCGACAAATTGCTTTATTAAACAAAGATCGTTAATAAAATTTAATTAATTTAAAAAATGATGGAAGGCTTTTAGAGAATTTAGTAGATAATTAAGTATGCCATCAGACGGTATTTTTTAGTTATTAAAAGACTTTATAGGACAAAATTAATTTAGTGATTGTGTTTGACAATTATCTCTAGTAGATAAGGCTATTAGAAGAAACATCAAGTCTTTTTTTTGACTCAGTGTACTATGAATTAAATTCAATAAATAAAATATTTCTAAATTAAAATTAAGTTATAATATTAAAAAACAACAATTAGTTTGAGTTTATAGAAATCATAGATTTTAAGTTATTTATGATATAAAATAGAAATAAAACAAGTATTCAATTTAGTGAATCGATAGATTTTAATAAGAATGGTTACTTTTGTTTAAATCTTAAAAAATAATAATAATAATAAACTTAATCAACAATAAATTTTAAGAATTATACTAATCAAATAATAAAATCTACATCATTTATTTATCAAATAATTGAAGTAAATAAATAATCAAATACAGCATGTAGGAATAAATACAGAGTACATAATGTTATAGATAACTAAATTTATGATGTTTGTAATGATTGCATTAAAATTAATTATCCCTTGGATTATTATTAGAAAAATAATTCTTATGGTTGCTTAAAAATGAATTAAGTACAAGCAGAAAATTTCTAAAAAAGTTAACAATTAATAATAGAAAATACAACAGAAAATAGAGTACTTAGGAATAAAAATGAAGAAAATGAATAGAATGATGTAAAAAATTAAAATTAATAATAAATAAATAATTCAAATTATAAAGAATAAAGTAATTTTGAAGTCTATTCTGATTTTGTTAATTCTAATATATTTGTTATAAAGTTAGATAAAAAATTATATTAGGAATTTTAGGGATAAAAAAATAATTAGAACAATAATTTCTTCTAAATCAAATTAAATTAAAATAATTTGAAAGATAGTCAATTAATAGTTTCTGAAACTGATAAAGGAGATATAGAAATTCACATCTTGTTAGATAACTTTGTTTTAAATCCCTTAATAGATATAGAGATAAATTAAAAATATACAAATGGAAGCAATATCTAAGTAGGTTTTACTCTCCCAATTATAGCTCCTCAACAATCAGCATGTAAAACAATTATTTATAAGCTTTTTTCATCATTTTTATTTAAATGTAATAACTAGACTTAGAGTTTTCTGCTGTGATAATCTCATTTTTTACAAAGATACTTTACTTTTTAAATTTTTTAGCAATTTTTATAGGGTAGTTCTCAGGATATTTAATAAACATTGAAATACTTTAATATATATCGCTTTTATCTTATTCTAAATCTCTATAAAACCCTCTTTCTATAAGCATGTCTAAGTATTTATCACTTTTTAACTGTAATTGGAGTTATTAAAATTAATATTAATTAATCAATCTCAATAAAACTGAATCAGTTAAAGTGATTATTTTTGGATTTCAAACAAAGCTTCATTCATCCGACCAATAATTTCTTCTATATAAAGGATACTATTCTTAAAGCTTTTTATATTTAGGTAATATTAAATCTAAAAGATCAATCAAATATATTTTTTAAATTTATTGTTTTATTATCAGGCTACACATCTATAATTTTGCTTGGAATAGTTTTTGCAACATATAAAATTATCAAGTTTATTCGAAGTAGAAGAAATAAAGAAAGACAGGAAATATGTTTTTATAGGATTTTGAGAGTGATATAAATTGAGCTAGAAAGTGATGTGATTGGAAATATCATATAGCTAACTTTTATTCAGCTAATTTTTTCTGCTATATCTCAGATTGCTTCATTTTGTAGATTAATTGATTTCTAATCTAAATTGTAATTATATTCTTTTTTGATTAATATAAAAGTTTTAAGAATATTTTCTATATATAATATGTTTCAATAGAATACTTTCTATTTTTTATTCTTTAAAATGATTTAGCTATAAAAATTCTAAAAATAATTTATTTAATAATATGAATAAAGCAAAAATAAATTAATAAATTGTATTTTTTTTATAAAATTATTTTTCATCTTTAAAAAAAACTTCTACCAATTACACAAATACTAATTATTTCTTAATATTAAAATAGGTAGTAAATTTAGTTTGTCTTGAGTATTTTGATAATAATTTATGCTACAACTGTTATAAAAAATCTTTTTATGATGAGATCACTTATAATTTTAGATATGGATAGATCAGTTAAAAGTGTTTGGAAAACTTTTTTCTAAAATATTAGAGAAACCGATTTTTCAAGGTAAAAACTCACAGCTTATCCAATTATGATTGCTTTTAGAAAAATAGCTCTTGCAATGGTTGCAGTTTTACTGTATGACTATCCTTTTACATAGATTTATATAATATTTGCTATTAGTTTAGTTTGTTCTTTAGTTTCTATTTTTAAGTTACAGGGACCCTTCTAAGAAACTATATTGAATTATTACATGTCTATTCAAGAATTAATTATGCTTATTATTATAGGGTGTCACATAAATTATGTCTTTTGCTATGACGAGCTATTAAACTAATCTTAAAATGAAATTTATAGTAATGATCAATTAGTAAATAAAATTGAAACTACAGTCATTATAGAAGTTATATCTATTTCAGTAATAATGCTTTTGAATTTATTTATTGTTCTTACATTTTTGAAAAAAAATCTACCTTGTTTTAATAAGAAGCAAGAAACAAATACAGCAATAAACTAAGATGACCTTCTCATGATTGGAAATAATGAAAAATACTACTTGCTTTCTTAGGTTGATGCTAAAGCAGAGAATTAAAAAAAATAAGCCAAGTCTCACACTTTGTCAGATGAAGAATCATTAAATCCATAAGAAATGGTTGCTTCTAAGTAACAAATAAATTAGTAATTGCAAGATGGAGGAATAGAATTTAATTAAAATGAATTAAACTTTTATAAAGACAAACCTATCTTTTAACAAGATAAGTAATCTGATGCTTTTACACCTAGAAAATTAAACTAGAGCAACAAAAGCTTTATAAGTAATATGGTAGAATTAGAAGCTAGCAATAATAAAATATTATTTGATGATCATTTACCAAAAACTGCTAAGAACTTTAGTAATACAAACAATAACATAAGTTTGATCTATCTAGGAGAAATTAACTAACCTGATGAGTAAAAAAGTTAAGTAAATTTAGTAGATGATGAAACTTTTATTCGTCCTCCCTAGAACTATGAAATTAATGATGTCAGTTTAAATGAAGGAAATTAAACATTCTTAAACTAAAATGATAAGCTTAAAAGGGTGAAGCAAAAGCTAAGTCTATGCAACACTTCTATTAACTACTTACAAAATCTATTAAATAACTATAATGTTTCAACCCATAACATTTAAGATTAATTGAATGTCTTAAATGATTATGAGGAGCCTGATTCAACAAACAGAAACTAATTAACTACCGATTCATTAACATAAGATTAAATACACGAGGAAGAAAAATTAATAACATTTTGTTATGATAATGGTTAAAATTAATCAATTAATACTAAAGAAGAGTTAGAGTTCATTTAAATTTGAGCTGACTCATTTATATTTTTAATTATATTTTATTATTAGCAATAAATCATATTTAAATAACAAAACATAAAAGTAAATTTTTGTTCTTAATTATGAGATTTTTTATCAGAAATTATGTATTTATTAAATTTAAATTATATCAAATACAAATTAATAAATAAAATAACTCAAACCTTATTGATAGGTTTTAAAATTTAAATATTATTTAGAGATTTTAATAAAGTTTTAATAGAGATAATATTTATTATAAAGCGATCTTTTTAAGTCTGATATAACTACACTATTTAATTTGTAGACATTTATATAAAATCTAATTAAATAATTAAAGATGTTATAAAAAGCTTTGTATTTATTATAAACTTAAGCCTTAAAAATTTTAATAATAAAATAGAGACTGCTTTAATTGATACTTAAATGAATTTCTCTTTAAACAAACGTGCAATTGTAATAAATAATGATTATAAAATTATTTCAGAGTATTATTAGTAATAGAAATATAAATATAAAATAGATTTTTTGTACATTTTAAAATTTTGCTCATATTAAGCATATTATTAGAACAATTTAATACATCTTTTATTAAAAAATTATACCAATTCTTATTATAAATATATAGTAAAATATTATTTTACTTAATATAAATTGATATATCAATAAAATATTTTGAATGAAGATGATTCTATGTTTATTTTATGATTAACTTGATTTTTTATCCTCAACTGTTTATCAATTTAAATTTATTTTAAAATACCTGTTTAAAGATTTATCCAATATGTAAATAGTATTAAAAGTTCAAATTATATTCAAAGCAAAATAGGTAAATCAAGTCGTAATTTAATTAAATAAAAAAGAACATAAAATTTAACAAGGAATGTTAAAAGTATTAATAACTTTGTTACTTATTTCAGTTGCAATAGCTGATATTTGTAAGGTAGAAGACTAGCAATATCAGTTGCCTGATATTGAAAATTGCAGCTATATTTCATATTTTAAATTTGTTTCAACGAGCGAATATATTAGCTATAGTTCAACAAATGGATAATTGAATTTCTACAACTTTATTACATTAACCTTAATTTAGTATCAATAGACAATTCCTTCTGCTCAAGTTATAGAAGTTGTTGATGAATAAAAAAAATTGGTTCTAGTAGTGCTAAGCGATAACACTACTTAAGTAATAGATATGATAAATAATAGTATTTTTATTGACTTGGGGGTTAAGAATGATATACATATTATACCTACAAAAAGAACCACTTAGATCAATGATGTAGTCTATATTTTAAAAAAATAAAATAATATGTATATATTTAATCAGTTAATATTGGATAATAGTGTTAATGTTAAACAAGAAAATCCCCTACTAAATTTTGAAATGAACACTGGATCTTTTAGTTACTGCATTAAATATGAAAATTTTATTTATGCGCTGATTAATGATAGCTCTATGAGCTTTTTGATAGTTTTCAAATAAATCAATAATAGTTATTAGTAGTAAATTAAATCATAAATAAGCCTTCTTAGAAATCCAAATTATATATAATCATTATAGATTGAAAATATTCTTTTAATCAGTGATTTATAAAATTAATAATCACTCCTCTTAGATTTAAATACTTTTCAAGTTTTAAGAATGATAAACTTTTCTTATTATTGCCTATCTAATGATTAATTTATGTTCTTCTGGCAATATCAATATTAAGCAACTAAAACTCCACCAATCTATAAAGTTTCAATTATAACAATCGATAAATCTAACTGGTAAGTAGTTTCCAATTTAGATGCTTTTAGTGCATTATAATAGAATAATCTAATTTAATTATAAATGGCTTTATAGACTCAAGATGAAATACCAATAAATGAGATTTCTCTTTTTTATTTAAAATGTAAAATTATTAATTAACTTTACCTATTAAATTTCATTCATGCTTTTTAAATTATCCGTGATTGTATTTCAATTGTTGATTATCTACTTTAATTAAAATTTCATAAAAATAGTTTTTGAAATTGATTTCTATTAAACAAAAGATTTGCTTAAAAGAAAGAAAGAAAAAATTATTTTTAAAAATTATAAAAAAATTAGTTTAAATAATAAAATGATTTCAACAAATCAACAAAGAATGAATGTTGAAATACATATTTAATTTAATCAAACTATTAAATTATTTAATATCATTTTTTAATACTCATTACATATTTAATTAGGTTATAGTGATCGTACTATATTTAATGGATTTTTCAATTATAAACCTAAATTTTCTGGTTTGATCAAGCCTGTAAATTTAAAGTCTACACAGTAAAATCCTCTTACAATTAATTACTCAAATTCTAACAAATTATTAGTTTATTCATCAACTGAAATTTTTATAGTTGATGCTGATAGTAAATCACTAACAGACTACTTTTAGTTTCCTTCTTTAAATATCACTTATGCTACTTAAATAGATAACTAAACTCTAGCAGCTGGTAATTATGATGGGAGTATATTTATATTTAAGTTATTGTTAAAAGATGGGACAAACTAAAGATATGTGGGTTCTTAAATAACTGTTAAATTTCATTCTTCACCCATTATTTAAATAGAAGTCGATACTAAAAGGTTAACCATCTATTCATATAGTTAATTAGGTCATTACATAACCTGCAATCTTAAGAATGGTAAAATAATTTATTTTATTATACCTTTTAACTAATAAAATCTAAAAAAGGAAAATAAATTGCAATTTAGTCTATCTCATAATTAAACGTTGATACTATATCGGTCATTAAATATATTTCAAATTTTGACATTGTATTTATATTGGGAACTATGAAAGGATAGACTTTATTACAGTTTTATGATGTTTCACTTTAATAGCTATTAAATAGTTTAGCTTAATTTAAATAGCAGAATTACATTCTTAAATCGTTCTAGCTTACTACTTGCAATTTTGTTCCTTGCATATTAATTATGTTTCAGTAAATTTATTTTATTTAATTTAATATTTAAATATTTTTGTTTTATTAGAGTTTAATTAGATGCATAGGTTTACTAGATATTATTAACAAATAACCCATAAATAAGTTAATAGACTACATTAAAAAATTTATACTTTGGTTCAACTTACATTTAATACTATCCCATAAACTTGATTGATAGCACCTCATTCTTACTTGAATAAAAACGTTATATTTATAATTAACTTAATTTTATATACTACTTTAATTCTAAGAGTTAATCATTAGCTCGATATGGACCTATAGATAGTACTTCTTAATCAATTAGTTTGAATGATAAAATGTTTAGTGTAGTTGCTTTAAGTGATTAATATCCAAATATTTTATTTTTCTTAAGCTATTTTGGTATTGTGTAAAGTTATGGAGGATGTGACGAAAAATATTTTAATTCTCTATCAACAAATCTTTAATTTAATTATTCTTATCTGGATCCTACTCCCATAGATTGCTCAAGTAAAATAGCAAATTGTTCTTATTGTTTTTTAAAAACTAGTAAAAATATCCCATTTTGTACTCTTTGTTAAGATGGTTTTGTGTTATTTACTGATTAATCAGGAAATTAATAATGTGTTAAGGATTGTGGTATCGGATATTACGTAGATACTCGCTTGATGTGGTGCTAATAATGTTCTCCAATATGTAAACAATGCTCAGTAACTTCATAAAATTGTACAGCATGTGACAACAATCTTTACGTTTTCAACGGAAATTGCGTTAGTTTTTGTTAGGAAGGGTACTATATAGATAAAAATGTATGCAAATAATGTGACTCTTCTTGTCTTTTCTGTTAGAGATAGAGTGATAATTGTACATAATGTGCTGTAGGTTATTATCTAAATAGTTTAAATCCAGGTAAATAAATTTATTTTATTTTTTCTTTATTAACTAAGTAAATTTAATAAAAAAATAGCAAAAGGTGAATGCATAAAGTGTGATATCTTATGTCAATCTTGCACAGATAGCCCAACAAATTGCAATAAATGCATTTAAGGAGTTTACTTAAGACAGTAAAATTAATGCTCTATTTAACCATGCCCTGATGGTTATTATCCTGATGTTAACTTAGGATCGTGTTAGCAATGCGATTAAAACTGTAATTAATGCGAAAAAAACTCTACTTCATGTACCTCATGCAAAAAAGATTTTTATTTATTCCAAAGTAAATGTTTTTCAAAATGTTTCAATGGTACTTATTAATCAGAAGCACTAAATGAATGTATTGCTTGTACGTAAAAAAATTGTATGAATTGCTCATAGTCAACTTAAAAGTGTGTATAGATAGCACCTTGTAAATAAAATTAATTTTATGATATTCTATCTTAATAGTGTTAGGTAATAATTTGATTTCCTTTAAAAAAATTTTTTGTAATTTGCGAAAATTAAAAATCAAAAAATTATGCTTTTTTATGTTTAGCATATATTTTGGGTCCCTGGTTATTAAGAAAATCCCTTATTAAATAAATATTTAATCTTTTATATATTATAAAGCTCATAACCTTAATTTACTTTAATAATCATGTTTTTTTAATAAAAATAATTTTTAAAAATAAAACTGATAAAAATAGGATTGTGCTTTACCTTGCATGACTTGTAACTAATCAGAAAATTAATGTGAAAGCTGTATTGATTCATTCGTATTTGTAAAAGATTTAAAAACTTGCAATTTGAGGTGTCCGTCGAGATATTATCTTGATTCAAGTAGTAATATTTGCTACTAGTGCCCAGAAGGTTGCTAAGAATGCACTTCTTAATATACTTGTACATCATGTATATAAAATGATTCAGTAATTTATATATAAGTTGGAGTATAGTGCTTAAGTTAATGCCCTATGTCTTTCTATAAAAGTAAATTCTAATGCCTTCCTTGCCATTCAACTTGTCTAAACTGCTCAGATGAATCAAATTTGTCGTGTACAGAATGTGGAAAAAATCTATTTTTATATAAAGGATAATGCTTGAAAGAATGTCCTAATGAATTCATAAAAGATTATTTATCTCATTAGTGTGTTCTTTGTGATCCAACTAGTAGTGGTAGTGAATTTTCTTGCTCAAATATGATTAATTTTAAAATAATTTAAAATAACTACTTTACGAACAGACTTATGCTCTTATTCAGCTAACCTATCTCAAGTAAATCAGCTAATCTACCTGATTATATTGTTTTCTAATTTAGAGACATTGATCCATAATACTATAAGTACAGTCTAATATAAAATGATCCTTAAGCAATAGAGTTAAAGTTTGAAATTGATCAAAGCATACTTTAAAATGTTCTTTTCAACCAAATTTACTAGATTAGAGTAGTTAATTCTACTTTTTTAAAAGGAACTTACACAAATTCTAGCATATTTTAAAATTATAAAACAACTGGATCTATTGGTGTGATACTTTCTAATTCTTTAAACTGTAAATTTTTATTTTGTTTAACTTAATTTTATGTTTTTTTTTAAATTAAATTTATTTAAAATAAATATAGAAAACATTGAGGATTACCAGAAAAAAATATAGATTTTTATATATTTCTCTCTTGGGCTGCTAACATTGTTTTTGCTAATTTTTTCCTAAGTTAAAATTTTGGTTGAGTCGATAGTTCATTTATAATATTTGATTTTAGCTTTATTGTATATTTCTCCTCAAAGTCCATTTATGTACTTGATAGTAAAAGAATTGTTCAAATTTAACTTTTACGGGATCTCAGTTATTATTGTTGAGTAAAGCAATATCTTAGGATAAGAAGTTAAAAAGTATTATGAAACAGGAGACTCATACATTTTCGGAACTTAGGTCTCAACAAATCAATTCTCATCAGAAAATGATTTCTTAACATCAAATTTTATAGCAAATAGTAAATATTTTTTTTTAATATATGAAATAATTGTTTTTTGATTAAAAAGTTTTGAGAATCATAGAATGGTTTGCTATTTTATCAGTTTTATTTATTTTAATTGAGATAGTATCAACTATTACTTCTCTCGATTTATTAAGGTCAAAAGAAAATACTTTTATGAAGGGGTACAATACATTTTGTAAAATTAGCTATATTCCTGTACTATTTTATAGTTTCTTTTAGCTTAAGTATTATGATGACTCTCAATTCATGTAAAATATTTTAATTAATCTAAAATATGGTTTTATAATATATTTAATATAAAGTAATGTAGTAAGCTACTTTGGAAGTCTATTATTAGTAGCATATCTAGGTATAGAAATTTTGAAGAAAGCACTAAGAAATAATATAATAGAAAATATAGTAGAAGAATTTCAAAAATTCAAAATTTTATTGGCTATTATCCTTGTAGTGTTTTTTACAAACCAAAAAAAAGAAATGTTGAGCATTTTGTTTTGTTTAGACTTACTAGATATAATTATTTCTTTAAATAGGATTAGAGGATCTAAAGAAAGCCAAGTTAAATATTGTACTATATCAAAGGTATTTATCAATGGGGTTTCTATGATTATTTACGCATTAGCAATTAGTAATTACTTTTATCAAGATCAAAATAATAATTATATTAACATTTTAGACACATAGATAGGATTAATTTACTTGATTTTTGCTTTCTTGTATTTAATAAATATTTTGGTTCTTTTAATTTTTGTTAGAGCTTATCATAAAAAAGAAAAAGAATTTATCATGTAATTTTATTATTCTGACAATTATAATACCAAAAAACAAAGAGAGATCAAACAAATTTGCTAAGACACAAAAGTTGATGATTTGAGAGTAATTTACCTAATTTATTAATTTTATCAATATTTAACTTTTAATTTAATTTAATTTAAAAAGAGCAATGAAATAAAATTGAACTTTCCAACAACTCAAATGCTGCACAGCACCAATGATATAAATTCAAATGAATATTAAAAAAAGAGGATTGATATACTTGAAGATAAGATTCAAAGAATATCAAAATATTTTGAGTAGAAAAACTCAAATATGAATAACATGCATTTTAATAATGAGCTTTCCCCAATTTTAAATGCAAATTAAGGCGTAGATGACAGTCCTTAAATAAATATAAAAAGAAGATAAGAATCTGTAGAATAAGTCATTCATTTTAGTTAAAGTAATGATTAAGATTATAATTTTAGCAAAGATGAAATAAAGAAAAGCGATGATACATCTAAAAGCCACCAAAATAGATTTTAAGATGAATAAAACGCAGTTATTTAAAATAGTTGAAAGGCAAAGAATTTTATCCTTATTAATATCTAATATAAATATTTTTTATATATCTTAGTTAGTTAAAGATTAATTACATTTAACTTGATAATTTAAATTTAATTAAATTAAAGTAAATAAGCAGATTTTTTATAATAATTGTTAATTAATTTTTTTATAATTAAATTTAATAAATAAATCAAACAATTATCAGAAATTTACAATATTGTGAAAACACAAATAAACAAAAAATCTATTTCCTTGCAGTTATGAAATATATTTTTCTCTTAAATTAAAAAGAAGATTAAAAGTAATTGATAAAAATTAAATGTAGTAATGAATTAATATAAAATTAATTAATTTATTTTTTCTCTAATTATACTTATTTTAATTAAGTCAATATCAATATTTAATAAATAATCGCATGTTTATTTTTTGTAATAATAACTATTTTTTTTAGTAAATATGAGTCAAATTTTTTTAATGTTTTTACACTTTATTTTATTAATTTTTTTTTTGTAAGTAGAAGCAAGAAAGTGTTCTGCTAAAGACTTCTTTTTCATTATAATATCAAGTTTTATTCGAAAAAATAATGATAAAATTTTAGCTAGTTTTTGTTTATTATTCTCATACTTATTTGGAAATATTAATTACAAACCAACAAAGCGTTTGATAGAACAAAGTCAATATTTTAAACAAATTAAAAAGTAAAATAAGTAGAACTTCTTCACAAAGTGTTAAAAAAATGAAAATTAAAAATAAAATATTATTATTAGCATAAGATACTGGATTTTAATTAAGTATTTTGATAGTAACACCATAGATAATCCTCTTAATTATTTCCATATTACTAATTAACTTTAACAGAAACACTATATAAAATTAAGTATTATAGCTTAATGATATCTTATTTAGGAATGAAATTCAATCTGTACTTAAATAAAATAGTGTTATTTTAAATATTTTTTAGTAAAACTTACTTTTAGAAATTTAATCTATAAATTCTATTTTAAGTTTAGCAAATAAAATTGATAAAAGTAATGCAATCATATTATAGAAATATAGAAGTCCAATCTTAAACTTAGAATAAATCTATAATTAATATGGAGATTCTTAACTCTTAAAAATGTATAAAATGAATTCGTTTTAAATATCTAGCTGGTATTAACTTATTATTATATTTAACAAATAGTTTTAAAAGTCATTAACAAATTTAAAAAGTGATAAATTATAGAGATAAAATAATTACCAATATATCATTTAGTCTTATGCTATAAATTCTATAATTCTTAGTTTTTTATTGATAGAAGATTAAAATTAAATAATGTTCAACAACATGTGAAATAAAGTCAAATATTATAAAATAGCATAAAAATCTCAAAAAATATAACTAAAATATCAATCAAACATAATTTGTAATAAATAAAATTAATTAATTTGATAAGATCAAATAAAAAGTTTTATAAATCTATTAAATTTATTTGCATTATTTCCAAAGTTTGACATTTAATTTAATTTTAATATAATTTGAAATATTGTTTAAATATATTTTTATTAAAAGGAATAAATCCTAAATTTATTTTAAAATATTAGGTCTGTAGATGGCTTAACTGATTTGAAATAATTAAATTATACTTAATTGTATTAGATTTAGTTAGGAAGTTATGTAGATTTTTTAAGGAAATCTTTCTAGTTTTAGCATTTACAAAAATCAAAATAAAATTTTTCTTATTTTAAGACTTTGATCTAATCTTATTTTTAAGCATACAACTTAGATGGTATGTTTTATGGACCTGGAACTAATATAACTTATTAAAATATATCAAGCTATGGCACATGCTTAGAAGGTTCGTATTAGATAGATGTTAGATGCTAACCATTTTATATTTAAGTTGCTTCATAAAACTCTACTTCTGCATAATTTTATTCTCCTTCTCTTTTTCTTTATAGCTCAAACAATTAGCCTTATATATCATTTGGTATTTGCAAAAAATAATACTTAAATTATTTTTAAAACATTAATTTTAACCAGCAAGTTAAAAATAATGAATAACAATAATATTTTTAATTAATTTGCAATTCAATTACAATAAAATAAAAGGAAACTTAAAAATAAGTAAAATAAACTAGAATATTATACGATCCTACCACTTAAAGTGTAATTTATCAAAGCAATTACACAATATAAAATAATACATTGCTGACAATTTAATAATCGTATCTAAGCAGATTGTCTGAATATAACAGTAAATACTTTTTAGAATAAATTAACAGTTTTTATAAATCTCAAAAGATCAACTAGTGTTTTAGTAGCAATTTTGATTTCTAAGTGTTTATTTAAACCAATAACAATATTCAATAATAATTTTCATATTATGAAAACGGAAATGAAATGATTGTGATTATGCAGTTTTCATACTTGGTTGATGTTTAAAATGGTTATCAAAACTATTAAAAATATTATTGCTATAACAGTATTTTAATATTATTGACAATATTTTCAAAAAACGAAATATAAGCTCAAGCAAATAATTTATTTTAAAAAATATTTACAGTAGACTTATTTTTCAAAGTTTTAATTTATGTCATTCCTAGTTTATAAATTATTTTAGCAATTAAATATGTTTAGAGTTATTCTAAGATTCTTAATCAATCAATTTAATACATGACAAATATCTTAAAGTGTATTAAAATATAGCAATAAGAAAACAAGATCTAATTTTTAGAAAAAAAATCCTTATTATTACAAAGAAAAGTGGATGACTCTTAAATATTATTCTCAGGAGATATTTTAGAATTATATTAATATGTTCACGATCTTCTTTATACATTCTTTTTTTATACTTTTAATATGATTGGCTAAGACTAGTTTCTATCATTAATTTAATTAACATAGTATATTAGTCATTTCAAAAAATATAATAATTACCAAGCACTTGGAGTATGTTTCAATAATGTTGGATGTATCAATTTTAATAGCGCTAGATATAAGGAAGCCTTTGATTACTTCAGCTTAGCTGTGGTTTGCTCAAAATATGAATTAAAATTATATAAGGAGGATATAAAAAACTTACAACATAGTTAAATTGAAAATATACCTAATACATCCTTTTAAGTCATAGACCAAACTCAATTAAGTAAAACTTAAAAGTCTAAAACTATCGACCATTATAATAAAGAAAATAATTAAAGCAATGATTCCTATAATAAAAACAATTTTTCTTTTTAAAGCAATTAAAATCAGATAAGCTAAATTCAAGATTAAAAGATAGAGAAAAATTAGATGGACTTATTTAGCAAATATACGAATAGAGCTTTGTCAAGTAAGCAAGAGCTTATTGACACTTACTATTTTAGGACAGTAAATTATTTAAAGTCAATGATTTTTTGCTTTTGCCAAAATATGAATATGCTAATAGCTGATTGGGATATAGCTGAAGAAGTTGTTTTTACTTTAAAAAAAATAAATAATTTAAAATTAACTCAACCAATATTATAAACAAGAAATAAATTTGTATTAAACAGATACCACTTGATTATTTTACTTAAAAAAAAAAATATTTAATATTGTGAGAAATTAATTGATGAAAATGAACAAAATTTTATCAAATTCAAAAAATTGCTTAAGCAGTCAAGTAAATAAAAAAAAAAATAATAATAGTTTATATTAGATTCTGAAAAAGAATCTGATGCTTAATTTAGCTAGCTCTAATCGTAAAAATAATCTAATATGTAATTTGAAAATGAATAATTAAATGATGAATCTAAATAGTAAAATAGTCTAAATTAACTCCTTTAAAATAAATCTAATATGTTATAATTGAGTAGTGTTTACCCATGCAATCAAGATTTTATTCAAAGCTAAAACTATAGCTAAAATAACAAAAGCTCTTTTTTCAGAACCAATTAATTTGAAAATGAAATAATTAATTTATAAACTCATGATAAATAAAACATCTCAACATTTACTGATAATAATTTGAATGGAACTTTTTTAAAATAATTAAATAACATAGAAAATTCTTAAATTTATTACACAAATCAAACAAACTAAAAATAATAAAGTTTTCAGTTATTATTCCATCAATCTAATTTTTATAAAAAATTGGAATAAAAAAATAATAATAATGAAAAAAATTCTCTTGTAATTTCAAGGTAATCCATATTATTAAACCAGCCATTTAAAAGCTCTAAAATTGAAAGCAAAAGAAAAAGTAAATCAATAAATCAACTAAAATAAAATAAAACCTCTGGAAAAAATATGTTAAATTTCGATGAAAAAAGTACCTATAGTATGTATTTAGAACAAAAAGCAATTATGAGTTTAGCTAAACAAAATTTTTATACAGCAGCTGACTATTTCACTAAGATATTAGAAGAAAGTAAATTCATCTTTCCATTTATCCTTAACTAATCTATATAAAAGCTTATCTAAATTTTTAGTACCTACAAAATAAATTGTTAAATATTGGATTAAATGTATAGTCAAATGGCAAGTCTTATAAATTATAAAATAAGTTTTGTTTATTTTGATTCTAGAAATTATGATTATTAATTCAATACAGAATAAGATTTTTTTGAATAAAATTTTTCGAGTTTATAATATAAAAGCATAGAAAAAGAAAAAAATTGTGATTTAGACGAAAAAGAATAATTAACTATTAGCTTATTAGAAGATATTCTCAATTAAGTTATTAGCTATAATGATGATTATTTTGGGTTTATTCATTCTAATTTTTAAGAAGCGACTATCCAAGAGCCAATCTAGATGACTAATTTATATTACATTAAAACATATAAAAATCAGCTGCTGAAACAATTAAGGGATTATTATTTTAGCCAGGATAACGATCTGATAGTGAGTCATAGAAATAATTTGAATTAAAATTAAATAGTCTTTGAAGATTTAGTTTCTTCCAAATCACATTAATTAAATAATTATTTTATTTAAAATTAGAAAAAAAAAGAATAAAATTTAAGCATGAAAGTATCTAAATTTGAAGATTCTATACAAATTAATCAAGATAAACTAAAAGTAGAAACACACAAGTCTAATTATGAAAACAATTTGTAATGCAGTGAAAGCAAGCTACTACCAAATAATAATTAATTAAAAATGTTTTATAATTAAAATGATAGAAAATTTTAGAAATAAAAGACTTAAGTTTAGAATAAATATTTTAATTATGATTATTGCTAAGATAGATTGGAAAATAACAAATACTCACCATCAAATTAAGCATAAATAACCAATAAAATTAATAAATAATTGAATAGTTTAAAATTAAATTTTAATAAGACTGAATAGATTAAATTAACACAAAATGATGAAGAAGATTAGAGATATTTTAATAGCTCAATAAATAATAAATAAAAAGAAATTTTTTACTATACAATCAGAAAAGCTCTTCAATAAATTATTAGCTAAAATGAAGGTAAATCAATTTTATTCAATGTTAAATAAATTGAATTTGATAAAATTAATTCTGGTAGTCATATAATTATCCAACACAACCAAAGTTTAAAAAACTCATATATGTAAAATAGTTTGTTCCCAAATACGATGAAAAAAACTGTTTTCAAAAAAATTATTATTGCTGTAATAGAAAACATGAAAATATTTAGTTAAAGTGAAAGGGAATTTTAGTTTATTATAAAGAACCTCTAGTACTATGGAGTAGAATTGTGCATAGTAATCTTGGATGAAACCATATCTATATAAGAGAGCCATTAATATCAAAACATTATCATTGATAATAAATAAGTAGTCTCATTTTTCCATAACTGCAAAAGCCTATTAGTGTACTTAAATAGCAGCAGATATTCTAAATTTCATGATAGCTCACTTTTGTACTGTGAAAATTTTTGAAAATTGGAATGAGTTAAAATAAAATTAAATAATTCTTATCTTTATTATTTTGAGCATATTTAATTAATTTTAATTTATGAAAAGTAGAAAGTATATATTAAATTTAAATTATATTGAAACATTAATAAAAATATGGATATAATAATTTAAAAAATTACTGTTTATTTCGCAAGCATAATAAATGATAATCATTTTTCAATAATTATTATTACACCAACATAAATGATAATCATTTTAAAAAAATTATTTGTTTTTTAACAACATCACAAGGTTTCATTTTCACTTCAGTGTAAATCAATTTAAAGCTTGCAATACCACTCTAATCCATCTCTCTTATTTGTAAATTCTATCTAGCGCTTATACTGTAAATAGTTTCCTCTAAAAAGTGAACATAATTTTCATCCTGCAAGCCTAAAGCGATGGTAAAAACATTTGGATTTAGAGTCACTGATGGTTGTTGCTATATGTAAACTAAAAACTCCTTATTGATTTTTTTTAAATATTAATTATTATTTTTTTAAAACTAAAATTGTTTATTTTGTAAAAATTAACTCTCCCTTTTATTAATAGAGTTAGTTACTTCTTTATAGAAATTAAATAAAGAATTAATAATAGTATAACATTAAAAGAGGTTTATCATACACTTTTTATCAGATTAAATTTATTTACAAACTAGTATATAAGAAATATTTAGAATGAGCTTTCAAAGCTTCATTAAATTTGATATTTTAGCAAGTTTTGGTATTTCTAAGATATTTGATTAACATTCTTCTTGTCTATCTTCGATTTTAACAAATTCTCTGACAGGAGGACCCACATACAATTATCTAGGACGACCAATTTTATTAAGACCTTCTGCCATCATTTCTGACCATTAAGTAATCCATCCAATAGAACGAGCTATTGCAAACATTACAGTAAACATATTAACTGGAATATCTAAAGCTTTATACACTAAACCAGTATAAAAATCAACATTTGGATAGAGCTTTCTATCAATGAAATATGGATCTTAAAGTGCCTTTTACTCCAATTTTATAGCTATGTCTAATAGAGGCATAGTATCTTTTCCTGTTACTTCTAGTACTTTATAACACATTTTTTACATTACTCTTGAACGAGGATCAAAATTTTTGTATACTCTATGACCGAAACCCATTAATCTAAATCCTGATGTTTTGTCTTTAGCCATATTAATACATTTTTCAATATTATCAGGAGATCCTATCTATTCTAACATATAAAGGACAGCCTCATTAGCTCCACCATGCATAGGTCCCCACAAACTAGCTATACCAGCAGCAACACATGCAAAAGGATTAGCTAAAATAATAAAAAATAAATTATGAAGGAAATATTTTTAAAAAAATATTTTAATATATAATTTTGTAATTGTGAAATTTCTGTTCTCATTTTATTTTTATTAAAAGCTTTAGAAAGATTAAATTTCTACAAAGCAGAATTATTTATTTATTTATATTTTATTAAATTAATAATTTAATGATTCCTAATTGCTTAAATTTAAAATTTTTATTAAGCTTCTCGAAAGAAAACAATCTTATCTATCTTTTTATTATTATTTTGTTTGATAATATTTCTTGTGCTATTCTAAAACTAATTTATAACTATGATAATTTCTTTCCTAAATTTTTTAATTCTTTTATATTATTTGTAACTTTTTAAATAAAACCTAAAAACAAACTGCTGTTCTATTTACTATTATTCTTTTTTTCCTATCAATCATTTGTTTGTAAAATAACAGAAATATGTCTGTAAAAGAACAGAAATACCTGCAAAACGACATAGAATTTTAAAATTATTTTATTTTCATGTATTTTTTAGATGAAATTAATAGCTTATCTTTAGAAATATTTGATGAAAATAGCAAATTTCTTAAAAATGGTTAAGTAAGTATATATGATTTTGATTACATAAAGAAGAACCGGCAATTCTGACTGTAGAAGATGAGGCATTTTGCTCGTGATCAGCATGAAGTAAGAAAATCGTATCTATTGCTTCAACGACGACTGGATTAATGTCAAAATCGTCATCCATTGGATTTGCAAGCATCATATACAAGAAATTCTGAATATAGTTATATTTCTTCTTAGGTCTAACAAGAGGAAGACCAGAAGCAGTTCTAAAAGCAAATGCTGCCAAGGTAGGAAACTTAGCAACTAGCTTTATTGCGATATGTTCTCTGTCTCTAGGATCATTCACATCAAATTCTTCATGCATAAAGGCAGATAAGGCACCAATTACACCAACCATAATAGCCATAGGATGTGCATCAGATTAGAAACCTTTGTAGAAGTCAACAATTTTTTCGTGGACCATCATTTCAGAGACGACCAATTCCTCAAATGCATTCAATTCTTTAGCTGAAGGTAGAACACCATAAATCATTAAATAGCAAACTTCGATAAATGTAGAATGCTCAGCTAAGTCTTCGATTTTATATCCTCTATAGAGTAGTTAACCTTTGTCACCATCAATATAAGTTATTGTTGAAGCGCAACTTCCAGTAGCTGTAAACCCAGGATCATAAGTGAACATCCCTGTCTGTTAATTTAGATTACGAATGTCTATCATAGATTAACCAAGTGTGCCTTTGAGAATTGGTAGTTTTGCAGTTTTTCCATCTGGCAGAGTTAATGTAGCGTATTCTTAAGGAGGATTAACTTTGGGGATAGTTTGATCTATTTTTTTCTTCTAAGAAGTGACTGAAATGCTTTTTATAAATTAAACTTAATCGCTTGTTTATTGTTCAGTAATCTTTTTAAAGTGAGAATCTACTACTTGTTGATTACTCAATTCATCGCTTTTCTTCTTCATTTAAACAGAATTTTGTTATTTTCTTTTTACTTTTGATAGATAATAAATCCTTGCTTTAATAATATCTTTATTAAAAATAAATTGTTTATGATCAAATCGAGATTAAAAATTTTTATTTTTAAGTTGGTTGTAGATCTGTTTTTCTAATTACTACTTTTGAGAATAATTTTTTCAAATTAAAAGCCGATTCTGCTATCACTTTTGATGATGATTTAATTAAGAGTTTTGCATCGTCATCCGAAATTTTTAGATGAAATAAAATTAGTGACGTACCTTTTATACAATCAAACCAATTTTAATACAATACCAACAAAAAAAAATCCTTTAAGGAATATCAAATTAAACAAATAATGAATAAAAAAACTTAAAAAATATAAATAAATATTTTGATAAATGATCATTTTTAATTCAAAAAAAGTAATGAAATTAGAGTTTAATTAATAAATTTATATGAATTTAATTTATAAATATAAAATTATTTTCAAATTTAAATCAAAATGTTTATGTGAATTATTAAAATTAATTTGTTAACGAAGTAATTTATTTTAAAATATCCTTTGATTATTTTCAAATTATTTTATCAAATAATACTTTTGGTAAAATAAAAGTTACAATTCAAAAGAGTATTATTTTATTGTATTTTATAATAATAAAATATCCATTTATTAATGAAATTCAGTAAATTTATTTAGTCTAACGTATAAAGAGCAAAGATCTAAGCAATACTTCTGGGTTAGAGCTATTTTCGAAATCCTTCTTTTTTTACTTTTAATTTAAATAAATAAAATTATTTAAAAAATCTTCAAAGTATTTAAAAATAAAATTAAAAGTATATTTTTTACTTCTTAATCCTTTTTTAGCTCTAAAGCTTTTTGTAATTTGCCTTAATTATAGTATTTCATTATCTTATTATCTTTAATGATAAATAAATAAAATTTAATAATTGGCTATTAAATTGAAGATTATTAAAACTAAACGTATGTTAATAATATCAATGCAATATTAATATTATTTTATTTAAAAAAGAAAATAAAAATTTACTATAATAATCGAATATTTTTTATTTATGTATCTTAATTTAATCTTCGAAATCTTAGCTGTAAGGTATTTAGGAAGCGCCGATATTATTAAGATTAATTTATTGCCTAAATTATTCGCTCCTCTGGATTTATATTTAAATTCCTTACTTTGTTTCTTGACCTTCTTCAGTTTCTTTATTATCTTTCTCTTCAGCTGGTGGTGGTTAATTTGCCAATTGCTTGGCCAATTTTTCCTATCTTTTTTACTCTCTGATTAAAGCAGCAACATCTTAGTCTATATTTGATATTTGAGTGCTAGCTTTATTCTGTTTATTTAAAATTTATAATATGTAATCCAATTAAATAGAGATTAATTTTACAATATCTTCTTTAGTGATGTCTTCATTTTTTAAAACCTTATTTATTATACTCATTTAAATCTACTGATGATGCTTTATTTTTATTTTCTCTTCATCTCTTTTTCTAATTTTTTCTTGCGTTTCCTTCAGATTGTACTTGCAAAAAAGCTTGGCCAAAATTTAAGCTCTTTATTTGATAAAATTTATCATTAAATTTTTGAAAATTTTACTTATGTTTTCTCTATTTATAGATTATTATAACCATAAAATTTTTCATATTTCAACTGAAAAAGTAAATAAAATATGATAAAATGCCAAACAAATTTTATTTTCATGATAAATATCGATAGTTTACATTATGTTTTAAAATAATTACCTTTTTTCAATATCTTCTTATGTTGGTGGAATATCTGTATATAAATAATATTCATTAGTTGCTTTCACATTAAACTTTCTTAGTCTCTCCTGTTTTGCTAGAGAATACAGATATTCTTAATCTTATTTAGGCTTTAGCTTCAATAAATGTTTTTGCGTGTAATCAACATTTTTTTATTCTTCTTCAAAGAAGTAATCAAGATTTTCATCAGGTTTATAAATTATATTGTAATAGTTTTGAATTTCATAAGGGATGTTGGGATTGAATTTCATTTTTATAAGCTATATAAAATAATTTAATTTATATTGAGCTATTCTACCAACCATAAATCAAATGAATACATTTTGATCGTTTATGCCTTAAGGTAAGCTAATAACCTTATTACTGAAACCTTATTCTACGTTACATTGCTAAATAAGAAATTCTTCACCTGGAAAAATTAAATCTTCTATCTTAAATGGCTTCATGTTCTTCAAGCTGTATAAAAAAATGAATATAAATTAATAAATAAATAAAGCTTTAAAAATTATTTTATTCATAAATGTGTTAAAATTTTTATTTATGTTTTCTTCAATAATTTCTTAAACTACTACACTTTGCTTCAACCATGCTTTCCTATTATGCCATATTATATAAATTAAATCTATCCTGTTTGAACTGCCTCTCTTCCTTCCTGATTCTTTTTGGCAGCAAATTATAGATTTAATCCATAGTTTCTAGCTGCAAGTAAATCTTTTCTTCTTCCTCCTATTCACTTTCAATCGCATTTTAAGCTTCTTTAGTAAATTTATCAATATTCATCCTACTTGAATTTAATCTTAATTAATAACCTATAAATAAATCAATAAATTAACAAAATTTTATAATCTTTAATTTTTCTTCTTGTAATTATAAATAATTAAATGAACCCATCAATTTAATTCTATTAAGATTAATTCTAAACAAAATCCAAATAAATGATAAACTTTGAAATTTTCATATGAATTTCAGTATTTCTAATTGATTAATGATAATAATAAATTATTTTTATTGATCTTATTATTTTCATAGATTTTATTTTATTTACCTAAAAAGTAAGGTCACATTTTTAATTTAATAAAAATTAAACTTTAAAGATAAAATATTAAAATAAAATATTTTTATTAAATAATAATATTTATAAATTAGATTAATAGTAAATTATTAAATAAAATTTTATACAATTAAAGATAAGTAAATAAATTTCTATTTTTATTAAATATTTCTTCTATTATTATTAAATTAATTAAAAATTTTATCTTATTTTATTAAAGTACAATTTATTCATTAATTTTATCTGATTAACAAAAAATTTTATTGGGAAGAATTTTATTTGCTACCAAATTATTTTTAATTTTAATTTTATTTTTTAAAAAATGCAGCATTCTCCCTTATATCTTATCTAAAATATTCTTTATTTATTGTTCTTTATATTTTTTTATTTTATTTTATTTTTATTTGCTATTTATTTATTTTTTAAGTATTTTATTAATTTTTATTTTTATTTATTTATTTATTTATTTTTTATTTTTATTTTTATTTATTTATTTATTTAATTATTTTTTAGTTTTTATTAATCATTTTTATAGCATGAGATCTGTTTTTAAGGGAAACAAGAGCGAGAGACATGAGCAAGCTGAAGCAATTCTAATTTATCTTTAAGCGCTTTTATTAAAAAATACTTTTTATATATTATGAATGCTAATAGAGAATTTTGCCATAGGGTTGGCTAAAAAGAGATTGTACATTTTGAAATAACAATTTGCATATTAAAATATAGATGCTAAGAATTATTCTTGTGGTTTATTTTAAAAACTATGGTGAGAGGAAATCCTTAAGGATTGGCCAAGTATTTGATGTAGATTTAAAAACTTATGAGAATATTTCTTTGCGTCTATGTTTTATTATGATTTATAGGAAAAATTAGTTTTTCCTTTTTATTTTTTATGAATGTTTTGTAAATTAATTAATTATAAAAAAAATACTTCCTTAATAAAAATTTAAATTTTTTTTACTCCTTTTTCAAATAAATTTTTGATTTTGAGAAATTGATTAATTAACTCTTGGGATATTGATTGATTGATTAATTAATTAATTTTTAGATATTGATTAATTAATTTAGTTATTTTTTGATTTCATAGAAAAAATAAAAATATTTTTATCCAAACTATTTTTAAAAAGTTTTGAAATATATTCATCAATTAACTACAAAAAATAATAAAAATAATTTATTACTGATTTTTTTAATTAAAAAAGAGTTAAAAACTTAAATAAATGGACTATAAATATTTAAAAATTTATTTTTAATAATTTTAATATGTATTTATTTATTTTCTATTGATGGTAAGGTATTTTAATTATTTAAATTTAAAAATGTAATAGAAGATTAAACTAGAACTTGTTGAAATACTTAATATGCATTTTTTTAGTGTAAAAATTAGTTTGATTTTGAGATATTTTCTTTTAAATTTAAAGGAAGCACTATATTGTTACTCTCTATTTTTAGATTTTATTTTATTCATGCTAAATGTATGTTTAGAAGTTTAATACACTTTAGTAGTTAGTATTAGTTCATATGATAATCAGTTATTGAATTCTTATAACATTTCCGATAAATAAGACTGGTTAGTACTTTTTAATTGTATGTAAATTAAATTGTTATTGGAACCTATATATATCATAGAAGATTATTTATTTTACTAATTTGATTAAGGGTTTCGGCCAGATAAAAAATATTAAGAAATATAATTAAGTCTGCATTTAATTGATTTATTTGTTTTTTATTATTATTTTTGGCTGATTGTTAAACAAAAAACTTGTATAGAAGCAAAGAAACAAATGAGAATGATAGAAAAAAATGTATTCATTATCGTTCATTCATTCATTAATTAATTTATTAATTAATATATTTATTTATTTGTTTATTTTTAATTATTTTTCAAAAGAAACATCATATTGATTGTTTTTTTAATAGTTTTCTAAAGGTTTGATTGAAAACAAACAAAAAAAAAGAAAAAAATAAATAAACAAATAAGAAGCAAAGAAATTAAATATTAAAGCAAATTATTAAGCGAGCTCAAAAGTTATAGAGTTTAGAGCATTACTTCAACACCAATATTAAAATTAAGAAAAAAGCAATAAGTAAGAGTCTTAACTAGGCAACGAAAATTAGAAATCCATAGAGAATATTTGAATTTAATTAGTGATGGGAACAACATGTCCAAGACCAGTTGAATAGAATGACGTTTCTAGTAAAAAATATTTTATTTTTAAGTACCATCATGAATAATTTTTTATCTAAAAGCAACAACTCTATTATTGTTTAAATATTTGAAACAAATTGAGTTTATTTTAATTTATATCATTCACTCTCATTGTTTGTTTTAGCTTTATCATTTAGATTGATACCTAAATGTCAATGTTCATTTATTGAAATCATTAAAATATCATTTTAAAACTAGGTCTCTCAGTTTAAAATTTCTATTTCCATTTTGTTATTGGCCGCGGTGGTTTTGGAAAGGTATATAGAGAAATCTATTAAGTTATAAACGCTGCAAACGCAAAAAGAAACAAAGAAAGCTTTTAAATAAAAAGAGTTTTCTTTCTTCATATTTTGTTAATTCAAATCATAGCATATATGTTGAATCTCTTTCTATTTTTTAATAGGTTTGGAAAGTAGAAAGCAAGAAATAAAAGCAGCTATACGCGCTCAAAGAAATGTCAAAATCAAAGTATATTTTCATTTTTCATTAGAACAATTGCAAATTACTTTAAAATTAGAATAAGGCACAAACCAAAAATTAACTTTAGAATAGTTTCCAATAAAAGCAATGTCAATTTTAATATTTCATGGAATTAAATATAGCTGATCATAAAATTTACAATAGTTATTATTTTCTTCTCTTAGTTAAAGAGTTAAGTTATTTTATTCATAGCTTCAGATCAAATAACTCTATCTATTTATTATTTTACTATCTATAATCATAAAATTCATAGTTGAAAATTAAAATCCATTTAAATCTATTCACATTATTAAATAGGATTATTTCTAAACGCAGTGTCCAATCGGTTATGAATGAAAAGCAGCTTCTCTCATCCCTGAGACATGAGTAAATAAATAGCTTAAATTATTTGAGTTAAAAATTATAAGAGCTTTTCTCTGCTGAACGAGCATAAAAGAAAAGCTAGCTTCAGCTACCTTTAAATTTTAAAAATGCCTATCATACTCAATTAAATATAATTTTATTTTAAACAGCTTTCTAATTAATATGATTTATGCCTTTTCAGATCGCTCAAATTTATATTTAGTTATGGATTTGCTTACTGGAGGAGATCTTCGTTTTCACATATCTCGCCATAGAAGATTTACAGAATAGCAAACAAGTAATAAATCAACTATAAAAAACTTCTAGCTAAAAAATAAAAAGTATCTCATCAAAAAAATAAAAACTTCAAATAAAATGAATGCATTTATTGAATTATTTTTAGGTAGACTAATTATTACAAAAACAAAACAAAATACTTCCGATAAAATTTGAAAAAATTATTTGAATTTTATTCAAGTAAATCAATACAAACAAGTAGCTAAATAGGTTTAATAAATAAGATGCTAGCTAATTTACATTCATCTACGGAAGAAATTTTATTGCAGTAATAGACAAAATCAAATCAAAATAGTCAAATTATCTAATCTTCTAATTAGATCTTAGATAAAGCACTGCTGCTGTTAATTCAAAACTTCAAATGAGAATTACAATTAAAAATAAAAACATAAGCTAAACGAAGCATTTTATTTTCTATAATTTCCAATTTATTCTAAAAAGTAAGTAGCGAGCGAAATTACAAATTTGCATTATATAAAATAAATTTTCAAGAGTAAAGATTACATTAAAAATATTTTGGTTTACTTTTCCATAGAAGATTTCTAGATTAAAAAAGCCAGCCTAAATTCACCCACATATTAATTTTAATTTCGAAATAATTTATAATTGACCACAATTTGCGTTAGGGATGAGATAATTAAAGAAATATACCAGATACTTTTTATGTTTTAAGTTAAAAGATATCACTTTTTTTTGTTCTTATTGAACTAAAGATATAATTATTTTATAACTTTATACAAATTTAGAGTTCTTCGCAGCTTGCATTGTAGTAGGTCTAGAGTATTTACACCAAAATGGAATTCTCCACAGAGATATAAAACCAGAAAATTTGGTCTTTGATAATAAAGGTAAATAAAATTTTAATTCTAAATTTTAATTAATTTTGAATAAATCCAGTAAGTACTTCTATTTATTTATTTGTATGATTGTTAATTTATGAAATTCTATCTAAATTCCCACAGATAAAAGATTACTAACTCATGATAAATAACTTATATTAATTAATTTAAAGGCTACCTTAGAATTACTGATTTGGGTATAGCTAGAATATGGAAACCTGAGAATAGCAGTGATACTTCAGGAACACCAGGTTATATGGGTATTTTTTTAGTTATTTTAATTTTTTTCTTTTAAATTAATATTAAAATATCAACAGCGCCAGAAGTAATGTGCAGATAAAATCATGGTGTCGCAGTTGACTACTATGCCTTAGGAATTATTGTTTATGAATGTATGATGGGTAGACGTCCATACTTGGGTAGAACTAGACAAGAAATTAGAGATCAAATATTAGCAAGATAAGTTCAAATAAAAAAAAGTGAAGTACCTGATAAATGGTCGCTCGAAGCTGCTGATTTTTGCAACAGAGTAAGAAAGAATTTACAAGTTTATCAAGATAAATAAAAATATTTCTTTTAAAAATAGCTTATCCAAAGAAAACCTATGAATAGATTAGGATTAAATGGCCCAGAAGAAGTTAAAAACCATCCTTGGTTCAAAGGATTCCCATGGTAAAAACTTATAAATAAAGAAATAGAGCCTCCTTATGTACCAAGTGTAATAAAAAATAATAATTATACTTAAAATAAATGTTTTTTGGCATTAAAACAGCAAACTGAAGAAAATTATCATGCAAATGTTGATAGAAAAGATAGTAACCCTGATATAAATGGATAAAATGAGCTCATGTTGAGAAGAAATTCTGTTTAAAGTAAATTTATTTGGAAATAAAAAATAATTAAAATACTTATTTAAAAAAGGCATGTTTGATGGCTACGAATATGATTGCACAAAACTTAATTTCAATAATTAAAATCCTTTGAATATGATTAATAACTCTACCAATGTGAGTACAAGGTTTAATAGTGCAAGAAACTCAAAGATTGAAATCCAAAATCAATCTTGATTCAAGCAAATATTAAAAATAAAAAAATAAATAAATAAATAAAATAATAATAAATATAAATAAAAATCAAAATACTCTCATAGTAATAGTAATTATAATAAATTAATAATCCTAAAAAAGTAACTTTTATATAATTATATCTTATACTAAATTAATGCCATCTGGAGATATTTGTTTGCTTGCTTCAACCCTAACATACATACTTACTGACTTACTCATTCAATAAATCAATCAATCAATCACTGACTCATTTAACATTTTAAACAGCAGAAATAATTAAATCAAACAGAAAATAACTTAAATAATAGGCAAAGTGTTTAATAGTGCAATGTTTATAAGTCTGTCTAATTATCTATCTATCAAAAAGGAGCAAACTTTCGAAGACTCTAAATTTAATAACTAAGTTATATTCTGGAAAAAGAATTAATAGCATTAGATCAAATAAATCTATGATTAAAAATCTTTTATTTCTCTTAATTTTTGTAATTTTATAATGTAATATAGATCATAAATAATAATATATACATACTTATAAATAAATTCCTATCATTCTACTTGCCTAAAATTAATACAAGGAATTTAATTACAAGTCTACTCAATATTCAATCAAGTAATTAAGTTGTTTACCAACCATTAACCAAATAAATCAGATAGATAGACAGTCAGTCTTTCAATCTCATTTTGTACCATTTACTCTGAATCATTTGATTGAATCAGCATGAGTAACCATTAAATTGTCCCAAATTAGATAGATTGAATTTCCTTTATTATTACTAAACAACCACTATTTTAATTCCTTAAATTTCCTTCAATAATCAATCAATCAGTTTTATAATAAAGCTATTTAAAATAAATAAGTATTCTTGCTTGGTTTTATATTTTATCCATATTCTATCTTTCTACAATAACTCAATCATTCATTATTTTACTCTCATAATAAATGCATAAAATTTTAATTTTCGTAATACAGTTTTTATTTTCAATCATAATATTAAATAAAAGTTTTACAGGGACATTTATATTTTATATACCACAAATTTGAAAAATAAACATCATTGTTGTTAAATATTTAAAAAATATATACTTCATGAATATGGATCTTGCACCTAACAATTTTAATGAGTTCGGGCAATATACTCAATTTTTCAAAAATACCAACTATATTTAAGATCTGTTTATAAATAAATATTAATTCGATGTTCAACAAATATCCCAATTTATATATTTAGTTTAGGAATAGTAATATTTAAAAAAAAAAGAATAATATTTTTTTTAAAAAAGATTCACACAATAGAAATAAATATAAATTTAAAGATAGAAAATTATAATTAATTTGTATTAATAGATTATATTTTTTTCAAAATATATATAAAAAAATATACATACAAATTAATAAAATATTTTATTTTGTTCATTATTTCTTTCCGATTTAAACATTGTTCATTTATTCTAAAACTTTAATGATAGCTTAAGTTCCATTACGAGCACCTCCTTATGCAACTAAGGCATGATAAAATTACTTTACTAAGCCTAATCCAGGGAGACATAAGTTAGCTCTTTTGGCCTCTTCTAAGGCAATATCCATATCCTTAATAAAATGCTCTACATAGAAGCCAGGCTATTATTTAATAAAAATAATTAAACTAAGAAAAACAAAGATTTAAAAAACAAAATTTTTATCATCAAAAAAGATATTTTATAAATTATAGCTTTGTTAAAATATATCTTATTTTTTTTGTATTTTAATAGAATTTTAGAATGTTTATTATTAAAGAATTTACTTCAAAGTCACGCTTAACCATTCTTGAGCCAAGAACGTGCCATGCAGTAGATGAGGCAGCACCAGTCTTAATAAGATTAATTACTTAATCTAAATCTAATCCAGCCTTATGAGCATAGAGTAAGCCTTCAACAACACCTAACATATTGCTAGCTAATAAAATTTAATTAGTCATTTTGGTGTGTTATCCTGCTCCTGCGCCACCTAATAATTAGATATTTGCACCATACTTTTATAAAATAGGAAGAGCAAGATCAAAAGCAGCTTGGGAACCGCCACACATAATTGCTAATCTAGCTTCTCTAGCTCCGATATCACCTCCACTAACTGGGGCATCAATACTTTCGATTCCATACTTTTATGCTTCGGCTGCAATTTCTACAGCAAGAGAAGGAGCGGATGTAGTGTGGTCAATCAATAAGGAACCTTTTTTCATGTGCTTTAAAATTCCTTATTCACCTAATACCATTTATTAGACATCATGAGGATAACCAAGCATCAAAAATACTACATCAGAATTTTTAGCTAAATCTTCAGGAGCTAAAAACTTGGCTCCTTTACTGACTAATTCGTCAGCCTTACTAGCAGTTCTATTGTAAACATTTAGCTAGAAACCAGCGTTTAACAAATGTAAGCACATAGACTTACCCATAACACCAGTTCCAATCCAACCGATAGTTTTAATTGCAGACTAAGCCATTTTGATAATATCTATTTACTTTTACTTAATTTAATTAATTGAAGTTTTTATAATTATATTAATTATCAATTTGATCTCTGATATTATAAATTTTTAAAGTATTTAGTAAAAAGATACGCATAACAACTAAATTATGAGTAAAATACTATATCAAAAAAAATAATAATTTGAAATCTTCTATCAGTATTATTTTATTAATAATTGTAAAAAAGAATATTTGTGGAAAGAATTTTTTACTAATTATATAACTTCATATGAAATGTATGATTTATTTTGTTTATTTAATAGAAATAAGCATAAAGTTCAAGAGGTTAGTTTTATTACCTGGAAAAAATTTGATTGAATAGCATCAATCAGTTTTTACCTTTTAAAAAGAATATCTTCTGAATATGTTTTAATTAAAAAAAAATCTTAATTTACATAAAGTAAACTAAAAAAAAAATTACTTCAAATAATTAGAAAGCATGCTTTAAAGATTTATCAAAATTATTCTAAAAAATTGTTTAATCATGCTCTTTTTTTGATAAACAATTGTCAATTTAATCAAAGAAATAATTTAAACTTTTATAATATTGCTAAATATTTTTTTTTATAAAAAATATAGTTAGTTCAAGGATTTTTTCTTTTCAAACAATTCAATATTTTTTATTAATTTTATAACATCATATATATGATTTTATTTAATAGAAAAAATAATAAAGTTCATGAGTCGCATTAAATCAAAAAATTTGATTGAATAGCATCAATCAATTTTTACCTTTTAAAAAGAATATCTTCTGAATAGATATTTCAATTAAAAAGCAAATCTTAATTTACAAGAAGTAAATTAAAAAATAGATTACTACAAATAATTAGAAAGCATGTATTAAAGATTTATCAAAATTATTCTAAACAATTGTTTAATCACCCTCTTTTTTTGATAAACAATTGTCAATTTAATGAAAGAAATAATTTATTCTTTTATAATATTGTTAAATATTTTTTTCTTTTATATAAAATAGTTCAAAGATTTTTTTCTTTTAAAAAATTCTATTTTTTTTTTAATTATAAAAAATCATATATATGATTTTATTTAATAGAAAAAAGCAGAAAGTTCAAGAGGCCAGTCACAATAAATGGAAAAATTTAATGGAATAGCATCAATCAATTTTTACCTTTTTAAAAAGAATATCTTCTGAATATATATTTTAATTAAAAAACAAATCTTAATTTACATGAACTAAATTAAAAAAAGATTAATACAAATAAAGATTGCATTAAAGATATATCAAAATTTTTCAAAACAATTGTTTAATCTCCCTCTTTTTTTGATAAACAATTGTCAATTTAATGAAAGAAATAATTTATTCTTTTATAGTTTTGTTAAATATTTTTTTCTTTTATAATTAATATAGTTCAAGGATATTTTCTTTTAAAACAATTCAATATTTTAATGTAAACTTTTTTATAGTCTGTCTTTGCTAATCAGCTAAATTTATCAACCTTATTCGCTCTTTATAGTTTTGTCATTTTAACTATAAAAGTGATTAACAAAACTTATTTATTTTTTTCTTGAGTGAATGCCAATTTTAATTTTTTTAGTTAAATTTATATTTAAGTAATAAAAAGTCAAATATCTTGTCCAAAAGAAATGTTGCTAGAAATCTTGCTACTTTCAGACAAATTACTTTTTTAGTCTACTTTTTAAACATTTTATGTGAGTTTTTTATCTTAGAATATTTTTTATATTGAAAGTCTTTTTTAAGATTCATAAGTTAAATTTCCAAACAAAAGAGTATTTCTTTTAGGTACTAATGGTAAAGGTAGAAATGTTTTACACTTTTCAAATTTTGCATGTACTCTATCATTTGTATTTGAGTTTTAATGGTTGTTAATATGATGATTTAAGTTATGCCTACTTTAGATAATAGCCTATTGATGTTCGTGTTCTTTTGTATTTTCATACTATTAATTATTATTGTCAGGAAAATATTCACTCTTAAAATTTAGTTAATTGCGATTTGAGCTAATTTTATTTTTCACTGTTAAGTATTTATTCTGTCTGCATGAAGAAGGTACCTAAAATATATAATTTTCATTAGAAATAATCCCATCAATTGAGAATTAATGTTTCAGCTGCATAGAATTTTTTTAGTTTTTATTATCTATTTCTTGAATTCGCTGGTTGTGCTCCTTTAAGAAGGATTGACATTTTTTCTGATCTAATTCGATTACTAACCTGTTTAGAATATAAATTTTAACTCATTCAATAAAATAAATTTATTATACAAATCTGAGCTGCATATTCCTTGATGAGAAATACCGCCAAATATAATAATTTTGGTATCAATGATAGCTGCAGAGTGAGAACATCTTGCTTAGTATTCACCACCTCTCATGTCAATTTTAATCCACTCAGAAAACTCAAGAGAAAACATATAAATATCCTAAAATATGTTTGAACCTTACTTTGAATAATAAACTTCATTTCTACCACCCACTAAAATTAAAGAATTGAACTCTTTATAGTAGCTTAAAGTGTGACTGAATCTACCTTCAGGCTATTAACCTGTGAATTCGAGATCAATCCATTTCAAAGGTTTTCTGCCTAATTGAAGTACCCTTAAGTTATTTAAAGCATCTCCATTTTCTTGTCTTCCTCCAAACACATAAATACCTTGCAAGTAAGATTAATTGATTCCTTTATTTTATTTTGCTTATGCTTTCTCAAACGGAAGGTATAAATTTTCGATTTTGGTTTCATTTTTGAAAACCGAACAGCATGCACTAAAAGCTATTCCATCTGCATAACCATCGATTTAATCTAGATGTATTCTTATCAATTTAAATTTTTATTATTTATTTTACAATAAAAAATTTACGATTTGCTAGTTTCTAAGTTAACAGAACATACATCATTTAAGTATTTTCCATTAGAATCTACTCCACCGATTATTATTAAAAATTTTCCAACTAAACAAGCCGTGTGGTTTCTCCTACTCTCAAGAAAATCCCCAAATTATCTAACAAGAGTCCATTATCTGGTATTCAAGTTGAAAATTCTACAATCGCTAAAACACTCTCTTATCCTTACATTCTTATTGTATTTTCTCTCTCCCCCGAAAAGAACCAATTAATTCTTATAACAAACTAAAGAATGTCCTTATCTCCCCTCAGATGGTTAATCACCATCTTAATTTAAATCAAACCATTACCAGTTTTCAGTATTGAGAGCACTAACCTAAATATTATTTTTTTTTAATTAATAATTTAGATAATAAAAAGTTATTGAAAAACATTTTCAAAAAATAATAAATTTATTAATAAAAAAGAGTTGAAAAAAATGAAAAAAATAATTATTCTGAATTATTTTCAAATGTAAAAATCTATCTTTAATATTGCTAATTTTTTATACTTTATATTATTAAGGACTAATAGATGGAATTAATATTTTAGATAATTTCAACTATAAACTAAAATTTATAAAAATTAAATAAAAACTGTAATTTGAAATAAATAAATTTTTTGTGTGTAAAAGATAATCTAAATATTTATAATTATTTGGATAACCGTTTTTAATATTTATTGGAATAGCTCTAAATTTTATTTATTGTAATTTAACAATTTATCAATTTATTAATGTACTTAAATAAAATAAGCTTACTTCTTTGTAAATTTCACATCCTATACCTCCATACAAGAATAGAGTACCGTTGTTGTTGACTAAAGTGTGATTTTCTCTAGAATCAGGCTTCCATCTAGAGTCATTCATGATATATGTATAGAATCTTAAATTTCTTAGCTTTTAATTCAAGTTTTTTCTAAGTAATTGCTGCTAATTCTCTTCTTCCTCTTGCAATTAGATATCTATTTCTAGATTTCTCTTTTAAAAATTATTAGGATTAGCTTTAAAATAATTGCTGGGACATTTTTAGAGAGGAGATAAATGATTGGTTTTAAGATTTTTTTAAGTTGGAGATTTATGTAAAACCTATTGTTTTATTAATTAGCTTTATACTCCATTGAATTTTTACATACCACTCTATTATTGTTGAAGAGAACTGTAATCTATTTTTTTTATCTTCAAACCTGGAGCATGCTTTCTCTATATATCATATTAGTGCTCTAATATAAAAGTACTATATGCCATTTTTTATTCTAAATCAATTTGTTTTTAATATTGTAAGCTTTAATTTTTGTTGAAGTCAAGCTGTTCTTTTAAATATTTCTTTTAGTCTGTTTTATTAGTGTAATAAGCCTAGGTGATTGTATTTCATAGTTAATTTGTCTTTTATAGGGAATCAAAAGAAACAAAACAACCACCTTGGCTAGGATATTGAGTTGTAATTGATTAGTTTAAGCCTCCAAAATTTTAACTTGATGTAAGACCACTATTTCGATTATTATGAAAATTAATTGAGGTATCCAAGTCTAGCTTTTGTTTATATATATTCTTTAATTTATTCCTAGGACTTTATAGGATAGTATTCATGTCCAAATGAGTGATGTAAGAGCTGTCTAAAAAGTTGTTTGCATTTGAGGTCATATTCATGCTTTGTCTAAAAGTTTAGTCAGGGCAAAAAAACAATTTAATCAAAGATTCTTTTTAATGATCCTATGGTAAGTCCTCATCATACTGATATTCTGTTAAAACATTTTAATTTTTGGTTGGTTTTTATCCTCTTTCTGTTTCATTAATTTAAGCCTTCGCTTTCACCTATTAGCTCCTTTCAGTTTAAATTTGCTTTGTCTTCATTATATTTGAATAATATAAAACAACTACTTTTCTCCTAATTTAGATTAAAAATCTGAAAAATTATTGCTTAGTTAAAATAAATGTTATTTTTTTAAATTGTAAGTAGAACTATATTTAAACATTTTTATATACATTCATACATGCGAGCATATATATATTCATTCATACATTCGTTATATAGAAACATATTTACAAAATAATTGCTAATTTTTTATTTTTTGCTTAATTGCCTTTTTTTTCAGTTAAGTGCCTTTAAACGGCATACAGTTCAAAGCTTTTTAATAACTAAATACAACTAAATCATTCATTTTTACCTATTTAAAATTTAAGATGCTTATTATAAAATTAATTATTTTATCAGAAATATTTATAAAAACTATACATTTGATTAATTTTTAATATACAGGTTTTTAGGTGAAAGAGGTGAATGGCAAAAATAGGGTGATTCGCCCAAAATTTTATAAGAAGAAAAAGTGTAAAATTAGCTTAAAATCATAAAAATTAAATGAAATATCACTATCTGTACATTACATACCTACATAGTTCGTGATATTTTAATTACAGGATTAGCAATATAATGAATTTAAATTAATTAAAATGAATTATTAAAAAATGAAAAGTATTTGTTGTTTTAATTAATGATAAATATATTAAATTATAAATATGTTAAATAGGTATTTTATTTAACACACATACTCTTTATTTTTTAATTATGATTTTATAAAACATTCAAATTTTCTCTTAGTAATTATTAATTTAGAAGCTTAAATTAAATATAGATAGATAGATATCATCAATAAAATTTAAAAGAACTTGATATTTTTATATAGTAATTATTAAATAAATATTTCCACAAATAATATTTTATTTATTTATTAGCATTTTAATTGAAATTTTTTGATTTTGTTAAAAAATAAAGTAATTTATATAACATAAAATCAAACAAGACAATTTAATTCAAAGAAAGAAAGAAATTAAAAATGAATTTAGAATTTCATTAAAAATCCTCATCATCATTATCTAAAAATTCTCTGCCATTAATTCTCATGAATTAACTAATTAAAGAACTTTCCTATAAAGTTGGAGCAAAGCTTTTTTATGAAATATCATAAATCAATCTAAAGGATGGTACATTAAAAGCTTGATTATTTAAATAGCTGATATTTTATTATAAATCTTATCTATTACATGACTAATCGTCATTTTTAATCTATTGCATAATTTCATTAGGATCGAAGACATATGTGTTTTCTATGTTTTATTTTTCCATTTTATCATCTTCATATTTTACTTCACTATCTTAAACATGGTCTTCAAGTTTTTCATATTATTTTTCATCTTAAATTTGAGGTACTTATTAGAGATTTTATTGATTCTCAGGCTCATTATCATCTTATTTCTATTCTTCATTTTATTATTTATCATCATTTTATTAAATTTCATATTATTAATTTAGTATTTCTTTTATAATTTTAGATGCTCGTTGATTATTAGGATTATTTTATATCTGACTTTTAATAAGATCTCTTTTTTAATCTGGAAGATCATAAAATTTTAAGAGATATTAAGATATAAATATTTGGTAAAGGCCTACTTAATAATCTGGTCTTAGAAGTATTCCCCATGCCTGAAGTATAGAGTCAGTTGTATTACATATTTATTTCACATCTCTTACAGGGAATTATATAATTTTAAAGAGTTTTTACCTGTTTTTTTCATATTCGCTCCAGTTTTGTTACATAATTTCTTCACTTTCAATGAAATCGCTTCTCATTTTATCTTTAAATCCTATGATTAGATTTTGGAAGAGAGGATTTCTGTAAATTTGAATTTTATCCCATGTATTTTAATCTACATCCTTTGGTTTTTAATTTTTTATTTATTCATATTTCTTTATTCCATTATTTTGGCAATCTTACTTTTTAGGTCTTCCTGTAGGTATACCTCTTGGTACGACAAAATCTTATTTATTATTATCATGTTTTATTTTTATGTGATTGAATAGGGATGATTGTAAGCAATAAACTTTGCCACATTTACATTCAAAGTTTTTAAAAATCTCAGCTTTATTGTTTTAATCGCTAGAACTTCTGTCGTCTTGGTCTATTTATGATTCATCCAAAAATTAATCTTCTAAAGGTCTTTTATTGCCCATTTTAAACTTCAAATTTTGTTTTTTGTGCGCTTTTATCTATATTTATCAAATATCTTAATTAATTATTAATTAATAATAAGATATTCGTTATTATTAAAGTATTTTTTAAATTAATTACTTATTAAATAAAATACTTTTTTTTTTAATTTTCCTTCTAAATACATTTTTAATTTTTGTTAAAATAGAAAAATTTATTACACAACATTCTTAAATACCTAACAGAGAATATTTTATTGTATAATAATGAAGCTATCTCTTATATTTATAAGCTAACATAATATATGTACCTTATTGACTAAATTTTCTGCTATTTCTATCTCAAAGTAGTTTTGTTTTCATTAAAATACAAATTTAAAACTTCATCAGGAATCATAAGATTTATCTTTCAAAAAGATGATATGAAACAAATTTTTAATAATTAATTAATAAATAAATAAAATACTTTTTATAAAAATTATACAAGATAGAAAAATCTATCAAAGTATTTTAAAAGTATAAACTTAATCAAATAAATGCTTAATTATTTTCTTTTTCATAACTTATCTTTGATTAGACAATAAAACAGTTTCAAAAATTCAATTAATAAAATGAGTAAATAATTTTTTTCATTTTAATTTATTTTCAAACATTATTTTATTTTAAAGGAGATAAATAAAATATTTATTTTCACTAAAATTAAAATAATTCAAAACAAAATTAATAAAAAATATAAAATATTTTACTTTTAATTAATTTAATTATTTATTTCTGTTATTAGCTTTCACCTTTTTAAAATATTTATAAGTTAGTTATATATGCGTGTTTTATTAATTAAGATTTTTGTTTATATTTCTAAATCTAGAGATATTATATTATCTTAAGCTAATTAATTAATTATTTTCCTAAATAAGAACTTTCATTTTAAATTTTTTCCTTTATTTATAAACATAAAAAAATAATCATGCATAGACAAATAGTCATCTAAAATATGGTATATAATTTGCTTAAAATGCAATACTAAATATATATATATATATATATGAATATGAATTTCAATTTGAATCCTTGGATTATGTCTTTTTGAATATAACTAAATTAAAAATTATGTTTTAAAAAAAAACATAACAAAAAAATGGTATTAAAACTACAATATTCCTATATATTTCTGTCTTTTTATTTGCTTAATAATTTGTTTAATTTTTTTATTATTACTAATTTATTTTGTTATAAAACGTATCTGATATCATTAAATAAATACATTAAAAAAATGAATAAATTTCAAATCAATTTTCTTTTATTTATTTATTTATTTCTTTAAAACAAAGTATAAATATTTTTTTTAATGTAGCATCATCTAATTAATTACAATTAATAATGTATCTAAAGTGATTTTTATTTTTTAGAAAGAATAGCAGATTATATTGAGTGAGAAAGAAATATCTTGATATTTAATAAAAACATAAAGACACAAACAAACTCAACTATTTAAATCTAAAAATGAATATATTTATTTTATTTTTTATATTTCTTTAATTTGATTTCAGAAATTTTCGAAGGGAGCAGCGAGGGCGATGATACCGCAAGCAAGTCTAGCACCAGCATGACCAGTAGTCTTGGAATCTTCAAAGTTACCCTTTCCTAAGTCATCTTCATCAGCGTGGATGACGAAAGATCTTCCAACAATAGTGTTTTCACCAGATAATCTGATTAAATCGCTCTAGAATTCGAAGTTAGTATCTTGACCATCAACAGCGGTAACGTTACCAAGATCACCAACGTGTCTGTTTTCGTCATTTGGGCCACCGTGTTATTTGTTGAAGGGATTGAAGTGAGGACCTATTTTTTTTACATGAATAATTTTAATTATAAATGAAAAAAACAATTTTTGAATAAAAGAATTCTATTAAAAGCTTGATTAGAAATGAATAAAAGTATTCAATCCTATATAATCCTTGTTATTTACTTAAAATAATCTTGCTGCCGAATTATTTAATTCAACTTTAAGGTCATTGTAAGAAAAGCTTCTAAAACAAAAATATTTATTTATGCTTAATAAAGTTTTTGAAAGAATGTAGTTAGTTGATTTATGAGTTATTATTATTTTCTGCTTATATTGATGAGTTCATTAGATGATTAAGTATTGGTTTAATTCAATTATAATTACCTGCAGTAGCACAGCCGTTAGACAAATCACCATATTGATGAACATGGAAACCATGAAGACCAGCAGGTAAACCCTTGAAAGTAGCCTTAAGGTGAGTGACGAATTTGTTGTTTTCGAACTTTTCAACTAATCTAACAACAGCAGAGACGGTGTTAGTTTCGTTCTTCAATAAGCAGATAGCGTATACGGGAGCGTGTTGAGCCATTTGAGGAATGTGCTAATTTATTTAATTTAAACGCTGAATTTTTGATAAATTTTTTTAATTTTTTTTTTTTCAGTTTTTAATAATTATTTAATATCTTTAGAATTTAAAAAGCAATTTATATCTTTAAAATAAGAAAAAAGAAATAATCTAGAAAATAAATTATTCGAATAAGACACTAAATTTTCAAGCAAATAAATATAAGTCAAATAAAACTCCTAAAAGCTAATTGTTGTATTATGTCTAAACTGTTAAATTTGATAAAAATTTATATAATCTAGTGCAAAAAAAGCTATAATAGAGTTTGTTTAAGAGAGAAACAGAAGAATACTTTTATTTAGCCCATTTATTTTATAAAATAAATTGCTTTAGAAAGAAAATTATTAAAGAAAATAGCCATTAGAACAAAGAGTGTATAATCATTTATAAATAGAAATACTAAAATTTCTAAATAAAAAATATAAGCAAAGCAAGCAACATAAAAAGCATTAGCATCAAACAAATATTTATAAATTATCTTAAAAATATTTTAATAAAAATTTTTAATTTTGTCACTTTAAGCAAGATTTTATGGAAAAAAATTCAAGAAGAATTTTGAAATAAACTAAAAAAGAACTAAAAAATGTTTTGCCTTTAAAAATATATCTAAAAATTTGTATGTAAACAGCTAAAATCAGAATAAACTATCTTCATTATTAAAGTTACTTACTTCCAATTATTTTTATATATATTTTATCATGCTCCTCACTATAACTCAAGAAAATAACACAACTTATACAAAAAAAAATTGAGAAATTTAATTAAATTTTGAAGAATTTTCAGAATTTAAAAACAAACAAAGTTTATCAGAAATATTTCTTTCAAAAATAATCTTGATTAGCAAATTTTCTTTCTTGTTTTACTATGCCTATTATTTCTTTTATAAATGTATTAATAATAACTTCTCATTTATTTCCTTATACGAAATTTTATATAAATGATGATATATTTTATGATATGAGCTATAAGTTGACGCAGCACTTATCAAATCTAAAAAAAGTTGTGATTAAATATTCATTTACTCCTTCTATTAAAGATTTATAAAAATAACAAAAAAATCTAATATTCTACGCCTTAAAAGTTAAATAGCTAATTTAAAAAAACTCTATTTACATTTTATAAATAAAATTTTTAGATTTGATCAAATTATTTTCATTTTTGACATTTATTTATGCATAATCAAATTTATAATAGAAATTATAAAACACGAAGAAGTAGTTTTACAATTTTATTTATGTAAATAAATAGATTATATATAAATCTTAAAAATCTAATGGATTATTCCTAATATGATAAATTACTAAGTTCAAAAAAGTTTACTTGCATTGAAAAATATAAAATTTTTAGATCATGTTAAATTATTTTCATTTTGAATTTTGACATAATTTAATTTATTATAAAATTTTATAATCTGATGTAGAATATCAAAATTTTAATTATGTAAATCAAATAAAATAAATTGTTATAAAGTCTTAAAAATGAAATTTGCACCTCCTCAAATTATTAATCTCAAAACTAAAAAATTTTATATTCATTTAATCATACAAATTTTTCATGTCATATTAAATAAATCATTAGCATTTAATATTTATTAATCTAAGTTTTAATATAAATTTTACAATCTGAGGCAATTGAAGAATTAATTTATACAAATAAAATAAATAAATAAATACTTAAATGGTTTAAAAATCTTATTTATCTAAAATTCTGCTAAAATTTAATTTACCTAATATAGAAAAAAAATTTTTAATTTGGAAATAAGAAGAGCTTTATTAATTTAAAATAAGAATTAATTTAATATTTGTAAAGTTAAATTTTAGATCGATAAAGAAACTTATTATACTACTTATGAATTAAATATGATATATATTAAATAAGAAATTGTTTTATTTTGTATAAAATATAGTTTTAATTTTCGGAAGATTATTTTTATTTTAATAAGGAGCTTTTTGATACTTCTTAAAATTATATTTTAATTATTTATAGTAAAAAGATTTAAAGTCTTTATTTAGAAAAAAAAGTTTAGACTGGACAAATAAATAAATAATAAATAATTAATTAAATTATTACTTATTAATTACTACTTTTTTAGTGAATATTGATAGATTAGTAAAAAATATATATGAATTAAATATTTTATAGGAAGAAAGTAATAATTATTTTAATAGAATTTATGGTTGAAGTTGAAATAAAAATTATACTTTATAAATTTTAATTTTAAGAAAGACTAATAATAAAAATTTATCTTTTAAAAATTTTTAGAATAAATTCAGAAATTAATTAAATTAGCAAAAATACTGGCTATTTCATTAAACACTTCATTATATTATTTAATAGATTAAGTTGCTGAAGAATAATGTTTGCAATATGTTTGAGGCCTCAAAAAACTAAAGTAGATAAAATAGATAAATCAAAATATTTTTTTTATTTATCTTTTAATGTATTAGGAGAACGAGAGTGTGATTTAAACCTCTTCTAAAGACCATGCGAGTAAAAAAATTCTACTTTCTATTTAATCACTTTGAGTAATAATAAAAAAGTCAAGGAAGATGAAACGAAGGTTGTGAGTAAGAGCCTGGCAAAAATAGAATAAAAAGAAAATAAATAGGTCTCCATAGCTAAGTAAGAACAAGTGAAATAAGTTACTTTATCTCTTTCTTAGTTGAAGGTTACTAAAGAAGATAATTCAGAAAAATCATAACCAAAATAATCTAAAGAAGATCATTGCGAATTAATCTAGTCTAAGAATGAAGAAAAGATTAAGGATGACTGTAATTTTGATGATCAGAACAACTTGAAAAAAATAATGGACATTAAAATATTTCTGACTAGCGACATATAAGGCAATATGAAGTAATTAATGAATACATACATTTAAGCATTCAAAAATATTTTAATTAATTATATATAAGTTTGAGAGAAATCTACCAAGATAAAGACTTGCTTAATCGAATTATCTTAAAGTAGAGGTTTTTAAAAGATAAAAATCATTTTGATGCAAAGGAGTATTTTGGTGGAAGTGGATTGAAAAAAAATGAGTTAGATTAAATCTTCAAGTAAAATAAATTAACAAACTCTATTAATTCATGTAAAATTATTCTAAATTGTTTAAATTCATTTTAGCTTCATCTTTTATAAATAAAAATCTAAAATAAATAAATAAATAAGTTATAGCAATTTTTCTTACTAATAATAATCAAATAAATTTAAGATTAATTAATTAATTATTTGATTTTTAGTTTTAATTTTATTTTTAAAATGCAAAGTGTTCTCTAAATTATCTTGTTGTTCTTTAGCAAACACTGAAACTGTTAAAACTGAGCATAAACATGAAATAGAAATAACTGATAATGGAATATTGAATAAAAATTTTATAGATAAATAATTTAATCCCTACCCTCAGGTAGACAGCGTTCTTTCATCTTTTTCTTCTTCAGAAAATATCTAAGCTTGTCTAAAACGTAATTAATTAATTAATTTTACTTATTAGCTAAACTAAGAAAAAAATAAAATAGAAAAAGATTCATAAAATCAAATAAACTCAATAAATACGAATGATAGCAGTTAATCTGAGACTGAGAAGCAGTCTTATTAAATGTGTAGTTTAAAGCAAGGGCTGATAAGACCTTAAAGCCACTAAAGAGACAAATTTTACTAAACTGTTGATTTTAAAAAGAGTTAATTTACATAAGAAAAAACTAAACTATCTCTTTTTCATTTAAATAACCAAATGACATGCAAAATATAAAGCACAGATAAACTACAAATTAAATAAAAGAAACACTCTTTCTTACAGGTTGAACAAGTTTAAAAAAATATTAAAATTGAAAAGGCATCATGTGCTCGTAAATACACAGATGGACAAAATCAAATAATTAAATATATTAAAGATTAACTAGGACAAAAAAACCTTAGCAAAGAGCCTAAAGATCAAAAAAGCCATTTAAATTTGAGTGCTACTTAATCTCCTTAGAAAAACCCATTAGAAAGAGGATTAAAATCTGAAAACTAGTGTAAAATTTTTAATGAATCTACATTATCTTAAACAAAAGAGGATTTCGTATAATAAAATAATAATTTTAAGCCATAATCTCCAGTGTAAATTTTTCAAAAGAATTTCAATATTATATAAAATTTAAAAAATATTCATATTTATATTAGCTTAGGTACAAAAAATTCAATAAAATAGTTACAAAGTGTTAGGAAATGCTTATTTTATAGCTAAAACACTAGAACAGATAAAAACTAGCATGCATGATGAAAAATATAATCTTTAAAATTAAAGAAAAGTCATTAATCAAATTATATAAAATATCACAATAAATAATTTGATTGTAGATAATTATATTTAAGATTAATCTAGGTATTTATAGTAAGTACTTATCTTTGTAAAAATAGCCTTTAAAAATTATATCATTTTGTGCTTTAGTCTTTTATTAAACTAAATTTGTAATATGAGATTACTAATATTTATTTGAAATTTAATAATTTTTAAATTAAGGTTATTAATGTTAGAAATTGTAGATATTTTTAATAAGAAAACATTTTTTTATTTAAATAAATTTGTTTGTTAGCATTAGCCAAAAGTCAAGTGATTAAATCTATATTAAATAATTCTTTATTATTAATGTAAAATGAATAAAAAATCATAGAATTTACTTTGAATTCAAACTTGTTGCAATAGAAATAAGAAATAATATGAATTAATTTATAATTAATTTAAAGCCCAACGTTTGTTTGCTAAATTGTCTTATAGATATTTTTATTGTGAAATAGGCTAAGTGGAGATTTGAATATTTTTTGACAAAGAAATTAGATATAAAAATGAAAGAATATATATATATATATATATATCAAATTAGTATAATTATAAATGAAAATTTAAAGATATAAATGAATAAGTAAATAAATAATAATAGTAAATAATTTAATTTTCAAAAGAATACTTTTTCATTCCGCTTACCTTACCTATTTTCTTTTCTTTATTTAAAATGAATGACAACAATAAATAAATAAATGAATGAATATATTTTTTTTCTTTCTTGTGATTTAAAAGGTCTTGCGTAGATTATTTTTTTTTTAACAAAATTCAAAGATAATTGAAATTTCAATTATAACTAACTTGGATCGATTCTGCTAATTAATTTAATATGAAAATTTAATTGATTGTGATAAATATTTGAAATTTTTTATAAAACAACAAATAAACAAACAAACAAATATAATTTTTTAACAAATACTAAGCAAATTCATTGAAAATTATCAAACAAAATTGATTTAACAAACATTAAGCGAAATTCTTTTAACATATTTTAAACAAATTTGATAGTAGAAGAAATACAAATATTATAGCTATGTTTTCAAAAAAAAAGCAGCATTATAGCTCTTTGAATGCAGATTCTGATGTGCATGTTAAAACAATCAATTGCACAGAATCTTCCATTTCCAACTACTTACTAACTGAAAAGAGCTGCCACTAAAATAAATAAAAGCCATAAAGCATATCTTCTCTTTCAAAGAATGCTCCTTTAAATTAAATAGATTAACTGCAAACAAGGATGAAAACTCAGCCTTCATCTTCACTCCACTTCTCAAAAAATATAAATTATACCAATAGCTACTCTGTCATGAGTAAAATAGTCAAATAAAGCAAGGTAAGGAATAGCTTAAGTTCTCAATAAAATGCTTCGAAGCTATCGCAACGAAGCAAAGATTTTAAACCTAAACTCAGTGAAAGATTTTAGACTTAAGCGCATGCTACAAATATAAGTGATGATGATTTCGAAGAAGGTTAAAATGATAGCTTTTTTTGCAGGGAAGACGATGACTTGCATTTGATACCAGGATAAACTGTAGTTAACATGATACCTGTCTCACCCAACAAAAAGTACAAGATAAATAATGAGTTAGAATTTTTTCCTTCAAAGAAAAAGATAATTCACACTTCTCTACCTCATTAAAAGATAAGCATTGATGGCTATAAAAATGCTAATGAATAATCAGGATAAATAATAGGAAATATTCAAAGCAACGTGCTTTCTGATACTTTCTTAACTATGAATACCTGCAGAGGGGAAGAATCCTAAGTTTTTGATTTTAAATGCGAGACTGTCGCAAATTGTGAAGAAAACTAGCAAATCAACAACTAGTAAATAAGCAGAAAAATAATTAACAAATCCTTAAGCAGCGTTAACAATTAAAAAAGTTAGTAATAACAAATTCAGCAAAGTGAATATTTTTTAAACTCAAATTAATAGAATCTTAATATCAATTAAGTGCAAGCTCATAAAGATGAACAACAAATGATTCATCAAAATCAGTAAGATATGTGCAAAAATTATGATAAAGCTAACAAAGTTTAAACATAAATTAATAAAAACGAATGTCTGTCTAATTAAAATGAATTCTAGCCAAAGTAAAATGAATGTCTGTCTAATTAAAATGAATGTCTTTCAAATTAAAATAAATGTCTGCAAAATTAAAATGAATTATTGTAAAATTATAATAAATTTCAGTTTAATTAAAATGAAAAAGCAGAATTAAAATTATAATCAGAGTAATAAATGAATAATTAAGATTAATATTGTCGCCCTTAGCAAAAAATTCAAAACGAACAACTGTAGTCTATATTAGATTAATAATAAGTATATTTAAATTTGCAAAAAATTACACAGAAAGAAGAAGAACAAGTAGAAAATCATCTTGAATAATAGCTTTATTCAAACTCTAAATAGGTCATATCTCCCAGAAATATATATGATCAGACTAGGTATTTCAATTAATAAAATAATATTAGTTCTCTAAATGAAAGACAACACACTCATTTAAGCGATAAATATAAAGAAGATTACTTGTATCATTCATAGTGGGGATATTAAAGTAAAAAACTCAATGGTGTGCATAGTACCTGTATGACTTAGTTTTCTCCCTTGAAGACAGAAGCTGGAGTTCATTAAATCACTGAAGTAAGTTAAGATAATAGAAGAGAATCTAGCCTGTTTAGACTTAGATACAATTGTAATTCTGGCCTAAGTTAAAATAATAAGGATTTATTAAATTACTACGACTAGGTTCTTGCGCCGTAGTTAGCCAACAGTAGCATTAGAAGAATTTCTACAAACAATTATGAGTAAAGTAGCTTATCATAGCAGAATAATCATAACAATCTGAGTGGAAACAATTAAAATTACATTTATAAATAAAACCTATAAGAGTAAATCACTAATGTCTTAGTTTAAAATAACTCTAAAATAAATTGTAATAACTTAAATGTGATTAATAACCAAAATAAAACAATTTCTCATAGTAATTCAAAAGAGAAATAATCTTGTAAAAATTATAATTAAGTACTTAGTTAAAAATAAAATAGCAATATTCTTTCTCACACTAATTCATTAAACTCAACTAAATCGAATATTTATTTAAGCAATGCCAACAAGAACATTAGCATGCACTCTTCGCGAAATAGCACAAACAAAAACTCTGTTTACTAATAAGAAAATCTAATAATTTAAAACAAAAAACACTAAAGTCTATCTCAAGCGAGCAACACAAGCTACTAAAATGGAAAATATTCTAAAAAGAATTTGAATTAAAAAAATTAATCAACCAAAAATAGTATATAAATAACTTCTAAAGATTAAGGAGCTGGATTAAATGTAAAAAATAGTAACAAGGTAGACTTAATCAAAGCATAAAAAAGTATATCTGATGTAAAAAATGACTATAGCAAGTAGCTTAATAATCATGAATCTTTTAACAATTATTAAACCCATCACTAAACAATATAATAATCATATTAACCAGAACAAAATGCATTTAATTGTCTATCCAATTAATTCAAACATGATATTGATACTGTCTTACACTACAATTATTCCTTTAATAAAACCAACAATACAATTCCAAAAAATAGTAAAAATGCTTTATATTAAACTACTCAAAATGAAATAAACATTAATAATGATAAAAAATATTTTCTTTCTCACGCAAACGATACAACAGCAGGTAAAGACTAAAGGCTTTCAATAAATTTGCCAAAATAATTTGAAAAAGAAAATAAATAAACTGAAATACTCCTGCAAAAAAAAGAAGATATTTCTAAATTAGAAAGAATTCCAACTTAGCAATCCGTACCAAACACAATTAGCGAAACTCAAACAAAGACAATTAATGAATTTTAAACTAACACAATATAATTTTAATCCAACAAAATTCAAGATTCAAAATAAAGCTTAAAAGAAAACTAAAATAATATAAAAGCATCTTAAAATGGCTTTATGAAAGATGTTTAAAGTAGCTAAACAGCAGATGCGTAGAATACCAATTAATAGCAAATAAAGAACATAAATGTTGCTCAAGCGATTTAATAATCTGAAGCAAATAACAATAGTAAGGTCAAAGAAAATATTAATTATATGAACGCCATCTAAAATGGTAGCGGATAAAAATCATTGATGGACACAATAAAAACAAACATTATTAATTTAGTTGTAAAGACTTTTAGAGGAGGAGATAAAAGAGATTAATGCAACTGTGATGAAGGATTAGAAGATTACTAAACATGCAGTAGAGCTTAAAAATGGCTTTAATGGAATTACCCTGAAAATTTAGATAGCCTTAAAACCCTCTATAATTAAATAAAAGAAACCAGAAGCAGTGTAGTTGATCCTTCAGTTTTACAGTAAATTAGGAGAGATATTACAAGAACTTATCCTCATTTAAAGTTTTTCTAGCCTTTGAATGATTCCTAGAGTAGTTAAGGTCAGAGTCTTCCTTCTAAAATAGAGAACAATTAAAATAAAATTAGCTCTGGATTAGAGTAACTAGAGAGTATTCTTTATTCATTTGCTGCATATGATCCTTAAATTGGCTATGTTCAAGGAATAAATTTTATAGCCGCACATTTTTTGTATCATTCAGAAGAATATATTGCCTTTTGGCTTCTTGTTAATACATTTGAGAGATTCGAATTGAGAGACATCTATCTTCCAAGTAAAATTATAATCATTAAAATCATAAATTAATTATTAAAATTTTCAAATAAAATAAAAAAAGATTTGCCTGGGTTGAAGAAACACTCCTACATTCTAGAGAAAATTCTTGAAAAGATTGATCCTGAATTATATTCCCATTTAGTAATTAATATAGAAATCATATTTAATATTAATATTTTAAATAAATAATTATATTAGAGTGAAAGTGGAATAAAGCCTGATATGTATATAACTCCTTGGCTATTTTCTTAATTTGGCATGATGATACCTCTTAAATACTTGGTAATATTAAATTTAAATAAATTTTATATTAATAAATAATATATAAATAAAATTAGGATATATTCTATGAGAACATGATCCAAGAAGGTTGGAGTTTCTTCTATAAGTTCGTGATAAGCTATATGATAGAATAAAAATAATTGATACTGGAACAAGATCCGATGGGTTCAATTGAAATTTTAACATAAAAGAACAACTAAATTGCAAACGAACAATATTCTGAAGAAAAAGAATGGAGTGATTTAATATAAGATGCTAAAAAAATACCTATCAACAGTAAAGATATTGAAAGTATGCTAAATACAATTAACTTTCAAGACTGACTAACTGAATAGTTAATTATTTGAATTATTGGTTTGTTGGCTGATTTACTTACTTACTTGCTTATTTACTGGCTGGCTTGACTTATTTTTTCCCTATTTTAGATAAAAATTTACATTAATTATTAAATTTTTCGATTATAAAAAATAAATAAATAAATAAAGAATTTACAATTTTAACTGTAATTTATATAAATTATATTAGCATTTGTATATAGTTTAATTTCAATTTAATTGATAAAAGTAAGCTACTTACTTCTAATGTTATAAATATATCTAATTTGTTTAAAAAATCAATAAACTAAATTTATCTTTTGAGAATTCCAATAATTATTTTACTTTTTCTTTTTCAAAATAACCTTAAATTAATTTGAAATATTTAATTAACTTAAAACTTATTTATTTATCTATCTCTCTATATATTTTACTATCTGTAATACTTAAATTAATTATCTAAATTTTAAACAATTATCTATTTATTTTTTTAGTATTCTTCATAATATACTAAACATACTTTTATATATTTTATAATTTAGTTGCTCGTTTTTGATAGTTTTTTCAAGAACTCTTAAACTTTTCATTAGAAAATTGGATTTATTTATTATAAATAAAAATTTGTTTTACAAATTTGAATAAAATTATCAATAAATTAATTTTGTAAATTTCAAAACAGTTTTTTTTAGATTTTTAACCAAAAAATTTTTTAAATTAATTAAAATTTTTAATAATTTAAGGGATAATTTTATATAAAAAGATTATCTAAAAATAATAATTGTATTTAAAAGTTAGTCTTCAGACAGTTTTAATTTTTAATTTTCCCTGAGAATATTGTTTTAGATTGATTGTATTACTATTAAAAAGTAAGCATGCTTCTATTTAACTAATCAATTAATTTTTCATTTGCATATTTTATTTAATTTTAAAATATATTTATTTCTTTCTTTCTTTCTAAGTAATTAACAACTTTCTATAAATATTTGCAAAATAGATAGAGCTAATTAATTATTTTATAGGTATTAACATTACAATAAAATTATATGATACAATAAAGTATGAAATAAAGATATAAATTTAAATATTTGTTAAACTTTTTTATAATAATAGTACTTCATTTTAATAATTTGTTATTCATTTTTTTAATTTTATAAGTTTTTTTATTTTTAGATAGAGATAATTTGTTTATTTATTTATTTATCAATTTATTTTTCAAGAATTAAAAACTCTCTAAAATCACATGTATTTCATGATGGAAAGCTTTTCGTAAAAATTGAGCTTCTTTATATATTCGTTGTTTTGAGTAGATTGGTTAATACAATAGAGTAAATTTAATCTGCTTTCTCTGGTTTCTATAATAAAAAATTTTTTAAACGATAACATTTTGTAACAATTTAATTACTCATTTCGGCATATTTTTATTTGATGTAGTCAGCTCCATTAAATTTATCTCCAAGTAACTATAGATAATCCATAATAGTTCTACCTAAGTTGTCCTTAACTAAAATATCTGCACCACTTCTAAGAAGTAGATCAAATGCTCCTTAGTTGAATCTACTGTTAGTGCAGATATTTATTACTAAGTTCATTAAAGGTGTACGACCTTACTTTATTTTTTTAAATAAGTATTTATATTTGTTTATTAATTAAAAGATTTACATTATTTTTTGAATTGATTTAACTTAAAAACCCATTCTAAAGAAGGTGTTTAATCATGAAGTATTTGTAATTTATACAGGCATTATGTAGCATAGTATTTAGCTCTGGCTTTAATTATAAATAAATAACTAGTTTAGTTTCTTTTTAAGAAGTTATAAGTTTATTTACATCTTTTTTTTAATATTCAGTTTTGTAATCAAATTCTGGAAATTCACTCTCTAGATTATGCGCAGCTTCAATAAAACTTGATACATTACCTGAGGCTATACTTCTTGACATGTTTCTAAACTAATTTATTATAGTTTAAATGGAACTTCATTTAGTTTACAAAAAAAATCAAAAATATTTATCAAAACATACTTAAACATCTTTGTTGTATTCTTAAACTCTCTCTAAAGTTACGTTCTCATTTATCATCTAGCCAACCTAGATTATTTGTTATCTAAAAATTTTTGACATTTTCAGAGTTTCTTTATTTCAGTGTTTTTTATTTTGTCTGTCTTTGGTCTTTTTAAAATTTGTTTTATTTTTTTGGAATATTATGTTTGTTTATTAATGATTAATAATTCTTCTACTTATAGATAAAAACTTTCCAAAAAATAAATGCTATTTATTTTAAGGTAAATTTGGATATATAAATAAGTATTAACCAGATTAAATAGTTTAATTTAAATAATATTATCTATACCAACTTAATATATAACTAAGTATTAAATATTTTCCTTTCAATTTTCATAAATTGACAGTTTTAATCAGATTGCTTGTTTCCAAGAATGGATTAGAGTAACGTTTTTATAATTAAGTAGACTTTTCTAAATTATTTCAAGATCTAATCATATATAATTTGAATTCATTTGGATTATTGATCAATCAATATTCCAAAGCTTAGATAAGTTATACATATAATATAAAAAATATATATAGAGTAAATTAATTCTTTCTTTAGTTTCTGCTTATTGTAACAAATAATTTAAAAGCGGTGCTAGCTTAAAAAGGACATTAAAGCTAAATTATTTTCAAAATTATCAAATCTGTCAGATAAAAACTTGTAATATACAAAATAAGTGTATACACCAATATAATTTTAAGTAATTACATGCATCATTAATTATTTAAAAAGATATCTTTTCATTTGTATTGTTTAATTATGAGAAAAGATGCATTTCATTTTGAATATTTGAAATTAAACATTTTTTACAACTAAAACGAACAGCGAGATTGGACAAAGATATTTATATGAGTAGAACATTAAGTGAATTAAATCTGTAAGATCAAAAATAAGCTTTTGATATTCTCTAAAGATAAGAACAAAGTTTTAAACACAGCATCACATAAAATCAATTTAGAAGCACATTTACAAAGCTATCTAAATAAAAAAAGAATGATTTGCCTGATATTTATAATCTAAAAAAGGACACACCAGTTGACAGTATATAAAATAAATAATTTTTAAAATGATATTTATTAGATTTGGGCTTTTAAATTTTAAAAAATCAATTCTTTTTGAAGGAAAAACAACTCTTCATTTTGTAAAAAATTTAGATAAAATCTTAATTAATTAAACCAAATTTTGTTAAGAATAAACTTTTAATTAATCATAAATCAAAGATGAAAAGCAAATTAGTTTTAAAAATAACTAAACATAACATAAATAGATAAATTTTATAATATTAAAAAATAATTTTATAAAATTGTGATTAAAAATATAAATTTATTTTTAATTAATTAATAAAAAGAATGAAAAACTAACTCAACCAAAAAAAATTAGCTTTTTGATTGAAATAAAATTAATTTAATTTTAATTTAAATAGTCTTCAAACCAAAAGATGGACAATATTAGAATCTAAATTTTAAGCCTAAAATGAATTTAACAAACAAAGATTTTTATTAGCCTTTGCAATATGTGCTTCGCCCTAGAAAAATAAAAAATGATGATAAGAAGGATGAGGAGTAGATAGTTGTAGGAAAGAAGCCTTCAATGAAAATCTTTGAAAATAAGTAGAATCCAAAACCAGTTAAAAGTATATATAAATTTTAAATAGAAGAGGAAAATTGGGTTGACTCTGTCAAGCCTCCCAGATCTTCAATGAACCCTTTGCATTTAGTTCCGAATCCAACTTAAAATAAAGAAGATTTGGAAGTAAAGAAAGCAAACATTTAAGTAAAAAATATTAAAACTCCATTCAAAAATGAGTTCATTGGAAATTAGATCAATAATAATGAAGAAATAACACAAAAAATAGGAAAAGAACTTGAAGAATAATTTAATAACAATGAAACTTTAAAAAAAGAGTTTTAAGAATTCTTAAAATGGTAAAACTAAACCTAAAAAGGTATGAGCAGGAGTACATCCTAAAATCATTTTTATAAAAATAATTCTAACATAACAAACCAAGATCACATAATCCAAATAGCTAAATGTTTAATCCTAACCCATAACAATTCACCATCGAATTTAAAGTAAAAAAAATTATTTATTTTTCAATCAAACAAAATATTTCCTTTTCTATTAAAAATTATGCAATTAATAAATATTGAGATATAATCTATCTATCTACCATCTATACTTTTAGTTAAAGCTAGTCTTTAAAAAAATTAAATGTTATAAATTCACTTAATCTTTCAAAACAAAATTTAAAATGAAATTAATTCTAATAAATTTAATCCAGCAAAGAAAATTCTTAATATAAATTACAAAAATAATTAGAAACAAAATGTATTAAAATTAATCAAGTAATTTTAGAATTCATTCTGAATAAAAGCAATTTATTTTCAATCAATTTTTTATTAATTAGAAAATTTTTTTTTCTTTGTCAGTAGAAAGAAATTAAAAATTATTTCATTAATTTGTTTGTTCATTCATTTAAAATAAATAATCTTAAATTTATAAATTACAAAATAAATCCTTTTATTAAACTTAAAAAAGAGTAAAAAAATCAGTTTTTAAATTATAAATTGCTAAAATTAATTAATAATTTCATAAAAAATATATGTTTTTTTTCTAATATAGCTAGCTGCAAAGCGCACTTAGGTTTTAGTGTATATTTAAATTGATAGATAATAAATATAATTCATCTAATTTTTTTATTAAAAATATACTCAATTTTGTTGGAGATAAAATTTATATTTATAATAATAATTATAAAAGAAATAAAAGAGTTATCACACTCGGAAGACCAGGAGACGATTTCCTGAGAGTAACTAAATATAAAGATTAGATATATTATGAGAAAAAAATGGAAAGAGATAAAGTAAACTAAAATTGGAATGAGGTTAATGGTAACTTTGATGAACTTCATTATTCGAGTTATATGAAAGGATAATAGAACTTAAAAATATCAAGATTATCTAAAGGAATAGTCGAATAATAGAAACCTGACTTAAAGTGTGTATATCCTCTTAAAATTGTATTCAACAAAAACAAAAGGTTAGATGTAAGTGTCAAAAGGCTAAATAGAAAGAGGGTTGACTATCTAAATTAGATTTATGCTAAACATATGATGGCATACTTATATAATGAAAATAAGCATCACGAATTTAATGATAATAATCCAGATGAATAAAATGAATATGGCTTTGAAGATCTATAAAATGGAATATATGTTACTACCATTCCACCATAATGAAATATCTATTGAACCATCTATATAATTAATTAAAAACTTTAATAAATTATTTTTTTCAATATATTTTTTTAAATTCTATTTCGTTTATTTGGTTGTAATTGATAATTTTTAATAAAACTTCATTTTTTTGTTATAATTTTAAATAAAAATTTTTATTTTCGAATGAAATAATTTTATAATCGCTTTATTACTTTCTAAAATAAAACTTAAAAATTTGATATAATTGTTTTAATAATACAGGATTTTACCAAAATTTATTTCAGGCTGATAAAAAAATATTTATTTATTTATTTATTTATCAAAACAGTAATTCTTAAGTAAAATAGAACATTAATGTCAAATAATGCTATAAAAATAATTCATTGCCTTTTCATCATAACAAATATATTTGGTTATTATTTTATTTAAATAAAAACTTCTTCTTTTTTTAGTTTAAAAAAAAAACTCTACAGCAAACAATATTATTTCTTATTAATTAAAATTAAGAAAGTAGATAGGTAGGTAGGTAAGTAGGAAGAAACAAAGAATTTTCTAATATTATTTGATTCCTTTTTTAAAAACCAGAAGTAGAAAAAAAATTTTAACTTTTGCTGCGTTTAATCTAATTAATTTATTTATTTATTTGAATGACAGAAAATAAATTAGAAAATTTAATATACTTTTTTATTTGTTCTTAACTTTATTTTTATATAAAAAACTGAAGAGTTTAATTAGTAAATTTATAATTTGCAGGGTTATTTCATTAAAAATAAACAAATACTAGTTTGTTTATTTGTATTTTTTATAAGCATCAGAGCAGGAAGGAAGGAAGCTAATGAATGAATTAAGCACGAAGTAATTAAAAATTGGTAATATTATGTCAGTCTCCTTAAAAAAATAAATTTATTAATTAAAAGGTAAGCGAATAAACAAACAAAAAAACACAAGATAATCAAGCAAACAAACAAAAAAACAAACAATCAAGCAAAAATTTTATTAAAAAGAAATAATTTGCCTTTAAAATTATAAAGCATTAATTAATAAAATATAAATATATCAATTTTAAGCAATAATCAATCAAGCAAGCTAGCAAAAAAAAGTGTGTTTTGTTACGGAGACTGTTTTGACATTAAAATTAAACTGAAGCTATCGAAAAAAATCGATATAATAACTGAATAGCATATTATTTTAAATAGAGTTTATAAAAAATGATGTATGGAGACCAAATTTTGAATACGGAGATGATTAATGAAACTCTGAGCAATAGACAGAGTGCAAAGATGATTTATCTTCAAAAAGAAAATGAATAGCTTTTGTAGGAAAACGAGGATCTTAAAGAAGCTTTAAAGCTTAATAAAGAAGCATTAAGAATTTCTTACTAGTCCACATTTTTAAGTGAATCAGCAAGCACTTCTTTTAATTCTATTCCCTCTTAATAATCCAAAATTATTCACTTAACAAGCTCAAATAAGAATTAGCAACATTTGTAGTCTACCTATGCATCCAATCAGAAAACAATTGATGATTTTGTATTGAAGCTAATTCAAGAGAATGAGAGACTGCTAGGAACTATAACTGTAATGGCAAAAGAGCGCAATAAGGCATAAAGCATTGTAATATCTAATTTCTTATCAAAGTTATGCACAATAATCTCAACCATAATTAATTTTTAAAAATAACGCATTTCATAATTTTTTATGGTAAATTTTTTACTTTGCTATTAATAGGCCCTATTGCAAGAACAAATAGCTGAAGAAAACTCTAACTTTTACCAAGAATAGTTAGCTGAACGAGAAGATAAAATTAAAGAATTGAGAATGCTAATCTAGGATAAAGAATTTGTCATTTAAGATTTTGAAAAAGCAAAGGGATATTATGATTACGGGTCAAATGTTTTAGTCAGGATTCGTGATGTAATTTTGATATTTATTTATTTATTAGCATTTCTGGATACATTTCATTTAGCAACTGATGAAAACAATTAACCTGTATATAAATCTATTGCAGCTTTTAAATGCATATTCCAAAGAAAGCAAGCAACTAAATAAGGCTTTTTAAATATGAAAGATAAATATATTAATTGATTGCCCTTATAAATCAACAAAACTTAAACGCGTTGGCGTTGGTAGTTCTGATAAATTTTTTTACAGACAATCTATTTTAAGCACTTTAAACTCAATAAAGAAAAATTAGCTAAATATTTAACTAATTATTTAATTTACTAATTAGATTACAACTCCAAACGAGCAAAGCATCAAACTACATAACGAAATAGAACATTTGAAGGGAATGATTCAAAAGCTATCAGAAGAGAATCAAAAATTAGTCGAAAAAATTTAATAGAAAGAAGAGCATTCAAGGGTATTAATTTAAATTAATTATAATTTGATTTAAAATTAATTTATTTCTTAATATTAGGTATTAAAGCAAGAAATATTAAAGCTGAGGCTCGTCATTTTAAATCCAGTAAATTACTAAAAAATGAAAGGTACTTTTTTCAAATTTAAACTAATTTAAAAGCAGCAAGCATAAACAAAAAGAAATTAGTTTTAAATATGCTTTTGTAAAAATTATCTTAATTAAATGTAGTTCTCGTGGATAAATTATAAAAGAATAAAGCAAAATATTTGATCTTAAGAATAGTAGAAATAAGTATTTTCTAAAAATGTAAACTGTAATTGAATACAATATTAAATGCGATTCAAAAAAAAGATTAAATGTTATTTTTAGCAAACAAGAAAGAAAGAAAATAAGAAAGAGAGAGAGAGAAAAATATATATTCAGATTTATTTGCTTGGAGTATTTTTTAAAATAAATCAAATTAAAAATTTATCAACATCAATTAAATCGAATTTGCAATTCTTTACTTAATAGAATCTATCTATATTCACAATCCACTAAATAATGCATTCAAAATGGAAAATCAATTTTATTCCATAAATAAATTTATCTAATTCATTCTCAAAAATTATCATAAAATTGACTGACAGCATATAAATTAATAAATAAATTCATTAATTCTATGAACAAATACTTAAATTTTATTAGTATCAATTCATATCAATTTTTAATAAATAAATTTCAACTTTAAGAAAATATTTCAAAAAAGTTAAATAATTTCATCAAATTAATTTAAAACGAAGAATCAAAATAAATAATAAATATTTTTCTTAGTGAAAATTTTTGATATTCTAATTTAATTTTTCTATTATTAGGATTTTTGATGCATAACTATGCTGAAAAAGGAGATGAAGATGCTTTTATGTGTGGTGCATTTTATAAATAAGTAGAAAACTAGTAGATGGAAGAATAAAATTAACAACTTATGCAATAACAATAGATGTTATAATAGTAGTATTAAAAAGAACAATATGAGAAATAGCATATACCTCTGCGCCCTTCAAGGAATAATAATCAACCTCAGACTCAAAGATATAATAATTAATACGCATAGAATCTTCAAACAGATAAACTTAATGATAAGATATAGAAATTAGAAGAAAGTTTCAAAAAGATCAACAAATTGTATAGAAGAGAAGTAGAAAATAACAATATTTTGGTATCTAAAATTGAAGAAATAATGAAAGAATGCGAATAATGTTTTTAAAATAATGAATTGCTGATTAATTCTAATATAAATTATCAGCAACAAATAGAAAATTTGCAAAACTAAGTCAAAACATACAAAGAATTCTAATAAAAGTATTTCCACCTACTTAGAAATCACAGAAAACGTAATAAAAGTTGCTTACCAAATCAAAGTATCACAAACCAAATTGACGAAATAATCAAGAAAAAGCTGCACGAAAGAAGAGAATCTGAAAGCACTGCAACTTAAAATTAAAAAACAAACGATAAAGAAGTAAATGTAAGTATTCTTGAAGAAGAGGAAGAATCAAAACCTTCTAAATCCTACAGAAAACAGACAACAGTAACTAATTAATTAAATAAATATAATAAAATATCTTAAATTAACTTAACTTAACTTAAATTAATCTTTCTTTGATTTAATCATAAAGGGAGCAAAGAAATACGAAACGATTAGAGCTGATCTTGCTTAAAAGAATAACTAGAATGAATCTGATACCAATAATATCTTAGGTGACATAAATGAAGAAGTAACAAACTTAACCAGAGACCAAGCTAAGATCTATTTGCTAAATTTAGCTAAAGATTTATATGTCAACACTAATATAAAGAGCTCAGGGTTGACTCGCCAGGTTCTCAAATAAATAGAAATAGGTGGCTATAAAACAGGAATTATTAGTCTTTTTAGGTAAACAAACATTCGTTTCAGTTCTTTTCTTTTCTTAAATTTTTGTTAATTAAAATATTTAATCAATGCTTAAAATAATATTTTATTTTTAAATGAATTTTTTAAAATAATTTATAAATGAAGGGCTAAGAGATCTTTAAGTAACCCTTTGGACTATATATCAGATAATGAGGAGACTAAGTACTCACTTAACTACTAGGTAGATTTTAATGAAATAGTTAAAAAATCTAGATTGCAGTTCAAGAAACACAGTGATGGAAATTAAAATGCTAACAATCATCATTATCAACAAGCAGTTGACGATGATTAAGAAATAGCAGTAAACTTAGATAAAGGTTTAAGTGGTCCATTTAATATTGATATGAGTGTAATTATTGATGGAAAATCTAAATTAGGAAAAGGTTTAAATGTTTCTAAGAAAATTCATAAAATAGCTGTCGATGCAAGTTTCATTTCTAATGACGGTGATATGGAAGATTTTAATTGATCTATTCATAAACAAAACAAAAACGAAAAAAATAATAAAACATTTATTTAGCTTCCTTCTCTTTATTAAAAAAATGTTGGAATGGATGGATCTAGCTAGTTTACTGCAGAGGCCTGCCTACAAAATCAATATTCTTTATTAATAAAATAAGCATATTTTAATTATAAATTTTATATTATCAGAGAAATCAAATTAATAAATTATTTGAAACTATCTGAAATATGTTTGATATATTCTCATGATTAGTTTGAATTCTTTAAGTAAGTTATTATTGTCTTTTAATTCGTTAATTCTTTTCACAATAAGTTAATATTTATAAATAAATATAAATTTATTTTATACTTTACTTTTATTTTTGATGCCTTTGGAAAGCAAGCAACAAACAATAAATGTCTCATATTATTTTATCATTCTTATTAATATTTTAAAATTAGCTTTTATTTATTTATTTATTTTTGTGTTTGAAATTTATGGTAATCATAATTTACCATTTGTTCAAATTTAGGAAATTAGATGTTTATCTACAATAATTTTAAAGTGTTTAGCCTTATTATTACTCACTTATTAAAATTAGTTATTATATTTTTTTAATATTATTTAATATAATTGAATAATTTTATAAAATTTATTTGGTATGTAAGAAGATGAGGAAATGTTTGTTTTATTCATAACTTGGTTTAGGTAAATATATAAATATTTATTAGAACCATAAAATCGAGATATTATGGTAATAAATCATCTCAAAATACTATATAATGCAATAAGAAAAAATAAAATAAAAGTAAAATTTACTTAAATTGATTATTTTTAAATAAAATTTATATTGCCATCTTTAAAAATATGTTTTAATATAATTTCTAAAAAAATAAGTTGTATTTTTATTATGTAGGATTGATAAAATAAATATTTTAGTCTATGATAGTGCATACAAATTTTTTAAATGGTTTATTGTTTTATTTGGTAAAATAATTTTGTTATTTTATGATCTATTTTTAATATGATAAATTATTTTAAGAAAACAACAAAGTCAAATTATAAATTCTTGCTTTTCTTTATTAAATAAAATGAATATTTTTATTAGTTTAGTTTAAAAAAAATAGTTTTATACTCCTTCTTAGTTTAATAAAGAAATAAACATTTCATAAATTTTGATTTTAAATAAATAATGAAAGGCAACAATATATATTCTAAATATGAAGTACATCAACAAAACAATTATTTGATATTGTTGAGTTGATTTGTTTTTATTTAATGTCAATTTAGCTGATTGAAAATTGAAAGAAATATATTTTTATTTTATTTCAATAGAAATATGATTGATTAATGAATAAATAAATATCAAACAAATAGCAAATAAGAAATATTTAGTTAATATGGTTTTTAGTGGTATTAACAATTTTTCAATTTAATTTAAAATAATAATAATAAAATAAATGGCTATATAAATATACAATATGAAATTAATGATTCAGAAAGTTACGGTTAATAGCGAATGTATGAGATTACATTTAGTGCGAATAGATAAAAATCTTAGAACTCTTTAACAATTATAATGAAAAGTAATAGAAATCAAATTTATTTAGTAGTCTGTAAAATAACAAGTGAATGAATGATAAATCTTATTAATATTTAGTGCTTATATAAATGTTATGGTCATTTCAAAATAAAAAAACTTTATCCAATTATTCACCATATAATTTTTGTAAAGAGTGAGCAGCAAGCAGAATCTTTTGGGTTGATAAAAAAAGAAATAATTAATCAATTTTTTTTTTGTTTGTATTAAACGAATTCTTTCTAATTACTTTAAGTATTAGCAGAATAATTAACAAATAATAAATAGAGGGTTTAACTAATTTACTAATATTCCCCTCTAAAATCTAAATTTGTTTGATAAATAGAGAGAGATATTCAGTGCTAGTCTTTGAATTTGAAGAAACTTTAGCAGATTTTGTTTCAATTGTAGAAATTCAGACTGGTTCTTGCTTGATCAAAAGCTTAATTTTTTATCATTTGTTGAAAATTTATTAAATATTTTACATAATCAATTTGCTGATTTATAAAAAAAGAGCTGCTGTTTAATTAATCAATCAATCAATATTTAAATAGATAGATTAGGATACATCGATATATATTAAATGGATTTGTATATTAACAATTTCTTGATTAGCAATTAGAATTAAGATGCAGTTTCTAAGACTGAAATGCAAGAGAAAGAGAGTAGTAATAGCAGCAAAAACAATGAATCTCCAATATTAAATACAGAGACTAATTAACAAAATAAAGATGCATTAAATGAATAATTTAAAAGTGATAATACATTAAAATATGAGGAGGAATTTGCTAAGAACACTGCTTAATAAAGGAAATAAAAGAATAGTGCAAATAGCAGCTTTGCAATGAGGAAAAAAGTGTTGAACTAGTCAGAAGATGTCATTTAGAATGCTAGTTTTAATAGAAATATTTGCAGCTCGAGAGGATAAATAGAATCTCGAAATGATAAGTCAAATCTAACTGTTTTAAATAATACATTTATGATATCGAAGGGTTTTAATTCTGGATAAATTGATAAGGAGCTCTTCAGCAAAGAGGAAGCAAGCGTATTAGCAGTAGACGACTATGATAATGATAGTCTGGATGAAGGAGATGAATTAAGTTATTTTGAATTAAATTATATCTCCTAAACTGGTACTAACTAGCAAGTAAAGAAAATAAAAAGAGTAAAAAAAACATATTTAGATTAATTACCTGAAGCAAATCCAATAGCAAAAAGGGAGTTAAGAGGAATTGAGCAGCTCAAGAGTGTTTATGATTATTCTCTAAAATTCAAGGAATAGCAAATTGTAAATTCATATTTAGAATCATTTCATATGGCTACTGAAAATCCAGAAGAATTTCAAAAATTAGTGTAAAGAAAAGAACCTCTTGGAGTCAGAAATATAAATGCTATCAATACAAACTACATACTAGGAAACAACAACCCTGGAATTTCTGTTAACTCTGATGGCAGTTAGACAAGATAATTTATATACTAAATGTTTACAGAAGAAAACAATATTGTTTACTTGAAAAATCCATTGCTCAATAATTAGGTTCTTTGTACATTATACAAAATGAGTGCAATCAGGAATGGTGAGCCTTATTCAGATTTTAAGTCAAAAGAAGCCTCAGAAATTACTTAACAGGAGAGACTTGAATAAATGATTAAAGAAAATTTAACAAAGAAATAAAAAGTTTTGCATTTCGACAGTAAATTTGAAAGCGGAAATCTATCAATAGTCTCAATGAAATCATCTGATGAATACAATTTGCTTTTGCAAAATGATATAAATACCAAGGGATACACCTAATGGTTCTTTTTTAGTGTAAAGAAAACTCATAGGAATCAATCAGTTAAATTTAATATAGTTAACTTCTATAAAAATGGATCTCTCTTCAATGAAGGCATGAAGATCTCTATTTTTTCTAAAAAGAAGTATGACCTGACGAAAGTTGGTTGGTTTAAAGGAGCCACCGATATCGGTTACGTTAAAAATAACATAGTAAAATAAAATGATAACTACTACTACACGCTTACATTTAAATATACTTTTGAGTATAATGACGATGAGGTTTTCTTTGCTTACAATATACCTTACACTTACACTTAATTAAATTAGTTTCTTCATAAATGCGAAATGGATCCATATAAAAACTAATTTATTTATAAAAAAATATTGTGCAGGACTTTGATAGGGAACAAGTTAGATTTAATCACTATTACAAATCCATGCAAAAATATTCAAGATGAAATGTCCTAAAGGAAAGGAGTTATTATATCTGCTCGTGTACATCCAGGTGAAACAGTTTCAAGCTATATTATGGAGGGAATTATAGAATTTTTACTATGTAATTTATTTTTAAAGAATCTTTTTAAATTAAAAATAAAATGAATATGGAAATTATAATTGATTAAATTGAATTAAATTTTTTTTTTTTCAAATAAATAATGAGAACTCAACAAAAAATTTAATTTGTATTTAAAATAAAATTATTTAATAATTATTTAGAAAATACAAAAGAAGCACATTTTCTTAGAGAAAAGTTTATCTTTAAGATCATTCCTATGATGAACCCTGATGGAGTTATTCATGGAAATTATCGTTGTTCTTTAGCTGGATGCGATCTTAATAGAAGATGGAAAAATCCAAATTAAACTCTGCATCCTGAAATTTACTACACAAAATAAATGATTTTTGATTTTAAACAAAAAAATGATATCGCTATGGTCATTGATCTCCACGGGCACTCTAGAAAAATGAATGTATTCGCCTATGGTTGCCATGACAAAAAAAAACCTTTTGAATGTAGAGAATTTCCATTTATTATTTCTAAGTTAAACTCTTCATTCTCATTTAAAGTAAAAAATATTTTTAAAAAGTTTATTTTTAGTAAAAATAATAAATAATTTAAAATTAAAAGGACTGCAATTTCAAAGTATAAAAAAACAGAGAAGGAACTGCAAGAATTGCTTTGTATAAATCACTGGGAATACCAAATATTTACACTATTGAATCCTCTTTTTGTGGACCTAGCTATTTGAATACACACTTTACAGCTGAACACTTAAAAGAAATGGGACATTCTATTTGCTAATCAATTTTAATGAAGTTTTAAATGGCAAACTTCTAGCAATATTTAAATTAACAAGAAGAATAGCAAGACAATTAGTAGTAGTAGTAATAAAATTTAGAATAAGAAAATAAAACTTAACAGAAAAAAATAGAAATACCATCATTTTTCTCAAAAGTATGTAGTTAATAAAATCTAACATCTAATAAAATATTCCTTGATGAACTATATGAGAATCCTGAAAATATAGACATAGGTATGAAGAATGATAGTGGTTCAGATAGTGAGCCATCAGGAGATAATATGAGTGATGATGAATTGAAAAAAATGTTCACAAGTAAAACAAAAAAATCAAAGAAACTCCTTGACAAAAATACAAAAGAAGTTGCTACTATTTAGCCTCAATCATAAATTAAAGATCCTATGAGTCAAACTTAGACAATTCTAAAAAGAAAAACCCAATCTAACTTCATGACCAAATCGCCTGAAAAAAAAATAAATTCATAGTAAGGTACTTCTTCTAGCGAAGTGAAACCAAAAGCATTCAACTTTGATAAAGCTCCTTCCCCCATACGCTCAAGGACCGTCATAAAGTAAATATCATCTGATAATTTAATATATCTAGAAAAAATAATTGCAATTAAATAAAATTAACTTTACAGGCAATATGAATGAATGAATACAAGCAATATAATTTTAATTAAAAAACCAAATATTTAAATTAAAATTGATTAATCTTTTTATGATTTAAATAATCTTTATGAAATACTTTTACTTTACCTAACAAATGTTTTTTATATAAATAGAAATAGCTTTCATCAAACTGGATACAACTTTGTTAAAGATTAGAAAAATTAAAAAGCTGAAAAAGAGAGCTAAAGCTAAATGAAAAATATGACTGTACTAGAGCCTAAGTTCGTTTACTTTCCTCTGAAAGTTCCAGATGCTTTCCCAAATATTGATAAATATAAAAACAGTTTGAGGGAAACAAAACTGCGCAAATTAAGAGAAAATAGCTAAGTAAGGCAATAAATGGGAAATCCTTAGCAGACGCATAGAGTAATTTAAATGAAATTACGACAAAGTTATAATAACGGAGCTGCTGAAAATCAATCTAAAATAGAGAAGAAACCACAGCTTATCTCTCCTAGAGAATTCAAATTCAACTAAGCTATTCCTTAACCAATAGAAAACACAGTTATAGATTCTTCCTTACCTGTATACAATGGCATCAGAGATTCAATTAATAACACGAATAAATCTTAGCTGGGAAGAATTTTAAGAACAATTATGAATACTCAAACTCCAGACTGGATTTATGGATATTCTGGTAATAACTCTTAGTACGACACCTTAAATAAATCTTTAGTGCAAGAAGGGAGCTAAACATTAACAAGAGGTGGTTCTAAAAACATGAAGCAACAATAACAGCTGTATAATTAATCGCCTCCTTAGTCAAACATAGTAGAAAAGTAGCAGAGATCAAAGTCTAATGATATATCTTAATATGTTTTTAAGATGTAAAAATATGATATATTTAATGGAACATTCACAAATCTCCCAGATTAAAGCGATGTAAATAAGTAATCTAATAGAAGCTTGCATGAGAATTAGTTTTACTAGCCCACCTTTTGTGATTATAAATCTCTTTAAAAAACTAAATTTGATTAAGCTTTCACAGGAGTACCTCCTACTGCTAACTCTACCACCAACAGTCTAAATAATAGTTTTGCTTCAATAAACAATACTTTAAGTAAATAACAAAAAATAATAAAACCACAATCTGCATCTAGAACAGTTCGTAAACAACTAACAACAAATTAACATTTAATGAATGGAATTAAATTGTTTTAAGATTAATCAAAAGGAGATTTCGAAGGAAGCAACATAAATAACAATGGAGGCAATACTGTAGTTGTTGATGAAAAAAATATTAATCAATAAACAGTTTTCCAACCAATTAAAATAGTTTATATTTGAGTTTTAAAATAGTTTATTAAAATTAGAGTGTAAAAAAGATAAATTATTATTATTATATTATACATTTATCAAATATAAATAAAACCATAATTAGTTACTTCTTATTCAAATTTCTATCTATATTAAAATATGGTCAATTTCTTATCATCTTTATTTATCAAATAAACCATTTAAAATTTAACACTCTCCTAAACTAAATTGAATTGAATTGAATTTAAGAAGTTGAATTCAAGCAAAGATTCAAAATAATCTTTGCTTACTAGAATAACATAGTTTCTATTATATAATTATTTATTTTTTCTTAGTCTTTTTCATTTTTAATTTTACTATTTAATTTTTACCTCAGCAATCTGAAAATTAAATGCTCCGAATTGATTTTTCTTCTAAATAACTAAAGTATTTCTAAATTTTTGGTTAAGCAGTTTATATAATTTTTAGATATCATCTTTAATTAGCAAAATATAAATACAAATATTTATTCAAATTAAATACTGTAGAGATTGTAATTTTTTTCCTCACATTTTACATCTTGTTAGAAAATTAATAAATGAATGTGTAAAAAGAATTTTTCACTCTCTGTTTTCATTTTTTACTTTCAAAATTTGAGAAAAGGCATTAAATTTTCAAAATTTAATAAAAATAGGTTTATAAAAAAATTAAAAAATATAAAGTGTAAAATAAGCTTAAAATCATAAAAATTAAATGAAATATCACCATCTGTACCTGCACAGTTCGTGATATTTTAATTACAGGATTAGCAATATTTGTTAATTATGCTTAACAAAATCAAGCTAAGTAATTTAACATTATGCTTTATAATATACCAATAAAAGAATATTTAAATAAATACTTTTTAAATGTCTTATTCAAAAACATCCTCAGTATTTAAAAGTAGATAAGGTTATAAACACACATTCAATTATATTTGTGTTTGCTAATAAACTAAGTCTACTCTATTTTTGAATAAAATAATATGGAATATTTATGCATTACACATTTTATTTAGGAATAGAATAAAATAATTAAATGAGAAAATTTAATATATTCTAATATAATTAAATTTAAATTTAGAATATTTAAATATAAAATATGACTAATTATCAATTTTAATACGTCAATTTTTCAAATTAGAATTTTAATTACTTGTTATCGGGAAATTTATTGAGCATTATATTAACTAAATATTCTAAATATTTAGCTTTATTGAAAAAAGTATTTTATTTAGAGAATGATTTTGTTAATAAAAACTTATTTTTTATTTCAAGATTGAATTGAACTTATTGAAATAAATAAAAAAATCATATTATAATATAAATTTTATTTATTTATTTATATTTTAAGTATTTATTTCAAATTCTAAAAGCATTATTTGCAAAGAATAGACAAAATGATCTTATAAACAAAAATATTAATATTCTAATTTGGTTTTATTCTATTCTTGGTTTCAGCAATTATAATTTGTTTAGATATTCTAATTTGATTTTTATTGTGTGCTTATTTGATTTATATATTAAATATTCAATAAGCAAACGAATTATAAAAATTAATTAAATTAAAAAATAACAAAAAATAAACCTAAAAAAAAACTTTTAAATTGAAAAAATGGATTTCCAAACACCTGAAACTTAAGTTGCATTCTCTGTTCGTTGTCCAACTTATTTTGGTTAAGCTGTCTATATTTCAGGAAACTGCGATTAATTGGGAAACTGGAACACTGAAAAAGCTACTCGTATGAATTGGTCTGAAGTAATAAATAAATAATTTATTCCAATAATATTTTCTAATAATATCTATCCCAGCTTTTGATTTATTCAAATTACAAAATTTTATTTTTTAGGGTAATTTATGGTGGTGTGATATCTCGTTACCTACTGATGTAGAAGTAGAATACAAATACTACGTAGCAGATTATGAAGATATGACTAATGAAGTATGTTGGGAGCAGATTTCTAATAGAGTTTTTAGATCTTAAGAGTGTTAAACTAAAGAAATTTGTAAAATTTATTCTTCCAAATAACTAAATATAAAATTAATGGTCACATATTAATTTTTGAATAAATATAATAGAAGATGTGTTCAATCATAACTTTGCTTAAGGTTTACCTGAAACCCAAAATCAGGTTGAAACGGAAAGATGCGAATAAACTCCATACTAAGAACCAGCTCAATAAATGTCTCATCAGTAATTAAGATGTAAATAAGAATCTTAAAATTTTATACTTTCAAATAAATAAATAAATATAAAATTAATCACATATTAATTTTTGAAAATATATAATAGAAGATGTGTTGGATCAGAACTTTGCTTAAAATCAACCATAAAGCCAAAATTGCGTTGAAACAGAAAGATGTGAATAAACTCCATGCCTAGTACCAGCTCAAGAAACACCTAACCAGTAATTAAGCTGTAAATAATAATCTTCAGAAAGGTTAGAAGATTAGGTGAATGGCTAAGAAAGATCATCAATAATGTCTAGCTCTACTTGTAATAGTGAGAAAAACCTTTCTTCTCCTGAAAAGAGTGAATTACCTTAAAGAGGTAAACGCAATTTTATCGTATTTATACTTTAAGATAATAAACTTATAATTTACATCAAAAATAATTTAAATAATTCTTACAATGTTATACGATTGATTTAAAATTTAAAAAAACACATTTTTTATAAAAATATTTTTTTTATAAATAAATAGTACAACATACTGTTTAACCCACTTAAAATTTATGCAATCCTGGTCCTAGCGTATAAGCTAGTTAATCTTCTTAGAAAATGAGCACATAAAATTGCAAAATGAGTCAAAAGAATACCACTTAATAATAAGTTAGCTAAGTTAGATCTTATAATAAATGAATTTTATATAAAGAAATTCTAATTTACTAAAATTAATTAATTAAATTAACATTAAAATAAAAACATAATTGAAAGTTATAATTGCGACTTATTATATTTATGTTTTATGTGTTGTTCCAATTTTAATTAATTTTTAACTATTTTAAATTTAATGTCATATAAACTTTTAAATTACAATAAATATATGGTAATTATTAAAAACTCCTATTTACTATTATTTTAATTAGGAAATCTTTTTTCTTAAACATATTATCTTATATTTTCATAATAAATTTATTCAATCTAAATTTTTTTTGTTTATTTTTATTATTAGTATAAAAAACAATTTTATTTTTCTTGTTATTTACAGGGTGATAACGATCTTCCTGCTGGAAATATTTTATCTAAAATCTATCCCAATTTGAGTGGATCAACTTACTTATTTAAAATATAATTTCATGGGATAAATCTATCCTTAGATAAAGCAAATAAGGTAAATAAATTTAAACTTTCTAAAAGTAACCATATTCATATTAAACAAGTCAGTATCAAATCAAATTTTTAAATAAATAAGAAATATTTAATTAAAAATTGAATATTAAATCTATTACTGAAATATTTAATTCTAATAAAAATTATTACAACAATTATATGTTATTTTATAAATATATTTATATATTCAATCATCATCCAATTATTTTTGTAAAATCTTAAAAGAAATTTCCTAGTGGTATGGTATTTTTGGTTTAATAGTTTTTTTCACCTATAAATCATCTGTTTTTGCTTCATTTTTATCATATTCTATTTAACATTATTACTACTCCTCTTCTTATTCATCGCAATTGTAAAGAACGCTTTGAAATTTATTCAATTTCTAAAACTATTGTTCTTACATTTCTGAAGAATAATCTAATTTTAATACTTCTTCTCTATATGATTTCTTAGTTGCTTATTTATTGTTAAAAATACTCTTCTTTTTAGCTCTTGTCAGAATAGATATGTTCAAATTTTCGAAATCTTTGTTTTCTGAATGCTTGTTGGGATCTTCAGTTTCTTTAGCAGAGTTTGCATCAAATGAATTGTCAGCAAATAAGTTAATTAGTTTAGTATCTAGCATTCTAATTAGTTTTTCATCTAATTTAGATTTTTTTTACTCATTTATAATGATATTGAAAGCTTTTTAAGCATCATATGCCCTTTCAAGTTAAGTCTTCTCTTCATTATCAAAATAACAAAACTTAACTTCCTCTCTTTTAGTTTACTATATTCTATTTTTAGGATTAAACTCTTTTATTTATTCTTAAATTTCTAATGTTTACTAATTTTCCAAATTATTTTTGATATTTTAGGTTAGGTTTTCTTTTTATTTATCTATTTCATGAATTTTAAGAACAGGCCTAGGCAAATATTCAAAAAGCTTAATTTAATTTTCATTGAGCAACAAATGTTTTAATTTTTCAATTTCTATCATCTTATTAATTAAGTAATGCACATCCAAATAGCTATATAATTTACTTGTTCCAAATTTAATTAGCTTTTACTTTCTTGTCTAACAACATTTAAAGAAGCTTAAATAATAAAGTAGATAATCTTTGATATAAATCTACAATTCAGAAAATTATATATTAAAGAATGATTTTATATAGCAGTTTGCCTCGCTATTTTCTTTAATCAGATTTTTTTAACTGAAAATTGTGTTTAATTGTAGTTAATTTTTTAATTTCTTTTAGCTAATTTATATACTTTTACTGATATTAGAATCACTTTTATAGAGTATTAGATTTCTTTCTTTCTCTTTTTACTCTTCTATAAAAGAAATTTTTTTTTAGTCCATACTTTTTCTTTGGTTAATATTTGTTTGATCTTCTTTATTTTTCCCGTCACTTATGTTGAAAATAGAGTTTAGTAGCTTTCTATTTAACTCTAACTAAGAAATAGGTTTGCAAATTAAAAATCCGATCGTTAATAGAAGATTAAACATACCTCCAATCTAAGAAAATGCCTTTTTATTCATTATTAAAATATTTATTTAATATAATTTTAATAAAAAACATCCTTTAAATAGCAAATATCAATAGAAATAAATACTTTATTATTTTATTTTTATTTAATTTAAATCAAAAAATTATTAGTTTAATAATAATTTTATTACTTTTAATAAACTAAATTGAATAAATAAAAAATTAATAATTGTTATAAAATAAAAATATTGAATTTAATGATAATGATTATTAAAAATATAAAAATTACCTAATCTATTTTAATATATTTTCTATAGTAATTCACTTCTCTATTTTTTTCATAGACTAATAAAAGTCTGAACATTACTGGATTTGTTCTTGGGACTACCTGTTCTTAGTAAGAACTAAATTAAACTATCCTTTAAGTAGACTTTGAAGTACCAAACAAAGAAAAATCAGAGTTAATGTATGCATTCATTAGGTTTAATGTAATGTATTTTTAAAAAGAAGGACCACTAAGCCAGTATAGATTTTTTCCTACAGAATTGTATGGATTGTCCTTATTTTGAATCTATACAATTTTGTTAGAAAAGAACAACCCTAGTGTTGGGTTTGTTAGATATTTTGCCTTCTCTTCAGCTGATGCACAGTAATCTTTATCTACACACTCTATAAAATCAATTTCTATAGCTTTATAGATATTAGCAGAAAATTCACCTTAAATTTTGGCTCTATCTTCATTTACATCGAAACAATACATGACTGGATAAGAAATACCAAGAAAATAACTTTTGATTTCTTAGATTTGAAAGTTATTTTATGAGCATGTTGATATATTCAAAGTTTCGTAAGTCCAAATAGGATCATATTAATTAGAAGTAGAATTAAATACTTTTTGCAGCGTTTATTAAGTCGCTTTAACCTGGTATATTTTTTCATCATAAAACTAGTTGAAATTTTCATCTTAAAGTCCCATCGCTAGGTTAAATGTCTTTGGTGTTATTTCAAAAGGCTCTGGCTCAAATACATAATCATCTGATTATATTACTTAGGGAGAATTATAAGTAAAGATGTTTATTAGAGTTTATATGAGCTAAAATAAAATGATAGCTAATATGGAAATAGTTATTAATCCACCAAAGCGAGTATTATGCCTAGGTAAATGGCTAAATCTTATAGCTATGCTTATTCCAAAAATGTCAACTTTCTCTAAAAAGCTTTAATTTTTACTTGAGTCTTAATACATCTTATTTATTCCAGTAGATATAATTAATTTTTTTATCAAAAATATATATTTATTTTTTGACTTGTGTAATAAATTAATAAATTCTGTTTATTTACAATCTTAAGTTAAAAAATAAATAATTTTTTTTATTAAAAAATACCATCATTATAAATAATAATGATATTACCCATGTATAATATGTCTGTATTATTTCTGACAAATAATAAAGTAACTAACTAACAGTTTTTTTGTCTGAAAAAATTTAAAAATAAATATTAGAATAAAGTAGAAATAATTATACAGTAATATCAAAAATATTTTATTTTTTAAAAATGTCTTCTTGTCTAAAGATAAGTTAACAGTTAAATTTTCTTATTCTTTTGAAATAAATGTTGTTTGTTTAAGGATCAGAAAAATTAAATTAGATAAGTACATTTCTTTTGCTTTTTGATAAATAAATAAATAAATAAAATTCAGGGCTGGTAGAGTAAATTTTTGAGTGGCCGTTAGAATTCTTTTATAAAAATTTACTTTAAATCAATCAATTATTCAACACAATATGTATTTTTTAAGATCAATTATAATAAGACGCTTTATAAATAACAAGTGGTATGGTTATAACTATTTGCTAATCATGCTTTTAATTCTAAAAAGTAAAATTTTAATTAAATAACTACAATGTAAGTAAAATATTACAATAAAATATATCAATATATTATGCAATGAATGTATGATTTGTCAATATATTATAATTTATTTGTAAAGTCATGAGTGGAACAAGTGGGTATATTTTATATTTTTTGATGGCAATCAAAAATTATTTATTTATTGATTTTGTACTCTTAAAATAAAATAATTCAAATTTTCAATTAATTAATATATATTTTATAATCTTTTTAAGATTAAAATTTGTAAATTTATCATTTCATAGACACAAATGTAATCAAAGTTCACTTTCAAGGTTTTTTGGTTCTATTTTATATGATTTTTAAGGCTAAAAAGGGAGACTCCTGTTGATAAAATGATCTTTTTATTATTCTTCTTTATCTTAATTTAATTAAAATAGCTTTTATTTGAATTCTGATTCCTACTAATTATTATTTTGAATATAGGAAGGAGAATATTTGAAATTAAAATTATATTTTGCTATTTAATTTTTGTCTTTTTCAATTTAAAAACTATTTGATAAAGCTAAATTTGTATTATCATCATTAGGTATAATGCACTAAGATAAAACTTCTTTAGATTACCTGCAATCATCTTCTAATTATAATTGCGAGTTTATTTCTTCGCACTTATTAAATAAACTTTTTTTAAAATCTCTATTTGTACTACATTGAACTTAATTTATGTTTTATTGGCTAAAAACTATTTAATTATTTTCTGTTCCATCTTCTACTTATTACTTCTAAAAATCAAAAGTATTTTCTTTAAACAAATTAAATAGCTTAATATCGAGCATCTAAATAATTTTTTCATCTAAAATAGACATCTATTTACCATTTATTATTTCATTGAAAGCTGCTTAAGCATCTTTAGCTTTTTCAATTTAAGTTTTCTCTTCTTATCCGAAATAAGAACACTAAAATTTTTCAAATTTTTATTCACTTTTTAATGTGATTGATGTTTATTAATTATTAGATAATTTGTTTTCATTTTTATCAAGATATTTTTTGTCTTTTTTCTATTTTAATTAAATATTATTTAGCTCGTTGCCATCATTTAAGTTTATTTCGTTCACTTTAAGAACAGGCCTAGGTAAATATTCAAAGATCTTTATTTGATTTTCATTCAAAAGCAGATGCTTTAGTTTTTCAACTTCTATCATCTTGTTAATAATGTAAAAAATATCCAAATAATTATACAATTTATTTGTACCATAGCTTATCAATTTTTATTTTTTTGTTTAGAAACATTTAAAATACCTAAAATAATTAAAAAAGTAGTCTTTGAATTTTATTTAAAGCTATGAAAATTAGGTTTTGAAAAAATTTTTAATGGATTTATTAGCCTCTAGTTAGTTATTTTATGAAAAGGACATTAATTTTATATCTTCAATCGTTTCTTAAACACTTTTACTTTTTAAATTTCCGCTTACATTTTATTAGATTCTTGTATTTTTAATTAAATTATCGTTATTTTGGGCCTAGTTACCTTACTGATAAAGCACCTTTTTAGGAGCAATAATTTCTTTTTAAGTCTAAATACAAGTTTCTGATTTTGCATTTTTATTTTTGTTTTCGTTTTCATTTACTTCATTAGCATCTTCACTTTCTTCTATTTAATCTCCTTAAATGTTAAAAATAGAATTCAATAATTTTCTGTTAAATTCTAATCTAGAAAAAGGAGAGCAAATTATAAAACCAATTGTTAATAGAGCATTAAACATACCTCCAAGTTATGAAAAAGCCTATTTTAAATGTAAAAAAAAGTAAATTTATTTTTAATCGTAAATTTCATATGAAATATTTTTGAAAAGAATTAATAAATTACTTCATCAATCTTCATATATTTTCTGTAATAATTTATATTTTTATTTTTTTCATATACTATATTTAAACTAAACATAACATTATCTACTCTTGGAGTTACTGACTCATACGAAGAGCTAAATTAGACAATCCTTTATTTGTATTCAGACTAACCATACAATCCAAAATCTGAGTTGATGTAACTATTTACTAGATTTAGTGTTATATGTTTCTAAAAAGAAGGACCACTTAGCCAGTAAAGATTTTTTCCAACAGGCATTTGAGGATTACTTTTATTTTTGATTTAAATGAGATTGTTAGAAAAGAATATTCCCAGAGATGTATTATTCAAATATTATGCTTTCCTTTCATCAGATGCGCAGCCATCTCCAACACATTCTAAAAACTCAATCTAGATAGCTCTAAAGATATTAGCTGAGTACTCTCCTTCAATAAAAGCTTTATCCTCATTTATATCAAAACAATACATAGCTGGAAATTAAAGGCCCATAAAATAATCCTGTGTTTCTTTTATTTAGAAATTGCTTTTCTAGCAAGGTTATAACTTCAGCTCTTCATAAGTCCAAATTTGATCATATTAATTAGTGGTTGAATTGAAAACCTTTTATAAGTTTTGTTAAGTTGCTTTAATTTTGTATATACTTTCATCTATGAATTAGCTAAAATTCGTATCCTGTAATCCCATAGCTAAATTGAAAGTTTCTGGCCTTATCTAGAAAGGTTCTGGCTGGAAAACATAATCTTCTGACATAATCACTTAAGGAGTAGTTTAAGAGGTAAGCCTAATTAGAACTTATATTAGTTAGAAAAAAATGATCGCTAAGATAGATAAAGTTATAAATCCACCAAAACGTGTCTTGTGTTTTTAAAGATGATTAAACCTTATAGCAATACTGATACCAAACATATCAATCCTCTCTAAAAACGATTGCTTTACTTATAAAGTACCTTGCTCCATTTAAGTAAAATTAAAGGCTTTATTTTATTGATTGTGTTTATCTTAAAAAGTATTATAATTTTTATTATAGAATCTAGTTAATTGATAGTTCTTAAATTCATTTTGCAACCATATAGAATATAATTAACTGAACTGTAATTGTGTGTGAGCCTGATATAATATATCCTAAATTCTAATCTTAATTAATTAACTATTACAAACCTTGAAAATTTGATCAGTACAATTATCAATTAATCAGAATAAAAATCTTGTAGTACTATAAAAAAATATATTTTAAGGAAAAAATATATATGTTATTAAATTAAAACATTGTTTAGAGCATAAATAAAACTTTTATGATAAAAAATATTTAAATTTATGTTAAATATTTACCTAAAATTTTCTACTAATTCTTTATTTGATTATAAATAATTAATAATTTTAGATGTTTATATTAATGATAGATAGATTATTATCAAAAGTGAAAAATGAACAAGGAAATATATTTTTAAACTATTCTATCATCAAATTCTAAAAATCCGAAACATTCCAAAGCAATTATCATCAAATACTCATATTTCTAAAAAAGTTGTTCAAAAAAAATTATTTATGATAAATGCAATAAAATCTTCTTATTAATCAGCCCTCAGTCCTAAGGATTGAGTTTTTTTGAAATTAAGAGTCTGAACCTTTGAGATATTAAATGAAGAAATCTGAGCTCAATTTAATTAGGTTATAAAATTTAACAGAAAAATAAACAAAAAAGATTCAGTTAAAGAAAGTAATTACTAAATTTATAATAAGTGAGTGAAAATTAAAAAAATCTATAAGTTAAAGAGTGACTTGATTATATAAGTAAAAATAATTACCATAAAACCTTAAAACAATAAACTTGAAGATAATCATTTTTTTGATTTACAATTTACTGTTTATAAATTCTTAATAATTTATTTTTTTAATCTTTTTTATGGGAGAGAAAAATAAATATTATATTTTTTCTCAAGTTTTTCAATTTATTAATATTTTATTAATTTTTAGAAGAAAATTTAGACTTTAATTACAGAATTTAGCAAAAATCAATTACTTGTTTCACTTTTTACCTTTTGGCAAATATTCATCACCAATTTTAATATATAGCTATACTGTAATATCTATCAAGGAAATAAGCTTTGACAAAAAAAATTATTATTTTTAATTAAAGTTAAATATGCTTAACAAAATAATTTTATTTTATTTGTATTAAGGCATATTTTTTACTTGAGCAATAATTAAATTGGAATAATTTGAAATTAAAATGTTTTTAATGATTTTAAAGATTAAATTATTTTATTTTAAATTTATACATACATAGCAAGATATATTTATCACTTTGTAGAAATTAAAAAAAAATAAAGGAACTTGTATTGAAAAAAATAATAAGAATTCAAGACAATATCTGATAACTACTAATTATTTATTAATTACTTTGTTTGGCAAAAGTATACTGGTTATTTTATAAAATAATAGCTATAAAAAGATGAATTTTCATTGATATTATTTTCATTTATAATTTTAAAATTCTAAGTATGTGTTTGTTAGTAAGAGTTAACTTGATTATCATGTATTGATTTTGAAATTATAAAATTTAATTTAAATCCTATTTTTTGAAACAATATAATAAGATTTGCATGATACATCGATAAATAAAAAATATCTTGATTAATAGAAACTAATTAAATTATTAATTGATTTTAAGCTTTTTGAATTAAATAAGGTGAATTAGCCATCAAATTATATTAAAATGAATTAAGACGTTTTATAGAATTTCATTCATTCTTCTTCTAAGCAAAGCAGAAGAGGATAGTTTGAGGGAGCTAAATAGGAGTCAGCTCAATACTCTTTAAGTTCCTTAAACTACCCAAATAACGTAGTATAAAGAAGTGGGTAAAAAGCAGTCATTATTTAATCAAAATCTATGTCTTTTTAAATTAAGATTACAAGATGAATAAAAGTTTAATGCAATTTGAGTCATTATTTTTTTGTTATAAAAATTAAATAGTAGCAGCAATTAAAGACATATTGATGAATTCATCAATTCCCATGCTCAGAATGTAAAGCAATCGTTTAATTCGGCTCTAAATGGTCCAAGTTAAAATAAAGTATTTACAGATTCTCATGATGAATAAGCTGCTTCCAATTTTCAAAATCATCACATTTCTTAAATCAGCAATCCAATGATGGATAATCAATTGCAAGTCAATTAAAGTAGAAACTTGTAAACAAATTAAAATTATTTGAATGTAGATCCTTAGAGCTTTATCCCTACTACTCACATGCCACCAAACTAGAAAGCTTCTGTTTCTGCAAATCCAAATTACTTGAATAATTTCGTTAGTTTGAACCCAAACCTTCAGACATTTAATGGCATGAGTACTTAATAGCAACAGTAGTATAGCTTAAATCAGCAATACTAGTCATGTCCATCTCATCCTAAATACGACATCACCAATATATGTGTTGCAGAGACTTGCATAGAACCTCTTTGTCCTGAATGTGTTAAAATCCATACTTATATGCATAATCAAAAAGACACTCCTACAAATATCGACACAATTTTATGCAAAAGAGAGTAGTGCATTGAGTATGTGAGAGAATTAAGAGAAAACTTTTTCAAAGAGTAAACTGTATTGAATAAAATAGGCGACATCGAGAAGGGAGATATTTTCTAATAATGTTTAGATTAAATTTAAAAAGCTAGGGATTTAGTTTTCTAAAATTTAAATTCATACTTCAATTCTTTTGAGCTCAAAGTTAAACAAAGAATCAACGAAATAAGACAAAATCATCCTCACCTTTTCGGAAGTATTCACTCTAAAATTTAAGCTATGGTCCGTGACGTTTCTGATATGGAAGCAAAGCTAGAATCTTCCTAATATGTGAAATATATTATTCAAGTAGGTGTTTAAATCTATTAATATTTAAGTAAAAGCGAAAGAAATTAGACAAAAAAATAAGTAAATAAATAAATCAAGCAAGCAAAAAATACAATAAGAATGGATGAAACAGCACATATGGCAAAGAAAATAAATAAAAATGAAATATTAAAAAAGCAATTCAAAGTTGTTTGAAAAGAAGAGTTTAGTATGTATTTATAATAAATATTCTCAAAGTTAAAGAAAGTTTAAGGAGTAATTAAGAAAAAGACAGAAAAAATAAATTATTTTTCAATCAAATATTTTAAACACAAAGGAATCATAAAGCATAATTACATAAAATTTTATTTTTTAAAAATGAATAATTATCTCAAAGTATATTGTTAACAAAAGGATATTACCTTAAAATAAAATAATTTAAAAAATAAGAGTAGAAATTTATACAAATAAGTTAATACCAAAGAATTAGAAAGTCAAAATATTATAATTTAAGATATAAGAAGATAATTATTTCTTGAAATATTCTTATTAAAAATAAAACTTAAGAAAGAAACTGTACTTGCTGCTTGAAATAATTTTTTTAAAATGAATTCAATAATTTTAAATAAGTTAATATTTAAATAAAATTCACAGATTGTTTTTTTAATTATTTAAAATTTTTTTTTGTTTGGAGGATAAATAGATAAAAAATAATAATTAATTTTTAAAAATAAATAGATACTTTCAGACGATTTTAACATAGACTTTGAAAGAATACAATAGGATGTAGATTATGGAATAGAGCATTATTTAAGTTAGCTATTTAAAGTGTAGGTTGACACATCAATTTTATCAGAACTTGACGATTTAATGTAAAAATATATCAGAACAGATAAAGTAGATTTGAGTGATTACCAATGGAGAGATGGATAATAGTAAGTAACTCATGAAGTTCTACATAGCAATTTATTTGTTAAAAAGTAAAACTAAAACAATAATGTTTAAGACAAAGAAAATAACATGCAAGATTTATTCGAATCTAACTAAAAAAAACTTGTTCCATAACCAATTGATTACAATACTGTGAGTTTTCCTACTTAGTAAACTCAGTAGGCTAATGCAAATCAGAGTGACGTCTATGACTTAAACGAGATGCCTTATGACAACGGGGTTAGCAAAAATGTTAAAAATCAGCAGTCAAAGAGTAGACCGAAAAGTGAGTATTTAAATCCTTATCAAGCTAATAATATTTAAGAGGTATAAAATGTTAATGTTGGAAGTCGAGGTAAAATTTTTTTTTGACTTAAATTAATATTCAAATGTTAAAAAAAATAGGATTAGATGGTGATTAATCACCTCTCAATGGCAGCTATGCTTCACAGAGAGAAAATGACAGAGGAGCAAATATTAATATTTATGATTACTTTAATCCTGATTGCCTCTTAAATATTGTTCATTTCTTCCAAGATAACAGCAAACTATTCCATTTCTTAGACTTAAGCTAACTTTCTAGAGACCCTGCAACATAAGAGTGGCAGACTGTAGAATTAAATATAGCATTCAAAATACCAATGTTCCACAGAAGTATTATAACTCCAAATGGAAAGGTTTTCTTAGTAGGTGGCATAGATGTTTTACATAAGAACAAATCAATAAATTCAACATATTTCTTAGACATGAATAGAAATGCACTTGAACTATGTGCTAATATGAACTACGAAAGAAACTCTCACTCTTTAGTTGTTGCTTAAGATTCTATTTTTGTCGTTGGTGGCTTAAACAACAATGATGAAGATATATATTTGACTTCATGCGAAAGGTAAAATTAAATTTATTGAAAGTAAATTAACTTTTATTTTAAAATAAATAAGGTTTGATATTGAATCTTAGAAATGGATTTAAATTGCAGATTTGTAAGAAGGAGTTGCTGGAACTTCCCTTTGCAATTTCCATGATAAATATATTTATAGATATGGTGGTAAAACATACTTGAACAACATGACAAATACAATTGAAAGATATAATATTTAAGAAGACTTTTGGGAATACATTCCTTTCCAATTTACAGAAGCAATACCTTCTTATGCAGGATCTGTCTAAATAAATGATAATGAAATGCTGATCTTAGGAGGCTAGATAGGAGAAATAAACTAAAAGTAAGCTATTATAGCCAGAGTTGACGAATCTAATCCTGATGCTTTAGTTTTCTATAAATCTAAAAGTATGCCATCATCTGGTACTTTCTGGTAGAATCCAATTATTGGTGGAAATGTTGTCTTTGCAGTATAAAATATTAAGATGGAAAACTGCTAAATGAATTATTTTAGTAAAAAAACATTATTTGTATTTAATTGCAGAACTTGGAAGGAGCTAGGAATAAAATGAAAGAAACTTGTTGATTATTTTTGTCATCACTATTCTTATAAAAAATAATTAAATTTTTTTGATTTATATAAATTGTATGTCTTTCTTTCGCTTAATTTATATTAATTGTAATATAATAAGCTTTTTTATTGTTACTTTATTAAAACTATATTATTTATTGATATGAAATATGTTCTCATACATTAAATATCATCCATTAATTTATTTTTATTTTGAACAATAAAAAATTTTTTATCCAATAAAAAGTAAATAAAAATATGATAACCAATAATCTTATCGATAAGTCTTTTTATAACCATATATTAAAGACTTTTATTAATATAAAAAAAAATTTCTAATTAATATTATTTTAACTGAATTGTTAATCTTAACTCAAAAATATTTCTCATAATTTGAAGGACCATTGAGTGATGAGAAATAAAACTGTGGAGAGATAAGTAGTTGCAATAAATATGTAAAGAAAGAGTTGTTGAAAAGGTAGAAGAGGATAGAAATTAAGCAAATTTTATTGAATTAGATTTTTTACTTTTTAAGGAGGAAATTTTTAATTGATAAATAATCTTTTGTTTATTTTAATACTTTGCATTCGAAATCATATTTTATTTATAAAATACTTTAAAATCAAAAAATTCTCTTTTTTATTCATTAAATTTTAAGCAACGAGATGAAACAAGAAGTTGCTAACTGTTTATCATGCAAATTAAAGCTCTTAGTTCATATTATTATTAAAATATGTTTTTTGAATTACTTATATTTTTCAATTTAAAAAAATATTGATGGCTACCTTAAAGGTAATTTGAGAAAATGTAAATAAAATATAAATAAATTAAAAATTTTCTTAATTATAAATTAACCATATTTCAAAATAAAACATAAATTCATTAATTAATTAAATTTTTATTTATTGAAGATAAAATTCTTTAATCTACTTTATCTAATACTTTCTGACTGGTACACTTAAGAATGAATTTTTTAATATATTAACAAGACAATTCTGTTGAATCTAAAATATCAAGTTAATTCTCAAAATAATTACCGCTTTTATCTATTATTAAAAGTAGTAAAAATAAAAAATCTTATATTTAAAATATATATAAGAAAACCTTTATTTTGAGTGTCTTTTTTCAGGTAATGATTATATATAAAATTATCTGAGTAACCAACAAGCTTCATTGCTGCTAACGGGTCTTTAGATAATAGAACCATAATTGACTTCTTAATAAATATGATATCTTTTAATAAATCAATGATATTCATACTCCTTAACGCTTATTATTCTATAAATGTTTTTTATTATAAGCTCAGCTTTTTTTGACTTCTTTTTGCATATTTTGAAGATTTTGAGTCTCTTCTAAATTGAAAACCTTGATAAGTTAATAAAGATTATTAAATTTAAAAGATTAATGTTATTTTGATACCAATATCCGAAATTGATTGAGGTAAATTTTTTGAAAACATTTATATCTTAAATAACTTTCAAATTTTTAGTGTAATATTCAATTGTATTCATTTTTATTTTAATTTATTCATTCATTTTATTCTTTTCTACTTTTATTTTAATGGAATCTTCTTATCGGTAAGAGTTGGATTAGCTTTACTAAATTTTTTAAATCTTTTATGAAAAATTTAGATTGATTTCTTGACTTTCTTTAGGATTAACTATTTATACTTTTTGTTTTTAAAAAACATTATTCTCTGCAGGTACACTTTGTACAATATCTCTTTCCTAATTTTAATTAAAATTTTAGAAAGTATTTTATTCGAAAGTCCCTATTTACCTTCTTTATGTACTATTAAAGCTATAAAGATAAGATTATTCATTTGAAATTTTTATATCACTTCGACTGCTTGCTAATAAATTATTTTTATCAAATTTACTGTCTTCATTAATTTACTAATTTTAATTAATCACATTATTTTCAAATTCAAATGAATAACTATTTTTCTATTAATCAGGCTATTACTGCTTTTTATATTCTTCAGATTCGATTACTTCATCTTCTCCATTCTAAAAGGCGTTATTTATTTATATATTCTAGCTTTTTTCAATATATTCTCGAGATTTTGTTATGAAATTTGGAATAGTGAAGCTATTATGGACTCTTCTTTCAGTGAATTCTTATCCAATTATCAGTTTATTTTATTATGTTTCTATTTGAGTGTTCTAAGTGTTTGATTAAAAAAGATTATTTTGCTTCAATACTTCTTCGTAAAGATTTTAATGCATATTTTGTAAAAAAACGCAAAAAAAATCCTACAAAATTGACTTATTTGCAAATTTTTTGCTAAAGAAAATATTTTAAAAAGGCTAAAATTAATTAAAAATTTGATCGAAAAATTATAAAGATTGATATAAATTAAAATTAATTATAAATATTATTAATTAATTAAATTCTATGATAAAATTATTTATTTTTGCATAAATTATATCAAACTCAAGCTAAGCCATTCAAAAAAATAATGATCTAAAATCTCCAAATTTTTGAATGGCATTTGGCTATAATAAAATATAACTAGTGAATTAATTAGAATTAAAGTTAATAAGAGAGGTAGTGAATTATACTTAATATTCATAAAAAGATAAATAAATAAAAAATTGTTGATTCTTTAGAACAATTTCCTAAAAATTAAGTTAGTGAACTTACAGGTGTACACTTATATTTGATTTTAAGATGGAGTAAAGATATTTAACTAAAGAAGTTAAAAAAAGAAGATCACTTACTTCAGAAGACCTCGGAAACATTTTATCCAACTTTTTTAGAAATAAGATAAAAAATCTGGTTTTAATGTATTTTCTACTTACAACAAACAACCTCAAGATAAAAAAGGACTTTTAATCATAGTACTTGAATATGATGATGATTAATTGGATTTAAGCTAATAAAATGATATGATAGATGAATCTGATGAAGAAAAATATTTAGAATTTTACTTAAAATCTGAAATTTTGTAGTGAAACATATTTTTATAATATAAGTTGAATTATAAAAATGTATTAAATTGTATTAAAAAACTTTTTAAAAACAAGCCTATTATTTTTATACTCTAATTATAGTTCATAATATTTAACTAAGTCAACACATTTTAAAGAATTTTTTTTTTATTGCACCTTAATTAGAATACGAAGGTTAAAATAAAAAAAATTTAAAATTTAATAAATTATTAATTCATTATATTTAAAAATATAACATAAATTCATTATAGATAAAATTCTTTGATCTACTTTATCTAATACTTTGCTATTGGCGCACTTAAGAATGAATTTTTTAATATATTAGCAAGACAATTCTGTTGAATCTAAAATGTCAATTTAACTCTCAAAATAATTACCTCTTTTATCTAATATTAAAAGTATTAAAAATAAAAAATTTTATATTTAGAACATAAGAAAAACCTTAATTTTATGTTTTTTATTATAAGCTCAACTATTTTTGTTCCTGTTCTTCGCTCTTTTTTTTGCAGATTTTGAAGAATTTGAGTCTCTTGTATATAGAAAACCTTAATAATTTAATAAAGATTTTTACAATTAATAAAAAACTATATTTTGATACCAATATCCGAAATTGATTGAGGTAAATTTTTTGAAAATGTTTATATCCTAAATAACTTTCAACTTTTTTATGTAATATTCAATTGTATTCATTTTTTTTTTCAGTTGCTCACTCTTATTGTTCTATTCAGTTTTTATTTTAATGGAATCTTATTATTAGCAAGATTTAGATTAGTTTTGTTAAATGTTCTAATTCTATTATGAAAAATTTAGATTGATTTCTTGATTTTCTTTAGGATTAATTTTTTCTATTTTTTGTTTTTAAAAAACAATATTTTCAGCAGGTACATTTTGTACAACATCTCTTTACTAATTTTAATTACAAATTTAGAAAAGATTTTATCTAAAAGTACCTATTTACCCTCTAGAAGAAATATTAAAGTTTTCAAGGTAAGTTTATTCATTTGAATTTCTTATATCACTTCGACTGCTTGCTAATAAATTATTGTTATCAAATTTACTATCTTCATTTATTTACTAATTTTAATTTTGTTTATTTTAATTTATGACTTAATTTTTTTCAAATTTAAATTATTTTATTAATCTGGCCATGACTGTTTTCTACCTTCTTCAATTTCTATAATTTCATCTTTTTCATTCTATGTGGTATTTATTTATAACTATTAGCTTTGTTCAATAAATTCTCGAGATTTTGTTATGAAATTAGGTTAAAAAAGATTATTTTACTTCGATACTTCTTCGTAGAGATTTTAATGCATATTTTACAAGAAGACGCAAATAAAATCCTACAGAATTGACTTATTTGCTAATTTTTTGCAAAGTTATCCAAAAAATATCAAAAAACTAAGCGCTGTTAGCTAATGCTAAAATTTGTGGGAAAGTTGAAAACTAAATTGATGTTTATTAAATGACTTCTTCAATTTGAATACTGACTTAGATATAAGGATTCTATTAATTGATTTTCATAAGACACTCAGATTCAGATTTCATGAGAAAGCTATCTTTCCCTTTTGCTATTTTACTTTATAGATATTATCTATTCAAAATGTATTAATCTGACTAAGGAAACATTTAAAAGTTCTTAAAATTAACTTTATTTTATTTGCTAGTAGTATTGTATTATTAAGTAAATAGCTTTAAACGAAATGAGGTAAACTCATCATTAGCAAAAATGTCAATATCATTTTGGCTAGCACAATTATCTGGAACGAATGTTTTTATGTTGTCTTTTGTTGGGCAAGGATAAAAGAGGATTACTATAACAGAAAAAATATTGTTATTTATGCTTATCATTAAACTGCTATTAGCCAAGGTAGAAAAATCTAAATAATAGTAGCCATAAAGATCAGGATTAGAGCATTTAGAGATATTAAGTAAAGTATAAATGTAACCAGTTTATGATTAAAATGCAAAAGAAGCGATAGGTACAATGTAAGTTTTTTTCATCTCCTATTCCAATTATTCTAGAGTCTAATTAGGATTATGAATGAATCGAGAGGCTACTAAATCTTCATGGAACGGTACATCTATTAGTTCATTAGTGAAGAAGTTTTGTGATCTGAAAATAGGATCTATTTTATTACCGTAAAATAGATAGGCTAAGTAAATAAAATATGCAATTATTGCCCCTATGATTCCCAAAGATAAGAGTAAAACCTGTATTGTTCCTTTTTTAAATTGATTATTATTTAGATTAAAATGAAATGGTTATGAAATAAGATCTAATTTAGCAAGAAAAATCTTAAACGTGCAAATGTTTATTTATTTTTTATTCAAGACTTAACGTTTTTTTTAATTAATAGTTGTTTTGTTTTTATTTCATGGTAAACATTAATTATTAATAAAGTAATAACTAACTTAAATAGTTGATATTATTTATTTATTTCACTGATTTCGATATTTATAATAAATAATAGATGTTAATTTTTATTTCTTTAAATTTTATTTTCATAATAATTTATTAATACATTAGAACCTGATTATGTTGAATATAGATGGTTAAGATATTTTTGTTGAAAATAAAGAGGTGTATAAAATAGAAAAATGGCAAAATAGTGAAAATTTTTTGATTAAATAAAATACCCATATAAAATATAATGTCATAAATTCATCCTTGCTTATAAAATACCATAATTTCAAATTTTTTTCTTTTTTATTTATTAATTTTTAATACAACAAAATTAAAGCAATAAATAATTAATATTAACAATTCATTATTCATTTTAATTTTACTCTATGCTTTTTGGTTTTTTATTTCATATAAATTAAAAATTTGGGTGGCTGCTAAAGGCAATTTGGGAAAACAAAAATTTTTTTAGATAATATAAATAAATTTAAAATTCTAGAAATCACATCACCATCATATGACACACAATAAAATATAAAGTCATTGATTAATTAGATTTTTATTTATTGAAGATAAAATTCTTTGATCTACTTTATCTAATACTTTGCTATTTGCGCACTTATGAATGAATTTTTTAATATATTAGCAAGACAATTCTGTTGAATCTAAAATGTCTAGTTAATTCTCAAAATAAGTACCTCCTTTATCTATTATTAAAAGTATTAAAATAAAAAATTTTTAATTTAGAATATAAGAAAACCATTATTTTGAGAGGCTTTTTTGAGGTAATGGTCTTAGATATAATTCTCTGAGTAACCAACAAGCTTCATCGCTGCTAACTGATCTTTAGTTAATAGAACCATGATTGACTTCTTAATAAATATGATATCTTTTAATAGATCTATGATATTCATACTCCTTAATACTTACTATTCTATAAATGTTTTTTATTATAAGCTTAGCTTTTTTTGTTCCTGTTCTTCACTCTTCTTTTTGCAGATTTTGAAGAATTTGAGTCTCTTCTAAATAGAAAACCTTAATAATTAAATAAAGAATGTAACATTTAATAAAGAAATATATTTTGATACCAATATCCGAAATTGATTGAGGTAAATTTTTTGAAAATGTTTATATCCTAAATAACTTTCAACTTTTTAGTGTAATATTCGATTGTATTCATTTTTTTCTTCTTTTGCTCATTCATCTTGTTCTCTTCAGTTTTTATTTTAATGGAATCTTATTACTAACATGATTAGGATTAGCTTTGTTAAATGTTCTAATTCTATTAAGAAAGATTTAGATTGATTTCTTGAGTTTGGATAGGATTGGTTTTTTCAATTTTTGGTTTTTAAGAAATATTATAATCAGAATGTAAGTTATGTACAACATCTCTTTACTAATTTTAATTACAATTTTAAAAAATACTTAATCTATGAGGACCTGTTTACCTTCTAGATGAATTATTAAAAATTTCACGGTAAGTTTATTCATTTGAATTTCTAATATCACTTCGACTGCTTGCTAATAAATTATTGTTATCAAATTTACTATCTTCATTAATTTAATAATTTTATATTTGTTTATTTTAATTTATTGCTTAATTTTTAAACTGAAATTGTTAATTATTTTTCTATTAATCAGGCTATGACTGCATTCTACCTTCTTCAGATTCGATAATTTCATCTTTTTCATTCTGGGTGGTATTTATTTATAGCTATTAGCTTTGTTCAATATATTCTCGAGATTTTGTTATGAAATTAGGTATAGTAAGGCTGTTAAAGACTTCTCTTTCAGTTAATTCTTATCCAATTATCAATTTATTTTATTATGTCTCTATTTGAGTGTTGTAAGAATTTGATTAAAAAAGATTATTCTGCTTCAATACTTCTTCATAAAGATTTTAATGCATATTTTGCAAGAAGACACAAAAAAAATCCTACAGTATAGACTTATTTGCAAATTTTCTGCAAAAGATTCCTAAAAACATTAAAAGACTAAAAGCGCTGTTAACTAATGCTAAAATTGATGGGAAAGTTGAAAACTAAATTGATGTTTAGTAAATGACTTCTTCAATTTGAATACTGACTTAGATATAAGGATTCTAGTCATTTGGAAAATATTGATTTTCATATGAATACGAAATAGGAGCATTATACTCAGTTTCAGATTAAATGAGAAAACCATCTTTCACTTTTGTTATTTGGTTTTATACATATTACCTATTCAAAATGTATTAGTCTGACTAAGGAAACATTTAAAAATTCTTAAAATTAGCTTAAGTTTATTTGCTTGTTGTATTGTATTATTAAGTAAACATTTTTAAACGTAGTGAAGTAAAGGCACCATCAGCAAAGTTGTCAATATCACTTTAGCTAGCGCAATTATCTGGAGCAAATGTTTTTATGTTGTCTATAGTTGGGCAAGGATAAAAGAGGATTGTTATAACAGAAAAAATATTATTTTTTATGCTATTCAATAAACTGCTATTAGCCAAGGTAGAAAAATCTAAACAATTGTAACCATAAAGGTCAGGATTAGTGCATTCAGTGATGTTAAGGAAAGTTATATTGTAGCCATTTTGTGATTGAAACCCGAAAGTAGCAATAGGTATAATATAGGTCTAATTCATTTTCTTTTAGAATTATTCAAGAGTATATTAAGGGCTTTCGATGAATTTAAAGGCTACTAAATCTTCATGTAAGGGTACTTCTATTAGCTCATTAGTGACAAAATTTTGCGATCTGAAAATAGGGTCTATTTTATTAGCGAAAAATAGATAGGTTAAGTAAATAAAATATGCAAGTATGGCCCCAATTATCCCCAAAGACAAAAGTAAACCCTATATTGTTCCTTTTTTAAATTAATTATTATTTAAATTAAAAAGGAAAGGTTGTGAAAATAGATCAAATTTCGCGAAGAGCATCTTAAAAGTGTGAATTATTATTATTATTATTTTTTTTTTTTCGATACTTAAAGTATTATTTATTTAATATATTGTTTTTATTTGAAGGTTGAATCAACTATTAATAAAGCTATAAATAACCTAAATTGTTGATTTTATTTATTTGTTTCACTGGTTTTATCATTAAGAAGAAATATTAGAGGTTAGAATTTTTTCACTTTAAATTTTATTTTAAGAATGATTTAATAATACATCAAAATTTTTATGTCGCTAATATTTTCTTTCGTCACTCATTTTTACCTCACTAAATCAGCTTTGTTATTATCAAGTCATTTAGCTTTAGTTACTATTTGAAAAATATAAATAGAATTTTCTATCTTTTATAATCAATCAATCATTTCATTCTTAATAAAGTAAAATTATTGTGAAAAAAAAAATTCTTTAAAATGGTTTTACATTTAATATGCATTAAAAACTAAATATAATTGTTTTTTTTTGTTATTGTTGCTAAAGATTTAAATAAATAAACATCTTTTAATTATTTTTATTTTTTGATTTTCTTGAGTTACAATAAATGACTTTAAAACTTTTTAGTAAATACTTTCTTTCTATTTTTATTGCTGTTTTATTATATTTTAGAAATATAAAAAAAATTCCACATAGTAAATTTCGGTAAATTTTCTTTAAATATTATAATTTTAAAAAAATCATACATTTATTTTTTACATTTTTTGGAAATTATAAATAAACTTTTCTTATTATTTGCTTATTTAGCATAAATAGATTGTTTATTTAATTCTAGAAAGATGATTATAAATCATATTTAAAACACAAATAATAATTCTGATTATTTACCTGAATTAATAAATAAGAAAAAGAGGCAAATTAATTAACATCTATCAATACTAAAATATAATAATCCTATTTTATAAGGCGATTCAAGCAAAATAATATAAATAGATTTTTAAGTAAAATTGCATCATAATTTATAAAATTAATTTTGCTTTTTTAGATTAAGTTAATTGTAATTTTAAATATCTAAACTTAAAAATTTTTGAAAACAATGATTTTAGAATTTATTAAGAAAATAAATTTAAAATGGAAGCTTATTTAATATAAATTAATTTTTATTTAAGTTCCTCATGAGCTCATTAATTTATTTTTTATTACAATATAAATATAAAACATCTATGTTAGTTAATACGCAGCCTATTAATAAATTTTTAGTAATTAGATTAATTAAATAGCCAATAAATTTTATCACATTTTGATAATAAGAGAATCAATTAAATTAAAAAATTTATTAATAAAGAATATAATTAGATTTTATACATACACCCACCATTTTTTTTGAAGAAAAACTAAATTCTTAAAGGTTAATTGATGATAAATAAGCTAAAGATCAAGTTATTTTAAAGTGAAAAGAATGTGTTTTCAATAAAAATTAAAAATTATATATCGTTATTTTATTTTTATGCTGAAAAGCTTTATTAAATTAATGTATTTAGACATTAAAATATGATTTAAATAATAATCCTTATCAAGAGTAATTTTAAAAATAAATACTTAGGAGAGAAGTTATTTTTTTGTGATATAATTATTAATTTTAACCACTAATTATGTTAAAAATCCTTCATAAAAAATAAATCAATCTTACTTTTCTTTTGTGAAAATGAGTTAAAGAGAAAAATAAATTAATTTAATTCTTGATGTAAGTTAATAAAAATAAATTAATTAGTATGTTGGAATGATTAAAAAAAACCACGAATTTGTTAATAAATGAATTGGAATTTTGTTTACAAAATTTATTAAAATTAGAATGAAAACTAATCATAAATTTTGAATTAACATTAAAAAGCAAAAAAAGAGTAGATAATAAGTTAGAGGAATTCATACACTTGTTTGTTTTTTATTATATCATTTCAAATTTTATTTATTAAATATTTTGATGAATATAAATATAATTATCTAAGCAAATAATAACATAATCTATGCTTAAATAATTCAAATTTGAAATAGATTTTAATTATCATTATATGTTTATTAAAATAAAGGATTTAAATTATGAAAAAATATGCTGATGTGACTACAAACACAATGGAAACATGACATTTTTTATAAAAATGCGATGCAATAGGAGGTAAAAATAAGGATGTTAGAAACGGTTTTATTCGCATCAAATGGGGATTTAATTATTTTTTATTTTGATAAATGATAATATTTTGATAAAATAAAAAATATTTACAAATTATCTTAATCATAGAAATTATTTTATTTTGACTATTTAAAAATTTTAGGATATAGTTAATCGTGTAAATACAATTATTTTTTCATTTTTTATATTTTCACAATTTAAAAATGTAGTTCATCATATTTTAATACCTGGATTAGCAATATATTTATGGGTTAACATTACCAATATCCATTATATGACTTTCTGTCGAAATAACTTAATTCTTTTTGCATATTATTTTTTGTAACTATCTAAATTTCGATTTTTAGACCTTCTACCAGATTATTTGATCTTAAATCTTATTCCTATCATTCTATTTTGCTATTTTTTTAATTTTCACAGTGTTTTATTTGTTTGTTTGTTTGTCTGTTAATTTTAATTTAATTAATTATAAAAATATAATTTTTTCTTATTTTTTTAAAATTTGCTAATAATTACTTAATGTTATAATGAAAAAAAATTTTGGTATTTGTCGTAAAGGTAATGAATTAATTTAAGATAAAAAAAACATTTTTTTAGTAAATTTAAAATTCAATATATCATCAAATAACACACATTTAAAAATAAAAAAAATAAATTCATCATTTAATTATATTTTTATTTATTGAAGATAAAATTCTTTGATCTACTTTATCTAATACTTTGCTATTGGTGCACTTATGAATGAATTTTTTAATATATTAGCAAGATAATTCTGTTGAATCTAAAATGTCTAGTTAATTCTCAAAGTATGTACCTCTTTTATCTAATATTAAAAGTATTAAAAATAAAACATTTTATATTTAGTATAAAAGAAAAACCTTTATTTTGAGTGTCTTTTTTAAGGTAATGGTCTTAGATATAATTCTCTGAGTAACCAACAAGCTTCATTGCTGCTAACTGATCTTTAGTTAATAGAACCATGATTGACTTCTTAATAAATATGATATCTTTTAATAGATCAATGATACTCATACTCTTTAACACTTACTATTCTATAAAGGTTTTTTATTATAAACTTAGATTTGTTTGATCCTGTTATTCGCTTTATTTTTTGAAGATTTTAAAATTTTTGAGTCTCTTCTAAATAGAAAACCTTAATAATTTAATAAAGATTGTTAAATTTAAAAAAAAAATATATTTAAATACCAATATCCGAAATTTATTGATGTAAATTTTTTAAAAATATTGATATCCTAAATAACTTTCAGCTTTTAAGTGTAATATTCAATTGTATTCATTTTTTTTTTGGCTTAATCACTCATCTTACTTTATTCAGTTTTTATTTTAATGGAATCCTATAAATTGTTAGATTTCGATTAGCTTTGTTAAATGTTTTGACTCTATTATGAAAAATTTAGATTGATTTCTTGAGTTTTTATAGGATTGGTTTTTTCAATTTTTGGTTTTTTAGAAATGTTATTCTAAGAATGTAAATTGTGTAAAACATCTCTTTAGGAATTTTAATTACTATTTTAGAAAAGACTTTATCTATAAGGACCTGTTTACCTTATAGGTAAACTATTAAAGTTTTCAAGATAAGTTTATTCATTTGAATTTCTTATGTCACTTCGATCACTTGATAGAAAATTATTGTTACCAAATTTACTACCTTCATCTATTTACTAATTTTAATTTTTTTTATTTTAATTAATAACGTTATTTTAAAATTCAAATTATTAATTGTTATTATATTAATCAGGCTGTGACTGCATTCTACCTTCTTCAGATTCGATAATTTCGTCTTTTTCATTCCGGGTGGTATTTATTTATAGCTATTAACTTAGTTCAATATATTCTCTAGATTTTGTTATGAAATTTGGTATATTAAGGCTGCTAAGGACTTCCCTTTCAGTGAATTCTTATCCAATTATCAATTTATTTTATTATGTCTCTATTTGAGTATTACAAGCATTTGATTAAAAAAGATTATTTTGTTTCAAAACTTCTTCGTAAAGATTTTAATGCATATTTTGCAAAAAAATGCAAAAAAAATCCTACAAAATTGACTTATTTGCAAATTTTTTACAAAAGATTCCCAAAAATATTAAAAGACTAAAAGCACTGTTAACTAATGCTAAAATCTGTGGGAAAGTTGAAAATTAAATTGATGTTTAGTAAATAACTTCTTCTATTTGAATACTAACTTAGATATAAGGATTCTAGTAATTTGGAAAATATTGATTATCATATGTATAGGAAATAGGAGCATTATATTCAGATTCAGATTAAATGATAAGGCCATCTTTCACTTTTGTTATTTGGTTTTATACATATTACCTATTCAAAATGTATTAATCTGACTAAGGAAACATCTAAAATTACTTAAAATTAGTTTGGGTTTATTTGCTAGTAGTATTGTATTATTAAGTAAACAGCCTTAAACGAAGTGAAGTATAAGCATCATTAGCAAAATTGTCAATATCGCTTTGGCTAGCACAATTATCTGGAACGAATGTCTTTATGTTATCTGTAGTTGGGCAAGGATAAAAGAGGAGTGTTATAACAGAAAAAATATTATTCTTAAAGTTACTAATTAAACTACTATTAGCCAAGGTAGAGAAATCTAAACAATAGTAGCCATTAAGATCAGGATTAGAGCATTTAGAGATATTTAGAAAAGTTTAATTGTAAGCACCTGTTGTTTCAAATGCAAAAGTAGCCATAGGTACAATATATGTTTTATTCATTTTTTGTTCTAACTAATCAAGGGTCTATTAAGGACTATGAACAAATTAAAAAGCTACCAAATCTTCGTGCAAAGGCACTTCTATTAGGTCATTAGAGACAAAATTTTATGATCTGAAAATAGGGTCTATTTTATTTTAGAAAAATTGATAGGTTAAGTAAATAAAATATGCAAGTATTGTCCCTGTGATTCCCAAAGACAAAAGTAAACCCTGTATTGTTCCTTTTTTAAACTGGTTATTATTTAAATTAAAAAGGAAAGGTTGTGAAAATAAATCAAATTTTGAGAGAAGCATCTTAAAATTGTAAATTGTAAATTATTATAATTTTTTAATAATTTTTTTGATACTTAAAGTATTGTTTTTTTAATTAATTTATATATTATTTTTATTTCAAGGTAGCACCAACTATTAATAAGGTTATAACTAACTTAAATTTTAGTTTTTATTTATTTCTTTTACTGGGTTCATCATTAAGAAGAAATTTTAAAGGTTAGAAAATTTTACTTTAAATTTTATTTTAATAAGATTTAATAATACATCAAAATTTTAATGTTGGTAACATTTTCTTTCGTCACTCATTTTTACCTCATTAAATCAGTTTGGTTATTATCAAGTCATTTAACTCTACTAAATATTTTAAAAATATAAATATAATTCTCCATCTTTTAAAATTAACCAATCATTTCATTCATAATAAAGTAAAATTTATGTCAAATCAAAATTACTTTAAAATGGTTTTCTTTCTTTTATTATTTTTATTTTATTATATTTTAGAAATATTATAAAATTCCACACAGCAAATTTCGTAAATTTATAATTTTTTACTCAATTTTATTTAGATATTATAATTTTAAATATAATCATAAATTTATCTTAGACATTTTTTGGAAATATTATAAATAAATTGTATTCTTTCTTAATATTTGCTTACTTAGTATTATAGAGTGTTGTTATTAAATTATGTTAAGATTATTATAAATCACATTTAATATACAAATAATGTTTCTGATTATTTACCTGAATTAAAAAATAAGAAAAAGAGGCAAATTAATTAACACTTATTAATACTAAAATATAATAACCCTATTTTATGTCTATTTAAGCAAAATAATATAAATACATTTTGGACCATAATTTACAAAAATAACTTTGCATTTTTAGAATTAGTTAATTGTATTTTAAATTTCTAAACTTAAAATTTTTTAAAAACAAGTATTTTAAAATTTGTTAAGAAAATAAATTTTAAATTGAAGTATCTTTAATACTAATTTAATTTATATTGAAGTTCATCAAGAGCAAATAATATAAAAAATAAACTAAAATATTTATTTTTTATTATAATATGAATATAAAACATCTATGTAAGTTAATACGCAACCTATTAATATATTTTAGCAATTAAATTTATTAAATAGCCAATAAATTCTATTAAATTTTGATTGTAAGAGAATCATTTAAATTAAAAAATTTATTAATAATGAATAAAATTAATTGTAAGACATCCACCTACCACATTTTTTAGAAGAAAAACTAAATTCATAAAGGTTAATGAATAATAAACAAGCTAAAAAATCAAGCAATTTTAAAGAGAAAAGAATGTGTTTTCAATTTTATATTAAAAAGATATATTGTCATTTTATTTTAATGGGGTGAACGCTATTTTAAATTAATATATTTAGACATTAAAATTTGATTTATATGATATTTCTTACCAAGAGTGATTTTCAAAATAAATACTTACTAGAGAAGTTATTTGTTTATTATAAAATTATTAATTTTAACCACTAACTATTTAAAAATCCTTTATAAAAAATAAATAAATCAATCTTACTTTTCTTTGGAAGACGAGGTAAAGAGATAAATAAATAAATAAATTTAATTATTGATGTAAGTTAATAAAAAGAAATTAATTAGTATGTTTGAATGATTAAATAAAACCACGAATTTGCTAATCAATGAATTTGAATTTTTTTTACAAACAAACTCTACAAAAATTGGATTAATGCTAATCATAAAAATTAAATTAACATGCAAAATATAATTAAAAGGCTCAAAATTAAAAGAGAGTAGATAATAGTTAGAGGAGTTCATACATACACTTGTTTGCTTTTTATTATTTTATTTCAAATTTTATTTATTAAATAGTTAGATAAATAAATATATTTAATTATCTTAGAATGTAATGCAAATCACTGACATAATCTGCATTTAAATATTTCAAATTTGAAATAGATTTTATTATTTATTTATTGTTTATTGATTTATTGATGATTGTCGCCGGTTCATTTTTTTATTATAACCTAACTTAAATAAAATTAACCAGCCATTAAGTAAAAGTGATGATAAAACAAAATCAGCCAGCGCACTAAAGATATTTATTTATTAGTAGAAAAATACATAATACAGAGAGGACGTTAAATTATGATGAGTGATTTAAAATATGGTAAACATATTTTTGAATAAATAAGATTGTATAGTATGTAAGAGATGTGTATATGTATATGAAAGCAAGTTTAATTAAGATTATATTTAATATATAGAGTAATTATATGTGAATTATATAAATGTAGGTTATTTATTATATTGATGATTTTAATTAGTTATTGCAGAAAAAGAGGAAGATAGCAGGCAGGCAATATGCTTAAAATAAATAAATTAGTAAATTATTTAATTAATTGTTTGGTTTAGTATTTTATTTATTTACATGTCTTTTAATACTTCTAAGATAGATTAAATTATTATTATTCTACTTAATAGTATTTAGACTAATTACTTTTTTCTATATCTCCATTTCATCCATCTATTCTCAAAAATTTGTTTCAAAGTGGCTATGACAAAATCTATTTCTTTAATTAAGAACATTCGGATATCATTTATTGCTTAAACATTTTAAGGTTGTAAGGAAAAACCTTTCAGAGATAGCTAAGATGTTGGATTTTTTTTGATGTAGAAAATATATATATATTTATTTATTGAGTTAGCATTATATTTATATTGCTAAGAATGTTAATTTTAAGATTTTTATTTTAAAGATATAATGTAAAGGATTAAGGGAGACAGAGCAGAGACAGACTCAGTTTGATTCCACTCAATCAAATATGAATGAGCTTGATAACTATTTGTTTAAGTTTTATTCCAAAAAAATTATTTCAAAGCTACTCATATGACTACTCTGGTGGCCTAAAAATTCATAGATACTTATGAAAGAGATGATGTTTTTTAAGAAGATATCTTCTTTTAGACTTGAGCTTATTAGAGTTAATCAATATATTCTAAAGTATTTTTCCTATTCTAAGATAACCTGCTTTTATACAAATCGTTATTTAAAAGAGGTCTAATTGTGGGGAATTTATGTTAGTAAGTGATCAAATCAGCTTACTTTTTGAACTCCTCAGGATTTTCAACATGTCCTTCTTTCTTAGGAGCATTATCAGGCTTGGATTTATAGTTTTTAGCTTTACCAGTGACGCAAGAACTTCCCATAATTAATTATCGTAGAATGGGTTTTTGTTAATTTATTTAATTATTGTTTTTTTTGATTTAATTGAATTTTTTGTTATTTATTTATTTTATTACAAATAATTGCTTCTGTTTGAACCTATTTATCTAAAGTGAATGATTATTTTGTTAGATCTTGTTTTTTGCTTATTTGTTTGTTTGTTTCCTTGCTATCAAAAAATTTTGAATTATGTTTTTTATCTTTTTTGTTTGCAATTCGAAGACGGATTCAAAAAAATTTTGTTTTATTTTAAACTAATTCTTATTAAGATTATATACACTATTTTTATTAATTTATTTTCCATACATTTTTAATATCCAATATTTATATGATTTCAGCAGCAGCAGCAGCAGCTAGCTATATATTTTATCTATTTTTAAAGAAATAGTAAATATATATAATTATTTTTATCTTGATAATATTAATCATTAATTAATTTACGTTTTTTTAGGAACTTTACCTATAAATACTTAGATAATTTCATATAACCTCTCAATAGTACAAACCACAAAAACATGATATAAAAGTACACAAAAAAATTGAATATTTGAAAATCATAATTATTTTTAAGACATACCTAGCAATCAATTTTATTTAAAATAGCTAGCAATTAATTAAATAAATCCATTCAAAATTTAAAATTTTAGAGATATCCTTGATAACATCAATTTGTTTAAATTATTTGGCTTGATATTTTATAAATTCTATCATTTATTCCATTAACAAATAATATTTCTTATAATCCAATTTTATATTAAGTTTTTTATGTATATAAAAGTTATAATTAACATTTATGTAAGTCGATAATCTTTAATTTCATTAAAAATAAACAATGCGCCAGATAGAAAAAATTATATCTTGTTATATTATAAACTAATTATTAGGGAGAAAAATTTAGATTATGAGCAAATAAATAATGAAAGCTTTTCGAATATTTTTATAATAAGAAATATATTTTTCAGTTGAGTTCTTTCTTAATTATAAAACAATACAATAATAATTAAGTAAAAAGAAGTATCTGATTTGATTATTAAGTATTTAAATACATTAAAAATTTAAGATATTTTTGCTTTAAAATTAAAGAAGACTTTAGCATAGAATATAATATTTTTCAATTCACAAATAAAGTTCTTAGTAACGCTAAATTCACTGATAAAAAAACGGCAGAAAGAAATACAACAACTTATATTAAGAAATCATCAAATTATTATTAGTAGTAGATTCTATATTTACAATTTCGATGAAATAGTTTTGTTTTGTTTGTTTTATTTCGGATTGCTGGCCAGTGATTAGTTCACTTACAAGTACTATTTTATTCAATATTTTTCTATTTAATTTAATAGCAAAGCTAATTTCTTTTATTTTTTGTCAATTCAAAGAATATAGATTGAAATAGATAAATTTCCATAAAAGTACTGGAATATTATTTATCACATTGTAATTCTAATAGCTACAACACTTTATTTAATTGATTTGCAGTTGAAAATTCTTGCTAACAATAGCTAACAGTTATAATAACCTTCGTTAAAACAAAAAAAACCCATTAAACTTTGAATTGATTATTTTATCTTTACTTTATCAATAAATCTTTCTACAAATAAATTTTTAAATTATTGATTGATTGTCATATCCCCAGTTAAAAATAATATATAAATAAATAAATATTGTTATAAGCTTTCTTTCATTCTTATTAATTCTTAAATTCAATATTAAATGATAATTTAAAATCCAAATATCTGAAATTTGATTAAGAAAAAGGTCTATCAATTAGGTTATTTTTTATGATTAATTTATTTAAATGATTAATATGATTTTAATGAATTATTGATATTATTATTTTAAAGTATTGCATGATATTTCTAAAATAAAATCAAATTTAAAAGAAATTTAATATTTACTCAATATTTGCTATTTGGTTTACCTCACAAATTAATAACAAATAAATATTCACTCCTTTCTTAATTTATTTTGATTTATGTAAAAAGTTAATGAATTCTTACTAAATAAAAAGAAATAAACTAAATCAGAAATTTGATCTATAACATAAAATAAATACATAAATTGTATTTTTAAAACCTGAAAAAATTTAAATCAAGAAAGATTATTTGAAAGATTTTCTCTTTTTATAATTTAAAATTAAACGAATTTTTGATTTTTTCAGTTTAAGATTCTAAAATTGAGTTACTTTCAAATCATTTATTTTTTTATGATGAGTCTAAGTGATTTTTTTTTTTTAGGTCACTAAGAGTTACTTTAATTAAAGATTATACTGCTTTACACAGTAAAAGTAACCTAAAAACTCTATTAAAATTTTTTGTTTTTAAAAGCAAAATTGCTTCTAAAATTGAAAAGATTTAAAAATAAATGTAAGCTGTTTATAGAAGAAAGAAGGAAATTAATTAATTTTTGTATAGATTTGAATATTTAAGATTTGATTAAAGGAAATTTATTTACAAAAAGGAAATATTTTAAGTATAAAATAGAATTTTTATTTAGTATTTAGAAATTATCATTTTATTTATATATTTATTAAATGTATGTTATTTTTTCATGGTTGTCTTAGGATAGTTAGGTTTTTTGTGTGTATTTTTTATGTTTAGCTTTTTATCAACTTACTTCTTAACGAAGAGCAGAGCAAATCTTATCATCTAAGACAATAAGCAAATCTTCGTCAAATTTCATTATTTTATTATCTTGAGGAGTTTTGCTCTTTTTTTTGATAGCAAGAAGCTTGTACAAGAAGCAAACATTAGAATTCTCATCAAATCTGTCTCTTTCTCTGCTATCATTAGCCTCTCTGATCAATTTTTAAATAAGTTAGTTCATATTATCTCTAATTTCTACCTTAAAGTTTGACATTTCCCTTTTCAAATATACAAACAAACATAAATAAATATGTGTTTGGAACCTTTGCTACTAAAAATTACCCTGTATTAATTTCTAATTTTCTTTCAAGACTGGTCAGCTTTTGTAAATTCCTTATCTATTTTAAAAAAACAATCAAATTCTGTTTAATTAAATAGTATGCATCCAGTGATATCTTTAGCGCTGTCCAAGATCTCATTTTCTTCACTTCGTTTACAAATAATATCAGCGAGTTTCTAAAATTATATATTGGTTGAAATATGTAAGAGTTATTTAATTCTAGTAAATAAATAATTTGCATCAACTGTCAAATTAATCATAAGTAATTTTATTTGTTTAACTAACTTTTGTACAGCTTAAAATGTTTAACCAAATTAATTAATTTCGAATTTATATTTTAGTTAACTATCATTTTTTATAATGAAAATAAAAAACTTTACATTTTTTATCTGTTACACGTAGTAAGAACTGTATCAAATACCTAATAACTGAGTTATGCAACCTGCAAACGAATATATTCCATAGCTTTCATTCCTAATTCTGCTAAAAATATGCTATGGTTTCTAAAGTTCGAAGAAATACTTTCAGCTTCATTCTCATCTTTAGTCATTTCCTAATGTATAAAAAGGTCCCAATATTAAATAGAACCAAAAAAAAAAGAATAAACTCACTTTTATTTATCTTTCTTTCTATCTGAGCATAAATTTTATTTTCCAAAGATTCATAGCCAGTATTTTAGACTATCTATTATTATTTTCTTGCATTACATCCATAAACTTGTCTATCATTAATGGTATTTTTCTTTTATCCAAATGACTTTTCTCGTGTCTTAATGCGAAATCCTTCAATGCTTTCCTAATCATCTCAGCTGTTTGCGTTGAATTAAAGTCAAGTTACTTATTCATGTTGTAACTTTGTTCTTTCAATCTGCTATACTATTATAAAAAACCATGAAATTATTATTCAAAAATATGAAAACTTATTTGGCTAGTTTTTGTACGACAATATTCATTTTTTTGCTTTCATTTATGTTTAAAGAATAATTTTTATATGAAGCAATCTAAATCAAATCCCTTGCTTGCAAATTTCTTTTCAAGAATTGCTTTAAAATCATAAAATTTACATTTAATATATTTTTTGATTGGTATATCTATCCAATCATTAAATGACTCTTTAAGCTTTTAATTAATAAGTATTTGCAAAAATAATTTATAAACTCTTTTTATTTTATCACATCAATCAATGCAAAACAACCCAAAAATTTTAAATTTATCATTTTAAAAATAATTTAAATTAATTTACATCAAATTCCTTATTTTTGAGTTCTCTTGCTAGATTTTAAAGCTCTTTTACATAAATTTTGCTGTCATCAAGCAACTTGTTATTTTAAATTTGTAAATCATGAACTTTCTAATTTAGTTCGCTAATTATCTTGGCCTTTTCTTCTTATTCTTTTTGCATAGCTCTCTCAAATTAAATGATCTTTACTTCTTTTTCTTTTTATTCTTAATTTACTCTATTCTTTAAGTGCTCAATTTCAAAGTGATCTTTTTCTTTATCCTCTTCAACCCTTCTTTTTGCTTCAATTACTTCATTCAATTTTTTCCTTATGTTACTGACATCCTATTTATTTTTTTATTTATTTATTTAAATGAAAAATAATTATTTTAATAAACTATAAAAAGTAAGTTTGTTTTAAAACAATTCGTTTATTTATTAATTACATCATCTCTTTACTACATTTACTTTTTGATAGATTCTATGTCGAAATCTTATTTCTTTTGAAATTCTTACATTCTGAATCTAAGCATCTCTTTATCGCTTAATAAATTTTTTACTTCGTCCTAATTTGAAAAATGAAAATCAATTTAAAAAAACAAAATAACCAAGTTACCATCAATTCTATGTTTTTAGTTCCTTGTCTATCAATTCCAATAATCAAATCTGTGTTATTTAATTTTAAATCATTTATAAACTATTCTTAGTCCATGTATAATGTATAAAATTTTCTAAGAGTGTCCTTATATTACAAGAGGTCATTGAAGACCTTATCATACTCTGCCCTCAGAAGATTTACCTAAATAGAATTTATTATATTCATAATCCAGCTAATATCTATTTTAGTATAAATTGCTTACTTCTGACTATATTGTATCTATTAAACTCATTTTGGCTGATATAATGTTATCTTATTCCTAAATAATAAAATATTTAAAAATTAATTCAAAACTTTTAAAATTATAATTTAAATATAAAATAATTTAATCTGAAACTTTTTAAGCTTTAATCAAAAAAATATGTATTTACTCTTGTGAATTCCCTAAGCTTGTTAAGTTGAAATTAATATTGCTCGCATTTCTCTTAGTAGTCTCTAAGACTGTTATTTAAGTACACTATATAATCTTAATTTTCAGTATTTAATGGTGGCTATTAAGGAGGCTTATATGGTGATGGAAGTTATGTCGCTAATTTTGGAGGAGCAGTCGAAGGTACAACAGGAACTGGAGGTCTTTCTATTGAGTAAGATCTTACATGCGTGCTATAAGCAGGCTCTTAAATAAAACCCCTTGGAGGAATTTAGGCTAGAGGAGGAAGAGTAGAATTAGGAATTTACTAATTAAATTTTTACTCAGAAAGATCCTATTCATAAACGTTTACCTCGTTGGGAGAATAAGAATATTAATATGTGTTCAACCTATCTTATGGTTGCTATTACTAGTTGTATTAACTTATTAACTGATTTGATTTTTATTCCTCATTTATCGATGCTGCTGGATTTTCAAAACTTGGTTGAAACTTTTAATTTGAATATAATGTCTTCAAAGCCATACTTTTAAATTAAAGTTATGTATAAACATTTAAAATAAATTTATATCGTGTAAGTTAACTATTAATTTAAATAAATTTACTCGTTATCTATTGGATCATTCATAGTTTATTCCCTTGCTGTCCTATTCTTAATTCAAAATTTTAAATTACAAATGGATCCAAACATCATTTAAAATGCATAATTGAATAACTATTTACAAACATATAGCTTGAAGCATTTGGCAAGGAAGAGAAGTTGTTTTGAATTTATGCACCTGAGTAATTTTAAAAAGGCTACTAAACTCCGAATGTTTGTTAAGGTTGCTATGAAATATCTTATCTTTCCTACTACATTTATTTAACTATCTAAACTCACTTTTATATTATTTAAAATCCAGTAGTAAATATCAATACAATTTTTAATTTCAATTAACACCAAGAAAAGAATTTGAATATTTTTGATATCTTTATTGATTCTAAAATCAGCAGAATAAAAATTAGATAAAAATATTCAAAAACAAATAACAAAATCTACTTTTATTGAATTAAATCTTATTTCTAATAAAATATTTTTAAAATCTATTTTAAAAGAAATTTATTTCTTATTATCAAATTTATTTATTTTATTTTTTTAACAAACAAAATATTTTTTCATTCTAATAATTTTAATAATAAAAATGTGTGTTACAAAAAATATTTTAAGTTTCTTAATTAGATTTTAGCAAAATTAAATATTTTTTTATGCTCAATTAATATTTTTTAGTATTTCTGCTTTAATCAAATTAAAGTAGTTTTAGAAACATGGTAAATAAACAAAAGAAGATTAAAAATGTCATTTCAAAAGAATTGTTAATTAATTAATTAAATTGGGACTTAATACATTTATTCAACAATTTATTAAAGTTATTATTTGAGAAAATAAGACTTTTAATTCCATTTTAGAAATCAATGCACTAACTTACAATTGATTAGATAAATAACTTTAAACTATAATTTCAAATTAGTTTATATAAATAATACAAATGATGATTTTGACGTATCTTGTAAATCAATTTTGAAATATTTTTGGTAATCCACACATTAAAATTCTAAAATATGCGAAAATACATTGTAAATTTACCAAAATTTTTTATAAATAATAAAAATAATAGTTTTTTTTAATTGAATTATTTTTATTTAAATTTATTTTAATTATTTGCATGAATAAGTCTTCAAAATATCAAAATAGACTAATAATTAATTGCATATTATAATGTTTTTTTAAGTAATTTATTTGATAAGGAATAAAGAAAAATTAATGAATAATATTGCAAATAAAATGAATAAAATATAAAACTAAAATGACGCATGAATTGTTAATTAAAAACTTTAGGTTTCTCTCTAATTTATGCAAAAAATTTTATTATTGGTACTTATTTAATATGTTTAGAGGAGTAATTTAAGAAAGTAAAAATTTTTAAGTTGTGGCGAACGTATCTACAACATTTATAATTACTAAGATGCGATTAATTCTTTTAAAGTAATGATAAAAATTTCTTTTATTATTGATTCTTGTTAAATAATTGATTAATTCTTAGTTTATCAATTCAAGAGTTACTCAAATTTTAATAAAGGCATGCACTTAATTTTTACATTTATTTCTTAAATGCGTAAGTAAAAGAACAAAAAGAAAATTATAATATATTTAATTCAACTATATTCATATTAATATTGATATTATCGGTACTATGAGAAAAGTTTTGATTGCATTAGCAATAATCACATTCTGCTCAGCTTTAAATCTCTAAAATGTTCTAACTAAGTTAGGCTATCAAGAAGAAACAAACTATTTTGGTTTTAAGGTACTTACAAAAGAGTTTGAGGATTTTGTCGATACTGTTTTGATTGATGGTTTTAAGACAGTTTTTGAAGATCCCTCACTTTATGCTACTTTTATGAAAACAATCAGCTCATTTACTTTAGAAGATAAAAAAGGCGCTTTCATTTAATGTTCTAAAGGTTCTAAGCCAGGATTTTTCAAATTTTTAGCTGACTAAGATGGTGTTGTTGGTCCTAATGGTTCTGAAACTATTGTGTTGACACCCAAAGAAGGTGACTGTTTTGATTAAGTAAACTAAAAATCCTTTATTTATTTGTTACTATTAATTAATTTCATAAAAATAACTAAAATCATTAATTAAAAAATCTACACGAGGCAATAAATCAAATCTTATTTCAACATAAAATTTTTTTAATAAAAATAAATGATTATATTACTCTTCCTATTCCTAGAATTTAAAAGGAGAAACCATTTATTTTTTTAGTGAAAGTATATTCCATATCTTTTTTCACTCTAATAATGAAAATTAATAAGATAACAATGATATATATTTATTTTTAATCCAAAATATAAAATGCGATCCATTATGATTTAAGTGAGATATTTACTTAAGTTTCATAATTCTTAATGGATTTTTATCAAATTGAGAAAAAAAAAATAAAGAAATCACCAATTTTTATTTAAATTTTAAATGAAATCGAATTTATTCCTTTAAAAGCAAGAAGAGGAATTTAAAAACAAATACTTAAAATTCATATTTTTCTTCAAAAATAAAAATTTTTACATTTCAAAGAAATAAAATAGAAGCATAATAGAAAACAAATTGGTTATTTCAGATTCAATCTTAATGAAAAATTGAATAAAAACTGTATAAAAATAAAAAGTATATTAAATGCAATTAGTATTATAAAAATTTTGCCTTTTATTTATACTTAAAAAGTTATATTTTATTTGCGGAAGTGCTTTATTTTTACTAAATTATTTTTTAATAATTACTTTTTTGTTTTTCAATCTATTAATATGAATTTTCTTTAAATAAAAGGTCACTGTCTAATACACTAAAATAAATGATCAAAGTGTAGAATTAATCTTCACTTCAGGTAACAGAAGAAATGATACTGCTGATAACTGTAAGGAATCTTACGTTATTGGATCTACAATGAATTATTATTCTCTTGCTTTAGGCAAACCCAATAAATCTCATAAATGGACTTTAAAAAATTTGAAGCCTTAAAATATTAAATCTATTGAAGAATTTGGCTTAAGAGTATTTAAAACTTGCGATAAATTCTCCAATATTTTACCTGATGTTTTACTTAGTTTGGGTCTTTCCTTAGGTGGATTAGGTTTAAATCCTGATATTCCCTTTTTCGGATCAAAGCCAAGCTGGTGGATGGAAGTACTTAATCCCTTGTTTATTTAATAGGGTAAATTTTTTAACAATTAATACATATTTTTATTATTTGCAAAAAAATGCCTCTCACATAAATAAAAATATCAATTTAGTTAAAAATTTCTTTTGCTTGTTAGAAAGAGTAAATTTAAAGAGTATAAATTTATTTTATAGGTTGAAAGTTAGATTAATAAGGCAATTCAACAATCAAATTTACATATTAATTATATTATTAATATTAGAATTTTCATATTTATTAGATTTGACTTAAATAAAATTTATTAAATAAAAAAAAATAGCAACTGGTTATTTATGGCTTAGAAGAGAAGACAAATATGTTGATTTAGATGAGACTGAAGTCCATCCTGGTGATTTAATTATTGCTACTAGAATGGATGGATTAGATTAGTTGATTTAATGGGGTACTGGCTCTAGAAGTGGCCACTCTGTAACCTTATTAGAGATTGATGGAGAACTTCGTACTGTAGAATCTCAGGACTCTACTTACTGGCCCAAGCATGGTATATAGAGAAATACTTGGAAAGATTGGAAATAGTGGGCTAAAAATGCTGGATTTAATGTTGCTGTTTTACCATTAAGTGAAGAAAATAGAAAAAAATTCAATAATACAGCTGCTGTTGAATACTTCTTAAATCTTGAAGGAACCCCTTATGGCTACTCTACCTTCTTGTACGGTTGGGTTGATACTGAAAACAAAAGTTTACCTGCTATCCTTGATGTCAACTTTGTTTACTCTGCTTTAACTCTTGTTGAAAAATTCTACCCATCTATACCTAAATCAATCATCAACGAAGGTCTCAACCATAGACTCGGAACTTAAGATTTGAACTTAGTTTAGTTATATGAGGTCATGTACTAAAAAAACCTCACTATTGCTGAAGTTTTTGCTATCCCTGAATAAGACTCTTGGTTATATTCTTATGGTCACTCTTTAGTTTGTTCTGCCTTTGTTGCAGGTGTTTGGAGAGCTGGTGGTCTTTTTGGTGACCTCTAAATAAATGTAACACTTTTAAATCATAAATATATATATTGAATTAAATAAATAAATAAATAAAATAGGTATCTGAATTTACCCCAAGAGATGTTTATTAAATGAAATTCTTCGATAAGAACTTCAAAAAGCCTGAAAAATGTCATAAAGACGGTCTTCCTTACTGTTAAATAATGGGAAAATTCGTTATGGATGTTATAACTGATGGATACAATAGCATAACCCCTTATGAACACATGAATGAACATTGTCCTTCCCAACCTCCTTTTTATTTGCGTACTTAAGGATGTTGATTGATTAATATATATAAAATAAGATAAAAAAACTAATTATATCTTTGTTAAATTGTTTTGTTTCAAAACTGTAAAAATAAATATTAAATAAATTAGAATAATTAATTATGTAATCAATTAAATTTATCTTTTTTTAAATAATTTTTGTAAAGGTGTAATTAGAAAATAATAAAATTCTACCTTTAAAAGTTATAGATTATTCCCTTCAATAATTAAATCCTTATTGATAAGGTATTTTAAAAATTCTGATTTAATATGTTTGTTTTTCTCGCTTGTTAGTTAATGAATATTATGATGAGATTTTCATATAAATTTTTAAATTATTAAAATTGGATGAAAATTATTGTGAAACTATTTCCTTTAAATTAATTTATTAAAATTCAAGGATATTAGCTTAAGATTGATAGAAAATCATCGAGAAAGTGGATTAGGCTGAGAAGTTTATTCTTTAGGTGAGAGGTGAAAAATGATTTTAGAAAGGATGAAAGATCAAGAGTGACTGACAATAAATTAAATTTGAGTAATTTATTGATGGAATGCCATACACTTCAATTGGTATATTGTTGAATTAGTTAATTAGATAATCCTCACACTCTATCACTGCATAGATTAATTTGATGTATTTTTTTAATTTCAATTGTCTTATAGAGTAATAAAAAGTTAATGAGTTTATATTACTTAAGTGAATTAAAACATACAAGTTCATTTTTAAAAATTATTTTTGACTATATTAAAATATAACTCAAATGAAAATTAAAAGCTGTGAATGTTGTGAATATATTTAATTTTCAATATATTCATGTTATAGCCAAATGCCATTCAAAAATTTAGTGAATTGATATCACTATTTTTTTGAATGGCTGATATATTTGAAAAAAATTTATGTAAAAATAAATAATTTTATAATAGAATTTAATTAATAAATAATATTATTGATAATTTTAATATATATCAATCTTTTATTTTTCAATCAAATTTTTAATTAATTTGAAATCAAATATAAAGAAAATAATTAAGATTTAGAAAAAAAATATTCATAATTAATATAAAAATTATTTGAAATATAACAAATCATATATCATGGTTCGTGATATTTCAAATGAAGGAAGGAACAGCTATATATTTTTAAGTAGACACTTTAAATAGAAGTATTAAGATTAAATAATTAATATTACACTAACTTTTTGTGATATCTCTTCCTCAAAACTAATTAAAAAATTAAAATTTGATAATTATTATAATTTATTTGTTCTTTTTATCCATTTATAATTAATTAAATTTCCATAAATTGCTATTCAATATTTTTGAAAAAAGAAATAAATAAATGATATAATAGACTAAATATTACTAAGTTTTAGAAGAAGTAATTATTTATTTTTTTTATGATAATCCTTTAAGTTTATTTTATTAATAAAAAAAGTTTATAGACTCTTCTCTTCAATCTCATTAGGTACTCCATATTAATCTTACGTAAATATAATTTATATATATTATTATTATTATAGTTAACATTTTTTTTATATTTAACTTTGAATTTATTTCTAATATGATTTTTCTCATAGAAATTCTCATATATATATTTTCATTTATTTTAATATATAAAATATTTTTTTTAGCTATTTTAACTTAATTTTAACTTTCCATTTTTAATTCATCATTATTTATTTATTTAATATTATTTGATATCTTTTTCTTCATTTTTTGCTATTAACACTTTTACTTACTTGATAAAAACAGTTTATTTGTATTGTATTGCGATGCTTTTAATTAAATAATTAATTTAAAAATATAAAACTCTTTTAATTTATTTGATATCTTTTTATTTGATTTATTTTTCTTTTTCTTTTTTATTTTTTTTGTTTTTTTCTTCGTCTTTCTTTTTAATTTAACTTATTTTTTTATTTTGAACTTTTTCATTTAAAACTAATTAATTACCTTATTTCTTATTATTTCATATTTTTTCTTCACTTTTCCCTCTAATTAATTAATTATATATATATTTTTCAATCTTAAAAGTGAAAATGAAGTTACTCGCGAATCAGAATTAGCTTTAGCTTTAGCAAATTGCACTAATCTCTCAAATTTAACACTTAATATTGGGTAAAATCAGTCTATTTGATTTGGATTGTAATATTTTAAATCATAAAAAATTAATTAAAAACAATAAAGCTATTTTGACTCATATGATAACTTTTTAAATGGTGCAATAGGTGCATCAACCATAGGTTCTGGTTTAGCAAATTGCACTTAACTCTCAAATTTGAATCTGAAACTTATGTAATAACAGTTTATTTGTTTTAGATAGTGATATTTTTAATATAAAAATTAACTTAAAACAATAAAGCTCTTTTAATTTATTTGATAACTTTTTATTTGATTTATTTTTCTTTTTATTTTGCTTGTATTTTTTTCTTGTCTCTTTGTTAATTTAACTGATTTTATTATTTTTAACTTTTACTTTTATTATTAATTAACTCATTTCTTATTACTTCTTATTTTTCTTCATTTTTTCCTTCTAATTAACTCTTTAATAAAAAATTTCTTCTTCAATACTTAAAAAGGTCAAATTCAATTGGTGCAACTGGTGCATCAGGCTTAGGTTCTGGTTTAGCAAATTGCACTAAACTCTCAAATTTGAATCTTTAACTTTAGTAAAACAGTTTATTTTTTTTAAATAATGATATTTTTAATTATAAAAATTAATTTAAAATAATAAATATTATTTGAATTATTTTTCTTTTTCTTTTTTATTTTGCTTGTATTTTTTTTTCTTCTTTTTTTCTTGGATAATTTAACTGATTTTATTATTTTCAAATTTATTTTGATTTTCTTTTATTTCATAATCTTCTTCATCTTTTCTTTCTAATTAACTAATTAATTAATTAATAATATATTTTTTCTTCAATATTTAAAAAGTGATAATTAAATTGGTGCAATTGGTGCGTCAGTCTTAGGTTTTTCTCTTGCATTTTGTACTAATCTCTCAAATTTGAAACTTGATCTTAGGTAAAATCAGTTTATTTATTTTGAATTGTGATATTTTTAATTATTAAAATTAATTTAAAACATAGGAAACTCTTTTTATTTAATTATTTATTTGATTTTATTTGTTTTTCTATTTATTGTGCTTAAATTTTTTTCTTCTTTCTTTGTTAATTTAAATCATTTTATTATTTTCGATTTTTAATGTTATTATTAATTAACTAACTAACTCTTTTCTTATTATTTCAAATTTTTTCTTCATTTTTTTCTTCTAACTAACTAACTAACTAAATAATTAATTAATTAATTATATATTTTTTCTTCAATATTTAAAAAGATAGAATTAAATTGGTGATAAAGGTGCATAAGGACTAGGTTTTATTTTAGTAAATTGCACTAATCTCTCAAATTTGACACTTAAACTTGAGTAAATTCAGTTTATTTGTTTTGGATTGTGTGTGATATATTTAATAACAAAAATTAATTTAAAACTATAAAGCTCTATCTATTACTTAACTTGATTTATTTTTCTATTTCTTTTTAATGCGCTTGATGCTTTTTCTTCTTGTTTCTTTGTTTATCTAACTCATTTTAATACTTTCAACTTTTAAATTAATATTTATTGACTTATTTCATATTTTTTCTTCTAACTTTTTAATTATTTATTTATTTTTTCTTCAATATTTAAAAAGTAATAACTAAATTGGCGATTAAGGAGTTATAGGCTTAGTTTCTGCTTTAAAAAATTGTATCAATCTCTCAAAATTGAAATTTAGTCTTATGTAAAAACAGTTTATTTGTTTTGGATTGTGTTTTAATTATAAAAATGAATTTAAAACAATAAAGCTCTTTAATTAATTTGTTATTATTTCAGATTTTTTTTCATTTATTGTTTGTTTATTTTTTCCTTTTAATTCACCTATTATTAATTATATATTTTTTTCAATATTTAAAAAGATAAAACTAAATTGGCAATGAAGGTGCTTCAGCATTAGGTTCTGCTATAACAAATTGCACTAAGATCTCAAATTTGAAACTTGATCTTAGGTAAAATCAGTGTATTTGTTTTGGATTGTGATATATTCTTAATTATTAAAATTAATTTAAAACAATGAAACTCTTTTAATATATTTGATAGTTATTTATTTTACTTTTTCTTTTGATTGTGCTTTTTTTCTTCTTAGTTTGTTAATTTAACTCACTCACTTTATTATTTTCTATATTTAATTAAATTATTAATTAATATATTTCTTATTATTTATTAAATCTATCTTTTTTGTTCATTTTTTCCTTCTAACTAACTAATTAATTAATTATATATTTTTTCTTCAATATTTAAAAAGAGTGAATTAAATTGGTGATAAAGGTGCATAAGGACTAAGTTTTATTTTAAATTGCACTAAACTCTCAAATTTGAGACTTAGACTTGCGTAAATATATTTTTAATTATAAAAATTAATTTAAAATTTTAAAGCTCTTTTAATTTATTTGATAACTTTTATTTGATTTATTTTTCATTTTAATGTACTTGATGTTTTTTCTTCTTTTTTCTTTGTTATTTAACTCAATTTATTTATTATTTTCAACTTTTGCTTTCATTATTAATTAACTCATTTCTTATTATTTTATTTTATTTTTTTCATTTTTTCCTTCCTTATTATTAACTAATTAATTAAAAATTTTTTCTTCAATAATTAAAAAGTAATAATTAATAAATTGGATATTAAGGTGTATCAGGCTTAAGTTCTGCTTTAACAAATTGCACTAATCTTTAAATTTTGACACTTGATCTAACGTAAAGCAGTATATTTGTTTAGGGTTGCGATATTTTTAATTATAAATATGAATTTTAAAAACAATAAAGTTGTTTTAATTAGTTTCATAACTTTTTATTTTATTTATTATACTTGTATTTTTTCTTCTTCTTTTTATGTTAATTTAACTCATTTTATTATTTTAAACTTTTGCTTTTATTATTAATTAACTCATTTCTTATTATTTCATACTTTTCTTCATTTTTCCTTCTAAATAACTCATTAATTATATATTTTTTCTTCAATATTTAATAAGGTGGAATTAAATTGGTGATAAAGGTACATTCAGTTTAGGTTCTGCTTTAGCAAATTGTACTAATCTCTCAAATTTGACACTAGATCTTTAGTAAAAACAATTTATTAATTTTGGATTGTGATATTTTTAATTTTAAACACTAATTTAAAATAATAAAGCTCTTTTAATTAATTTTTAGCTTTTTATTTTATTTTTTTTATTTATAAAACTTGTATTTTTTCTTCTTCTTTTTATGTTAATTTAACTCATTTTATTATTAATTAACTCATTTCTTATTATTTCATATTTTTCTTCATTTTTTCCTTCTAATTGACTATTATATTTATATATATATATTTTTTTTTTCTTCAATATTTAAAAAGTGGCAGTTAAATTGGCGATTAAAATGCATCAGTATTAGGTACTAGTTTAGCAAATTGCATTAATCTCTTAAATTTGACACTTAATCTTGGGTAAAAATAGTTTTTTGTTTTGGATTATGATAATTTTAATTATAAAAATGAATTTAAAACAATAAAGCTCTTTTAATTAATTTAATGGCTTTTTATTTAATTTATTTTTATTTTACTTTTTTATTGTGCTTGTTTTTTATTTCTTTTTTCTTTATTAATTTAACTCATTTTTTTTTCAACTTTTGCTTTTATTACTATTTAAGAAGTTTCTTATTATTTCATATTTTTTCCTTCTTAATAAATAATTAATAAAATATTTTTTCTTCAAAATTTTAAAAGTTCAAATTAAATCAGTGCAAATTGTGCATAACGCTTAGTCACTACTTTAGCAAATTGCACTAATCTCTAAAGTTTGGTACTTCATCTTGAGTAAAAGCAGTTTATTTGATTTTAATATTCAAATCAAATATTAAAGCCTTTTTTTAATATTTTTAAAATAAAATTTATAATTTTAAATTAAGTTATTTGTTTTTTATAAATTTTTATTAAGGGGGGGGGGGGTACGAAAAAAAGTTTTTTTTTAGGTAGCATAGCAAAATCAATTTCAAATAAATTAAAAAAAATTCATTATTAATATAAAAATTATTTGAAATCAGCTATATTTTTTCTTCATAATTTAAAAGATAAAATAAAATTTATGATGAAGATGTATCAGGCTTAGGTTCTGCTTTAACATATTATACTAATCTGTCAACTTTAGCACTTTATCTTAAGTAAAAATAGTTTATTTATCTATTTTGGGTTGCTATCATTTAAATTATAAAAATGAATTTAAAATAATAAAGCTCATTTGATTAATTTGATATTATTTGATTTAAATTTATATTTTTTTTATTATTCTTTTATTTTTTTTCTTCTTTCTGTGTTAATTTAACTCATTTTATAATTTTATAGTTCTCAACTTTTGCTTACAATATTAAATAACACATTTCTTATTATTTCATATTTTTTCTTCATTTTTCCTTATTTTTAACTATTTACTTATATATATTTTCTTCAATAATTAAAAAGTTAAAATTAAATTGGTGATTAAGGTGTATCAGGCTTGGTTTTGACTTTAGCAAATTTTACTAATCTCTCAACTTTGACACTTTATCTTAGGTAAAAACAGTTTATTTATTTTGGATAACGATATTTTTAATTATAAAAATGAATTTAAAACAATAAAGCTCTTTTTATTAATTTGAAAGCTTTTTATTTTATTTTTTTTATTCTTGTATTCTTTTTTTGTTTCTTTGTTAATTTAACTCATTTTATTATTTTCAACTTTTGCTTATATTATTAATTAACTTATTTTTTATTAATTCATATTTTTTCTTCATTTTTTCCTAAAATTAATTTTTTATTTTTTTTTCAATAATTAAAAAGTGAAAATTAAATTGGTGATTAATGTGTATATCGCTTGGGTTCTGCTTTAGCAAATTGTACTAATCTCTCAACTTTGTCACTACATCTTCAGTAAAAACAGTTTATTTGTTCTGAGTTGCTATCTTTTTAATTATAAAAATGAATTTAAAACAATAAAGCTCTTTTTATTAATTTGAAAGCTTTTTATTTTATTTTTTTTTTGTTTCTATGTTAATTTAACTCATTTTATTATTTTCAACTTTTGTTTATATTATTAATTAACTTATTTATTATTAATTCATATTTTTTCTTCATTTTTTCCTAAAATTAATTTTTTATTTTTTTTTCAATAATTAAAAAGTGAAAATTAAATTGGTGATTAAGGTGTATATTGCTTGGGTTCTGCTTTAGCAAATTATACTAATCTCTCAAATTTGATACTTTCTCTTAGGTAAAAACAGTTTATTTGTTCTGAGTTGCTATCTTTTTAATTATAGAAATGAATTTAAAACAATAAAGCTCATTTCACTAATTTGAAAGCTTTTTATTTGATTTATTTTTATTTTTTTTAATTCTTGTATTTTTTTTCTTGTTTCTTTGTTAATTTAACTAATTTTATTATTTTCAACTTTTGCTTACATTATTAATTAACTCATTTCTTATTTATTAATTCATATTTTTTCTTTAATAATTAAAAAGCGCAAATTAAATTGGTGATTAAGGTGTATCAGGCTTGGTTTTGGCTTTAGCAAATTTTACTAATCTCTCAACTTTGACACTTTATCTTAAGTAAAAACAGTTTATTTATTTTGGATAACGATATTTTTAATTATAAAAATGAATTTAAAACAATAAAGCTCTTTATATTAATTTGAAAGCTTTTTATTTTATTTTTTTTATTCTTGTATTCTTTTTTTGTTTCTTTGTTAATTTAACTCATTTTATTATTTTCAACTTTTGCTTATATTATTAATTAACTTATTTTTTATTAATTCATATTTTTTCTTCATTTTTTCCTAAAATTAATTTTTTATTTTTTTTTCAATAATTAAAAAGTCATAATTAAATTGGTGATTAAGGTGTATATCGCTTGGGTTCTGCTTTAGCAAATTGTACTAATCTCTCAACTTTGTCACTGTTTCTTAAGTAAAAACAGTTTATTTGTTCTGAGTTGCTATCTTTTTAATTATAAAAATGAATTTAAAACAATAAAGCTCTTTTTATTAATTTGAAAGCTTTTTATTTTATTTTTTTGTTTGTTTCTATGTTAATTTAACTCATTTTATTATTTTCAACTTTTGTTTATATTATTAATTAACTTATTTATTATTAATTCATTTTTTCCTAAAATTAATTTTTTATTTTTTTTTCAATAATTAAAAAGTAATAATTAAATTGGTGATTAAGGTGTATATCGCTTGGGTTCTGCTTTAGCAAATTGTACTAATCTCTCAAATTTGATACTTTGTCTTAGGTAAAAACAGTTTATTTATTTTGGATAACGATATTTTTAATAATAAAAATAAATTTAAAACAGCAAAGCTATTAATTAATTAATTTGATGACTTTTTATTTTATTTATTTATCTTCATCTTTTTATTCTGCTAATATTATTTTTATTTATTTATTAATTTAAAATAAAAACTTTAATTTAAAAATTTATTTTATTTCATTTTATTAATAATTTACTCTAACTTATTATAAAAGTATTAACTAAACATATGAATCAAAAGAGGAAATAAAAAGCAAGTGTCTTAAATTAAAAAGATTAATTGTCTTTAAAATATATTTTTTTTGACGACAAACAAGTGGCGAAAAATGGATGAATAAATATTCAATATGAATAATAGAATATAATATGTTTTATTTTTTAATACTTTGAAATAAGATGTTTTAACCTAAAATATAGAGAGATTTTATTAAATATATTGAATATACTTAAATCCCATAAATTTTTTACAAGCTCAGCCATTAAATGCTTTAGGAATTTTATCAAATTATATAGGTTATAAATAAAAATGATTGATTTGTCCTTTATAAAAGAAGATTTAGATTATATTTATTCATTTTTCTAATAATTATTTTATGTGAATTTATGAAAAATTATTTTTAAGTTTAAAAATAAATTAATATCAAATATCGTGTATTAAAATGATTAAAAAAATTCCTAATTAATTTTATAACCTTATTTACTTACTGTCAATTTTTTTATTAAAAATTCATAAGATTTTTAAATAAATCATCTTTTTTTTTATTATGTAATTTTAAAAATAATTTTCTTTACTTTTTTTAACATTATAATAGATAGATAGATATTTAACTTCAAAAAGAAATATATTTTATAATTAAAAAGAAATAAATACCATAATTTTTAAATATAAGATTTTAAATTTTTATATTAGATTTATAAAATCTAAATAATATAAAATAATAGATAAGGTGAGAAAGAAATGAATAATTAATTAATTTATTAGTTATGTAATAGCTAATGCTTAAATTAATACTGATAGAGGATATTTTCTTCATACGAAAAGTATAAAACATTCCAAATAATCATATTAATTAATTAATTAAATATTGTTAAAATCATTTAGCTTCAGCTAAATAAAAAAATAGTAAGTTACGAAAACGAATGAACTGTTAAATTAATTAGATTATTCAGAAATTAATTATTTGATAATATTTAGTGATAATTATAATACGCATATTTTTCAATAAATGAATTCAGCTATGCTCTATAATAGCCATAAAAAAGATTAAGTTTTACAAAGTAAAATGTTCATATTTTATTTAATGCTTTTATTTAACAAGTATAATTAGATTATGTATTACTGTATTATTGATTTAATTGCCCTCATTTTAAGGTAAAAAGAGCAGAAATATTGAGCCTTTTATAATTTAAAAAATTTTATTGCTGAATTTTGTGAAGATAAAGAGAAAAAAAGAAATTAATTTAATGTTTATTTAATATTTATTGATAAAAAGATAATACATAATTTTTTTACATTGATATTTACTTTAAAAAATTTTAAATAATTTTTTCATATTATTTTAAAACAAATACTAATCTAATTAATGACTATTAAGATTATGCTTTTTATTAATTTTAGGTTTTGATTTTCTTTTCTGTTAAGATATATTTGTTGATCTATTTTTTACAAAATATATAATTTTTTATAGATATTCTTAAATCTCAATATACTATAAAAAGAATGAATGACATTAACAGTATGAGTAGCAAGCAGTGGTTTTATATCCCCTAAATTTAAATACCTAATATTATGTAATTAGGTTTTTTTACATCTGACTCAAACAAGTGCTTGTATTAAATTAAATAAAAAGTTAATTATTTAATTTTGTAACAAATATTTTGTTTGGAAGATGAAGATGAATTCGAGGAAATTCAATCCTTTGGTGGAGACTAAGCTTTAATATCTTCGAAATATAATACATTCATATTTAAAAATAAAATGATAGATTAAATAATACCAAACACAAATATCTATTTATTCAATTATGTTACATAGGATAATCACTTAAAAATAATAAAAGACTTCAGTGAGAGTTTTAGAAATAAATAAGATTTGCCTAAATTTAACTATAATTACTAATATCAGAGTAATTCATATTTTTTGATGAGTTATAAAGATCCAAGCTCAGAAAACAGCTAAAAAGTGTTATACATTTACTAAATTATATTAAATTACAATGATTTTGTAAAGGAATATGCTTAACAAAATAATAATTAAACAATCTATTTATCCAAAAGTAAAGATTATTTAATTGTAACATATGTTGATGAATAAAATAATAACTTTAATTATTAATAATTTTCAACATATTAATTAAATAACCCTTATTTATCTACTAATTTAGCATTAATTAAAATTTAAATATTTTAGTCTATACTATGCCTTTTTTTTACTCTGTTATTTGTTTTTAAAACAAAAAAAAGAGGCTAAAAAAGGCAAGAAGTTTTTAGCTAGACTTGAAGATCTGATATTTAAATAGGCAATCAAAATATCAAAAGAGCAGTTTTAAAAAAAGTATGAAATAGATTTTAGAGATTCTTTAGGTTCTGGTAGCTATGGAGATGTCTATAAAGTCAAAAATAAGCACAAAGAAATAATCAAAAATCAAGATATTTTATCAAATATGCCAGATTATTATGCGTGCAAATAGATTTGTGTTTCTGAATAAATGGATAATATAAGCAGTAGCGCCTTCCATGAGATAGAAGTCTTAGAAAAATTAAAAAAATATGACTATGTTAAAAAACTATAAAATTATATTGTATCAAACAGATCAACTTACCTCATTTTAGACTTAGCTGAATCTAATTTACAAGAATAAATCAATTAAAAACAAGCTGATGTACATACTTAAATTAATTCAAAAATTAAAAAAATTACTGAATTATTTTAGTAAATATTTTTTTGATTTTTATTTTTAATATTCAAACTTAAAAATAGCTTGAATAATTCAATCAAGAAGAAATAGTAAAATTCTTAGTCTAAATAGGTAAAACTTTAGCTTTAATCTACTCAGATGAAGGAATAGTACATAGGGATTTAAAGCCATCAAACATATTAATTAGAGAAGAAAACTATTATCTTTCAGATTTCGGATGTGCTTAAGAATTATATTAATCAGAACAATTTTAAAATAATATAGCTTTTGGAACTCTTAAATGGATGTCTCCCGAGTTGAGAGAAATGAAGAGAGATAAAACAATTAATTTTTTTAAAAGTGACATATTTAGTTTGGGAATGATCTTGTTGTACATGCTCACTCTAGCTGATATCTCATAAGTTAATTGTGATGAAATATTTAAATAAGCAAAAATTAGATTAATGAAGAATATGTATAAAGATACTAAATATAGTTAAATTATTCTTTTAGTAATAAAAATGCTAGAAACCAATCCTGACCATAGACCTGATTCCTCTATTTTAATATAAACTATTGAAGAAATTCAATCATAACATCAAAAAAATTAATGATTGGAACATTTATGTTTGAATTTTGAGGAAAGAATATTTTTTTCGAATCATTTCTAAAATTTATTGTAGGAACTATTAAATTGAAAATCAATTTTTAAATTTAATAACTAAAAAAATAAAAATATATCAATCACATTAATTGATTAATTAGGATTGAAATTTTAGATGAAAAAAATGCTTATAATTAATTATATAAAATTTTTCGATAAATAAAAATAAAAGATTTTGTAAGAAACTATATAGTAATCTTTCCTAAATTATCAAAATATATTTTTTTTAAGAGAATAAACAGCTAATTTTATGGAAAAACTAGAAAATATCCTTTTCCGCTTTACATTATACTCCCTTTCACTAAAAAAGTTTCAATTTGAGGAAATTAAAATCAAATTTAAGAACACTTTCTTTTTGAATATATTACCTACCAGTCATTTGGGGCGCCATCTTTAGGATCAAGAGAGAAGAACTCTAAGAAAGAAAAGGAGAGGCTACTCATTACTACTTTTCAAAAATATCCCTCTATAAATAACTTCTATTTACGAAATCTAAAATTTGGGTTTTAATTTCAATCATCTGCCTAATAAGCAATATGTGGTCGATATTTTTATAAATTTTCGCCCTAATGAGAGTATTCTACCCTCAAAGGAATATTTTACAGACAACCTTAGAATTCCCCTATCATTATATATCAACCTTTCTTTTTATTTTTATAAGATAAAGGGATAAAATTTTAATCTTAAATAAATTCTAAAAGGAAAAAAACCCTTCTATTTCTCCCCCCCAAATTTCATTTTAATGCTTGTGCAAAATAATTAATTAGTAGATTAAGAGATGGATGAAATTTTTATTTTTTGCATTTAAATTTATGTTCAAAAGTATTTGATTGAATGGAATTCTAACATTTTATTTTGCCATTATTGGTTTGTTCGAGTATTTGTTCAAAAATTTGATTGATTGATTAATTGAAAGAAGTATAGATTGCGTTTAGCTATTTTTTCAGTGCTTACTCAAGAGTTGTTTTTTGGTTGATTAATTGAGAGAAGAAATTTTATTTAGCTTTTATTTTTATTTCAGAATTTGTTTGGTTTTCTTCGGCTAATAAAGAGGTTGATTCTACTTTTCCCTAAATTTTTGTTCAATTCAAATTAAAAAAAAGTCAATTGATTTATTAGAAAGAAATTGCACTTAAATTTTATTCTGAGTTTTTTCAAAGGTAATTAGTTGATTGAGAGATGGAGTTTTATGTTCTTTGAAAATTTGTTGGCTGACGAAGAAATTGAATTAGTTTTTACCATTAATACTTCATTTGAGTGTTCTAATAAAATATTTCAATTTAATGAACATGAAAAGTTATTTTACCCTTGTATTTTTATCTTATTGTTTATTCAAATGAAAGTCATTATTGTTAGCTTCAATTAGGTATTGATTGATTGAGAGACAGAATTTTATTTCGCCTTTAAAAGTTGATATATTTTCTTTTAATTAACGAAATAAGCAATGATAAACTGAAGTTTTCTATTTATTTAACACTTTAATTACATGTTCAATAAGCTTTCTAAAAATTTATTCTGGGAAAATTAGTAATATAAATTAATATTCCCAGATAAAATTCTAATTGAATTAATAAAAAAACAATAAATAAAACACACCAATCATCAATCATCTATCTATCTATCTATCTATCTATCTATCTATCTATCTATGCCTACTGAATTTATAAAAAACTTGGATATATTTTCTTAGTCTTTCTAATTCAATTCAGGAAAGTAGTCTTTGAGAAAAAGAACTATTGTAGGCTCTTTTCTATCTATCACAATACTAGGGGCTACAATAGCTTATTTGTTTTATATGTCTTTGCTATACTTTAGCAATTAAATTGATCCAAAATTTAGATCTTAAACATTTGTTAGTAATGATAGATTAGAAATACCACTTGATAATGACATGTACGGCTTTAAGTTTTTTTCTATGAAGAACCTAACAACTTTAGATGAAATTCAAAATAAATAAAATAAAACTTATTTAGTTATAGTTCCTTATTTTGTGTTTAATAATAACTCGTATTAAAGTGAAACTAAATTGGATATAATTAAATGTAAAACCCCTTCTCTTTAAGGCTTTTCATGTCTTGATACTTCAAAACTTGAAAATAAAATGATCACAATTGGAAATAATGAGAGTATGAATTCCTACATTTAATTAAATGCTTATAGATGCTAAGATGTTGATATGAAGAAAAATTTTGTCCCAGATAACTGCGCAAGTCCATAAGAAATAGAAAATTATATAATTGACCAATCGAATGCCATTAAAATAAAACTATTTACATCTCAATATAATATAACTTTAAAGTCTATGCAATCAAATTATAAGCAATAGAATTTTATAATGTCTAATAATTAATTATTAATTGGATAATTCAAAGCAATAAAGTAAATAACATATGTTAAAGATGGTCCTTTGATTTAATTAGAATCAAGTTACAGTTCTCCTATTTCGTACATGCTGTTTACAGAAACTTTGGATTAATAAACTGTGAGTAAGTAAACTGGTTTGAAATATTTTATGTAAATATATATATCCTTAGATGAATAAGTTGAATAAATTAACATTTAATATCCAACTTTTACAGAAGTTTTATCCATTTGCAATAGTACCTTAGCTTTTTTAATGTTTTTTGGAGTTTTTGGAAGATAGCTTGCTTAGAGTTTAATAAGACAGGATTTGTTTATATTAATACTTTAAAATTTATATTCTGGTACTTATTAAAAAATTTTACAGTTGAATAATGTTTTGCTAAATAAAAATAAAAACAATAAGAAAAACGATAACAATAAAAATAATAGCAATGATAGCAATAAAAATAATAATAGCGATAATAATACAAATAGTAACAATCGAAGTGATTAAGATAAAATTAATAGCAGCAAAAAAAGTAATTGTAACACAAATGATAATAATGATTGTAGCCCAGATTAAAATGAATAAGAGAATACAAGTCCTATTTTAATTCCATACCTTTTGACAAAATCTGGAGAAAAAACTTTAAATTAAGTGTATTAATAAAATAACATAGAACGAAAAAATACAAAAGATCATTCTTTAGTAAGTTCTAAAGAGTTATTTAATAATAAACTAATTAAAAATAGTAAATAAATGGATTTAAACTATGAATTAGTTTTGACATCTCCAAGTCCATTAAACATACAATAATCAAATGAGATTAAAAATATAAAGAGGTTAGAAAATTTTTAGAAGGAACAAAGCTAATTAAAGAATTTTTTACCTAATACAAGGCAATAAAAACTCTAAAAAAATTAAAAAAACATAATGAAAAAATAGTTTGTTAATCAAGATTAAAACCAGCAGGAAGTTAGAATTGAAAATAATAAAATTTTTGAAGATCAAAAATTAAAAACTTTAAAGGATAATTTCTTAACCAGAAAAATTAAAGATATCATCTTCAAATTTAAGTAAAAATTAATTAAAAAAAATTTTAGGATTTAGATTAAAATATCATTTTCATTTATTCATTTAAAATATTAATTTTTTATTTCATCTTAAAGATTCTGCAAAAAGAAGGAATATTTACATTCAATAGGATTAAATAATGAAACTAAGTTACAAATAGACTAGTAGGTCGACTATAGTTTAGACTATCAAAAATTGTTTAAAGATATAATCTTCTTGAAAAAGGCTGTTGCGAGTCTTCTAACTAAAGACCAGTTTGCTGCTTTATTTTATGTAGGACTTTCTGATACATTTTGGAAAAAGAAGTTAAACAAAAACATAGGTAAATTTGATAAAATATTAAAATTAAAATAATTAATTAATTAAAGAATAAAAGATGAGTCACTTTGAAGAACTATTTGAAGTTACAATATCTGAATAACAATAGTTTGATTATCTTAAGAATTTTATTAAAAAATGCTATAATCAGGATAATTTAAACGAAATAGATAAAAGAATATTCTCATCTCTAATTTGACTAAGATGATTTTATATTATTTCAAAGATGTTTGTTTAGCAGGTTATTTGTATAAAAACACTTAATTTAGAACTTTTAGGGTAATTTTCTAATGAGCAAAATAATAAATAAAAATTTATATTTAAAAGAATATGTGTTAATTTATTTTTTGAGTTAAAAATGAAAAGTAGAACTTAAAAAATTAATTGAAGTAAATTTCTAGGTTTAATAAAATAATTTAAATTAATAAATAAATTATGAAAGAATTCAATCAATTTATTATTAATTTGTAGTGTTTTTTGGTTTAAAGATTTTGAATTTTCTATTCATATTTTGATAGTTAGTAAAAAATACTTGATAGACTTTTAATGATATTAATTTTTGTTGATAAATTTTATTTGTAAATACAAATCTATATATGAAACAAACCTAAAACAATATAAAATAGTATATTAGTATTCAAGTATAAAAAAAATATTCAATAAAAATAATTAAATTATTTTAAATTATCAAAAATAAGTTTGTAGAATAGTATTCCTTCTTTATATATTTATTTTAATATATGTTTACGATTGTTAAAAAGCTATACATATATTTATAAATTTCAATAATTTATCACCATTTTTAATTGTAAGTTGAAGTATATCTGTAAATATCTTGATTAATATAAGGCATTTCATACTTATCAAGTCTTCTTAAACATAAATCGTTGTTTGCCTTTAAGTTTGTCATTACTGATGCTGTATTTCTTCCTTCAAATAATAACTAATCCTTCAATTTTTATAATCCTGATCTTTTAACATAAGAATATTTCAAATTTATATTAGTTTAAAATCTAATTTTACCTTTAAGACATTGTTAAATACCTATAATCAGATAAAATCTTACCATAGTCAGATTATGGTTAAAGATTAGGAAAATTCTTACATTTTTAATGACAGCTCATTAATTATTCTAATTTCTTTCTTACTAAGAATTTCTTTTTGAATAGTTAAGTAATTGAATGAGTGAATGAATGAATAAATAAATATATAACTGGATTAAATATCTAAAAATATATTTTTCTTGACTGATTTATAAAACTTTAAATAAATTAATGAATATCAATCAAACAATCATCTTATTAAAAATATGATAGAATTTTTAATTTATTTATAAAATAAGATTGGTTCAATTTTAAAGATTATTTTGTATTATAAATTAATAAAAAATAAAATTGCTATTTAATACTTCATTGAAATTAAGAAGCTTCTTCAACTATGACAATAGATTATTTAAAATGAGTAATAAATACTCTAAGTTCTTTAGTTTATTAAATAATTTATTAACAAAATGTAAAATACTCTTTTTATTGATTTAAATATTTTTAAACAGTTTTGCTAACTTAAATCACGAAAAATAACTAAAAAATATAACTGAGAACATTAAATATGAAACTGAACCAAAAGAAAATAAATAATTTACAAATTCTTATAAATAAAAAATGTTTAAAAAATATTTTCTAATCTTGTATGTTTGATTTTAGAGATTTATTATAATTTTTTATAAATTTTTTTTTATTTCTTGACATCTTTATAATAAATAAAATATTTACATATTTAAGAAGCTATAAAAAATTAAAATATTATTATAATAAGTATAAAATTTCAAAAATAGATAGATTTGTTGATTGATTGATTGATTTGTTTATTTGTAAATTTATTTTTTATTGCTTGCAAAATTAATTCAAGTTTTGCTTGTTAGTATGAATGGATCATTTATTATTTTCTTCATTTTCTGGATAAAATAGACTATGAAGACTTTCTTGCTAAAAACTCTTAGAACATGTTGTTATCATCTTCTTGATTATCATCTAATAATTCTTCTATTGTGAAAGGAACAGAGCTCTCTTAAATCTTAAGATTAGATCTAATTAATTTTTGGAAAATAAATATAATTACAAAAATAAATATTTTAATGATTAATAAATTAGATAAATTAATTAATTAATTTACGGTTATCCAATTTTAAGGCCTAGCATAATTCTTAAATCTTCTATACATAAATTAAGCAACCTATTTCTTTCTTGAATTACCATTGGGAAGCAATAAACACTTGCAGTAGGATCATTAGGAGCAAATGCAAATCTATCATAATTAAAAAGCAAATAAAGGTGATTCATAATTTTTTAGAAGGCAATCTTTTGATCTTCTAACTTCTAAATTTTTACTCTATTTATTTCAAAAATAAATAAATAAATAAATAAATATTTAGGTTTTATCAATTAAAAATAAATTTCTTACACTACTTCATTTCTCCAAAAATCTCCAATAAAATTAACAGTGTCAGGGCAGTCAATAACTTTGCTAAATGTCTTAAATATAGGGTCGCAAGCTAAGCTAATATCAATTTCTTTCTTACAAATGCTCCTGAAACCAAAGTATTCTCTGTATATAGTGAAGAAGGGAAGATTAGTTCTTCTCATGACAATCATGTCAGGCATGATTGCTAAATCATTTAGATGATTTTTATTTGTAATATTTGTATTTATGTTGACCTTAATTTGCGATTCTACTTTTTTGAAAGTCTTAATCTATTTATTATGTTTTAATACAAAGTTATTAGAAACTCTTTGATTAAAAATAAATTACCAAAGCCGAAACTCCTGATCTCTTTGCTCTAATATCTTCAGGTCTTATGTTAGCAGGTTTAGTAGGTTCTCCTCCATTAAGTTAAAAAGAATATTCTCCATTTCTGCTAAGACTAGTAAATGGTATAATAACATGAGAAACAGATATCTCCAAATCACATTTAGAATTACTCTTCTTAGGAAGATAGTTCATTACAAGCTCAATACAAATATTTAAGTTAGTGTGCTTATTTTTATCATATCCATTAAAACGAACAAATAGAGTTTAATCTCCAAATTATTATTTTTCAAATTCCCTAAATTAAAATAAAAATATTTATTATCAATTCATAAATTTTTTTCTTTGAAAAATCTAATCAATTTCATTTCATTTCAGAATATATTTTTGAAAGTAAATAAAATATTTTTTTAGCATAGTTTTCTTATAATTTTTTTATTAAATTTGCAAATATTTTATGCTTCATTTATTTAGTCATATTTAAATTAAAAAATTTATTTTTATATTAAAATGGAAATTCTATTTCAGATTGAATCTATTTGTTATGCAAACAATTTTCGACAAGCATAATAATTTATTAATTGGATTTTAAATTTAGTAATTAAAATATTTTTAGGCTTTGCTAAAAAATAAATAAATTTAGCATTTTAAATTAAATAAAAAAAATATTAGAATGATAAGAGAAATAAATAAATGATATTACCATATATCTTCATTATTAGGGTTCCAGAATGATTCTATTCTACATGTATTTCCTAAATATTGTCTATTACCATCATATAGTGACACATAAGCAATTCTCTTAAATATTTGATCACGAGGGAATGCATTTACATCAGGTATCGGTATACCAGTAGCACTCTTAAATGTCAATTCAATTTAGAAGGCAGATTAATTATATTTGTGATCAAGAACTGATAAATTGTTATCAATTATTCCTGGGTTATCATAATGAAGGTCTGAGTAGATTAGAGAAGCTGTTACTTTAGGGCGCAAAGTAGAGCTTGGTAAGTTTTAGCCTCTTTAAAATTGAGTTCTCATAAAAGAAAGTCTATAATTTGATGGCATCTACTTAAAAGTATCAAGTAAATCCTTAATAGAAAATTTTCTACTTGATCTTATCTAAGAAAATAAATAATAAAATTTAAAATTGAATAAACTATTTTAATTCATTAAATCTAATTTTTAGTTTAAAGAATTTTAATCTTATAATAAAAATACATTTAAAATGGCTGTTTAAGCTAGAGTGCTGACTCCATCTGAGTTTCTAGTAATGAATGCAATCAACTCGTCTATATCAACAGTTCTGCTGCCATCAACATCTATTTCTACGAATAATGCACTTAATTCTGAAGGCTTTAATTGAACTCCCATATTACTGAAGACCTAACCTAACTATCCAATATTTAAGCTTCTTGTGTTTTGTAGGTCAACTTTTTTAAATTCCTTCTTCAAGTCATCTATAATAGATTCTGAGGTCATCATTTCATTCTTTATTTTTTCTTCCATGATCATTTTAAATTCTTCAAATCCTAAAGTTCTATCTCCGTTTTTATCATATCTTGAAACAAAATAAAAAAAGTTAGTTAGCTTTATTAAAAGTTAGTTTTCATTAAATAAATAAATACCTTCTTATATATTCCTCTATTTCCTAAGCTGAAGCAAAGCTTCCTATTTTTGAGAAAAGTCTGTTGAGCTCATCAGCATTTATTTGCTAGTCACCATTGACATCTACTACTTTGAACAATTCAAGAATTTCTTATTCCATTTGAGGTGAAATGCTAAGTTTTTTATTGCGCTTTTTTTGAACAACTTCTTAGCTTCCAGCAAAATATAACTCAAATTCATTGTATGTAATTGTTCCTCCTTAATTTGCATCGATTTCATTAAACATCCATTCCAATTCCTTTTCATGAGGTTGTTAAATTTAAGAGCCTGACATAGAGAAAATCTGCTTTGTTATTTGAAGGAATTGCTATAAATCTATCAAAGGGGTACTCATGAAGAATGTTTCACTGAGTTATTGGAAATCGTTTTTATATATATCTAAGAGAGCTAATCTAATTTATTCAACTCTTTATTGTTCATTACTAGTAACAGCCTTTTTTGTTTAATAAATTAATTTAATAAGCTCATGAAGATTTTATTTAATCATTAAATTTTAAAGTTAAAATTAATAAATTTTAAAATAATTTATTGTGAATGTAATAATTTTATTCAAAAATAAATGCTAAAGTTTATTGTAATTTTGTTGTTAAATTAATCATTAATGATTAAAAAATTACTTTTGATCCTTAAGGCAAATCTTGTTTTCTTCCAACACCTAACTACTTATTTATTTCTTGATTATCTATGAATTTTCTATGATCATATTAGCATTTGTTAAATACTGCTTGTAATTATATCATATTAGAGTTGTCAAGAAGACTATCGATGAAAATTTTAAGTTGTGGAGAACTCAACATATCATAGAATTTGACTAGAATTCCTTCAAATATTCCAGGGTTAATAGTGCCTTCTTTTCCTGCTTTATTTATCAATTCAATACCGCCTTTATTATTCAAACTTATAGATAATAGATTAGCCTATTCTTCAATAATCTGCTTATTTTTCATGTTTTGTTCAAATGGTATTTAGCCTTATGAGTTATTTTTAACATCTTGGAATTAGTTTCTTTAATCAAACTAGTTCATACTTCTTCTTGGATCAAATTAGCTATTCTGTCCTCTATTTAGTTCGTTTATATTCTATTAACTTTGTTGTTAACTAAACGGTTAGTTTTGCTATTAATACTATGACTAATTGTATCCTCTTTAGTCAAACTCTTAATCGTACCTTCTCTAGCCTTATCTTTAGTCTTAGGGTCTTCTTTAATCATAACCTTAATCTTAAAATCTTCTTGGGTCATATCCTTAGTCCTATGGTCTTCTTTAGTCATAACCTTAGTCCTATGGTCTTTTTTAATCATAGCCTTGATCGTATGGTCTTCTTTAATCATACTATTATTAACCTTGGTAGTTTTAATCATAAGGTCTTCTTTGATCATATTGATTTTGTTAGTCATATCCTTAAGGCTATTGATCATATCTTTTTTAGGGTTCTTCGTAGAAGTTATTTTATGAAAATTAAACTTGCTTTTAAGGCTATGCAGAGCTGACTACTGTTTCTGTTCTCTAAAACTAGAAATCATTCATACTTTATTGAGGGTTCACATTTAATAAAGAAGGAGATCTTATGTGTGTTTATGTTTAGGTCTATACAAACATTGCATTTTTCTATAGATATTGAGCATCATAAGGGTTAATTTGAGGTGGCATTGCTGACAACCTACTTAAAAGAGCAGGTCTATTTCTATTGTATTCATTAATTGTTGTTTGCACATTGTTAAGTATATTTTCGTAATATTAAACACACTGAATGCTTGAGAGGTTAGATTGAATTCCTAAGAAATCTGCTAATTAGTTTGGATATATACTACTATTACTTTTAGCAATAACATCATAAAGACTATCAATCTCCTTTTCACTAGGAAAAATGTGGAAATTAGAGAACAACAATTTTATTTCTTGCTTTGTCCATCTTTAAGAATTTTAAGGAGCAAAATGTGAGAAGAAATCTTAGAATCCCATCTTATTGCATCTTATAACATTAAGACAAAACTTTCTAAACGTTTCAGGGAAGGCTTCTGCTTCATATATAGGATATTGAATCTTTATTTGGCCTTCAATTTAGTATTACTGAATTATAGAATCAATTTAATTTTTTGTTAAGTTAATATCTAAATCCTCAAAAATCTTTGAAAATTGTCTTGGGTTAATATTGTAAAGGCCTTAACTTTCATAAAGCTAGAACACATCAATCAAAGATATTCTTAGTTAGCTGCACAATAATTTCATTTAGCTTAAAATGCCTGAAGTTGTGAGTACATCGATCTTATTAATGCTATCCATTTTCTATTTTAATATGTAAATTTAAATAAAAATTTTTTTTTATAAATATTTTTTTACTCCATCATATTTCACATTGACTGAAAGGAAAGATGCAATTGTATCATAAATAGTGAATTTCTCTTTATTGTGTTACATAATATTATTGAATAATTCCTAAACTTCTTATGGAGTAGCTGTAGTTATATTTAAGCTGTATTAAATGTATGCTTTTAGAAGATCACCAGAAAATTGCTTTGTCTTATACTAAGTAAACAAATTATTAATAAAAGCTTCTAAAGTAATGCCTTGAACCTTGATTGAGTAAAGCATGCATTATCTCACAAGAGAAACTAAACCTATAATATCTTTCAATATATTTTAATAGGCCAGTAACTTTTTCTCTTTTATAGTAAACCTCTATGATATGTCAATATAATGAGAATTTCTAAGTTTCATGCCTAATCCTTTGCTCATAACTTCTTCTATGTCACTTTCACTATGAATAATTTTAAATTTTTTATTTAATATCAATCATGCTAAAATTCTATATATAATATTTATAAATTCAGCTTACAAAATCTTGAAAAATAAATATATTATTCTATAGATTATTGAAGATAATTCTTTTAATCAAGATATTTATGTGTAAGATATATAAAATCAAACGCATAGCTTCAATTAAAAAGACAATAGAAATATTTCTAATTAATAAGAATAAGAATAAAGTTTTGATTAAGCAAATAATTAGTAGAACTTTTTCATAGATGAAAATTAATTATTTTAATAAAATGTAGAAGATATTTCAATAATGTTACCAAAACTTACTTTTAAAAAGTTTGTTTGACATTTTATTAATAAATTAATTAATTAATTAATAGAAAAATGGTTTATTTCGATATAAAATAAACATTCAAAAATCTTTATTCATTCTAAACATATTTAAATTATTTTTTTACAGCTAAAAAGTATTTTCATTTTAAAAATTAAAATAGGTAAAATAAATTTAAAAAATGAAAATTAGATAACAAATTTAAAATTAATTACTTATCATATCCGCAAATAAACTTTGTATCTATTTAGACGAATAAATAGAAAGGGTTGATATATTTATTCTAACACACTTATTTTATTTAGTCAATAATCTCTTCAACTGAGCAGTCTCCTCTTAAAACAACCTCTTTATTAGCATCTAAAACATTTATTTATGGAGTTTAATTATTTTAATTATTCTAAGGAGCAAAGCCACTATTAGGAATAGCTGGTTGTAACTCTAATATGAATTATAAATTGTTTAATTAATTAATATAATTTACAAATTAAAAATAAATACAATTTTATTGATTCGTAATTAAGATTGAGGGTCTAGGGGGAAGCCCATACTATGTCTAAACAAACTAAGATTGAACCATACTTTAATTATCTACAACATTACCAGTGTTTTATCCATATCCAGCATATCCTAGCATATTTGTAAGGCCCATATTAACTGAGGCGGAAAGCGAATAATCCATTTAATTCATTGGTTGGTAATTCATAGCATTTTAAAGCATATTATTGAATCCAATTGCAGCTTATGGTGCTATTCTGCCCTCAAGCACATCTATGAACTCATTTTTATGAATTTTTCTACTATTATTTAAATCAAATGCTGAAAATGCTTCAAGCATCTCATCTTTAGGAATATTTGCCTCACACTATGCTAACATATTTTAGAAATCTGGGAAATTTAACAAATCGGGAGAACTAGTAAAAAGATCAAAGAAAGAGGCATAGTTTAAGCCTTCTTTATTGATATATTCTTTAATTTTCTTTTTTATTGGTTCAATATCATATTTATTTGAAAGTAAGTCTTATAAAAAGTTATTATACAAAATATAATCGCTTTTTCCATATTTCTTGTATAAAGCATCATATTCAAAAGGTTTAACCTCCACCTTAAATTGTTAAATGCAGTCCTTAAAATCACCAAAACCCACAGTGTCTTTCATTAAAAATAATATTTTTACAAATTAATTCATTTAAAATGAATGAATGCTTAAAAAAATAAGATTTACCTCTTCCAAATGATCTGTTTGAAAGTTCCTTTGCTATATCGCATTTTGCTTTTACAAATTCTCTTCTCATTCTTTTCAGCAACTAGAATAAGCTTACCTCTGCTTTCTCAATAGCATCATAGAACTCGTCATAAGAAATAATACCATCACCATTCTTATCTAAGAAAGAAAACAGCTCATCAAGCTAGTCCATGTTGAAATCAAGTTTTAAAACTTAAAAGAACATCTGATTGATTGATTAAACATAATAAAAATTAGAGTTTTTCAAATAAAACTCATTTATTGAAGAATATTTAATAATATAAATTTAATTTATTAATTAATTAATGCTTTTTTGAAAGTTAATTTTTGTAGAATTACCTAAAGAGAGTGAAGATTAATAGAGCCTTGAGGACCAGCGTATTGGTCATATATTGATTTTAATGTCCTATCCTTTTTATCTTTGTATTCTATGATTTTTTACCTAATTTTTTCGAAATTCATGTGATCATCTAAAATGACATTAATGAAAAGGTCGATAGAAATAGTATCAGTTCCTTGTTCTTTAGTGAAGTGCTAGAATAAACTTTCTATTTCTATGTCAGACATTTTGCCCTTAGTAAAAGATTTTATATATTTTTGGAATTCACTAAATTAAATTTTTCCATCTTCATTTTTATCTATTTTTTAATACTCTCTTCTCAAATCCTCTTCAGTTGAGCCACTAATAAGCTATTTATTTTTAAAATAAATAAATAAATTATTTTTGAGAATATTTTTCTTCTTATAGGATCTTACTGTTTTGAATTGCTTCATGATTGGTTCAATTTAAATATTACTCTATTAAGGGAAGAGAACTTTAGTAAATTAACTTAAGTCAATCTTAAGCTCTTTTTCCTCATCAAAAACATCGAAAATATCTATTTATTTTTCATTAAAATTTTAGTTTATTTTAAATAAAAAAAACTTAAAAAACTAAACCAAAAAATTAATTAAAAAAAATCTGCAAAATAATCTTGGAAAAAAACTAAAAAACAAACAATTTTTTATATTTTAAAACCAAAAGTAAAAGTTAGTTTATTTTCTAATTTAAATTTCAATGGTTAATGAAAGTTTTATTTATTTATTTATTTGAAATTTTCGAACAGTCTTTTAATCCATTTAATAAGAAAAATTAATGATTTATTTACTTTCTACTATTCCATCTATGTGCTCATATTACTCGAAGAATGGACAGAGTTTACTATCTTTTAGAGCATTTTCGAATTCAGAAAATGAAATAAAGTTATCAATATCCTTGTCAAACCTTTTGAAAATATACCTAACACCAACGTTTTTGGATTCAAGATATTTTTTCATGTCTTTCCTGAATTCTTCAATAATTTTATTAAGTTCATCTGATTTCATTTTCTTCTTTTTCTTCTTTTTATCGTCACCACCTTTGGCCTTCCTAGCCTATTCAATAAAAGCTCTAATGTCTCCATCTAGCTTTTAATAATCAAGCATTCTTTTATTATTTGTTACATAGGTTCCAATAATTTCTTAGTCACTGCTAGAAATTTTGACTCTCTTTAATTTCATTTCTTCCCAGAAATCCCTTTCATCAACTAATCCTTCTTTGTACTTATCCAACTTAGCATCTTTAATTACATCAAAAATATTACACTTATTCTAAATCATTTATTCAAGGAAATTTTTTAAAGCATTTTAATAGTCTCTTTTATCATACTATTTTCTTCCTTAATTTCTTCTATTATCATCATCGTCTTCGTCATCATCATTTCTTCTCCTATTTTAATCGTTTCTTTCGTTTCTAAACTTTTAATTTCTGTCCTCATCATCATCTCTTTCGTTTCTTCTTCTTCTATCATCTCTTTCATCATTATCATCTCTAAATCTATTTCTTTTATCATCATTTTGTCTATTTCTATCTTAATCTCTGTTTCTATCTTAATCTCTATCAAAATCTCTGCTTCTATCGAAATCTCTTTGGCTCTTATTTCTATCAAAATCTCTATCCCCTCTTTATCTATCTTCATAATCATCTCTATTTTTTTCTCTTCTATCTCTATCTCTATCGTCATTTCTATCATCACGTTGCTTTCTTTTCACTTTTTCAAGTAAAAATGGGTAATCTATTTCTCCATTTTTAAGAACTGCATTGTACTCTTAGCAATAATCTTCAATATCTTTATCTCTAAATTATTGATCTAACCCAACTTTTTTGATAGCTCTTAAGAACTAATTAATTGAATACAAATTCGATTAGCTAAATGAATTAAAATTTTTATTAACAAATTACCTCATTTATTGTGATAGATTTTTCATGGAATCTCTAAAACTCATTATCACAATCCTTAGCATTATCAGCTAAAAATTTATCTAAAACTTTTGCATAATTATCTTTCGAGCCAAAATTATCTCTGCCCTGTCCTTTACTGCTGCTCTCATTCATATTCTCTCTTAAATCGCTTTAAAGATTATTTATTTTTTATAAATATAACATTTTTCATGATAAATATTTACTTGTAAACTTCTTCAAAAAGCTTAAATTCTAGTTCGTTATTGTACTAATCCTTAAAATAGCTCCAAAAATTGTCAAAAATATCAGAATAGCGTTTAGTGTTTACATTCAGCTTATTGTAAAGCAAGTCGCTGAAATCACTTTTTTGATAATTTTTCCTTCTATTAAACACATCATCAAAATAAAGATTTTGACTTTTAACAGAATTTTTAATAATTTTAACAAATTCGTAAGCATCTTATTTAGCAGAATTTCCACTCATATTGCTGCTCTTAGAGTTTTAGTATTGTTATTCTTTGTAATTATCAACATACTTTTGATATTTCTTTTTAAGTCTCATTCTGTTGAACACAACACCTCCAAAAGTCAGATCTTCCATAACCATTAAAATCTTCATTTAATTATAATTACTTATGAAAAGTCAATCAAATAGCTACAAAAAATTACCTTTTACTTATCATCAAGACGTTATCCTAATCTGCCTAAAATCTTTTCAAACTCTGCAGTAGTCATTTATTTTTCCTTTGTATCTAAGAAGAGATCATCAAATGTTTTTCTGGAATTGTGAATTACTCTTTAAATAAGTTTTAATAAATGAAAAAAAATAAGAATAAATTAAAGATAGATTAATCCATATTAATATTAAAAATACTTTAAAATATAAAATATTTAACATTGAAAATTGGAAATATTTTAAAAATTTAAATAGCTTGATAAAAATTAAGCAAGCTCTTTTCAATAAAAAAATAATCTCAAAATTTAAAATACTTCAAACATTTTAAAGAAAAAATGATAAAATATTTACTGTTAAAGTTCTTGATAGAAAGATTTTAAATTGCTTTCATAATCTTATTAATTTTTAACTGCGTCTCTGCCCATAATATTGTCTCTGAATTCATCTATGGAAATATTTCCACTATTATTTAAATCTAATCTTTCAAAGAGATAATTGAGTTCTTCTTTATTTAAACTTGAGTTTATGACTGGCATCATCTCTATAAACTCATTCTTAGTTATCAACCCATCGCCATTAATGTCCATGTTAGAAAATGCTTAAGAAATTATTTTTTGGTTGGACTTAGTCATTAATCTGATATCCTACATTACATTCAAATAAAAAATATATTTCATTTTGAAACCAAAATAAATCTTGATTTATTGATCTGTTTGTTTGTTGAGTTCATTAATTTTTTAAAGCAAAAAAAATAAAATAAATTAAAAGTATTTTTTACATTCAAAGCCTTTAGAGCCTTTTCTTCTTTTATATAACCCTCTTCAAATTTTGTAAAGGAAATATCACCATTTTTGTGTGAAATAGACTCTAAGAAAATTTGATAATTATCATCTTTTCTCAACCCAAGCTCTCTCTCAATTTTATATGTAAAGTCATCTTAACTTATTCTATCACTGCCAGAAATAAGTCTATTAAATGCATTCAAAGAAATAGATGTGTCTTGCATAGCTTTGTAAATTTTAATGAACCAAACAATAGCGCTTTTATTCTCAATAAGAACCACTTTGTTGCTAGCTATATTTTCAAAGTGATTTACTACATCCACAAACTTTTAAATTTCAACTCTGTCAATTCTACCACCAATTTATTAGAAAATCATATCAAGTTCTCTACCAAAGTCGTCAACCTTGAAATTTAACTCTCTCAGTCTATCCCTATTGGCAATTAAATTAATTTTTTAAAAACTGGTAATTAACTTAATTAATTAATTAATTAATTATTTTACTCTACAAATGATCTTTAAACAATAGATTAGTGAGATGAGAAATGGCTTTTAGCACCTACTCCTCTATCTTTCAATAATCTATTTATTTCAATAAAAACTGGGGAGTATTTTTACACATCATTTATATTAAAACCGCCAACCAACTCAGCAGGCTTGATATCAGCCTCATCATAGGTCTTTATATCTAATTTAAAATTAATAATTTTTTTTTTAGTAATAAATCAATAAATCAATTCAATAAATAAATAATTTTTATTTGAGCTAATTTTTTTTCTTATTTTTTAAAAAGTTCTACTAAAATAATTTCATCTTATAATTATTAAAAAAAATACCCTTTTTAAATCTTCCAAAAAATAAAAATAAATTGATAAAATTTTTTAGTTAAATTCGATATTTATTTTTTAAAAAAGTTCTTATTTTTTTTATTATTTTATTTTATTATTTATTTTATTTTATCTTTTTATTTATTTGAGATAAAAAATTACCTAATAAACTTAAGAATTCAACTGCATCTACTACTTTAACATTATTTATATTTTTGGAAAGCTAATTAAATAAAATAGATATCTCAGATTCTTCCATGCGCTTAAAGAAATCAAGATATTTTTTAAATGTATCGTAATTAAGACTGACATTTTTCTTATCTGATAGTCCATAAAATTTAAGAATATCTTGTCTTTTAAAACTTCTAGCAGCTTCTTTCAAATCAGCTATAATGGCTGAGAAACTGTAATCTTTCTTCTTTCCATAATTACTTTAATTTTCACTGCCTCTTAAATTAGCATCAGAATCCCCTATTAAATAATGTAAATAATTGTTAGAATAAAAAATTATTGTCTGCGTTTAAGGTTGAAATTTAAAGACTTTTTTCAATTTTTTTTTGCTTATATTTTCAAAAATCAATCAATTAATTAATTAATTAATTTATTTTGTACTTCATAAACTAATTTTCTAAATAAAAAAGAAGATTTATTTTAATTTACTTTTTTGCCTAACAGACTCATTTAGAGGTGCATTTGAATCCCCAAATATTTGTTATGCATAGACAATCTTATTCTTTTTTGCAAAGGTTGCTATCTCCTCTTTGAGTTTATTAATATGGAATTCATCCTAAGTATTTGGTTGTATTTTAAAATATTCAAGCATAAAAGAAACATCTTTTCTTTCAATATTGCACCTCACTTTTTTCATATAAAAATATTTAATCAATAAATAGTATAGAAAAAATTGAAATACTAATGCTGAAAATTAAATAAATAAATAAACGCTAATAAGTTAATAAATGTAATTACAAACTTCATAAGATTTCTCTGCAAAAGTAGCTACTTTAATGTAATAAGACTTTGGAAAATAGTTTGAGATGAAACTAGAAAATGATAAATTTTTCTTATCAATTTGATTAGCTAAATCTGTAATAATTGTTAACAAATGAGATTCTATATTTGGTTGGAAAACCTCTTTAATTTATGAGAGATAGATTTATCCAGACACATGTGGATCCAAGAGTTCCTTAAGCTTATTATTCATTTTTTCAGTAATATTGATTCCATCATATGAAAGATAAGTTGTAAAAGCAGCGAAGCTGATATAACTCTGATTATCCTTTGCTTACTTATGAAGAAAATCATCAAAGCTTTTAAAGTTTTTGTATATAGATTAAAATATTATATTTAGCTAGTCCTTTAATTCTTAGTCTCCAACTTTTAGATTAAACATTTTGAATTACTTCTTGAATTCAATTCAATTAAAATATTATTTTACCTGAGAATGATTTTTTCATGGCTTCTAAAAATTTCAAATATTAAATTCTTTCCTTTTTAAACTCAAGATCAAATTTCACTTTTATACTATTGAATTCAGCTTCTCTAAAGATAATACTATTTCTATTCATAACTTTATTAAATTGCTCGAAAGTCAGCCATCCTGTTTACCTACTATCTTCCTCTTTTAGCTAACTTTCTATATTGATATTCTCTCTCTTAATAAAATTGTATGCTTTCTAATTATTTTTACAAAAAATAAAATATTATTTAATTTTCTATTAATTTTCTAACAAATTTATTGCAGAGGTATTTTTAAAAATTTCATCAATAAGCTAATCAAATCAAATCAAATCATCAAAAATGAATGATCAAAAAATAAATTATTATTTCAAAATTTATTTTTAAATTAAAATTTTTGTCATAAATTAAAAATAATTCAATGCAAATAGCTAAAATTATTTAATTTAATTTTTATAATTTATTTCCTATGATTTTTCTAACTTATTTAGTTGATTGCTTATTCTTGTATTGTTATGGGAACTTTAAATAGAACAGCTTTAGCAAAAAATTACCTTTAGAGCACTTTATAGAAGAAGCTCTTCCTCTTCAGATCCAAGCGAAGGTAGGTCGTCTTTCAGCATTTGACTTAACAACATATTCGATTAACTTATAGTACTTGAATCTCTGAAGAATTCCACCATATTATATTTACCAGTGTCATTAGGATCTAAAACTCTATTTATAGACTTGACTTCATAATCAGTTAACCTTATGTCCATAAGCTCGATTAATCTTCTAAACTCGTACTTTGTAATAGTTTTAGTTATTTTATCATATTAATCTGATTTGCTAAAAAAGTCAGGCAAAGTCTATGACCTATTTTCACAATATTATGCACACTTTTATTTGATCTTCTTGACAAATGCATCATCCTCTAATTTTAATAATATAATTTATTTATTTATTAATTTGCTCTTTCTATCTAATTAAATATTTGATTTTATTTTATATTTTCAAATCAACTTTTTATTTATTTTCTTCACTTAAATAAATTTCATTCAGCGTTTTTACCAAATTTTTTTTTTGAAATTTATTTAATTCGTTCTTTCTTAGAATGAAAATTTTACTGACCTAAACAAAAAATAAATAATAAAATTTAATAATTGCTGAATATTTAAAAAAATTTCTGTTTGTAATGGGACTTGCTAAAAATAAATTAATATCTATAGTTGTTTGTTTCCTCCTCTCTTTTAATTTTTGCTTTAAAATAAATTTTATTCTTCTAATTCCTACAATATCTTTTAAGTTTCAAATATAAAAGGCCAGTATTTATTTTGTTTTTTACTTCATATATTGATTGATTGACTCAACAACAACAAAGAAGATTTTAAAAATAAAAGTATTGTTTTTACCTGGAGTTGCTTGTATTATGCCATTATTATCTAAGCTATCAGGACCACCTTTAAATTGCTTATCATCTGATTCTTAAAAATTCCTAAATTCTTTATTTTTAATTGCATCTAAACTTGATCTTCTATCATCATCATAACTAGTCATGGTTGATACTAATTTAAATAGGTCATTACCATATCTTTTTTGGATTGTATCCAAAATTTCTTTTGATTCTTAGGGTGAATAACTCTCGTCATTGAAGCATCTTAGCTATTTTGGAGTCATCAAAGTAGCAGCCTATACGTAGCATAAACCAAGAGAGAAAATATCAGAGGATTCTCTCAACTCAGAAGACATTTTTAATATTGGCTTTTTTTCTTTGAGATATTCTAGGAGTTATGGAGAACGAAAAACGTCGTTCTCTAAAGTAACATTTTAGGAAGGATATCCTCCTTCAGAAAATGAGTAATATCCTTAATTGTTCTGAATCATATTAGAAGGTTTTATATTTAAATGTGATGTATTTTTAAGAATTAACTTGTGAAGCTGCTCAAAAGAATATTCAATCATACCCTTTAATTCAGCTGTAGAGTAGAAATTTCGAGTGCGCTGTCTCTTTTCTATATCTTCTTTGAGAGAACCTTCTCTCTTCTCATAAAACAAATAGAGAATATGCTCATGCTCATCTCTCATTTCCAAGCTTATAGCTTTTGGGAAGATAAATCCCTTTAGATTTAAATTTGATTGCTGCTATATCTATGTTAGACAAACCTATCTCTCAGAAGGAGTAGTAAAAATTATTTTTTTCATCAGATAAACTATGCTTGAATCTGTTTTATTCTTGGCAAAATATGCGCTGATGCTATCATTAATGGGACCATCTATTTCAAAATCCTTTAATTCGACTTATGTTATCTGAATGCCCGATTACTGAAAACTTCGACTGTAATTCATTCTTACAATAACTAAGTATATAATTTAATCAATTTTTCTTTTTTTCTTAATCTTTCAGTTTTAATATAATTGAACGTTGATTAATCCTTGATCTTTTCTTAGTTCCTATGAAATTATCTATCAATCAATCTATGTATCTATTTAACAATTGACAAATAATTTAAAAAATTTTTATAATCTTTTTTATTTATTTTATTTATCAAAATAATATTTCCTAATCCTATATAAAATCATAGAAGTAAGAATCTCCAAATGATTATAAAATAAATAAATAAATAAATCTTTGCAGATCAATTATTAATAGATCTATCTACAGATCTAACTTTTTATTTATACTTCATCAAATAGTTTACTACAATGTCTATCAAAATACTCTTTATAAGTACAAGCAAGATTTAACTCATTTTTTCTTATATAAATTGTTTCCTTCATATGATTAATATCTTCTTTAAACAATAGGCTTTTTTTAAAAAAATATGATTCAATTTAGCAATCTAATCTTTCTTCATTTTTATGAAAAGAATTTATCCAAAATCAAAATTTATTTATTTATTTAAAAATTTTGGTTGAAAATTTCTTTTGCAAATTAATTAATTTTTAGTTCATTTTAATAAATAAAACCTTCTATAATTAATTCCATTTATTTTTAAATTTAAAATTATTAAAAAATTCAGGAGATACTAAAAAGAAAGAGTGGTAAGTTCTTTTTAACTTCAATTTTTTAATAACAAAATAACGAATAGGCCAATATTTTTATTAAATTAGTTCAATAAAAAGAATTTTGTAATAAAAATATCTCTCAAATTACATTTTTGCTAATTCTAAAGCTAAGCTTTATTTAAAATCAATTTTTAGTTTATGATAACATATAGAAAAACTACAAATTTTCGAATACAAAAATATATTTATTGATTTTTAGAAATTAGAAATTTAAATAATACAAGCAATCATATTAAATATTTTGGTTTATCATGAAATATTAAAGTAAGTTTTTAGAATAGATTTTTATAAACATAAAAAATTAACTTACTTTAGCATTAAATTGATAATGAATATTTACAAAAATTTGCAATTATAGATAAAAAATTGAATGTAAAATTTATTTGTTGTGGTTATTACCAGATAATCTAGAAAAAAATATCAATACTTTTTTATATAATTGAAATAAATCAAAAGAAAGTGTGGCTAATATAAGTTTTTATTTATTTATATATTTATTTATTTTTTTTAATCAGCGTTTTTGCAAATAGCTAATTTGATTTTAATAAATCATTTCATCTTATCTCAAAAAATTAAAATTAAATTAGGTAATGAAAAAAACACCTATCCCATAAAGTAAAGCTAAGCCAGATACATCTTAGGGATTTTTTGTTTAAGGCATATCAGCAAAAACTTAAAGTTAAAGCAAATAATAGACCAATGTAGCAGCTTCTTAAGCAAACTAAAATAAATTATTGCAGCAAAATGCATCAACTGTTTCAAGTAAAATTAAAATAGTAAGCTTAAAATCAATTTAGAATATAAATTATACTAAAAAGCTGCTTCGTCTTCAATGCAAAATTCCCAAATCCATAAAAACAATAAACCTTCTAACCCTTAGAAAGGTGTTCCTTTGAAGTCATTAGCTACGAAATAAAATGCAAACTAAAATCTAAATAAAAAGCCAATATAAGTTCAATCAGAAAAAATAAAAATTGATAATTCTCCTCAAAAATAGTAGTTATTGCAAAAACAAAGTGATGAAACACAAAAGAAACAGTAAGCACATGTTGAAGAAAAAAAAACAGAAGTTGTTTAGTAACCCGTAAAGGAATAAGCTCCAAAATAGTAAGAAGAGAAAAAAGTTGAAGTTGAAAAACATGTGCCTGTACCAGGAAAAGTGACTATAAAATACAATCATTACAATAACTAATTTGATATTTTAGATGGAAAGTTAAAATTTTCTGACATAGATGAATAATATTGTTTCTCTTTTGTTTTCAAAGGAAACTATTAACTAGTGTTAAAGCATGCTACCTCAAAAGAAGTCTAAAAATCATGTATTTATTTAACAATTAATATCTATATTAAAAGGCTAATAAATCTAGTTAAGCTAATTATATTCAATCAATAACAAAATATACATAGAAAAAAGCAATAAATAAATAAACCCTTTTAATATAAATTATAGCCAGCTTTTATAAATTATTTCTAATATAAGCATAACTTAATCCACATATCAAAAAAGGTATTTTGAATATGATTAAAAAAACATTTTAAAAGAAATAACATACAATTTTCCATAAATTCAACAAAAATACGATTTAAAAAAAAATCTAATTAAAACATATTATACAAACTAAAAGATTTATTAAATTTCAATTATTTAATAATTAATTTTCACTTAAATATAAAATTAAATTAATTAATTATATTAAGTATTCAATTCATTGATTCAATTTTTACTGTGTAAATTGCAATATTATTTTTGAATAAAAGCCAATAAAATATTTGAGAATCTAATCGATGGATAAGCTTATGTGGTGGAAGTTATTGAGGATGAAGAAGAATCTAAAAAAGAAATTTCTAAACCATACTATGCTTCTTAAAAGGAGGAATCATAAAAGTAAAATAATGGACGTATAAATAATCTAACGAATGAGCTAAAAGGAATGAGTATAGAAGAACTTAAACAGAAAGGTGATAAATATAAAGAATTAATTGAAGCAAGAGATTTAGAAGATATTTTATATAAATGAAAAATATTAATTGATTAGCATCGAAGCCTTTTTCAATTTTTTGTATTTCTATTTCTTTAGTAATTTAAGCTAATAAATAAATTTTTGATATAAAAAGTATTCATAATTTTGTAAATAATTCAAGGCCATCCAAATTTTTATTTTTATGAGATAGCTCTAGTTAAATAAAATTCGATTTATTGTTTAGTAGATTTTGGTATTAACTTTGCTATATAATAAACAAAAATAAAGGCAAATTAATATCTATCGGATTTGTATTCAATATGATCATGTTTTTTTATTTTGTTAAATGATTTTTATTCGTTTGCTTGTTTGGTTTTTTGTTTGTTTGTGTTTTTGGAATTATTTAAGAATTTTAAATTTGATCAAATTTTGAGAATTAATTCGTCAAACATTTGTATGTAAGTATATCTATCCATATCAGTTGTTATTAATTAATTAAAAATATTTGGTACTTACTTAATTATTAACAAAATTTATTTGTTTGTTGAATTTGCAAAGATTAAAGTATAAGTAAGAGTGAAGTCTAATTATTTGTAGGAAATGTAGTAAGGATCTTAGAATTTGTAATCCAGAGATATTTCTTAGGATAAGTATGCAGTTACTTGTAGGATAGAGAAATTTATAATTTGTGTTGATCCAGATAGCAGATAAATATATGGATTAAATCCATAAAATAATGATCTATATATTTTCTTAGATGAAAAACTTAAAAATTAAATAGATTACGATGGAGATCGTGTCTAAGCGGAGGAAATGTAGAATGTTAAATTTTTAGATTCCCTTAGAGAATAATTCTTAGAAGACAACAAAATAGAACTTTCATAATAAGTATCTAAAAATTTAAATAGTATTTCAAATCATTAAACTGATGTTATCAAGCAGAATGGTCAATTAAGCACTTCTACAATATAGCAAAATGGCTAGCAGACAAATTAAGAATAAGCACTAAATCCAGCTGTAAATGCAGTGGATAATGCTATTTTAGGCGTTTCTGAAATAAAGAAAAAATACTCAATTGATGATTATCGTATAAAAGGAAAAAAAGCTATTGAAAATATTGAAAAAATTATTTAAATAAACGATGGAAATTGGCTTATCAACCACGAAAGAGCAGATTAATACCGCAGAAGAAAATTACCAAATTATTTACTTTAAAGAACTGACTAAAATCATCCTACTTATATATGTTAATCGCCTCTTAGTGAGGTTTTCGTTAAGGAAGTTACAATCATAATCAAAGTAAACTTAATAAATTTCAAAAGCTAACTGTATGATAAGCAGATGCTAATTAACAAAGAAAAGACTACCAATAACTAACCACTAGAGGATTAATATTCAGTAAAAATAAAAGCCGAACTAGTTACAGCGTAAAATACAAACATACAAACATACATAAATACATTTATATTTATTTTATTTTTCCAAAATCTAAATCAATAAATAAATAAAAAGTTTATCGATTGTTTTTTAGAATGTCAAAGAAAATTATTTTATTTTCAATCAATTGATAATAAATATATTTTTCAGCAATAAACATAAAAATATACTTTAAATTCTTTCAAATAGTGTCTTAATTAATATCCCTTAAAGTAATCATTAAAAAAAATTTTGGATTTTTCAAAAATATGGTTAGATACTTATCTATGAGGACTGTTTAAAATTATTATTATAGTATTTAATAGTTGGTTGACTTAAATAATATAAATATTTTATTTAAATAATTATTTATTTATGAAAAATATCTTTTTTGACTAGAATAATTTAATATTTTAAATAGATTTTTATATAAATTATATTTTAATAAAAATAAAAATAGAGCTGACGAGGTCTTAAAGAAGACACTAAGAGAAGTCTATTATAAATATAAAATTAAGCTGCAGCCTTAAGATAACAAAACATTTATTTTGAAAATTGAAGGTTATAGAGAATATTTAAGTGGACATTATCCTATGCTTTCATATGATAGAGTACGTACTAATTTGAGAATAAAAAAATCACTGAAAGTCATTTTGGATCAAAAGTAAAATGCTGTTTAAAATCAAAAGCTGTTTCCTCCTGAGTTTGAGAGACTCGTGATAACTATTAATTTTAATAAGAGTGACAATAAACATTAGAGATTCAATAAACAAGAAAAAACAATTGAGGAAATTTAAAATCTACTAAAATTAGTATAAAATGATATCCTTTTTAAATAAGGAGGCAAAATAAAATAATTATATTTATCAAATAACTATAAAATTATAGACAATACTAATTAGATTATTTTCTAAGATTAATTTAATATAAATTGGGAAGATTATTAATAAATTCCTGCTTTATTATGGTAAATCAATCGCTTTCAATTTATAAAATAAAATAAAATTTATTTCCTAATTTAAATTTTAAATTTAAAAGGTATCCACCTTAAAAGCTGCCTCGTTATGTTCCTTAGCAGAATATAAATGATTTGATTGAATATCAAAAGTAAAATTTATAAAAGTATAAAGAATCGCAAGAGACTTTCAATGAGCATAAGAAGAAATACTTGAAACTTTACAAATAAACAAATGGATTCTTGTTTACAACACAATAAGATAGATATTTTAGTATGTATGATTAGTAAACATTAGAAAAATCAAATTATAGCAGCATTCAAAGTACAGTTTAAGATACAAATACATAATAAGATGATCTTTTAAGGTTTTCTACAAAAATTTCATAAGAATACAGTGCTGGCAAAGATGTAAAATTAATTAATTAAGTATAAAATGTATTTAATTAATAACAATAACAAATAATTAGAATCATAATATCTTAAATGAACATCATGAAGATGAATATATAGATGAAGATCAAGTTATTGAAGAAGGATAGAGGTATCTTCAATAAACTTATTAAGATTTTTATCAACTAAAAAAAGTTTAGTGTGAGATAGATCCAAATAGATTCTTAAAAGGATGCTAATAAGGTATTAATTAATTAATAGCAAAAATACATTTAAATATTTTACTAAATATCTATTTAAAAATATTAGCTGAAAAATTTGCTAAGTAGTTCCTAGGAGAAGGCTAGTAGAATGATTTACTGCTCAGAGTAATTAAAAAAGAGAGAATGAAAGAACTTGTTGAGAAAAGAAGAAATTTAAGTCAACAGTAAATTTTTAGTGAGGTACCAACTAACTTATACAGTGGAGAATGTGATTGGATTTTCAAAGTTAAGATAAAAGGAATTGAAAATCTTTACAGGTAAATAATTTATCATTTAATTTGTTGTTACAACAAACATTTACACCTTAATAAGATGAACCGTATATTTCTTATTTTAACTAATTATCACTGATTTTGTCAATGTGATAAAATAATATTATTCAAATATACTATGCATTCTTATTAATTTATTAATACAATTTTGTTTTTTTTTTAAATATTTTTTAAACAAGTTTCACTAAAATTAGTGTTAAAATTTTACTTACACTTTGATCAAATATCCCTCCCTATCTAAAAGGGAAAAATTATTTCAAATTAAATAATTAAATTAAAAATTTATGAATTTATTTAAAAAAGTAAAAATTAGATAAGAAAATTAATTTATAAAAATAAGTAACTTAATTATTTAAAAATTTTATTTTATAATAGAATATTTGAATAAGCAAATGTCAAAGATGATAACTATAGAGCTACTTATAATGGAATTTTACCACCAGTTTATATTACAAAATTTGGTGAATGGTTAAAAGCGAAAGAACATGAGGAGAAAATTGCAATACCTCAGAGAATAGATGGAAACCCAAAACCAGCACTAAGGTTATCAAAAGTAATTCCTTAAAGAAAAGATGAAAGGTTTAATGCTCATCATAAAGAAGAGCATTCTGCAGCTCCAAACTCTTAAATTGATGTATCTAGAAGATAGGGCTAAATGTAAGAATCTTTTTAGCATAGTTAAATGATGTCAGAAAGCGGTCAATCACAATCGTTTTTCAAATTTGCTACTGTATTCATTATATTTTTAAATAGCCTTGATTTTAATAATTAATTATTAAATAGGACCATGGAGATAAGGGTTGCAGTTATTTCTAGCAGCTTTGTTAAAAATATGATATTAACTTTGCTCCTTATTTAATCTAAGTTTAAGTTAAATTAATGTATGGAAATCGTGCCTTAGCAGTTAAGAAGGAAACCTAAAAAATTCCATTCAGCAGATCACCTAGATGGGATGAATGGATTAAATTTCCCTTGATCAAAATAAGTCAGCTTCCCCTTGAATCTAGAATATGTTTTGACATTATAGTTTATTCTGTAACAGGCTTAGACTCATAGGTTCAATAATTTTTAAAATCAAAAATGGATAATCTAATCATAAAATAATTTTTAATAGATTATTGGCTCAACTAATTTTTATATATTTGACCAGTTTTGCAAGTTTACTTAAGGGATATCGCCTCTAAATATTTGGCCTTTTTACGCTTCGGATGATAGATTAGCATGTGCTGGACAGTATTATGGATTAACTCAGCCTTTGTCAGACGAAAATAAAAGAGATTAAAGGGATCATAATAAATGGGAAGAATTTAAAGCGAGAGAGTATTCTAGATTATTTATTGAGCTAGACACTTTTTAAAAGCACATGTTTTGGAGCTTGAGAGACGATAAAACAATGATTTAATTGGGTAATAAAAATTTAATTAATTAATTCAGTTAGATTGTTTTTCAATTATTGATTTAGGTTGTTTTTCCATTATTCATTAAGTTAGTTTTGCCAGTTTAATTTAAATAACTTTGATTATTCATAAAGGATTCCAGAATGCAAAGAATAGACTTGAAGATTTATGGGTGTATACTCCTTAGAATTAGTATTTGGCTGAACTGAAAGAGTTGTTAAAGAGAGATCCAATTAATAGAAATTTTGATATGAGGCAAAAACTTATTCTCTTGATTTGTAGAAACCATTTTAAATCAATACATTAAGCATTGGATATATTCTTATGTGCAGTTGATTGGAGCAATCCTGAGCATATCAGAGAAACATATAATCTTCTTAAATAATGGAAATCACCTCCGTGTGAAGAATGTATTACATTCTTAGATGCTCACCACGCTGATGAAGTTATACGTTTATATGGAGTTGAGCGTATTTCAAAGATGGCAGATGATGAAATTAAGTTATATATGGTATTTATTCTTAATTAATTCTCTTTAATTTTAAAATTGTGAATTTATTTTTTACTTTGATACATACATACATTTCTCTTATCTATCTATCTAATCTTTAATAATTCAGCTCATTTCCTCTACTTCTTTATCAATCAATTTTAAATAAATAATGAAAATTTAAAATACTTTTTTTTCATTCAACAGATAGAACTTGTTTAAGCCTTAATGTTTGAAAATAATCATTATTCTCCTATATAAGAACTTCTGCTGGAGAGATCTCTATTGAATCCATTTGTTGTTGGCCATGAATTATTTTGGAGTTTGAAGTCTTAATTGCATTTAAAATAGTCTTATGAGAGATATGCACTAGTTCTTGAACAACTGCTCATGCTTTCTGGTGAATATAGATCAGAACTACTTAAAGAAGTTGAGGTAAATAATGAACTAAAGAATATAGCAAGGAAAATTAAAGTGTAAAAAACTAATGAGCAGGCTAAAGAAGTCCTGGAAAAAGAATTAAAAAGATTAATCAATAATAAATACAAGTAGAAAGGTGAAGGTTAAGAGTTCACTCTTGCTATAGATAATCGTTTGCAACTTAATGATTTTGATACAAAGAAATGCAAAGTAAATATATTTATTTTACCCTCAAATTTAATAAATAGAAAAACAAACAAACAAGCAAACTGACAAAACATTTTATTTTTAATTAGTTCATGAATTCAAAGAAAAAACCTTTATGGCTTGTAATGAAAAATGCAGAAAATTAAAAGGAATTTTCAATCATGTTTAAAGATGGTGATGATTTGAGATAAGATATTTTAACTCTTTAATTGATTAGAATCATGGATAAAATATGGCTCGATAATAACTTAGATTTGAGGTTTATTTATTTATTTATTTATTTATTGCTTTTATTATTTTAAAATAATTTTAATTAAATATGATAAAATTAATATAGAATGAAACCATATAACGTCGTAGCTACATTAGATTAAGTTGGTATGCTAGAAATTGTTTAAAATAGTTAAACTACAGCTGCAATTCATAAGCAAAATAACTAACGCTTTGGTTGCTTGATGAAAGAATCTATTTAAAAATACTTAAAGAAGCATAATAAGAATTATGAATAAGCTAGAGCTAACTTTAGAACCAGTTGTGCTGGTTACTGTGTCGCCACTTATATACTTGGTATAGGTGATAGACATTCTGATAATATTATGATTACAAAAGAAGGTCATTTCTTCCATATTGATTTTGGTCACTTCTTGGGTAACTTCAAAAAGAAATTCGGTATTAATAGAGGTAAAATTAGGAGATCCAAAAACGAACGAATGATGTTATTTTTTTATTTTTTTATAATAAATAGAAAGAAGTCCATTTGTTTTCACCAGAGTTATGGAATATGTCATGTTAGAAAAATAAGAAGACTATGAAGCATTTGAGAAATATTGCTGTTAAGCATATAATTTAATTAGAAAGCATGGAAACTTTTTTATTAATATTTTTAGAATGATGTTAAGTGCAGGTAATCAATTAATTCATAAATTAATTTACCAATTTTTATATTAAAAGTTAAATGAAACTTAATTAATTAACTAATTAAAATTAAAGGTATGCCTGAATTACAAAGAGAGTCTGACATTGAATATTTAGTTGAAACGCTGTAACTCAATCTTAGTGATTAAGAAGCTGAATAGCATTTTAAAAAGCAAATTAGAATTGCCAGAGAAGATAAATTCAAGCTATTTGATAATTTCATTCACGAAATTGTTAAAAAATGAATTAATTATCTACAATTTTCAATCGGATTATATAAATAAATAAATACACTTAAACAACTAACTAATTAAAAAATATTATATTCTTAATAAAATAAATAAATAAATATATTTTACATTTACTTTCATTTGAGTTATAGCTATTATTTTATGTTCGTTCACAATTATTTCAAAGGATTTAAAATTTCTTTAATGCTGTATTTGCAAATATTATTAAAATAAATTTGAGTTAAACTACAATTTTGAAAAAAATTAACTATCAATACATATTAATTAAGCTATATCCTCTTCCTCCCCATCATTTACTTTTCTTAAAAATTTTTTAACTTAAAATTAACATTATATTTAATAATAATTTTATGAGTTTGTAAACAATACTCTACATATATATATATATATGTATGTAAGTGATGAAATAAGGGAAAATTTTTTAATGTAAAAAAGTATGAAATTTAAAAAATAATAATTAAGATTTTTTTG